ACGTAGTCCCATACTCCATGGTCTGAAAGGGGAAAAAAAGCAAAATATCTCTACTTCTATTAGCTTTAATGTACGGCAATAAATATATTTTTACACAAGGTTGTGGATTTACGTAGTCCATTTTGTGTTACTGTACAATTTGAATAGATTCGATGGAATATTATGGGTCTACTCAATCTATTGGGTCTTCAAATATTGATAATAGGCCCACGATAGGCTTTCTTCGACCTGGTTTTCTAATCAATCATGGGTTATGCGTTGTATGCCAAAAATGAAAACAGAATAGGGTTGATAAACATAATATACTTGATTGATGTACTTCTATTTAAATGAAAATTAGCTCGTTTCCTTAAACAGTAATCTATTTTCCGTGAACTGATAAGTCTAATGGTTAATCCCCTAATAATCACACGCCCAACCTTGACTCGAACCCTCTTATAAGCGATTAAATAATGGTCTTAGAAATCACACAACTAGTAGAATTAATGACGTAAAAATATATTTAATTATTATGCAGACTTACCGGCTAAAATTATAATTGTTGTTGCAGTCAAATAAGCAGCTCACGACAAATGTGCATTAATGATGTACTCGATACAAATAACCTTAATTATAATAAAAAAACACTTTACAATATTTTGAAACATGGATTTTGTAACATACACAAATATTTGAACTGTTACGTTGTTAAGAATTATTAGTAGTTGTTGTTATAAAAGTGCATTGTTTCAAAAATTGACTTGAATTAAAGGAAAAATGTTTAACAGCGGTTAACTGCACTTAGCAATTGAGAATATTATTGTTTTAATCATTGGAAAAAAAATCGGGAAGAGTGAGCAAAACGTGTTGACACAGTTTCTATGTTATTATTATTATTATTATTAAAGCAATATATATATATACAGTATTACTTTTGGTTAGAAGAATACGAAAAGGCAAGGAGGCACGGTATTGGTCGGTCAGGTGAGGTGGGTCCTTTCTACTGCTCCAATCAGTCTATTACCACAAGAAACCGCAGAAACCAGAACTCAAAAAGCAAGCAACTCAGTTAAAATAAAATTAAAACAATTACTATTATGAAAAACAAAACACCTGTGGAGAGAAAATTCTAATAGATAAATTACTTTTGTGAAAAAAAAAAAATCGAAACAGCTGTGATGGAACGTCAGTTCCTGCTAAAATCCTTTAACCTTTTTATTGTGTTTACAGAAAAGTAAAATAAACTTTACTTTTACTTCCTCTTAATTTCTTATGAAGAGTTTATTTATATTTATTTATTTATTTTCCTCTCTTTTTTTTTTTGGGTATTGTATTGTCTCTTTAGAATAATCTTAATCTAATTTGCCGTCTTCAAAACTTTAATTTCATGTTTGGTTCTTTTATGTATTTTTTTTTTTGGGCTTAAGTTGTTATCATTCCAACTGTTCTTTTTGTTTTAGATGTAATTATATTTATCTTTCTCTTTTGTACCTACGTAATTTCTTTTTCACCTGATTTTTGTTTTATTTGACACTTGTGGATATACATATCAAACCATACATACACAATTAATAGAATCTGACTCCCGTTTTTTTTATAACTATTATCATGGAGGTCCCAGCATGTTTTGTATTTATCTTCTTTAAATACTGACTCTCTAATACATATATCTTTGATGATGTGATGATACAAAAAAGTATACAATAATATTCATATAAAATATGATATATATTATGTCAAGTCATATATAACTCTTACGTGCATATATATCCGTGCGTGTAGTATAGTTTAGGAAATTTTTATTTGCCCTTCAAAGGGTAGACACGTTCCTTTCTCTTCTCTACTTTACATAAAACCTCCTTCCTCTACACACCAGTACGCAGAGAGATAGAGAGAGAAGAGAGAAGAGAGAAGAAAGAGAAAGTCTAATTGTTTCTCCTGTAAACTGCAAGCCGATCCTGTGTCTGAAAATGGTGTTGTGCAGCAAAATGTCAAGCTATCTTCTGATTTTGCTGATTCTTAGTTCGACCCATTTCAGTCTAATGGCTCATGGTAAATGGGTCAATGTCACATGACTTCACATTTCCATATTTTCAAACAAAATGTCAAGCTTTCTTCTGATTTTGCTGATTCTTAATTCTTCTTTCATTTTATTATGACATTTTCAGGTAGACCAGAGCCAAACTCGCACAAATCCACCACGAAAGTAAATTTATCAAATCCTCTGTTTTTTTTGTTTTGCTTTCTTTCAATTACATTGATTTTTAAAATGTCACTAATTTGGGACAGATAGGAGATCAAGATCAGAAGATGATGATGAGAGGCTTAATTGGATCAAGACCACCAAGATGTGAGAGAGTTAGATGTCGTTCTTGTGGTCACTGTGAAGCCATTCAAGTTCCTACAAATCCTCAAACAAAGCTTCACTCTCCCTCTTCTTCCTCGTCGTTCTCCTCTGAGATAATTAATCTTGATTACAGTAGAGGAGACGACAGTACTAATTATAAACCCATGAGCTGGAAATGCAAATGTGGTAACTCTATCTATAACCCTTGAAGAAATTTCTCATATTTTTTCCACATTTTTTCTTTTTTCTTTTTTTGGGTTCGAATTCTAAAACCTCTGTGTACATATATATGTTTTTAGTTGTAATCTTCAGAGATTCTGATCATTCTCCGTTATATTGATTCTGATGATGTTGTTTACTATAGTGTAGTTAACCAAAAAAAACAGAGTTTGAATAAAAAATTTGTGTTATCCAAAATGATTTGTTTTTCTTTTTAGATAATTATTGTGGATTTTTGTTTTACATATAGTGAAAGTAAAATCTTTTAAAAATCGAGAAGTGATATTTTAGTAGAAGAACACGCATCGTAAACAGAACGCACGGAAACCTATTTTCAAGACGATTCTGACAAATACCAATTTTATGGATGAAAGTTACATCACACACGTACGTATGCATCTATATATAAAATATATACATGTAACAGATATGTATATACTTATATATTTATGCATATAAGATTTATGTATGGAATATTGTTGGTTTGATATACGTTTGAAACACATTTATCCATAGATGATGTATAAAAAAAAATTCCATTCAAATAATCAGCCGTTTTGCTGTCGTTTCGTGAAACGTCGCCGTTTAAAGATTATGTCATTCGCATTGGATTTGGTGACCTCTGGTGATTTTCTGTGTCCTACTACTTTGTTTGAGTTGAGTTGAGTTCGGATTTAATACTAACTATTCGATTTTTTTTGCTAAAATATAGCATCTACATTACCAAAATGATAGTCATTATATCTACTTTAAGTCAGTGATCAATTTCTACTTATAGCATTTCCTTTCGTTCTCGTCAGATTTAGCATTTGGAATATATGTATAAACTTGTTGAAATGAAAATGAGATTGGACAAAGCCTATTATTCATCAAGAACATTGAAGAGTGTGATATGATGGGATTGATCATATGGAAAGAGGAAGGGAAGTGACAAAATAAAAGAGAGAAGATGTGTGTTTGTGTCTGTGGGGTTTACTAATTTCACAAATCAAGCAAAGCAAACAGTCTTGATTCTCTCTACTGTTTTCCTTTTGAATGACTTCACTCCCTCCATTTTTTTGTTTTCATTTCATTTATTATTTAATAGTGCATCTCAATAGTTGAATAATAAAAAAAATATATTTGGAATTCGGTGGAGACTCAAGTGTCAATCAAAGTCAGTAAACTGCCACAATGCTGCTACGTACTGATTTAACTAATCTTCTCCACGACAACGCCGCTCCAAATATTTTATACAATATCTTCAAAATGATTCAACATATATTCAACTTACATAATTTTTTTTGGTTAAATATAAATTATCCAAATATGGGCATATCGTCCTAAACCCGATGGAGAACACATTATCCAACGACGCTCAAAATAATGAATCTTATTCCAATAGCTCAGTTAATTTGCAATATGCTATGAACGCTAATAGTTAAAATGAGTTATTGTCGTAAATTCATCTTTTTTTTTGTTTCATTTTGTAGGTTTTTTAGCGAGAATATTTTACAATCGTTAATCCTTCACTAAAACTTCTTGATAACGTGGATATATAGTTTTAATGTTTTCTGTCACTGTAATATATATTTTTTTGACATCCACTATAATATTTTGTTTTGTAATATCTATATATGTGTGCCGACAGATCTCAAAACGTAACCTCACTATAAAAAGAATTATAAGTTTGAGAAAATTCATTTTGTTCATCGACGATTGATTGCACATTGTCGCACGATCGATAAAACCATTAAAAGCAAAGTGACAAAATGAAAAAGACTCGAAAGAAGAGAGACAGAGAAAGAAAGAAAAATGAGAGTTCCAAAACAAAAAATACGTTGGCCATTCCGATCGCTTTTTGTTTTTGCTTTTCACCATTTGGTTAACTGTTTTCGATCTCTTCTCTGTTGCATCATTTCCTTGGAACTATGGATATGCAATTAAAAATATGTATCGACAAAAGAAAGGAAAAAAGTCTTAGAAATTGATTATATAGCCATTGGAGAGAAAATCGTTAAAGCACAGAGTTGACAAGGTACGGTCACGTGGAGGAATTTTGGACATATCCATAATTCACTTTCTCTGTTTCAATGATCTATTTTAACGTCCATTGCTCCATACCTCATTCATTGTTCTTGTACGACACAGGCTTTCGTTCATCATAATATATGAGATGGCTAATGCCTCCACGTGAGATAGGCCGTATACGAGATGGTGAATATATTTCTTATTTCATTACTTTAAAGCATTTGATTAATCGTCAACCATATCACATCATTTCATAAAGTGTGACACATTTTTTAATCTAACGGGTTTTACTAACGATCACCCTAAATCCGGATTATAATTTAGTTCTTTTACAATATATAGTTTAAATATTGACATTTGTATAATTATGTCAATATTATTTATATGTGTATATATATTTTGAATATTGACATTTGTATAATTATGTCAATATTATTTATATAATGGATACCCTCGACAAGCAAACAAAATAAATAATGCAGAAAATAGTTATTTATAAAGAGTTGAAGACGAATACAGGGAAAAGGTGGAAGAGATTCCAATGGTCCAATATAGATTTTGGCCTTTAATCTTAATAAGAATATGTACACACAATGGCAAACACGTCTCAAATGTTTTTTTTTTGTCCACATCTCAAATGTATAAAGGTACTTTTTATGTATCGTAAACTAATGTATATTTTCTATAGTTAACAAAAAGAAAGAAAGATGATGTATTTTATAATCATATACTGTATTCTATAATTATATACATATATTGCTGATCAATCATTTATTTTTAATACGCTACCAATTATTTACATTAATTCCCGAGTTTACCTTATCGGTCGATACTTTTTTGCAAGAACTTTACTAGTAAATACACCAGTGGTTAGTATATGCGCATACCATGACAAGACTTCGAATTTATAGTTTTTCGAATTTATTGTATAGCCCCCACCATGACATTTGTACCACTCCCATCACATCATAGTTCAACTAATGAGAAATGTACAACAATATGATCATTTTAGAGTGGTCTATCTTCTGCTAATGTTATATATGTATATGAAAAGTACGTACATGGCATAAAGCTTACATGGGTTTCGAATTTTGAAAAAGAAGCTATGATGGGTTCTTAGATTGGTTGACAAAAAAACCTTATATAGATGGAGGCATGGAGCATGCTCAAGTACTTTCACTAAAATGAAAAATCATTAAGACTATGTATAAGAAATATTGCATACATATTATATATATATTACATAATTTGGGTTAAAATTATATATGTAGGTTTCTATATATTTAATGCTTTGCACCTAATTAGTCCATTCAAACAAATCATCATTTTTAAAAAATAACGAATCAGCAATGTGTTTTAGAATAATATTTTGTTTAAACGGGAAAAAATAATAATGTATTTGTAAAGAAATGAATAAAACTGTACATTTGCGTCGGTGGCGGAATTAGGTCATTGTTAGGGCACTTTCATGGGGACCATTTAGCCTTGACGAAGAAGACTCATTTGCACAGAAGCGTCAATACGAGCTGAAACTTGCAGTGCAATCCGGTCTGGTCCTGTATTAATTCGACGTACGGGTTTAGGGTTACAGTAGTTTCTAATCTATCTATTAAATACTCAAATGTGGTAGATGGCTAATTCTTCAGGTATATCACGAGTTAATTGAGATCTTTCAGATTAACCCGTCAAAAACTTCGAATTAGACGAGTTTGACAAAATTTCAAGAACCGGCCAGGTTGACCCAGCATACAAAGCGTCAATTCCGTGACAAGGTAGACCGGGCTATAAACTTTACATCTTACAAAGATAGATCCTTAATTACCAAAATAATCAAAAAAATTTAAGTGTAGAAAATTCAACTTATAACATCTCCAACATGCAAAAAAAATAACATCTCCAACATGCAAAAACTTGATTCCATCTCGGTTTGTTTTCACGATTATGAATTTTAACAGTCAAGAGTTTCCTTGATTGGCAAGAGAAACGAGAACATGTTGCTAAATTAACTAGAAATCATTATGTCAAATTTTGATCTGATTGGCAAGAGAAATGAGGCTGCCCTTAGCTCCAAATCTGCAAGTGAATGTATTATGAAGTCAACGGAGAGAGGAAGAAATAAACTTGAAGAACGACGTCGTATTGAAGTCAGTGAAGAGATGAAGACTTAAGCAACGACGTCGTACTGAGGTCAGCGGGAAACAAAGAAACTTTTAGGACCGACGTCGTTTTGAAGTCAGCTGCTGGGTTACTTTCTTCTCCCAAGTGGAATATTTTCTTCTTAATTTGCATTTAATTTTCCTTTGGGATGTATGCAATTTGATTGTAATTTATGGGAAGCACGAATTTTGTGACATTTCTTACGGGAACTCTGCACTCTCTCCATCTCTTTCCCTAGATCCAAAGAACGTTTACTCACTCTGCGTTCACACTTCCCTTCTTTGATCTTCTCGCTTTCTTCGTCGAGGTGTTCTCAGAAAGAATTGGAAGTTGTATCTCAGTGATCAAACTGCTGAGATTGTTCCAGGTAAATTTTTAATTTTTTTTTCTCGATTTCTCCGCCGTTTCGTTCATAGTTTTAGTGATGGTGATTTGAAACTGGGTATTTGATTGAATCTGTTGGGTACTTGGCTCAATGGTTATGCATTATGTTTGGATTCTTTACTATGAATAATTTTACTGAGTTCGATTTCTCCAACTATTGGGTTTTCGATTCCTTCTTGATTCAAAACTTTTCCTCAATCCAATCAAAGAGTGATCTCACTTCTAATGCCGAAATTGGTAGCTGCTCTAGATTTTCATTGATGAGATATTGGTTGGGTAATTCGAAGTAGGTTTGCTTTGGAAGTGAAGATACAAGAATGGTGAGATCATCGCCACGAAGAGGGCAGAGATCAAAAGGAGTCTTGAAGGTGAAACACTGTGTTCAGCTGACGCTGTTGCTTGGTGTTGGGATATGGCTGATTTATCAAATGAAGCATTCACATGAGAAGAAAGCTGTGTTTGAGGAGGGTTCAAAGATCGCTGTTGAGGATAAAGTGGTGAAGCTTGGAAGGAAAGATCTTAATCCGCGTGTTGAGCAGTCTACGAACCTGAAAGATGATGTGGAAGGTGAAGGGAGCAAGAAGGAGGAGAGTTTTAATGGAGGAGGCTCAGGTACTGGTGATAAGTTTGGTAAGGAGGCTGGAGATGAGAGTGTAGACAGGGAGGAGGAAAGAGGCGAGGAGAGATCGACTCAAGGGGATAGTGAGAAGGAAACCGAAGGTACAGGGAATGAAGAAAACATCGAGGATTCAAACAATGAAGAAAGCGTGAAGATGATTGAAGAGAGTGAAGTTGGAAACGAGACGAGTAATGAAGAAGCTAGAGAGAAGAATTACAAGGGAGATGATGCGTCCAGCGAGGTAGTCCATGAGACGGAAGAGAAGAGTGTGGAAAGTGAGGAAGAAAGTAAATCCAACGGCACTGAGAATGTTAGTTTCCATGAAGACGAGTCAGGTCCCAAGGATTCTGTTATTAAGAAAGTATCTTCAAACACAACTGAGGACAATGGGGAGACTCGTAGTGATGATGGTGGGGAACATGAGAGAAAGAATGAGTCAGATTCAAAGACAGAAACAGAGGAGAACACTAGCTCATCTCTAGGTAAGGAGTCTGATGAAACAAAAACTGAGAGTGAGAGTGAGAGTGTGGTGTTGGAGAAAGGGTTCTCTGATTCTAATGGTGAATTGCCTGAGAGTAACCAGTCAACTTCCAATGCAACTGAAACTACAGAATCAACTGAAAAGACCAGCGATGGAGATGAGACCGGGAAATCCACCGGTTATCAAGAAACGAAAAACGAAGAAGACGAGAAGGAAAAGTTACAGTCTTCTGGACTCTCATCTGAAGAGGAAAGTCAAAACAAAGAGTCCGAGAAAAAGGAAAAAGAAGAGTCTTCGTCCCAAGAAAAAAGTAAAGAGGAAGAACCTTCGAAAAAGGAGAAAGAAGAGTCCTCATCCCAAGAGGAAGAATCTGAGAAAAAGGAGAAAGAAGAGTCTGAGAATGAAAACAAAGAAACTGATAAAAATGAGAAAGTAGAGTCTTCGTCCCAAGAGGAGCATGAGAGCAAAGAAACCGAGAAAAGGGAGAAAGAAAAGTCCTCAGAATCTCAGCAAAAGCAAAACGCCAACAGTGAAAAGAACATTGAACAGGTGGTACCTACTGATTCTTCAAACACACAGGAGAAGAGCGAGGAACCAAAAACTGACGAAAGCAAGAGTGTATCTGGCAACGGGCAAATCAAATCAGATTCTGATATAAAGGAAACAGAGGATGACACTTCAAAAACAGAGTCGGAGAAAGTGGAAAACAACAAAAGTGGTGAAACAGAGAAGACGCAGAACGATCAAGAACATACCAAGTCCACTTCAGATAATAATGTTCCTCAGGATGTTAAGGATGTTCGAAGTGATCTGGACTCTCTTCCCAAGTCCAGTAATGGTTTAACTAACGACAAAGTCGCTGCTGAGTGATGTTCTTAACAAAAAATCGTCATGTACTGTATGCATATTCTATACTTATCATATCACGGGAATTAATTCCCAACTAGTAATACTGAGTTTTGAAACAAATGAATACATAACATACTCTCTTGTTCTGTCTCATTGTCTTACTATTATGAAGAAAGAATGCTTTTTTTTTTTATTGAGATTGAATCAAGAGATTTGAGGAAACATAGCTTTGATAACAACAAAACCAAGTCTTATTCTTATTTCCCAACAACTGAAAAGAGAGTGGAGTAGCAAATAGTTGACAAAGTTAAACAATCTTATTTCCCAACAAATGAAAGGAGATTGGAACAGCAAATAGTTGACAAAGTAAAAACAAAGACGATAGGCATTTAGCCATTCAAATGAGCCAAGAAGAAATTATTCTAAAGACGCAGGATTCAGTGCCCTTCGTTGTGCTTCACCTCAAACAGACCGTCTGGACCTGAGAACAGCAAAGTAGAATAAGTCACTTCAGAAACGAGGTGTGGAAAACGACCTCTAAAGGTTTTTATGAGAACCCATGATAAAAGATGCATTTTTGTTTGTCTAAACAGTATCATCTAAGCTGCAGAACACGAAATGCAAAACAGTAATACGAAAGATCGAAAAATGGGATAGGGATACATACCCCAAGGAAACTCCTTGTTGCGGATGTGCATATACGGATAGGCCTGTAAGAAGGAAACAAATGGAAAAATATAATGTTCAAGAAAGCTCGAGGCCAAAGCAGAATGAATGAGATAAGATAAGCTATATCAGAAAAGGCCAAAACGGCAGCTTTAGTAACAACTTCATCATTTGCAGTTTTACTGAAATCAAAGATGAAATTGTTATAAGAGAAGCATACAGGAGGGTCCTCGCCGTGATGATGGCCCTTGGATAAAACATAGACGGCTAGAGCAGTGCAACTAGCAATACCCAGATAAGTTATCTTCTCCCACTTGGCAGCTTCGTCTGTACAAAATTCAAAACACTTAGATGAATCAATACTGGCAATGGTGTACCAGGAAATAAAAATGACTCTTTCCTTTCAACATGGAACTACGCACAGAAATGTTGGAGATTTGATCCGAGAAAACGCTCCAGATCATCGGAAAAGATAAACTTGATTGAGTTTTAAAGGAAAGGAAATCAAATTATTATTTGAATAATCAATCTGCCGAATCAATTCAGAATTAACGAGTTAGGTATCTGAAACATGAGATTTGGTTTCAAAATTTTGAATCCGTGGGGAATCATATTGAATCTTAATATCAATTCAAAACTGAAGAATCAACAACAAATCAGACACAGATTAAGAGCTGAGACGAATCCAGAAAAATAATCGGGAACACCTCGAAACAGAAAACCTAGATCGTATTGAAAATGAGGGAAAAAAGAGAGAGGAGACGATTTACAAGCATCGTCGTGGCCGGCAGAAGAGGAAAAGCTTCGCTTATGAGCGACGGATGTCCTCGGAGCTGCGCGGATCGTTGCTCGGGAAAGAGCGGAACGTACAATCGCCGTCGCCATTCTCCGGAATCTTCTTCGTGGCGGTCTCTCTCTCTCTCGATCGAAGTGTCTGACTCTCAGGGAAGAGATGTGAACAAAGGTTATGTGACTCACAAATCAGACATCGCTGATTCTTAAGTTCTTAACCCAATATGATATTTTATAAATGGGCCTTAGTTAGTGGGTATTTGAGCCCATCATTGCTTTGATCCTTTCATTTGAAAAAACAAAATTCTTCTGAAAACGAATTTTAAGAAATAGAATAACATAACATAATTTGATGTGATTGTTTTTTTTTTACTTCTCACAAGTTCAAAATTTGTTTCTGAAGAGGAAACTGATCAGCATAAAGCTCAAAATTTTATAGAACCAGAAAGAAAGAAAACAAAGAGAGAACAATCATCATCATCAGTTTTCGGAGTCTTGATTGCCACCACCGCCACCGTCGCCAGAGGCCGCAAAGAAAAGAGCTCCGGCACCAGAACCACCGTGAGAATGTTCGATGACGACATGATCAGATAACTCATCACCAAGCATTTCCCAAACACTGCTATGGAGATAGTTTCTAAAGACCCTGTAATGATCATACAATCCTCCTTCAACTATCACAATGCTCATCTTCTTCTCTAACCTTCCCAGCTTCTTTATCATCCCAACTATTCCTGCTCCCGCCACACGAGCCGCTCGTTCCGCGACTACATCGCATACTTCAACCACGACTTCTCTCGCCGCAAGAGTTGAATCCATGATCTTCACGTTACATTATATATACATACGTACATGTGATGTGAGTGATAAAAGTTCACACAAGAATCAAGATTCAAGATTTTCCCTTTAATTCAAGTAAAAAGACAGTGAAAGTTTCTAACTTATGAAACATACCCCGAAAACTTCCTTGAGCTTTTTGTTTACGATCTCACGATCATCGGATATGTCTTGATGCATCGCAGCCATATCTGGCGACCTGAAACACGCCCAAGAAGCCGCAGTATTGTCCTTCTGATCTATAGTTTCAACATCATAATCTAAAACAATATAGTATAGCTACCATAAAATGTAAGGAATTGTGAGTTTTGGAGGCAATGTATCTCCAAAGAGAGCCGATTCTTCAGACATTCTTAGTAACACTCTTCTCACTATCTCCCCTAAGTATCCTCCAGACACCATCTTCTCAAACACCTTAAAACAGAGGAAACCCAAAATTCTAAAAAAACACAAAACATTGATTAATCATAATTAACTTGATATGTGTTCTTACTCTGCTTCCAGGATTCAAGCTTTCCGCGTCAAGAGCAGCATCAAATTCAGTTACAGGAAGATGACACGATCTAAAGTCTGCCCACTCTGTGCTAATAACCTACAGTCTTACCATGTCAAGTTACTTGATCATATAACTTTATGAAAGCTCTATGATCTTGGATCAATGTGTTCAAAAGTCTCTTTAACATACAATCTCTTGTGCCTGAGGTATGGCTGATTTCAATCTCGAAACCTCATGAGCTTGTTCGATGTAAGCAGCGTTAGTTCCCATACCTAAAGTGACTGCAGCCACAGTGTCTTTGTGATAGTACCTTCCTCCAGCCAACTCTCCAACTGTATCATCCACCTAATCAATTCATTACAGAGTTTCACATCATATCATATCGATTAAACAAAATAACCTAAGAGAATTTGATCGTCTTTAGACCAATTACCAGCGCCGTGTTCATCCGAATTTTCAGACCGTGTCTCTCCAATGATTCATTCATATCATTGACATACTCCTTCAAAACCGTATCATCATCATCATTCGCTAAACTCTTCCTTTGTATTGCCGAGATTGATGAACCAGATCCAATTTGCTGGACAGTGCGTGTCAGCGTAAACCCGAGCTTCTTCACTTCCTCTGTTTCTTTTCCTGGATTCATCCCAAGAAATTTGACTAGCTCCAAGGATATATAATCACACAACTCCTGAAACGCACAAAGACTTCAGCTTCAAGTGACCATAACGTGTAATCCAAGAAACCGTGTGTCTAACAATATACCTTGAAAGAACCGTTTAAAACATCTTCAGGGATCGAAATCTCTTGCTTTTGAACATCGGAGATCGGTTCTTCGTTACCTCCTAATGTCCCACGTAACAGTAGGATTTCCTTGCCTCGCAAGTTAACTCCATAGTGAACACCCTTCTCATCTCTACAGGTATAATTAACACCGTTGATTAAACGGCAATGTAGTACTAGTACCCTCTGAACGAAACAGAGGATCTGAGATTTTAGGTTTTTTTTACCCGGAAGGGAGAGAACCGGCGAATGAAACGAGCATACTGAGGGAACCGCGATTCTCTTCGGCGGCGGCGGAAGCGGCGGCGAGAGAGGTGGTCATCTCGGCGACGAAAGCGTCCGCCACCGCCCAGAGCTTGGACACAGGTGTGGCGCATTCTCTAGCGAATTTCATCAAAATCCTTTGTGTATGTTTCCGCTGCAGCTCCTTCCTCCGCATCCACCGACCAATTATCACAGCAGCTGCAACCGCCGTAGCCGTTGCAGCCGTCACAGCCACCACCACCTCTTTTCTTGTCATTTTCTTTTTGGAGTTTTTTTTTTTTTTCTCGTTTTCCGACCAACACAGTAACCATCCCACGAAGATAAGATGCATTCTCTCTTGTCACCATGTTTTGCGAATCATCATGTTTGAATCATTCAACTCTTTTTTTTTTTTCGGGTAATCAATATGGAAATATTTTTTCTTTGGTTGGATTTGATTTCGGTTTGTATAGTCCGGTTGGAGTTGGCCTTATTGTAATTTTCCTTCCGTTAAAATGCCCGGCCGCTTGATTTGAAGTCAAAATGTAATATCCTTCAATACAATTGAAATAAATCAACCCTAACCAAATAGATTAAGCTTAAATGACTTAATCAAGCATTAAATTTCTAACCCTCGGGGTCCAGATCATTTCCATTTTCAATGGAACGCCACTCGGTTATAACAAAAAATGATATAGATCATAGCAGACATTTTTAATGTGTGTGAAAATAGCTGGTATTAAGTATTTCTATAAACGTAACTGGTATTTATACAGGTATATTTATATTAAGTATTATTAACATATGAGAAAGTATATTTTGAAACCAATTTAGAAAAAAAGAATCAATGGCCAAATCACTTAACTGAAACGAAGATACAAAATAAATTTTAAAAGTTTTATTGAAATGTGAATACATTGTCATAAAAACCAAAACGTCCATATGTTATTCGAGTGGTATGATTTTGAGTTTTTGACCATGCGCTTTAATGTATGGTTTCACATTTAATTATGTTATTACTTATATGATCATTAGGTATAGACTGTATAGTGATGCATAGAGCCGGATTCACATTATACTGAGTCCAACCATTTGGAAAACTCCCACATTTTCAAGTCACTTATTATATTCCGAATATATTCCCCAATTTCCAACGTATTACGTAGTTTTGTTATTATTTCAAAAGGGAATGTGATTGGCTACTTTGGAAGGTCATATATTATAGACCGAGTTGTCATGCTATGTGGATGTCGACTTTTGGACTGTATATAAGCAGATGATAATGTAATTATATTGTGTTTCGTGATTAGTGATTAGGGGGGCCTAACTATAAAATGTTCTGCATTTAAAAGCAACTGGAGTCCCATAAAACATGTGATTATTTCTTATAGTTTCACACCACAACGGTCTACTCCTATTTTTCTGTTTAATTAGTTGGATTCATAGTTACCCAAATTTTAATTTTGCGGCACCAAAACGATAAAAAGTTTACTGACCATTTTGAGTATATCGCCAATTTATTTCAAATCTGATTTAAAAAAAAAATTCTCAAAACTGTTATAATCAGCTGCATAATAAATGCAGAAAATAAAATAACTAATTAGCCTATAATTATAGGAACGCATGTTGACAAAAAGAAAATTGGCTATAAATCTTGGTACCCAAAAATTGCAGCAAACTGGTCACCGGAAAAAAAAATCTGTAGACAACAAAATTTGTCTGTTTTCCGTCATATACTCAAGTTAGATCACCAAATATATCTCCACTTTGTAACTAGATGTTGCGATGATATATATTAGATAATACTTTTTCTATATACATTAGTTGCATTTGTGTATTTGGTAACCAGTTCCACAACAGATCAAGCCCATCTTGTGAGTGTTGGGGTCAACACAAATTCTAGTGAGAAGGAAAGAAGAAAAGGCGTTGAGATATATGAGAATCGATCAACCAATAAAACAAATTAGTTCAAATGTACAAATAAACTTCGTTAATATTCTCTACTAGTGCAACCAATTGATGCTGTAAATGGAAGATTTTATTCTTGGATCATCACAAATTGGTTGGAAGGTTTTAGTTTTAGATCGACAAAAGTAAACACTAGAACATAATCTATATACACATATTTACATATATATTGTAGTATAAATGATGTCATGGTTACCGCTTGGTAGTGCGATCTGGAACAAGATATGCCGTCCAAGAAAATCAAATACCAATCAGGACAAATCTCGTGGCGCGTCATGTTCTAGTTTAATTAATTTTGCTTATCATATAATTATAAATTTACTTATATAATAAGATTGGTAAGAGTACATCGTCATTATGTTGAGCCACTCTTTCCACTTTCGGATTATATCACTGTTGAGTGTTGATATAAAAACATTTGCTACTCCAAATCATTGCAGTTGACAAACAGAATATTTTTATTTTGTTAGAAATGTTAAAACCAAATACTATGTTTACAGTAAATAAAAAAAAATCTTTCCATTTGATTATATATAGTTTGGCTACATGACTAAATATAGTATATACATACAGTTTTATACATTACCGTTGGATTATTTGGACCCAAGAAAGCAGCGTTATACTGTACTTGGTTTCACATTAATTTGACCTCGATCAATGATACTGTAACCAAAAATATAGCACTAAAATGGAATATATCGCACGTTTTTAAATTCCATTATATATGTATTTAACAATTTATTAACCCGGTTCTTACGGAATTTGCCCCTTAATTATTTCCTTATCTCTTTTTTGTTAAAGAATTATTTCCTTATCTCTTTATTCCTTTTTTTTTACTTTTTCTTCCGAAATAAATTAATAATTTTCATCCAAAGTTGAGAGAAAATTGAATCAAAATAGTTGTTTTAAATTTTTAATCGAAGTACGACCACGATCTAATAACATTCATAAGTTTACCAAGAATTGACATCATTTCATCTGAGATCGAACCTTCTTCCTTATCATGAGGATAACTGCGTAGATTAAAACAAACAAAGTTCCTATCTGCTTGAGTAGTCTCTATTATGAACGTTAAAAATGATTAAACCCTTTCTCAAAAAAAAAGCGATAAAAAAATGGTTGTGTTGGTCTCAAGTGAGAGAGAGTTATCACAAATGACGAACGGAAAAAAATAAATAAATAGGTGAGCTGTCACGTCAAGGATGGATCAAACGTTTGGGTTTTGACAGCGACCCAGAGTCCGTGATACACGTGAAGGATACAGTAAAAAAATTAATGTTTTGAATCATACAAACTATAAAGAGTTATGTATTCTAAAATGATTTGTAGGAAGAATTTCTTAAATTTTCAGAACTCTGTCTGATTTTTTTTTTTCATTTTAAGTTGTGGTATGTCTGGAACACAGTACTAATAGTTTAAGATATTACTATAACACAAAAATGTAACGGCAAAACAAAAATAACACAAAGAATGTCTTTTATTATTTCCAAAGCAAATTCATATGTTTGTCGAATTGAACTTAAACTCTAGAAAGTTCAGGATAATTTATGTCCATCAAATAATGGATTTTCACAGACGGCTCAATCAATCATCGAAGTGTACGATGTTACTAATGTTACTAGGATTAATTTTACGGAAAGTTTATGAAGATGTGTGTTTAGATGGTTTATTAATTAGTTAAAAAAAAGAAAGGAATTGAGATTTTATAATCCGCCAAGAGCTCAACTAATCGATCGATTATCCACTTTCCTAATTTACGATGTGTCCTATGATGATCATCCTCTTCTTTCCTATTATGGAAAGAAATTCTTGATCGTCCTTTCGCATTTCTTAACTTTTTTTGTTTTGCTTGATTTTCCAGTTGTAGTTACACCCTCTTTTATTAAAAAATTAATAATTTTTTGGTTTAACTTAAAATCAATTAGTAATGACTGACTAATATTCTGCTTCGATATATGTAAGATTTTCAAAATCAACAAATTTTCACATGTTCGTTGCTAATAATAACAAAGAAGCGTTTTAGTTTGCTTTGGGTTTTTAGATATGGAAAATTAGTGCAAATATTGGCTGTGAATGAGATACGCATTTCCAAAAAAAAAAATTTGGCTGTAGATGTTTAAATTTTTTTGAAAAGCTGGTCGATTAAATTTAAAATTCTCTAGAAAACTGTAAAGCAGATATATTAACTATTAAGAATTAAACAAAATGACTAATATTATTTTCCTCAGGTAAATTACGAATATTATTATTTTGAAACAATGGATGTAGATAGCTACTTCATCCATATCCCAGTTGACTTGAACAAATATTGTCTCGTAATACTTTTTTTTCTCTCTTTAAGATAACTTCCTAATGTTTTTCCCCCTAACGCTATAAAAGATAACTTTCTCTTTTGTATATTTCAAGATTGCTGAATCGTCCGAAAAAACACACTAACACAAACTTGAGTAATTGGTAAGTTAAAAAACATGCAAAAGAGTAAAATCAACATTGACTAGCAACTACCAAAATAAAAGTGCTTTACATTATTACAAATTCATATATCAAAATATAAAAAAGGGGAGAAAAAAAGGAAGCCAGATAGAGGCGGAAAAATTCCAACCCAAAACCATGAAGCTGTCCTATGATCGATACGTATGAGGGGAGTGATTCTTCACATTCAATCTTGCGCATAGATAACAAATGAAGAAAGTCTCCAATCAAACTTATCAATAAAGAAAAACATTCTTCATGGCAAAAACCACTTATGATCCTTCAGAGAAATCGTCAATAAGCATGAGATTTAAAACAATCACATGAACTTCGATAAATCAGACCTCAAGCTCTTTACAACATCAATGAGTGTCATGTCGAAATCACTCTCCTTCTGCAAATAAACATTAAGCGATCTTACTTACTCTATAATTAAGAACAAGTTCTTCCTATACATATGTGTGTGCATACCTTAGCTATAATGGTGATATCAAGAGTTGGTCCAAAGGGAAAAACACTTGAGTTAGTTATTGAGAAACGAAATTTCTCAATCGCGGCCATAATCTTGGTAATATGACCATTATGCCTCTCGCAAAGGATCTTGATTAGAACATCTTTATCCGAGAATCTTACTTCGATCTCTGGAAGTTCCAAGCCCGAGGAGCCGTCTTCACAGCAAGAAGACGAAGCTGTTAGATTACTATCGTCCAAAATCAGCTTAGACTTCTTCACAAGAACCATTGATTCCAATCTTCTTTCCTTCTTCTGTTCCTCAAACTCTCCCACTCGTTCTTGTAGATACTTTATATGCTTTAATGCATCTCCCAACACAGAGGCCTTGTCCATCTATACACACGAGTAAAACAAACAAAAATCAACAGAAATGTTCTTTTTGGATAAATTGAGAAGGGATATTTGTTGTGGTATATTTACCTTTTTCAGGCCGGGAACTAGAGCGGAAAGAGCAACAAATCTTTGAGTAAGCTTCTCTCTGCGTTTTCTTTCGGCGATTATGTGATCTTGAGCATTGGATTGGCTTCTATAGAAAGGTTGAGCCCTCTTGGTCCCTTTACGATTAATCGACTCATTCAGCCGCTGTGGTGGCACTTCAGCCTCTACTTTGGGGCTAAATATTGACTTTAGATATGTGGAAGAGTACTCATCCACAACATTTGGAGAAGCATTTCCGAAAGAGAGAATTCTTGAGGAAGGCTGATGATGAAGATGAGGAGAAGAAGAAGGTAGTGGTGGTGGCATTTTTGGTAATATGTAAGTTGTCTTGAGGATCTTTGACGATTTCATTTCGATCAAATCATCATAAGAAGGATCATTTGTGGTGGTCTCAAGATCTGAGAAATAGTGTGGAAGAGTGTATTGAGCTTCATGGACCTCTCCCATTATTGAGTTCATGTGATAACTTTCTTCTACTTCCTATATCATCACACACACACACACACAAAAACAAAGAAAGAGAAAGGTAGTATCAAATGACAACATACAATACTAATTGAGATCAAAATATATGCGTGTGTAGACCTGCTCAGAAAACCCGCTTACACTCATTGTTTTTGCTTCTTCTAGGAATCAAGATCTGGAAATGGCAAAATACAGCAATAAGATTCAAGATCTGGAAATGGCAAAGTACAGCAATAAGAACGTTAATGATTACCAAAAAAAAATCTGAGTAAACAAGTAGATCTTTGGGTTGTTCAAATACATGATTTGACATTTAAAAATCCAAGATCAAGAAACATTAACAAGTGGTGTCATTTACTATTCTTGAATAGTAAAGAAACGAGCGAGATATTAGTTGATGTAGCCCTAGAAAACTGGAAAAGGTTATATCAAAAAGAAACAAAATGGAGAATGTTGAAATTGAAATTGATATTGAAATTGAAAGTCACCTTCTTCTTGGAAGTGGAAAGAGAGAAAGAGAGAGAAAGAATTAGAGAGAGAGAGAGAGATATTGAGATTTGTGTGAGAATGCAAATATGTACAGGCACACGAATATGGACTAATTTGCACGTGTGAAAGGCAGTAATTCTACTATATAAAAGATAGCCCCTCATTAATATTCCATTCCTCCCATTTTTCGGGTGTCAAAAAGAAAAACTAGGTGTGAATGGTAAACATGAAAATAAATAAGTGGAAATAAAGTAAAGATATAGAGAGGAAAAAAAAATGAGAGTAAAAGAGAGGAAAGTAAATAAATTTAAAATATTTGACTTGTTTATTTTTTTTGTTTTGCTCCTTCCATCTCATAAAGTAAAAAAATGAGAGTAAAAGAGAGGAGTAAAAGTTTTTCTTTTTGTAAAGAAAATACAAAAACTTTAGAGTAAAGTGGAGTAAATTTTTTTTCTTCTTTTTTCACCTGATTGGAAACAAAGTAGAGTACATGAGAGTAAAACATATTTTACTCCATCACATTCACGCTAACTCAACCAAACGATCAGACCCCCCTAATCGCAGATAATATCATAATACATATACGACCTTTTTTTCAAGATTCAAATATTACCTATATCACCCTCAACAACAAAGGTATCAAATATCATTTAATAGTGATATACACAATGGGTATTTTGTTTCAGCTATTGCAACTATTTAGGAACATGAACGATATTTGTCGTGTTAAAAAATATATGAAATACACAAATTAAATTAACTAATGAGTAACCAAAAAATAAGAAAAATATACATCGAAGATCTAACCAATGCAACCTCCTCAATTTATAAATATTAAATAAAAGCAACTACATTTTATCTAAGAGAATGAACCTACCCAAAAAAAGGGAAGTCATTAGAGCCTTCGTGATTAATTTTCAAACATTTCTTATTATAAGAGAAAGTAGACAGAAGAGGACCAATAAACACAACATTATCCCAAAGCTAATGGTGGGTCCTATTGAAAATACTATACAAGCCAGTATTTATTAATTTCTCCCATTGTTGTGTAAAACTAAATGTGGCACCAACCAAAGATCCCATATGATTTCATGGCATTTTTAATGGTATTGGTTAGGCTATTGTTACACTATATAAAAATTCCATTAATGTTTTTCAAATAAAAAGTGAGAGGAATATTTTTGAATAATTAAGGGTGTAACAGGTCATTATCTAAAGAAATATGTTAAATAAATGGAATAAATGAGACTGAAATATGGGATAACGAATGAAGTTGGATAAATCTTTGAAGTAAATAGTTGTAAACTTGTAATAGCAATAGAGACGGACACATGTGGACAGTTTCTTGGGGCTCTTGTGTCTTGTGCAAACGTGCGAATCTTAATATAGTAAAAAACAAAAAAGGTTAGATATATAAAATAATCGGACGTGTTGAATTTCATATAAATGCTAAGCTATGGTACAAAAAGCACGTGGCTATTAATGATCTAAGAATAGAAATAAATGCCACTTCACTTACAGCTAATCTCTCTCATTTCCTTCATTACTGAGCCCCATGATAGAAGCATCTTGGCTCCTGCAAACAAAATTTAGTATTTACTTTTACAGTAGATTTAAATATAATATTGGTAATATTCCTGTCCAAAAGCTCCAACTACATAAACGTATACATGATTAGGGTATAATTTTAAAATCTTAGCTCATTTCCAAGATCTAAATACTAAATTAGTTTTAATATTTATATAGTTTCATGGATCCGTATCATTGCTTAAAGTGAGAGCATAGTTTTTTTTTTTTTAGTCAAACCCTAGAATGGAAAAAAAAAAGAAACAGATACAGACAAATGGGTAATTGATAAATATACAACCAAACAGAGAAACCTTATTATAAGCTTTTTGGCGTATGTCATATAAGAAATCCTTTAGTGAGGCTTGGATTTTTTTTTTTTTTTTTTTTTAATTTCCTCTGCCATTATGTGTTGGTGGGTGAATTTTGCTCCTATAATTAATGGATTTGCTGTAGATTTGCTCTGGATCTAATAGCACTGTTTCATCCTAGTTTTATTTGACCTAACAATTTTGAAATAAATTAGCCAAACGAAGTCTTCAGAACACAGGTTAATTAGATTGAAACCATAATAGGCTGCTAATGGTTTACATTTAAATTTGATCCCTAGAACAGAGCTAGAAATAAGAAAATGGCATAGCACTCGCTGAGACATAGAAAATGACTATGAGGAAATACAATAACTTGTATGATTGTATCATGAATCTTAAACCCACAACTCCACAAGTTTTTCTTCTTTATTCACTTTTTGTATTGATCTCATCACTTTACCTGGTTCATCACAAAGACCAACACTTGCAACAAGATTTGGCAATTACTAATCCAGATATAACCATGAGCCCTGCAAGAGCCTAAGATTGAATTTTCTACATGACATTAATCGGATGGCTCGTATGTCTTTGTTTCATTCATATATAGCACACAAATCAACCAGACAATAATAGTGATCTACCTAAAATCACAACACTCTTCAACTTCCTCAAGAATATTCTACCCCAATTTGAGCATGTCTTGTGTGAAGAGTCAACGTTAGCACATCACTAGACAAATTAAGAAAGATCACAAAATGAGTTTAAAAGGACTAACCAAAACGACATTCGAACATCAGTACAGCTTATTTTGTATTTCTGCTTTTCTGGTACTTGAAATCATACTGTCTCGTGCCGACAATAACACAAACCTCCCTCCCATCTGCAATAGATAGCAGAACTTTGCAATAAGAAAATCAAAAATACAAAAAATCTCGCAGGTGAAAATAAGGTTTAACCAGTTTTTCTTACAAGCGACTTAAGCACCAATATTGTGCCCATTCGAGTCGAGGAAGAGCTAATAGCAGTAAAAAAAGATGAACCTCGCAAGCCATAAAGGCATTGATCTTGGGGCAGTGACAACTTCTTCCTCTATTTGATTAAATTCTATTGATATAGGTAATGCAAGTGAATTCAAGCAGCATTGGTGGGCCTTTTGGGCCATGTGGGTAATTAATTAACAACTAATTTTTTGCTTGTACACTTTAATATTCGGTTAAAGAATCAAACTTTTGAAATTTCCCCCGAGAAAATTTACTAGGGAAGTGCGACTGATCAGAAAACAGAAAATTACAATAAATGATTAATGGGTCAGCTTCTGTTTCTTCTCCTTTCTCACTCTTTCTCGCGTATTCTCTTCTTCTATCAACCGTAGTTGTTCCGCGTCTTCTTTCTTCGCAAGTTTCTCGCTGTATCAATCAAACAAACAAACAAACAAACATGACCATTGTACTTTGCTTGTAACGGAAGTTAATAGAAAACATGTAAATACATAGGTATGGAGTGTACCTTCGTTTCTCTTCCTTGATGATATCTTCAAAGTTGGCTTCCATGCCTCTATCATCATAATCTTCCAAATCACGCCCAGCATAACGATCAGTCTTGCACATCTTTCTAATCATTCGCAACGCCGACTCATCTTCTTCCGACATTTTCTTCTGCTTCTTCTTCTTTGTCTTCAGTTGTTGAGGTTTCTTCAATGGTGGTTTGCTAATCACCCGAGGAGGCAATGGTTGTCTTGGAACCATTCGAGAACTTGTGAGTTCTTGAGATGCCTTCCTCTGTTCTACCCTTTGTTGTTTAGGATCAGATGTCAATGTCTTTGGCTTTGGCTTTGGCTTTGATGAGGAAAGTGGCCTCTGATTTAGATTTATTCTATGATCCTTTGGTTTTGTAGCAGGAACTGGTCTTGAACGCATTTGGCTGCGTGAAGCATCGGGTCTCGGATGATCCATTTGGTTTTTCCAAAAACTTGGTCTAGAATTAGGAACAGGGTCGTTACGAGGAGGTGGTTCCTTTAGTGAAACAGGAAGCTCAGCATCATCAGATAAAAGGAATGAGTAGTCTCTTGAATCCTTAATTATCTCAGCTTTTCTTTTCTTCTGCTACAAGGCAAGGCAAGAAACACACACAAAAAAAGGGCACAACTTAGCAAAATGTAAAACCAACACAGAGTTTTCTGGTTCAGGCAAAAGATCGCTGAAGTTTACCTCATTCGCATTTTTAGTCGCTGGACCAGAACCTTTCTTCTGCACGCATGACACAAGCAATTTTATCAGCATGATGAAAAGGCTGAACAAAAAAGTTGCGATGTCAATTTTGAAAAAAAAAGGATCCGAGACTTACTGTTTGGATTGAGTTCAACATTTTAGCTGCCAAAAGCTCGTTTTTAAACAGCGATTTGCTTTCTTGTAATACTCGATGAGCAATAACAGGCTGAGAAGGACCAAAGAAGGAACCAAAGCTGCACACAACAAAGATTAAGAAGAGCAGAGTTAGAATTTCACATTGGTGAAATTAACAAACAAACAAAAAAAAAAAACCAAGAAATACTACTTACTCGTTAAACGGAAGTTTTCTTTTCTCTTCTGAGTTTGGAGCAAGAGCGTTTCCGTCTTGCGTCTTCTTCCTGATCGATTCTTTTATTCGTTGCGAAATTCAAGAAACTCTGATTCAAGATGTTCCATATTTTGTGGAAGATAGTAAGTGCCTGCAAGCCATTAATTAGGGTTTCTGCGTCGCATCAACAACTAGACAAATCGACACAATAACCAATTACGGAGTAATATATAAAGGTGAAGTTTCTACGACTAGGAGACGTGCAAAACAATTAATAAAACGGGGGAAAAAATCAATTAGTTAGTCAAATCTCTTTACTTGATAACAATGAAATTGACACAAACCTTGAAGAAAAGTGAAGTAGCACTCGACGAAAGATGATTTACTTTGAGAAACGAAGGATGCGAGAGCTCGTTTCTGTCTCAGAAGAAATCGCAGAATCTGAGAGAGTAAGAAAATACAAAAATACTGCGAAGCTTTTATAGGCAAAAATATTTGGGTTTCCAATTTCCAACGTCGGTTCTAACTTTCGAACTGTTATCTTTCCTTTTTTTCCCCCTTGTAAAATTGACTTTTATTTCTTTCATGTCAAACAATAACTGATATTTTTTTTCTTTCTTTTTACGCCAATCTGGTCCTGGTATCATTTTTATATCTAAAAATAAAAGTTTGTATGATTAATTCCAATAAATATAAGAGTAATGACAATAGATGATAATCAAATTACACATGTTCATATTCATATCCACCACACATGAATGTTCTCGTTTCCTTGAGACCATTTCATATCAAGTTCTCTACTCTCGGCAGAGATATACGACAAAAACACCAAGTCTCATTTATTCTTAAGTACTATCTTCTTCTTCTTCTTCTTTTTTTTTTTTTTTTTTATTTATTTCCCGACAGGATCATAGTTTTCTAAAAGATAGGACCAGCAGCGAGAATCTCCTCCGTAAGTTTACCATCCACGCCAATCTTATGATTAGCAAAAGTCTCGAAGTTCTTCTTGAACAAACCTCCCAGTTTCAACAGAGTTTCCTTATGTGCTTTCTTATCAGACCACTGCATTTTCATGAAGGAAGAACCCAAATCAGCAAAAATGGTTCATCATCCATCAGTTGAGAGAGAGAGAGAGAGAGAGTGAGAGATTTTTCAGACACTAACCGAGTTTACGGGATCCAAGATCTCTGAAGGTATCCCTTCGATCTCAGTTGGGATTTCAAACCCAAAGATTTCGGTTTTCTTGAAGTTCGACTTCAACAGGCTCCCCGAATGGATTGCATCGATGATCTTCCTAGTATATGCCAGCTTGATTCTGTTTCCAACACCATAACTGCAAAAAGGCAAAACGTTACAGGACATGTTTATAACCTACCAACACGTGCAACAAGGCAACTTTTTTCTTGTATTGGTTTCCATTAACCGGACATACCTGCCACCGGACCAACCAGTGTTGACGAGCCATCCAGTAGCACCTTGTGTCTTCATCTTCTCAGCTAACATAGCTGCGTACTTTGTAGGATGCAACATTATGAAAGCTGCACCAAAACAAGCTGAGAATGTTGCTGTTGGCTCCTTGATGCCGTCCTCTGTGCCAGCAACCTATATACATGTTCACATCTTTGGTTAACGTTTTAAAGTTTACGGAGACCGATCCCAAAAGAGAAATAATGACTTTGTATGGGACATACCAGAGCAGTGTAACCACTAATGAAGTGGTACATGGTTTGTGCCAGATTCAGCTTGCTCACAGGTGGGAGAACACCAAAGGCATCACAGGCCAGAAGTATCACATTCTTCGGGTGTGGACCAACACAAGGTATTTTCGCATTCGGAATGAACTCAATCGGGTACGCAGCACGTGTGTTCTCTGCAACCAAGAGGAATCGAAGATGATCATTCTGTTAATTGCAAGGAAGAAGAATAACAAAAGACCAACACTTGTTTTACCTGTAACAGATTTATCAGCATAATCCACTTCTCTGGTGTGCTCGTCAAACACAACATTTTCCAAAACTGCAACGAGATAAGAAGCCTAATGTTATCTCACTGATTTGACTTTCGTTCTCAAAAGGGTTCTTAACTACTGTTCTTTTACCTGTTCCAAACTTGATGGCGTTCCAGATATCAGGCTCCTTCTCCCTTGAAAGATCAACGCACTTAGCATAGCACCCACCCTCAATGTTCGAAACACCAGTCTCTGTCCAACAATGCTCATCATCTCCAATCAGATACCTGTTGTGGTCAGTAGACAGCGTCGTCTTCCCGGTACCTGAAATCAACAATCATAGGAAAAAAAAAAAAACAACCACCATCAATCTCAATTCACATGCTCATTACAGCAGAGAAGCAAGCAATTTTTCAAGTTGTCAATTCAGGGGTAGTTGTGTAGCATCATTTGACTTATCTTTCCCTTCATCATCACCAAAATGCTTTGGTGATGACATAACTATACCTGAAAGTCCAAAGAAGAGAGCAACGTCTCCATCTTTGCCCATATTGCATCCAGAATGAAGGGAGAGAATGCGACGCTTAGGCATAAGGTAATGCATCACACTGAAAGACCCTTCTTCATTTCCCCGGCATACTGAGTGCCGAGTATAACCATTTCCCTCCTACTAAGATTTAAGTCTACGCTAGTGGAAGATGTCATGTAATGAGTGTAACGGTTACACGGAAACTGCCCAGCATTGTATATAGTGAAGTCCGGAGTACCGAAGCTCTCAAGCTCCTCCGGAGTCGGTCGAATACACCTGCCACCCTCACCCGTTATCGATTTTCTTTGCTAATAATTTTCATCATTTCTTTGTTTATTCACCCAAAACCCAGAGGGACAATGATGTTTTGATATTTTGACAGAACATTTTAAGGAGACTAATCTGGGAAATGGTAGAATGAAGTGATGGTTTTACTTACATGTTGTGCATAAACAGTGAATGATAAGCTCTAGCTGAGACAATCCTGACTTTGATTCTGTTCTCCGGATCCCAGTTCAAGAACTGATCATTGACAAAGACCTAAAACCCCAACAAGAAGAGCAAATTCATTAACTTAAGATCAAAATTCTAAAGGCTACATCAATACACTCAGAACACTGAATCGAGTTTCAAATCTGTACCTTTTCCAAGGAATTCAAGTAATCAACCGCTCTTTCTCTGTTCACCATGAAGGCATGTTCATCCATTTCGATATTCGGCGAACCCCTAAAATCAAAATTAAAACCAAAATCAATAAAAAAAAACGAAAACAGAGGATATATAAACCAAAAATTCCACCGATCAAAAGAGAAAATCGAGATCGGATACTCACTTTCCCCACCACAGCTCGTCCTCTGTAGTCTCATCTCTAACGACACGCTTATCCCTCGGAGCTCGACCAGTCTTCGCACCCGAAAGCGTCGCCAACGCTCCATTGGAAGTGATAAACGAACCTTTCTCATACTTGATAGCCTGTTCATATAGCTCTACAGAAAGAAATCGGAAACCATCTATCAATTCATCGGGAAAACTTCCGTTGATAAAATCGGATCGGATTTAGGGATTTTTTCACCTGCAGGAGATAGGTTGTAGAGGACGTGGGTAAACTTCAAGGAGCTATCACTGACGGCGCCTAATGCCGGAGAAAAGATAGAGTGATGCTGGCCGTGTGCGTACGCCGGAGTAGTTGATCCGTCGGCCTTCTTCTCCGCCGGGTGTCCTCTCACCACCTTCGGTCCCGATTCTCTCGTCAACGACGCCAATGATGCACTGTTTCACCCATCAAAAATTAATTCCACGTGTCACTTTATACCACGTGTCACGTTCATTAACTATTTTCCGTAATTGTCACTATGGCGCATTTAACTCTCTTTGAATTACTAATCTTTCTTTGTTGTCATCTCTTTGAATTGCTAATCAAAGTTGAAAAATTTCAAGTTTGTGCTTCACGTTATAAATTTTAGTAAAATAAAATATATAGAAAATCTAGCTAAAAGACAATTCCAAGAAAAAATTAAACAAAACTCCTGGTATTTGTTCTTCTTTATTATGAAAACGATCGACACGGAAACGCAATATCTTCCTTAATTCGCTCAAAAATATTTTATACAAAGGTTTGTGAAAAAAAACAGAACATATTTTTTTTTTTACGGAAAAACAGAACATTATAAAGATTATTTAACGTATAAACAAATCTGAATAAGAATAAATATAAGTTATATAATTGGACCTGATGGACTGAAGCTGAACTTTCTGGCGCTCCTCCTCCGAAACGGCGGCGAAAGCGGCGCCGCCGCTTTGGTTGATAGGTGTGGTCGGAGCAGAACGTTTCTTCTGCAACGAGTGAAGCTCATCGATCGTCGTCGCCTTCACCGTTGGACCACTGTCGTCGTGGCATATTCCGTTACCCCTCTTCGCTCCCGTCGTTATCTTTGGCATCGCTGGCCCTTTCGGGAAGCTAAATCCTCCGTCACCGTTAGCATTTCCGTTACCGGCAGACATCTTTTCACGTTTCCTGCAACCACACAAAAAATAAATACACTCCAAAATTACACTCGTGGCTATATTTAATCAATTTAAACTGAGATTAAAAACACCTTCGACGTTAGTTATTACCGGGGGAAGAGAGATCACGAACAAGATCGGACTAAGAAAGATAAAAGAGATTAACTATGATCGGAGGAGAAGATCATTTAAGAGAAGTGGACGAGAAAATGATGGGAAGTGAAGAGAAGCGAAAGTGGGCTTTTAAAGGTTAGATTTTTTAAACCATGGTTCGAATGTAACCGTGAGTGATGGTTAAGAGAGTTAACTCTAGTTAAGATCTATCCTAGCCTAGGAGGAGCCCATTTTTATTTTTATTCCTCACTTAACATCATAACCGCTGGTCTGATAAAGATGACTATACCATTTATTTTGGGTCCCACGCGATAATGTAAGATAATTTTTTTCCTTTTTGGTGGTATACTTTTTTTTTGTAAGTATTTATGTGAAATTCTACGTGATTTTTGTTTGAAAAAAAAAACTCGATCGCTCTGCCCCTGCTAGTCTGGTACACCTACGGTCGTAACTCGTAATCCACGTAGTTGGTATGAAATTCAACTTTGTTTTTGGAAATGGACGATAAGATTTGACTTTTTAACTTATACTAAACCAAATTAAAATATTTATCTAGTTCAGATTTGAAATAAGCCCTTAAGAAAATCTAAAATAGTGTGATAAGCGAGCAACTTGCGGTTAAATTCAAGTTGTTTAGAAAAGAATTCGGTAAGTTGCATAATGGTAAACGATTTTACGATTTCATAGTTTGGTCGATTATATTACTTTTGCAAGTGTCAGTTACATCAAGTTGTTGTACGATTTTAAAAGTTAAACACTATATGAAATAGTTTTTTTTAATCATTATAGGTAAGTTAAACACTTATATCTTATCAATTGGACCTTCATTTTGTTCACCTTATCATCATTTTTTTTTTTGTTCGTAATATTTTGCGGCAGATTTATGTAACGTGAATTTGTTTTGAACAATTTATGTAACGTGAATTGACTTTAGAATAAGACAAAAACACAGGTAACTTGAAGATTTGGGCTCAATAAAACTCTCGATTAATTTTTGTTGAATCCCATGTTTACTGTAAAATGATTATATATATAGTCAAACTTTTCATGACTTTGAAAAGATTTATTAATACACAGCAGCCAAATTGAAAGATAATAATTTTTTTAAAAAAAAAATACAGTGGTAATCTATAGTTTCGATTTGTAAATATTGTCTATAGTGACATAATATAAATATATATATCGCTTGATCGTTTATGGGAATATCGAAAACGATAGACACAGCCCGGCCGATTGTATTTTAGGAGATGGGCACGCATCTCAAAGCAAGTGGATTCGTAAGAGGACACGCAAGTTTGAAAACACGCCTATATATTATATATATACTTATAGTTATGTACGAATACTATATATTATTTAGATATGAATTCGGAAAATACTACAAGGAACGTTATGAATTATTACGAGTATGATGATTGTTATAATGTTATTCACAATTACAAGTACCTTCGTCAGGTGTCGTCTTGGAATTTTATTGTTTATGTTAGGTCACTTGATTGTATAATCAATTTATTAATTATAATATTTAGTCCAGCTTATAAATTTTTGAGCCCAAAAGGTGATGGAGAATAATTTTTATCAGAGGCGCTGCAATTTGCATGCAAGCATGGGCGCAGGATAATGAGGACAACATAATAAACAAACCGTAACAATAACAAAAACCTGGGGCCAAGAATCTACGGTTCGAATTTTTGCTGTAAAATAAAATCTTGTAAGAGTTATAATATTGTGAAATGAAAAATGTGTATGTAATTGTCATAAAGCATGCACGACGTATATCATAATGTCACACGGGATTTGCATTTTGATGACAAAGATGTTTTTATAACAACTCATTAACTAGAAAGTATGCATAGATGGTATGTATACATTTACCTAACCAAATCTCTCCAGTTGAATCCCAATATTATGGGATCTAATCGAAAGACAAAGAAATTTATATTTATACACACCACATATACATGTTTTGTGATAGACTGATCCAGATACCTCAATGTGATATTGATTTTCTTGGATTCATATTAGTTCAGTACGATTAATTGACTAAAGAACAAAAATAATAGATTTGGGGAAATTAACTTAAACCTTACACTATTAGCCCTATATAAAATGGGCGGAAACTCAACCTTACTTTTTTTATTACCTAACAAATTAGTCCGATCCAACTCTAATACATGAGTATGGACCCAATCGGTTGTTCGACCTTAATTACCAGAATGTCTTATGTCTCCATAGGTTAACGAAATTTGAAAAAATCAAAAGGATATGATAAGAGATGAGCAAAATCGAAGTCTTTCGTTTGAAATTTTGCTTCCTAGGAATAAGAGTTTTTTTTGGGTTTAAATTAAAGTCTTTCGTTGGCACATATATCATCGCGATGGAGAGAGATTACAATTCACAACTAGCGCGAGAGTCTCATGAAATTCTCATGACTTTTTTTTTATTGTCGGTCTTGGCCGTGACCGATAGATGTTCACATCAATGACTAAAATAAAAAATAGAAAAGAACAAAAAAAGTTAGTGATAATTTGAATCTTAATTCCATGATGAACATATACATGTATACATATTGAGAAATCTATATTTTCCGTCAACTTTAAAAAGAGTAAAATATTGACCTTTAATCCAAAAAAAAGAGAGAGGATAAGTTTGGTAACTGCGAAGAAGTACTAGTGTACTACAAAGAGTTCTTTTTTTTTTTCCTCTTCTTTTGGGTGTGTTTGTGTGCTCGTTCGCTGGTCGGTAGGAGCACTGACCCATGCTCAAATACCAACGAGCCATTTGCAACAAACACACTACAAAGAGTTCATATCAGTCAAAATGATCACACTTTTTTTTTTTCATAATACCGTAATTTTCTAATCCCTCTAACCACGAATAACTAATTTTTTCTTTTGTTATAAATGATATAATTTAAAGAGTACCTTGTTTTATATTTAGACCACACATAGATGACAACCCATTCTAAACAATACCATATTAGGGATTAGTTCTAGACTTCTAGTTAACCCACGCCAGAGTAGAGAGTAGAGACCTAAGATATAAAGAGTTCAATAAATAGTTGTTTTCAGCTTGTTCACATGAATATCTTCTTGAATCTTGAAACATACTTACTAATGGAATCCAACGACGTAGGGAGTGGTTAGTAATAGTATTAATATGTATCTACTCTCCATTTCACTTTTTATTCTTCATTGGTCTTTCTCAAATTAAATGTAAGTTGTTATATTTCCGATTCCAATTTTGTCTCGTTGTGGGGGAGGCTGATTCACTCTTCCCTCATTTTCCTTTTCTCGGATATCTCAATTCACAGTCCGCAAAAAGAGTTTTCTACTGATGTCATAATTAAACGCATTATTTGTTCCTGACTTTCTGTTCTCGTTTAAAGGGGTTATTCGTATTTTTAATTTTATATATATTTTTATAAAAAACATTCCCACAAGAAAACTTACTAATCTATATAAAAAACCAAGTGCAGTATATATCGACGGAGGTAAGATAATTATATGACTATAAGCAAATAAAAAAGATTTGTATTTAATCAAATAGTTTTGATAATATTCTTACATACGAGCCTCGAGGACATATTTTTGCCTGCTTTGATTTTTCAATTATGTGCAGAAGTTTCCCACGGTTTTCTATCTTTGAAACTAGTTGTTGATAAATATAATATATATATAGTGGTTTCATAAAACATCAAGCTTTTTTCAATATAGCGTTTATACTTTATACATTTTTATAAATTCACAGTTGAGTTTTAGGCCAACATTGGGTTTCCTCTTCGCTTTTTAACATAGATAATGGGCCTTTTAAGTTCAGGAGACCCGTTTAGCTGGAATCAATCCAACGGCTGAGATTCATTCTAAAATAACAAAGGATATCTGAAGTAGTGATGAGAAATAAGGAAAGGAACGAAAACAAAGAAATCCGGTTTCTGACTCTTTTGTTCATCCGTGGAGAAAGCGGAAGTGGTTTTACTTGATCCTTCTAATTTCGCTCAGGTAAGCCGGAATCATGCTAGTTGAATACTCAATGGCATCAATCTCTGTAGCAATTAGCTCTTTAGCGGGCTAGGGTTTGCTTGAATTTACAGCATTTATTTTGATTTTTATGTTACTGATCGATCTATTTGTCTTCATTATCAAATTTGAAAAAGGAATCGGGATCTAGGAGAAAAATGGGAGGAGGTGAGCATGGACATGGAGGAGAAGGTGGCGATTTCAGAGCCAAAGTTTGGAGCATGTCTGGTGGGCCTTACTGTAGGCCCAAGCATTGGCGCCGGAACACCGCCATTGCTATGTTTGGAGTTTTCCTTGTCTGCATACCCATCGCCATGAAGTCTGCTGAGCTCGAGGTATACTTCATTTCTTTCGTCTTTCTTAAAGAAAAACAAAATAAATAAAGTGTGTGTTTGTTGCGAGAAATGGAAAAAAGAAGAATGAAAGAATCACCTACTGTGTATTAAGGGAATTGGTTGGAATTTGATCCTTGAAAGTATATATTTTGATCTTCCCTCAAATCTTGCAGTGTGTTCTTGGGTCTGTGTTTGTCATTAGTATCAGGTATGTGGAAATATACTTGATTGAGGCCACCAACACTTGTATTATCTTTAGATAAACTTTTGTAGCCTATTAGAGATTAATTGCTGTCCAAATGCTGCAAATTTGATGTTACTGATCATATAGTCTGTGTGAATCCATTTGTAAGCAGGCAGTCCAGAAGAACTTTTAAATATGTTTTCATGAATTCCTTTCCATTGCCAATAACTCAATTGGCGATCAAAGTGTCTGTGACGATATAAATTGTAGAACATTTACCAGATAGAAACCTATTCTTGATGTTTGTTTCTGACCTAATTTAGGTTTGCAACCTTTGAATCTATTGAGCTCTGCAAACCTTTTTGCTTTACCTTGTATGTTTGTGTATAGCACTAGGAGATTTTGTTGATTATTTTTCTGGTCTGCCTGGTTCTTTGTTCTCCTGCAACTTTAGTGTGCAGCAAAAATGGTCAAAAGAGTGGTTTGGAGGCAAATGATTGTGAACTTGCATTACTTTTACTCGTCAAAGCTATAATGTTTGAATCCCTTGTGACAAAATACCAACACTTGAATCGTTATATTGTTTATATCTCTATGCTACTCTATATTTTTCATTTTCTTGTTTGATGATCACGATTTGATCAAAAGCTTGTTTTTTTTTTCAGCAAAGGCCACACATGCCGGTACGCCCAATACCTTCACAGATATGGTGCAAGAACTTTGGAACCAAGGACGATTACGAAAAGGAGCATTAAACTTATAAATCCTTTCATTTTCATTAGTACTGTGACCATAATAATGTCTTTTGCCCTTGCCATGTAGAACTCATGGCATCTTCCCAAATCAAGGAAATTTCATGTTTTTTTTTATACGAGTAAGAAAATGTGATTTGATCAAAGCAAAACAAAACATAATTTTATTGTTTTGACGATGTTCTTACGTTCGATTACTGAAACATTTTGCACGCTTTGGTTTTTATGTACGTACCGTTCGTTTTCTATCTCTACAACTAGCAGCACTTGATGATATATATATTCATAATTTCAAATAGTGGTTTTCAGAAAACTTTTTGTTTTTGTTTCGAATTTCAATGTAGCGTAATACACAAATTTTTGATGACTTTAATTCTCTCATAACATTTCAAAAAAAGACAACACTAATAAGAAAAAAAAATATTATTACCAGCATTTGGGCCGTCTCCTCCTTCAAGAGACCCAACTATCGTAGAGCAGTAATCGTCTATCATCTGCTCCACACTTAGAACAAAACATTCGATAAATCCAACGGCTGAGATTATGACCAATAACATTGCACGTGATCGATTCTTGTAAGTCGTAAAGATAATCCAAGGGAGTGATGAGAAAAATAAGAACAAAAAATTAGCCAAAATAAAGAAAATCACGAAATCTGGTTTTCCTCTTTTGTTCGTCGCGTCTAGAAGCGAAGGCGGTTCTACTTTGATCCACCAACTTCTTCTTCCACCTCTCGATTTCAGGTACGCTTTTCCTTCTGTAAGTGGTATGTATAGTCTTTGATTCACCGATGGATTCTTTTGCTTCGTTTTCTGGATGTTGCGACGCTGATGTTACTCGATTTGCTCTTGATAGATTCCTGTTTCGAGAATCGTTAGTTTGAAATCGAAGGAGATCTTTTTTTATCCTTAGAAATTCTGGAATCATTTTTCTGATCTGTTTACTTATTCCCTCCGGAATCATTTGTATTCAATTAAGAAATCCGAATACTGGGTCCTCTGTTTTTAAGTAATGAATTGATCGATCCTTTGGTATTGTGTTAAGTAGGGCTTGGAATCAAATTTAGATTGGATTTAAATCATTTAGATATTTGCCGATCCGATTTCTGTAGTCTTGATGTTTCCTCAACTTCGATGCTTATGTGCATCAACTGCGATGAAGAAACTTATATTTACTCACATTTTATTTCCAAGAACTGACCAATTTTGGTCGAAATTAATGATATTTCCTGGCTGAGACTAATGAATTTTGACCTGGAAAGATTCGCTTTAATCTTTTGTGTCTCAGGTACAATTTCGCCGACTGGATATTTAAGAATGGATCTAAAGAGCATTAAGGATGCATTTGATCGTGTTGCAAACAAGCAGAAACTCTCCTATAGCAAAACACATGAGATTGTTCAGATGCTGTCTCAAGAAATCGACAAGGCCCTGAGCATATTACAGGAGGCATCTCCATTTGATCATAGATCTATCCTCGCTGATGTGAAGAAAATGTTCACGGAGATTTCTCCGGTCAATCAACTTGAAGCCGCTGAGAAAGAACTAAACGTGGCTCTGACCAAGTACCCGAAAGTCCTGGAGAAACAACTGAACACCGACATATCAAAGGCTTACAGAAACAATGTCGAGTTCGATACCCATATCGTGAACCAGATAATCGCCAACTTTTTCTACCGTCAAGGAATGTTCGACATTGGTGACTGTTTCGTTGCTGAAACTGGTGAATCTGAATGTTCCACCAGAAAGTCTTTCAAGGAAATGTATCAGATACTAGAAGCCATGAAGGGACGAGATCTTGAACCAGCTCTTAACTGGGCAGTCTCAAACTCAGATAAACTGAAGCAAGTAAGGTCTGATCTCGAGTTGAAGCTTCGCAGCTTACACTTCCTGGAAATAGCTGAAGGCAAAAACTCCCAAGAAGCTATCAACTACGCGAGAAAACATATCGCCGTATTTGCAGATAGCCTTCCAGAAACACAGAAGCTCGTGTGTTCTCTACTGTGGAATAAAAATCTCGTTAAATCTCCTTACTCCGAGTTTCTCTCTCCCGCTCTGTGGGACAATGCAGTCAAAGAGCTAACCAGGCAATACTGCAACCTACTCGGCGAATCATCCGAGAGCCCTTTGAGTATAACGATAACGGCGGGCACACAAACTTTGCCGGTACTGTTGAAATACATAAACGTGATGGCGAATAAGAAGCTTGATTTGCAGAATATGGAACAACTTCCTGTCGCCGTGGCACTACCCAAGGAGTATCAGTTCCATTCGGTGTTTGTCTGTCCCGTGTCTAAGGAACAGTCAAGTGATGATAATCCTCCGATGATGATGTCTTGTGGACATGTGCTTTGCAAGCAGACTATCAACAGAATGTCGAAGAATGGCTCCAAGTCGTCTTTCAAGTGTCCTTATTGCCCGACCGATGTAGACATCTCAAGGTGTAGGCAGTTACACTTTTGAAACAAAGCAAGCAACGTATGACTGGAATACTGGAACTGGTGAAAATCTGTTTCAGAATGTGAACTGTGTTTTTGTTTTGATGAAGATTTATAAACTGGTGGGTTTTTGTGTACAAAATTATCAGGGAAGTTTTAGATAATCGGACATCCCCATAAGAACTGGTTGTGTTGCTGCTTGTTTATTTTAACTTTCTGAATATAGAAATTCTTTACATTTCCATAATTAGTTTAAATCCACTGTACAGTACCACTATTTCGTACTAGTTTTTACACTTCAACTAATCCTTTTGGATTTAGAGAGATATGGTTTTGAATTTATCATATAACAAATCTCATTAAAGCAAACAAGTTGATTTGATTTTCAATGTATGCCATTCATTATTGGATATGAGTGGAGCACACCTATCTATCCAAATTAAACGTACCAAAAAACAACTAGAATGTTATTGGTAGTTCGCAAATTTTTCTTCCTCACTTTGACCGATCGACTAGAGTGTTATTGGTAGTTAATGGGGAACATAATTGTGGAATTATAATGGGGAACACAATAGAGGCACAAAAAGTGGGAATAAAAGTGAAAAGGTAAGGAGACTATCATCGTGACATTTATTCAATGTACAAAGTACATGAGACAAAAACAATCACCAATTCCGCCGTTACAAAACCATAACATAAAAGAAGAATAAATATGTTACCCAACCCAACATCGTTATATTTTTGAAATTATCATCGAGCACCCACTAATAAACACATACAGATATCCAAAACTAATCTGAGTAATTTTCATAAATTTTCAAGTAGTGAATTACTGAATATCGTATACAGTTTGAAAAATGTCATTTCCGAATATATCGTCCACAACTTAAACAACAACGAAAACTTGATCTTGCATATTTAGTTTCATGTACCATTCTATTTCTTTGTATCACGTCATTACAAAACTTCTTTTAATAAATAAGGGAGAAGACACAGAGAGAAGAAACTAGAATCTAGCATTTTCGAAGCCATGGAGATCACTGACTCTATTCATGTGCTTCCTCATGATCGCCACTTTGGCCAATCTTTCAGCAGCTCTCCATGCTGAAGTCGGAGTAAGCGGATCAGTCTTCTGAGTTATTATTGGCTCTGGGCTCTTCGCCGCCACGTGTCTACCTCTCATGCGGTTCAAATCTGCCAGCTCAGCGTCCAAACCACGTAAGCACGCGTCACCGGAATTCAAGCCGTATTGTACCAACAAGGCTCGAGCTGACGTCAACATTCGCTCAGCTCCCGAGTAATCACTGGCATCGATTAGCCGCCGAGACTCTGCCACGGCTCGTGTGCTGACGTGGAGGTTTCTGAGCCTTCCGATGCTCGTGTTAGATGATCTAACGGCTATAGGACGTGGTATCAGAAGCGCTCGATCTCCTGAGTTTCTTATTTCCTGAGTTGAAGGGTCCACGTGGCGAGATCGGACGGTCAAGATTCTGTGAGATGTACCAGACGAAGAAGATACAGGTGATTTCAATTCAACCAACACTTCTCTTTCCTCGTCACCGTACATGTCACCTAACCGAATCAATCCGGATCCAAGCCAAAGTGGTCGACCCGATAGTGAGTAAACCGACCTAATCTCTCCTTGACCCGACCCGGAAACCAATCCGATTTGTAAAGTAAGCTCCTGGACGGATAAACTCAGCAAACCTTTAATGCGTTTCGCAAACGCGTCCTCGGGTTTACATGCGCCGAGATAAATAGTGTGCGTTGGGATTTCCGAGTGAGAGACGCGCGTGGACGTGACGAAATCGGAGTGGGCCAACTGGGCTTGATGGGCCGAGCTTCTATAACGGTCCGTTAAGACGAAGATGGTGGTGAACAGATTTTTCTGCCGGCGATCTTCGATCACTTTCGCCGCCTTTTTAACCGCATCGTTCACGCTCATTCCGTCGCCGTCACCGGCGATTTCGTCGACGATCCGACGAGCTACTCTCCTTCCATTCGCCGTCATCCTTCGTAACGGCGATAATCGCTTCGAGCTCGACGAGAACGAGACCATCGACAAACGATCCGTCTCTCGCAGAGACGAAATCACCAGCCTCATTGCTCGCTTCACCATTTCAATCTTGCTTCCGCTAACGTCAAGAACAGTTACTATATCAACCGGAGATCTACGAGCCGCCGGTAACGGCGGCGATTTGATTCTCATCACCACCGAGTACGTCTCGTGACCTCTTCCAACGGCCACAATTGCCGCCTCCGAAGACAGCTTGACGTCCACGTGTGAAGAAACAGAGTCCGTTAAGAGTTTCTTCGACGTTAACGGTGACGGCGTTTTGACGAAAAAACCTTTGAAATCGCCGTTATCTTCTTCTTCCTCGTCGTCGTAGTCGTTTTCATCAGATTCCAGTATGGTGTTGAAACCGGCAGGCGAGATTGGAGAAGAGATTAAAGGCTCGTCGTCGTTGTAGACTCTTAAGGATTTGTTGTTCTTTGATTCTCGGGTCCTGGAATCGGATTCGGATCCGGATTTCGGGGATTTATGAGTATCCAATTCGTGGAGAGGAGAAGAGAGAGACAGAGGAAGCAACGAAGTCTCTCTCCATGAGGCAGCGCAAACAGGGCAGGCGGCGAGTAGATTCCGATCACCGGAGCGTGATGTCACGCACGGGAAATGAAAAGTGTGCGAACACTCCGCCGTGAAAATCGCCATTCCTCTCCCTGCTTTCGCGCTCTGTAAGCAAATTCCACATCTGCTGCTGCTACTCTGCTCAAAACACACTCAAACAGAAACAATTAACAAAAAGTTCTCATTTTGAAAAAAAAAATCTGATTTTGTTGTTGCGATACTTACTTTGTTGAAACAGAGCTTTGATTTGAGGAGAGAGAAGCTCGCCGGAGACGAAGGGGTAGAAGAAGAAACGCTGAGAAGAGAAAGAGGGCTTCTGTTTCTCCTTGGCGTCGTCGCCGTCGGAGTTGCGTCGCCGGAAGTTCTGCACTGAAGATTGGGACTAGCGAGAAGAGACGGCGAGGGAGTGGCCACGGCCGTAGCAGTCCAACTCTGACAACGAAGGCTAGATCCAACTGAATCGGGTCGGGTCTCAGTCCTTGGAGTTGACGGGTTAGAGAAAAAACCGAATCTTGAAGTGTGTTTTTGCCGATGAGGTGAATCATCAACTGTGTCTGTATCGTCTATCTTTTTATGTTTGGAAGTCCAAAATGTTCTTCTCAAACCATTCATCATCTTCAACTTTCTTTTTTCTTCTAGTGAGTGAAAACTTTTCTGAGAGGAAACGAAATGTTAAGAGAATTTAATGAAAAACGATGGAGATTGAACACACTTAAGACAGAGAGTGGGGGAGAGATAAAGAACAGGAGAAAATGGTGGGGTTGATTTAGTTTTTTAAAAAGCGGCCTCCTTTTCTTTCGTTCAATAATAATCAGAGAATAGTCAAGATTGATTATTGGGATTATCAACATATATTTTTCCCCCAATTATAAAAAAAAAAAGAAAAGAAAATGACCTTTAAAAAGCTGTAAATTTTGCTTAAAAGTTACTGTTTGGCTTTGGTCTATGTCTAACGTTCTTGGCTACAGACTGAATCGAGTAGATCCATCGGCATTTCCCGAGGAGTAAATATTTTTAAAAATCACCCTACGAATGTAATTCTAGGGCCGAATCACTGGTGTCGTTTACAGTATGTTTGATCCCACTGTTGCAATATAATCTATGGTTGATGCTACTGTTATAAAATAATCTAAGTGTTCTATTAAAATATTGAGTAAGAGATAAAAAAAATCACGCAGTCAAATAAAATTTTGAATCATCTGTAAAAGACAGTGGAATTACAGCTAGTGGAATTAAATGTTATCAGTAAAAGATAACGAAGCATCATAAATGATTGAGGGTGAATGGAGAAGATGATCTTTGTTCAGAGACGCCTTAACTGTAGCAGCCCATCTATTACTGAGAATGTGTGTACTCTCCAGTTTACATGTGTTGGAGTGAGTCGGTCCATTTATATCTTTATGCTTCTCATTTCCTTTATTCAATGCCTTTTATCACTTTTTTCGATTTCCTCTTACACATGTTTTATCACAGCTTTTGAACGTACAACATCGCATGCACTGATTCACACATGGTATATGTATTTGGATGCTTCACGTGTATATATTGTCCACTGTGTAAACGTTGAACTCATTTGTTTTTTTACTTGATAGTATCATCATTTATATTTGATCATAATATACCAATGTATCTAGTTCTTTTAACGAAGATATAATAAACATAAAGACATTTGTACTAAGTATGATTTATTTCCCTCGCTAAAATGATGGGTGTCTTGTACATGTATAACTATAGTTTCCCGATTTGTATACCGTATTTAAAATAATGAAGATTTGGAGGCATCTAAGTATGTAACATTTAGGACATATTACTAACAAAATACACTGTCAGGACTTAGGAGAAATTTTATCTTAGTAATCTAATTATTGTAAGTGTATAATTATTTGTCGCACATTCCCTATGCTTCAGAAGATTTTGGTTGTTTTCTTCTCCATGTGCCGCACCGAAAACATATCCCAAACTATGTTATCTAGAAGTGACAAAATATATATATATATATATATATATATATATATTTTTTGATTATAAATAGATGCCTTAAAATTAAACGAAAATCTAATTGATATACGCAATTGTATAATTACAGATTACAGCCAAATTAACATTTACATTTGTAACACAACGACAATTATTGTGGTATTGTAGGAGAGGTTTTTTTTGCAAGAATTAAAAATTAAATAGCTAAGTATTTTATATGTATTTTTTTTTTCATTTGTTAGTTTGTTGTCGTTGTTTATTCAAAGTAACGTGATAAGTATACACTAAAAAGTTGGTATCAACATAAAAAGACAATGAACCAACCGTCCAAAAACTTCAATTAGAATCAGTGGAAACATAAATATTAATTAAATTCACAACGACATGTATAGTTATTTATCACAGGTCCAAGTTCCAACAAACATATTACATTAAGTTTAAATATATGGACTAACCTCTTTCGTCAAAAGGATAAATACTTACGGAATAAGTGACTAGATAAATATGATAATTAGTTTATCACATCAAATTAACCATCTTTTTCGGCTAAATTAACCATCTTCTACATACAATAAATTCTTTAGCCAAAAAAAATCAATATATAGTAACTAATTTTGTTAGCACATTAGTTGAACTTAACAAATCGAAAGCGTCTAGGCGAGCCGCACCCAGAGCGGACATGTAAATAAATTAAGTTCTCTTAGCATAAATAAATTAACGTTCTCTTAACATAAATTTAATATAAACTTTTTATTAACTCTTTAATTTTTAAAAATATAACGATATCGTATCATGTAAAACCAAATAGTATGTCACTCTCGAGAAGTGTACTCATTCGTCGTTAGTTAGCGATTTTTTTAAAAAAATTGTTAATATTAAATGTGAATTAGGTCTCTTCTTTTTGTTATGTTGGTCGAGAATCGAGATCAATCTCTACGGATATATCTGGCTGCTGTGAATACCTATTAATTATAAATTGATGGAATAATTTGAGGTTCAACTTGTTTGAATTTGATTTCAAAACCCAATTCGTATGAGTATCTTATTCTCATACATTTGTTATCCTTGCGGTTCAACTTTTTTTGTAATCTCTTCTGTTTTATTAAAAGTCAGATCCATTTTGAAAAGAAGAAAGAGTGAATCGTTCTAAACTAAATATTCACTAGAACGACTTGAGTGGAGTAACCGAGAAATAGCTGCTCAAATATTTTCTCAAAAGAATTTGTTTTTGGCGAGTCTCATGTGGTTAAGTTTAGGCTAATAATCCATATTTATCACGACCAACCAAAACTCAACAATAATATTAATTCGCTGTTGAAAGGACTACTTGAAAGACTTAGTGATGTTCCTGATGCCAAGAACCTCTGCCAAGATGATATCTAAAATTTCGATCCCAATTAATAGTTTCTATGAAAATAAAGTAAGTGGAGGAGGTATAGGAGCCGTGCTACACGTGACATGCATGAGAAGGTGCAAGATACTAAATATGGGTTTATGGAGACGATCCCTCCTATCGACGAGACCTTCTACCTGGACCAGTTCCTTTATAACTATTTACTCATTTTTCGTTTAATTATAATTTTATGCTCGAAATTCGAAACCTAAAAAGGGGTGTCTCTATCACTGTATGTATTAAGTATATGTTAACATTGCTTAAACCTTTTATGTGTGATCTGTAGAGATAACAACAAATATATACTATAATTTCCTTGACTGTCATTTTTGCATTGACAAAATATTGTTTAGGAACTCCTAATCGAAGATGATGAATTTTTCTCCATCTAACAAACTCTCATCAAAATATCCTTAACAAAACTTATTCGCAAAATTTACATCTAACAACTGTTCGTTGCATAATCAGCCATAATCATCTTAAGTTTAATGAGGAGATGAAATTAGATTTGTCAATATTCAATGAGATTGTGTGAACCATTATGTAGAGAACAAGATTGAGTCGCGTACTCGCGTGAGAATCATTAAAATTAGATAATGCTCATTACGTATTTTATTTAAAGGATTTGACCAAACTAATCATCGAGCTTTTGATTTTTTCAAAAGAGGCTTCAATTTCGTGAATCTTACTACTAGCTACGATCAAGCAAGATCTAATAGACTAATACTTTATACAAAAATATCATATCCCAATGCATACTTTATTTATTAATGTAGGGTTACGCGTAATTAAGCATTATACATGTCACATGTAACGCAAGCACAGAGGCCACCCGGGACATGTTTGCCTTAATCTACTTGGACAATTTATATTTTATATATAATATTTGTTTTCTTCTTCCAAATGGTAACATCGTATATTTGTAAAGAATATCTTGTAACTTTTAAAGTTAAAACTAATCTCATAAATTGCTAAATGAATTACGTAGTAATCAAGCACATCGTAATCAATCTCATACCTCGACCAAATTGCAAGTCGCTCTAGACCAAACCATTTAGCTTAGTATCTAACTGCAAGTTGAATCCTATCCTATTAAGTATTAATTAAAACAAAAAAATTATGTGCTTTATCTAAATTATCACAATTAATAATTAAATTCAAGTTTTGGTGAACATCATAACCACCATATGTTGACCCGAAACATATCAAACTCGTCAGAAGAATGTATCATGATATAAGAATTATATTTTATATATAATATTAGTTTCTGTCGGTATTCTCAAGTTAAGAGAATGATTTGTTATGAGTAATGATTTACTAAAAACATAGATTAAGTAAGGTTAAGAAAATTAATGTTTCGGGGGACAGAGCATATGGTGCTTTGGACCGATCATGTTTAAACCAAGCTGATAAATCATACATTAATATTGTGGTCCGTTGTCTATGATTTTATTATTACCTGATTACCACTAACCGTATGCCATCAATATTAGTAGTGACTTAGTACTGTATTTACATTTTTCATCCATTTTCTTTTTGTTGGTAGGGATAATATATGTAAGGTTTTGCGCACTATCCATTTTCTACTGAAGACCCACCTCTTTCACTATACAACTAGACATTTATTGACTTATCTCACTTTCTGCTTTGGATTAATTACGTAAATTGTAAGAGATATTATGAGGAATGTGGCAATTTGAAATTTTTTAAAACCTTACCCAGACAAACATGTAGGAAGATTTCTAAAACATTAAAAATGAAGTCTTAAATTATTTAAAAGAAAACAACTTATAGTTCAATAAAAACAAAAATGTGAGTCTTCTTCTTCTTTCAAGTTTCAACATATCAATAATTCAATCAACACTTTATTATATAAAAGACAAAAGGAGATTTATTATGTTTATCATAATCAATTTTAAATATTATATGGCTTCAAATATTATTTGGCTTCTTCATATCTCACTTTAAAATAATACCGCGTTGGTCTTACTTTTATCAAATGTATAAACTCATAATATGGAATGCTGGATTTGGAAGATAGAATTCATAACTGTTGGACATGACCAAAAACAATGTTTATGAGTGTCAACATCTAGAACCCATAAATTTTTTGTAATTCCAAAAAAATTAGAGCGCGCTAAACAGACATCAACGTCGAATTTTAGAACTTAATATCAATCACGTTAAAGATAATCATGTTCGACATAATGTCAAGAGAATTTGTTAATACCAAATTAAAGACCCATTATCAACAGAAAAATTGGATGCTACAAGTATATCAACCAATGTCAGCATTACCAACAAATTACAGCAAACTGAAGATCAATAATTCTCCAAATCATTTAGAAGAATCCTTCACTGAGAGGTATAGTAGTTGTTGGAACACAAGAATCATTGAAAGGCGCTTGAGGATACTGTTTTTGCGCATAGAAAGAAAGTTGCAGAATAAGAGAGAGATAGAGAGAGAGAGAGAGAGAGAGAGAGAGAGAGAGAGAGAGAGAGAGAGAGAGAGAGAGAGAGAGAGAGAGAGAGAGAGAGAGAGAGAGAGAGAGAGTCTTGCTAATTACAAAGAAATGCTTGAGGAGGCGACCAAAAGTCAACTTCTCTTACAGAGAAAGTTGTAGAGGTGGAAAAGGATTCTAAACGGAAAGTAGCACATTTGTGAATAATTCGATAGAGAAACCTCTGAAGTTCAACTGAATTCTGGTAGCCACATGATTTTCCGAGTTTAGATTGTTTAGCGTCTTGTAACATTGGTGTCTCAAAACGTAATGGTGTCTATCTTAGAAGCTTCTATTTTAGGAGGTAACGTTTACTGATATGTTGGTTCTAGTGACTAGAGATAACAATGCTTTGCATCGATAAATTGTCAAGATTGGCAGACGAAATTCTTTGTTAAAAGCCAAGTGTTCAGACAGTGACAGAAACAGAATGCAAAACTTTGTAGCGGTCTAAGAAAGGGTCTACAGTCATGACAACATTAGACCACTCGACATCTGCAGCCTCCTAGCACGTAAATCTTCCCGTCTACAACGCCAGCAGCTGCCTTAGCTCGAGCCACTCTCATGGAAGGTACGATGTGCCACGTGTGAGTCCGACAATCCAAGAGCCATACATCAGAACTGCGCTTAAGCCCTTTTTATAAATCCTCCGATTACATAAATCCCCCAATCAAAGAACCACCACGGAGGATGCTTCCGGAGGCTGAGAGGGGAGCAAAGGGATCGGTAAGAGGGGTTCGTAAGCATACGTAGACGTGTGGTTCGGAGAAACCCATCAGCGATCGAGTCTTGTAGAGATCAGGCGAATCCACTAGAGAGTGACAACTCTTGGAGGCGAGGGATAAGGCGGCGTGATCTAATCTCGATAATCGAGCCACGCAGCTCAGAGCCACGTCATCTGGCAGCGACGACAGAGACACAGTCGCCTCCACCTTACTCTTCTTATGCGGTGACTCTTCGGAATTGGACATTGACCTTTTTTTTCTTTTTTCTTTTTGTCTCTATAAACCTTGTTTCTGTCTGTTTATGAGGGAGAGAAACACAAGTTACCAAAGTCAAATAGAAAAACGAAAGAGGAAACTTGTGAAAAAAGTTACCAAAATTTTCTAATTTTTGAAATTAACTTTTATTTTATAATTTGCAAAACTAGATTTTTTAGATAAAATATTATCAAAATAATTTTCATAAATTAACAGAGTTGATAAACGTTGAATGTCGACAAAATAATTAACAGTTGATAAAAGTTTATTGAGACATCTATCTCTATAGTCTATATATTTATTAACTATCTATATTTAGATGTAAAATCTTGAGAATATCTTTAACAAAAAAAATCTTAAGAATATTATATTAGACCAGGATAGCTTTAACTTTCTTTCTTTGGTCATATTCATCTTTTTTACAACCATATAATTAATAATAAATGATTTTAAACTTGAAGTTGTATGTAACAAACATCTCTCACTAGTTTCATGTATTACATTTTGTTTTTAGATATCGTCTTCTTTATTTGAATATAATCAAGCTGTAACGGCATCGTTTAGAGCTTAAGTTATTGCTAATACAGATGAAGCATTTTCATTAGCAATACTCTTCATCATATGACCACATCCTCCTCCACATCCTCCACCGCAGTTACCGCAACCAGTGGAACCGCCGGTGCAGGTACCTCCGGTCTTAGTCATTCCACCACATCTTCCACCGCCTCCACCGCACCCACCACCACCGCCACATCCTCCACATCCACCACAACCTCCACAGCCACCACAATGACCACCTTCTTCTTCAACTATGTTTCCGCATTTTCCACCACAACGACTACCGCAGCCTCCGCTAGCGTTTAGCTCCTTTGATAAACACCTAGCACCACCACCGATCTTCTCTGCCGCCACAATAACTGGAGCTGCCTCTACATTCATCATAGCTTCTTCTTCTCGTAGCTTCACTTGAGTTTCTCTTGCAGTGAAAACTTCAGTCTCCTTGATTTCCTCTGTTGTTCCATTAGCTTTCACTGTGTCTTTCGGGGCAGCACAGAAGCCTTCCTTCTTAGGAAGATCATTGAGTATGAAAGCAGATACTATTCCAGGCAAAACAAACCAGTTCTCATTTGCCTGCATATCGAAATAGTTAAAACTCAAAAGTCAGAAATAGCAAAATGGTGAATTTTTAAGTTTCAAAGTTTGGAACTTTACCTCAATAGAACCTAATTTCAAGTCGAACAACCCCACAGCTTTGCCATAAGGATGTTGCTTTGAGAATTCAACAGCAGTCATGAAATCTTGCTCGCTTCTTAGCTTTGCGCAATGTTTTGGCTCATACTCCAGCTTCCTTCCAGAGTAAACTTTCACCATTCGAGCACCCGAAATCTCAAACAGAGGACCATCTGTGGCAGGATTTCTTTTCTGCTTAAGCGACCATTTAGAGTCAAGCAAAGACCAGAAACCCCTTTCATACTCTGCCATAACATGAGTTTCACCACACTCTTTCACACCAACCACTTGTCTTCTATCACCTTTGGGTGCTGCGTCGTTAGAGTTTCTCATTTGAAGGCTGATCACCTCTGTTTCGGTTTCATCAACAACGCGTGTAAAACTCTTTGCAAGACGGGACTTTCCGATCAGAGGAAAGAAACAAGAGTCTTTTAGCGAAGGTCTTGCTTGAACCAAATGTAGAACAGTCGGACTTCGAGTAGGAGGCGTGAACGAGACAGCGACTTGCAGAGAGATTGGATTCGGATCATCTGCTTTTCCTCTTTTAAGTGGTGTTAACTCCAGCCAATTCTCAACAGAGAGTTTAGTCACTGGAAACAGAAACTCCGAAAGCGATAAAGAAGCAAAACCTAAGCTTTTAGACTTAGAAGACATTAGTTGGAAAGTAAGCTCTCCTGTAGGTTCACACTGGAACAAAGCAACCTGCTTTTCCCCACAAGACTCAGATAAAACGGTAAGCCTACGCTCAGCGTTAAACAGAGAATCCGGTTGGGTTTTGCTGAACACAACAAAGACTTTTCCTTTATGAGCGTCTGGTAAGTTCTTAACCCCAACAATCTCCAAGATGACCTCAATGACTTCCACTTCTGGAATTCTGATTACATCCTGGGACTCCTCCTCTTTCTTGCCGGAGAAAACACAAGGAGATGTTGTGACTGGCTTTGGAGTATTACCTCGGTTCATTGCACCGGCTTTCCAATACCTTAGACCAAATGTTTCTTCCCATTGAGCAGTAGTTCCAGAGAAACCAGTATCAAGCTTCTTACCTTTGCTACGGTCAGAATCTGTATCATCATGCTCCAAGACCTTACCAATCATCTTGGTCAAATCCTTGCAGTATGAGAGAGAGTGAAGCTGGTGTGTGTGCCAGATAAGATCAATATCGTAAGTGGGAACACAGAAAAGCTTAATCGACCTTTCTCGGTTTCTCTTGATCAAGTAGAGAAACGCTTTGTATCTAGCAACAGCTTCTTGCAGAAATACGTCATTGTCTACATGAGTTCTTGAAACCTGCAACAAAAGATACACACCAAAAAAAAAAAAAAACGATTAGAAGCCTTGCAATATCGCAGCGGGTTTGGAAGAGAAGCGACCTCGTGATTTTTACCTGGTAGTAAAACGGACTTTGTCTCTTGACAGCTGAAACAAGATCGTATTTGGTGAATTTCTCAAGAGCTGAGATATCCTCTGGCTCTGAGACTGCCATGTCCAAATCAAGGTCATAAGGCTCCATAGGATACAATCCTTTCCATAGATTTTCAGTTTGTAGCTTGCAGCTTCCATTAACGGAAGATAAAACGCAAGAATTGTCAAGAACTCTCCCATAAAATTCTTCACAATCAGTCTTGTACCTCACCTGAAATGATCAACAAACATTTTTGAGCTTGTATATATGTATATCCAAACAAAGAATTTAACCGGATTTTGAGATATTGATTTAGATTTACCGGATTAAGCCGGTGGCAATGCCAAACCCATTCACAATCAAGAGGAGGAACTAATGGTCCTTCACAGACCGAAGAAGACTCAGTGTATTTGGCAAGCAGAGGAAGCCAGCAAGCATTGTATCTGTAAAAGAAACAACAAATCACCCACATTTGAGAGTTTTGAAACAAGAAACCCTAACTTAATTTCGTAAAGTCTAAATTTTTTGGGTAAATAGAATCCTAAACTCTATGAAATTGAACCTAGATTAGGTATATGATGCAAAGAAGAAAAACCGGTTTGGTGATTTTTGTTTAACCTGTAGATGGCTCTTTCAAGTGAAGGGCCTTCGTAGAGCCACCGGTCCCGATCAACAGCTGCGAGGAACCGGAGCTGTTGCTTGGCTGCAGCAAAGAGGTCAACGCTTATCTCTATCTTCTGGGCTTCAAGCCATTCCAATTTTTGCTCCATTTGTTTAACAAATTCTGGAATTTTTCCTGCAAAATACGAGGAGCTCAAAGTCTAATAAACAGAATCCTAAAGTTTTGATCTTTATCTTCTGGTTTGCAACTACACGCATTGGAAAAGGTATAAAGAAGAAAATCAAACTATACCGCTCGGAAAATTCTTTGATGACGCTGACTCGAGTTTTGAGAGAGACGACTTCAAATGCCACTATTTATAGTGGTTTCTTCTATCCGAAAGATACCACAACAGGCGGTACTGCTTTCTTCAAATTACGATATTACCCCTACGACCGGGTAGAATTTATTTTAATATTTCATTTTAAAAGTTTCTTCTGTAATTTCCATCGTTGTTTCAAAAATATTATGTCATATTTTTTGGGTCAACATGAATATTGGTTTCAAGATGTTAACTCGGTCAATAAATCATTCTCCACTGAACTTTTTGGTTTAAATTACTTAAAATTTACATTTACCAGTTCAATAACTTATAGGTGTCAAATTTAGAAAAATGTCAAAAGTGGAATTACAAGAGAAGATCAGAGATCATCTATGCTTCAAGGAACAGAAAGCATGACTCCATAATTCGCTGAAATTTTCGCCTTTTTCAGTTCATCGACAAAGTTTAAGTTCCACAAGTAATCGAATATGAGCCCTAAAAATCGACAACGCCTACAACATGACCAACCTTTTTTCTTTGAACTTCTCTTTGCATTTAAGAAATTAATATAGTAAACAAATTTTAAATTCAAATTTATAATGAAAAAGTTCTTTAATAACAAACAATTTAACGTAATTCTTAGAAATTTATTATATCTTATTGACTTTTTAGTAATTCACAAACAATTTAACGTAATTCTTTAATAACAAAAACTTAAAATTGATTGGAGGAGTGCAAGTACGAACGACCTTAACCGGTCAAGATAATAACCGTAAATTTCATGCAAAAACCAAAGAAAGAAACCAAGAACTACATCCAATAATCTGAATGGGTATCAAAGATCCTCAAGAATTACCTCTTCAAAAAGACGTTTTAAATACACAAAACTAATCAAATTTGTGAGAGGGATAAGCATGTAAACTTATTTTGGAAAAAAAAACCGAAATTCGGTTCATACCGGTTAGCGACCGACCTCACTTCCTTGAACCGCTCGCCTCTTCGAATTCAGCTTCAGGCGTCTGCTCGGTCCCACTTGTACCCTCACCAGAGCTCCCAGAGGAGCCAGAGGATCCAGATCCCTTAGACATGTGTTCTCCGATCTTCGACACTGCCTTGTTCGCAGCTTCAAGCTTGGCCTTGATGTCCTCGATCTCTTCACCAGCCATTGCTGTCCTGAGGTCAGACACTGCAGTTTCGATCTCAGAGGCAATCTCAGCAGGAATCTTGTCTCTGTATTCACTAAGGCTCTTCTCAACACTGTAAATTGTGGTGTCAGCGCTGTTCCTAATGTCAATAAGTTGCTTCTTTTCTTGATCTTTCTGAGAGTTAAGCTCAGCTTCTTTCACCATTCTGTTAATCTCTTCGTCTGAGAGACCACCTGAGGATCTGATTGTGATCTGTTGCTCTTTAGACGTTGCTTTGTCTTTGGCTGAGACAGTTACGATACCATTTGCATCAATGTCGAATGTAACTTCGATCTGTGGCATTCCTCTCGGCGCAGGTGGGATCCCAACGAGATCAAATTCTCCAAGCATTTTGTTGTCAGCAGCCATTTCACGCTCTCCCTGAAGAACTTTGATTCCCACTTGCATCTGGTTGTCTGCGGCTGTGGAGAAAACCTAAGAAGCAACTCATGGTTAGCAATCAATAGATTTGGGAATAAAATATGAAACTATGGAGAAAAGCTTAGAAGCAAACCACAATTAGCAATCAATAAGTGTAAGAAGCAATCTGAAACTGTTCTCTTTTTCAAGATTCATTACCTGAGACTTCTTTGTGGGAATGGTCGTGTTTCGGTTGATCAACCTAGTGAAGACTCCACCAAGTGTTTCGATACCAAGTGAAAGAGGAGTCACATCCAAAAGAAGCAACTCCTTGACATCACCACGGAGGATTCCACCTTGAATCGCAGCTCCCATAGCAACCGCTTCATCAGGGTTAACACCTTTGCAAGGGCTCTTTCCAAAGATCTCAGCAACTATCTCTTGCACTTTGGGAACACGGGTCATTCCACCAACAAGAAGAACCTCATCAACTTCCTTAACCGTGATTCCGGCATCCTTCAGACAGTTTTGGCACGGGCATCTTGTTCTCTCAATCAACTTGCTGACCAAAGCTTCAAACTTTGACCTAGTTAAAGTTATGTTCAAGTGCTTAGCTCCAGAAGCATCAGCGGTAATGAAAGGCAGGTTGATTTCGGTCTGAGATGTCGACGAAAGCTCGATCTTCGCCTTCTCTGCAGCTTCTCTAAGTCTCTGGAGGGCAAGCTTGTCCTTAGTCAGATCAATATTATCTGTTCTTTTGAACTCACCAACCAAATACTCCAACAAAGTGTTGTCAAAGTCCTCTCCTCCCAAAAAGGTATCTCCATTTGTTGCTTTGACCTGATAAGAGGAAACCGGTACATAACCACAAATGTAAAGAGCAAATCAAGAAGAAGAAGAAGAAAAACATAGCAGAAGACAAATCAAGGCATTACCTCAAAAACACCGCTCGAGATTTCCAAGATAGAAACATCAAAGGTTCCGCCTCCAAGATCGAACACAGCTATAACACCCTCCTTGTTGTTCATACCATATGATAAAGCAGCAGCTGTTGGTTCGTTGATGATCCTCTGGACATCAAGACCGGCGATTTTCCCAGCATCCTTTGTGGCTTGTCTCTGTGCATCATTGAAATAAGCTGGAACAGTAACAACAGCTTTGGTGATGGTTTTCCCGAGGTAGGCTTCAGCGGTTTCCTTCATTTTGGTGAGGACATTAGCTCCAATCTGACTGGGAGAAAACTTCTGTCCGTTTGCTTCGACCCAAGCATCACCATTTGGTGCCTTAACAATCTTGTAAGGAACCATTTTCATCTCCTTCTGTGTCTGCGGATCCTCGAAACGTCTCCCAATCAAACGTTTGGTACCGAAAAACGTGTTGGTTGGATTTGTCACCGCCTGACGCTTAGCCGGTGTTCCAACAAGGAGCTCACCCTTTTGGTTAATTGCAACCACTGACGGTGTGGTTCGAGTTCCTTCTGCGTTCTCAATAACTCTAGGGGTCTGTAAAAACGAGATTAAAGTCAATACCTTTCGAAATTAGAAGTCAATATCAGGTTCGATTACAAAAAAAAAAAGAATCTTACCTTTCCTTCCATCACGGATACACACGAATTGGTGGTACCCAAATCAATACCGATAACATCGTTACCCACAGGCCTCGAGCTGAATTTACAGAACAACATACAACACGAAACGATGAGAAAAACAAAATTGAAGGGAGATACTTGTTCATGCTATACCATAAACAGAGAAAATGAAGTTACCAGAAAGGCCTAGCCAAGTAACCCAATTTCCCAATCAAAGACGTTTTTCCATTAGCAGAGATCTGCAGATTGAATACCCAACAGTGTAAGCTTCAATCGATATGGTGACTGAATCAAGAAGTATAAATCAACAAACAACAAAAGAAGATCGCTTTACAAAAGAATCAGAAAGAACGAAAAGTACGGAACTTTAAGAAATCTAGATTGAAACTCTGAAAAATCGATTCTAGTGCAGCATAACAAACCAGATTCATCTAATCGGTAATTTCAGACCGTATTCCAGCTCGAAATTAGTTACCGATTTCTCAGATCCGGAAAACAATTACCACAGAAAACTGAAATGTTTTTTCTAAACCAAACATTGAGATCAAGGGCAGATACATACGGATTTATACGCGGTGACGGAAGCCGTGTGAAGTTCACGACGGCGAAGCGACCGTAGAAGCGCGACGGAGGCCATTTGGTGCTTGTGGGAGCTTTTACGGTCGAAGGGTTTAAGGTCGGAGATGAACAGAAATGCTTGGCTGCGCGTAGGGTTTAAGGGACATTATAATGAAGAGGAGATTTAGTCTGAAATTACCACTGTAACCTTCTCTCTTCTGGAAACTACCATTGGTCACAAGGGTAATATAGGAACACGCAAGAAAAAAATTCGTGGGCTACAAGTCAGTTTGACATTTTGACTTTCTTCTGTCTAACCTGGGCCCTACATGGGCCTATGGATATCATAGCCCAGTCGAAATACGAGATTTGTGCCAATAATATTAATTTATAAATACTATAGACTGAGTTGTGAGTTCTATAAAACTACTCTCTCACCCTTGTAAAAAAAGGTGCTAAAAGCTAAAGATTCAGTTCAAAAAATCTTCAACAGAAGTAGTATCGTCTTCCTTCTTCTGATTATCATCAGCCACGAACGTTTTCTTGTCCAAGTACTCTTCTTCAATCGTGTCTTTGAGGACGAAAAGCCGCTGAATAACGATAGGTTGGCTCATCTGTTTAGCTTCTCTAATGTCAGTTTCTTCTTTGTTGAGATGGTAAGCATCAAGCATTATCTTAATCCACTTATGCAGCTCTTTGGGCGTCCTGTGTGTTCATAAGCTTTGCTAGAATCAGTGGTTGTGGTTAAAGATGAAACAGAAAAGTTTGGATTTTAAGTTTTTACTTACGTATATAATGCTTTAGGGTCCTTAGCTTCGTGGTCATCGCCAGGAGAGAACGCTGTTGCTAGAGCAGAGAATCGTTCTTCCGGGTCTGTTATGTTGAGCAAGTACTTTAAGAGTTTGATTTCTTTCGGCGTGATGCTTCTAAGACTGCTCTTTGTAGCTTTGTATAAATGATACATTATATCTTTGGCCTGTTCAGAAGATAAAACTTTGATCTGTGAAAAAGTCCCACAAATATGAGAAGATTGTAAAGGTCAATGTTTTTTTTTGGTGATACGATTACCTCATTTGTAACTGTTTGAGACTCTTTAGCAGCAGCATAAGCAGAGTTTATTAGTAAGATCAATGAGGAATCTAGCTCCTTCGCCTTTGCGAGGCTTCTGATCTTATCACAAGCGGCATCCACGGAAGAAGAGTTCAAAATATCGTCAAACTTTGCTTGAGCAGCATCTAAAGTCTCAACAGTCTCCAATGTATTGTCATAAGCACTCACAGCAGATAAACATCTAGCGGAAAGCCTTGCAACAGCTGCTCAAGAAGAACAAAACAGTCATGAAACTGTGAGAATCAATATAAGAAACAGGGTTAGTGTTTTAAGTACCATCTCGGTCTTCTAAGCCATCAAGAGTTTCTGATAACAAAGAGACATAGCGGAAAAACTCTCCCGTGAAGTCTCTGCGTCTCTTGGCAGCGATTGCGTTTATGTCTGTTGGGTTTTCTTGAATCTCCTTCAAAAGGTCATTGTGTTTCTCCATTTCCTCGTCTATCTGCAATAAAATGCTCTCATTCTCAAGTACACAACTACAAAAACTCTTATAAACCCATAAACCAAGATTTATACTAACACTAAGAATACCTTTTTCACTTTACTTTCCAGAGAAATCAGCTTCTGCTTCAGTATGGGATCAGTTTCAGTATCAGCTCGGATTCGGCAACGCTTATAGAAGTTTACACTGTACTTGTTCCATTCATCTCTTAAAACCAAATACTTCTTCCATTGTTTAACCTTAGGTTTCTCATTCAAGAAAAGATCAATGATCTTGTCACAGAACTGAGCCATAGTATAGCCTTCAGAAACCTCAAATTCCATAGGATCCTCAACAGAACTTTTTACTTCCGTACCTAAAACAACACATTGATAATCATCATTATCAAAAATCTTCTGTAATTAGACTAAATCCGAGTCTAAGAAAAGCAAACCCTTTTGTTTCAGAAAACTCCGGAAAACAAAAGTTTCAGGAAGCCTTTCCAGACTTAATCAAGGATTTCGCTTTCTCTACAAAACTCCTGAACCAAATGGCGACTAATAATTCAAATTGGAACCTAAAGGAAATGACACTCTTGGTGGGTCAAGCAGAAAGTTAAGAAATTTAAGGTTTATGAGCTTACTCGTCGTGCTACTGTAAGTGGCAGTGTCAGCAGCAAAGGTGATACTTGAGCTTTTGCGTCTCCTTCTTCCTCCATTGATGAAAGCAGAGTAAGGGAGAAAATGGGTTTGAGAATTATAAAGCGGGAAAGACAGTAATTTATCAGACGAGGAGAAGAAGATTGATGTTTCCAGTAAATTCGCCATTTTTCTCCCCACCTGGAAGGATTGTTCGTCTTGGTGACGACGAAACGACGAGAAACGCCAAGAGGATAAGAAGAACAGGGTTATCTTTGTAAACAATTAAGAAATTTAGACAAATCCGACATTTCCTTTCCTAATTCAGAAAATTAAATTCAGAGATGAGAAATCGTTACAGTAAGGTGTAAATTTTTTTCTTTAACGTTTTACATTGACAATTATATTATCATTAGAACTTTTGGGGCAAAACTGTAAGAACTAACAAACTATGCATCATTTTGTAATTTTAATAAAAGGTAATAAAGGAAAACGAAAAAAAAAATTCGCAGAGAAATTGAATTCATGTTGGTCTAATGGTTCATTGTAAAATAATTTTATTGGTCTGCAGATTACTAAATAAAACTTAACATACCTGATGATCATAATATATACACATAACACATGTTACTCGTAACAGGAGAAATTGGAAAAGCATTCCATAAAACCATATCATATATATAGATATTTTCCAGTGTACATAGTTTTAGTAAAGAGTTGTTTCACTATGCCTATTCTTGAGGCTGGCCATCTCCACCAACTTCAATGTTGCTGGTGTTGAATTGAACACGAGGCTTGCCCATACTGAAATTAAGAACTCTTGCATCCATATTGTATTGTATCTCTCCATCAAACAACATCTTCCTTATGTAATGCTCTACGTCCGATCCTATCAATCTTAATGTATACTCCGTTAATGGTGCTCCCTGTCCAAAACAATAACAAAAATATCTCTATCCATTACTCTCTTTTTCTTAATCCTTAAATAAAAAGAATTATATTCAGTATCAATATTGTCACTACCAAATCCTAGAACGCGGTTCTTGAATCAGAATCGAAACAGAAGTGTAAAATTATTACCTCGTAGTGATCAACGAGTTCTTGGAAATAAGAATAGACCTTGTTACAGCTTTCATCATCCCACACAAACTCTTCAGTAGGATCAAGAATCAAAGTGAGTTTATCCATCTGCGTCTGGTCAAACTCACAAGTCTCTGGATCGATATAAGCAGCATAAATCCTGACGTGACGTGTCACGCTGCTTAGCCACTGACCACCAAACTCTCTTGGCATGCCCGTGCTTTTCACATTTGACTGTTTCTCCACTGGTCTCAATGGCGTTGGCTGCTTCTTCATCTTCTTCTCAGTTTGCTCTTCTTTTATTATCTCTGTTTCCTGTTCCTCGAGTGTACTGTCTTGTTCAGGATTCGTCATCACGAACGCCTTTTGTGTTGTTTTAATTGGTCGGATTTGAGCAGCCATGGGAGGATGTAACAGAGAAAGCTTGGTGCAAGCAGTGTAAGAGAATGATGCAACCATCCTTTTTTTTTTTTGTCTGAAAAATGAAAAAGAGAAAGAGGGAGTTCAAGTTGTGAGATGTTGTCTGGTTACAGAACCATGCTCATGTTCTGTAGAGAGATTTGATGATGAGATTGAGAAATGGCCACAGCTTATGGATGAGCTTCTCCCAATTTTCAGATTTTTTTTCTTTTTTTTTTTGTTTTCATGGTGTTTTGTGGTTTAAATTTTAAAGTCATTTGAGAGGTAAAACAATATTTTTTAAAGGAGGTGAATGCTTTGTTGTTGTATCTGTTATAAATAGCAGAGAATGATCTGAGAAAAGATTTGAATTGAGTTCAACAGTTTTCGCATAATGTGAAATAGAGTTTACATGTATCATCTATACATTCCATGGAAGTTCAAAGCATAATACACGACTTGTCGGATAAGACATTTAGTTCTTGTACTTCATGGTTTCCTTCTCAAACCCAATAGTTGGGAACTGCTTAGCGAATTCCTCGACTTCATGGCGCAGCTTCGCAATCTCTGACTGAATGGTTGAAGAAGATTCCATTGCAGACACAAAATCCTTCAGCTTGGTTCCTGGTTTTAGAACACAACAAAATGAGTCCAATCATCGTTCATAAGAACGGAAAACATAGAATAGCGATCAGAGAAATGAAAAACCTTGAGCTTCAGATTTGACTTTGAGAGCCAAGGTCACAGCTTTGTCGAAGTATTCAGCAACTTTGGCAAAGTCTTCCTCAACAAAGCCTCTGGAAGTGAGAGCAGGTGTACCTGAAAATAGCAATGGCAAAGAATTTCAGGAAAAAAAATCTCCATTTGCATATCCAAAAAAAAAGCTTAACTATGATTCTTACCCATTCTGATTCCACCGGGAACCATGGCAGAAACATCACCAGGAACAGTGTTTTTGTTGGATGCAATGTGAACAGCTTCCAACACTTTCTCAACTCTAGATCCATCAATTCCCTGCATACAAAATTATGAACAACAAAAAGAGTTTGAGCTAAGAATAAAAAAGATGATAAGATAAAAGGGTATACAAAAAGATCAAGTAACCTTGCTCTTCAGATTCACTAGAACCAGATGGTTGTCAGTTCCACCAGAAACAAGTTCATAGCCTTTCTCCATCAGAGTCTGCACCCAACAAAAAAAGAATAAATGAAACTTTTTAGAAATAAAATCAAGTAATCAACAGTAAATAATATCCAAACGGTTAGTACCTGAGCAAACTTGGCAGAGTTACTCAGGACTTGCTCTTGGTATGCTTTATACTCTGAGGTAGTTGCCTTCATTTAACAAACCATATGAAAATTAAATAAACCGCAAATCCAACAAGCAACATTAGTTCCATTCCGTGCCTTCGCTGTACCTGTTTTAAAGCAACAGCTAGTCCGGTAATAGTGTGGTTGTGTGGACCACCTTGAAGTCCAGGGAAGACAGCTTGGTTGATCTTGTCTTCAAAATCATACAAAACCTTTCAAGAACAAAAAATGAATGACATCAAAGAATGTACATAAATCTAAAACATCTCTTTTTTCTTCCAACGTTTGGTTTTTTTTTTTTACCTCTTTCCCTTGTTTGTTAATTTCCTTAACACCCTTCCTGAAGAAAATCATGGCTCCACGAGGTCCACGAAGTGACTTGTGAGTTGTGGTGGTTACAACATCTGCATAGTCGAACGGTGAAGGGATAACACCAGCAGCAACCAAACCACTGATGTGTGCCATATCTGCTAGCATCACAGCCTTTTGCTTGTTACACACCTGACAGAGAGTTTGAATCAAAACTCTTGGTTAGAATAATCTGTTTATCTTTCTTTTTTTCCTGTATGTTGGATTTGGATATGAAATTGAAAATTACCTTTCGGATGCGGGCATAATCATACAATCGAGCATAAGCACTTGCACCAGCAACAATCAATTTCGGCCTGAAAAGAGTCGCACTTTTCTCCATCTGCAAATCAAGATCATGAAGTTCGTATTGTAAGATTAAACCATATGAAGAGGGGTAGTTAGAAACTACCATGATGCTTAATCGAAGAATTAAGAACCTGATCGTAGTCGATGTAGCCAGTGCTCTCGTCCAATCGATAGGGCATTGTTTCAAAGAAGATAGACACAGCAGATATCTTCTTGGTATCAGTCTGATATGAAGTAAATAGAAAAGAAACTGTTATACATCGGAGTCAGAGAGTTTAGAAATGAAATTATTAAAGACAACAGCTGAGTATAGTCATATTCATAATAAGATAATGGGGGTTTAGGTTAAGACACATTTACAAAGTTAACTTGAAGGTACCTGATAACCATGAGAAAGATGACCACCATGAGGAAGGTCAAGTGCCATGATTCTCTCATGAGGCTTTAACAATGCAGTGTAGACATGAAAGTTGGCAGGAGATCCAGACAAAGGTTGCACATTCACTGTATAACCACAGGATTCGAATAAGCCATCAAAGGATGAATAAAGCAGGAAACTCAGATCATTTCTCGGGAAATGCCTAAGAATTAGATGTACGGATACATAAGGCAGAATTATTGTTTCCTCATATACATGAAAATAAATAGTTACCTCCCCACTTTTCAGGATCCAACCGGAAAGCTTCAAGAGCTCGCTTCTGGCATAAGGTTTCCGCCATGTCTATGTACCTTCAAAGCAAAAGGTAGTTAAAGTCAGCATCTTTCTTCATTTTCTTGTTACAGAGATTTGTCAAGCAGTCATGTATAAGATCAGAAACTCAAAAATGTGTTTAATCTGATTTAAATTTCCTGAACATACTCATTTCCTCCATAGTATCTCGCACCAGGATACCCTTCACTGTACTTGTTAGTCATCACAGACCCAACAGCTTGCATCACCGACACAGAAGTGAAATTCTCAGATGGGATGAGTTCAAGTCCCTTGAAAACGTAAGCATAACACAGATCAGCCCAGCTTACAAATTAAGAGAGACTAATCCTAAAATCTCAGATTCTGAGTGGTAAAGAGAGACTAATTAACCTTCCATTGTCTAGCTTTCTCATGCTCAATAATGTCAGCAATCTCAGGATCGACCTCCTCTAAAGGTGCGTTAAGCTGTTTTGGCCACTGCAACAAGCGATTACAGACACATGGGTTTTTGATTAGATCTCTGACCCAAATACAGAAACACATACATCAATTGAAACAAAAGCAGGGCTTCAATAATCAAAATCATTGCTTCAACCACAAGAAACTATCAACAACAAGAGATAAGAAAAAAAGGAGAGGAATTTAAGCTCTCACAGTGACACGAGATTTCTCCTTGTCATCCACAGCTTCACTGGGCAAAGACGACTGTGCGAAACAACAACCAGAAATCAGAAAACCCAAAATCGAAAAATTTCGATAAAATCTGGAGAGAAAGGAGGAATCATGGGGGTTACCATGTAGCATGAAGTGGTGGATCTGATAAGAGGACGAATGGGTTTGTCAATTGAAGAAGAAAGTCTCCGAAGAGCCATCGCCATAGCCATTTTCGCTAAACCTCTCTCTCTACCTCCCTCTCTATCGAAGCCCTAGAAACAGATGTGAACCATGGACGAGAGAGAAAGAGAAGACAAAAAAATAACAATTGGGTTTATCCTCTGGAGAGAAGAAGAGAGAATTGTGGCCTCTGCTTTTGGCTGAGCTTTTGGTGGTTGCAGAAAGTTTTCGAATTTTTTCCCCTTCTTTCTTTTATATTTTCTTCTGTGAAAAAAAAAAATAAAACCTTTTATTTTATTTTTGGGGTTTCTTGTCGTTATCTCAGGTCACACAGTATCTCCACCAACGTTTGTGAACTGAATTCTAAATTGTGATAATTGATGACGACGATGTTATTTTTTTTATATATGCTTTCTGTCAACGATCAACGGTCAACGATAACCAATTTAGTTTTTTTTTTTTTTTTGGTGAATCCGTCGAACGATGTGGTTGGTAAAAAAAGAACACTTTCGAATCACATAATGAGATTTTTCTTTGATGAGATTTGTTTCCTAAAGTGTAGATTATTTATGAAGAATTTAGATAAAAATCATATGAATGTTTTTTCTGTTAATTAGCGAATTTCTATGGTTATAAAGACCATATATATTAATATATACTCACGATGAGTATAGTAAACACCGGATTTTACTTGTACGGTTATAGATATATATGCTTTGATTATATATATTTCAATTTGAAATGCACAATAGAAAGAAAAAAAATATGATTGATGAGAAGAAACATGCTGCTTATCATGGCTTGGTTTCTTGGAGCTTCTTCTTTGTTTCCAATAAAAACCAAACCTTTGATTTGTTCTTCAGCATCATGATATCTTCGAACTTCAATCTGTGAAATTTTTCTAACGAGTTAATTACATAAATATATAGAAATGCATAAAGTGTTTTTTGTGATTCACCAAGAAAATTCTACCATTCGCTTGCTCTTGGTGGGGTCTCATAATCGGAATGCTCGGGTTGGCTGAGTTGCAGCCGAATCTGAGTATATTGGGATTCATCATCCGCGACAGCTAGTTCACGGTGTATAAACCCGTTTGTGCTCGCCGTATAAGCCTGCATGACCCATTGAAAGTGCGAATTATTTCAAGTCAAAGCCATAATCACTTCAAAGCACTAATTATTTCAAGCAAAAAGGAGTTTGTAAGTTGTATGTGTTTGTTACCTTTTTGTAGAGCTCCACATTTTCTTGATGAATCCGTTGTACTTTTCTAGATAACTCGAGATTTTCCTGATGAATGAGGTTCCTCTGCACCACGAGCAACGAAAATCGCAAGATAAGAATTGTGGTAACTTAATTATGTTTTTATTGGAAAATATAAATAATATATATAAGAAATATGGTGTAGATATATACATATCTCATTGTGACCTTTTGGCTTAGTTCTTGGATTTCGTGAGTCAACATTTGTTCCTGTGAAATCCGGAAAAGCAATCGATTCTATTGAATTCCGCTGTGCTCTATAGTCACTCTATGAGCATCACACTCCAATGTACATTTATACAAGGGAGAGACTGTACCTTTTTCATGCGAATCCCACGCAAACTTAGCTCCAGTTGATTCTCAAGATTGTTTAGCTCATTGACGCTCAAACCATTTAGTTGCTCCCCCATAATTTGCCTGCTTCATAGCGAACATGTTGTCACATTCTCTAAGTAGAAGTTTCCTCTTTTCTTTATTTTTACTTCTTTTCACCGATTTTCTTATCAGCAACAAAATTCTTAAAGATGATTTATGTTATAAAATTGTAGTTGAAGGCGATACCGATGATTTTCTTGCAAAGCATGCAATTCTTGCCTTAGAACCGCAGCCTCTCTCTGCCAAAACTATGACACACAACACAAATAACTCATCAAACTTTGAACTTAGTAAACCAAATTCTCATTTCCATACACGATTCTAAAACCTCAATCAATATAATCACACATTCTAATGTTTGTCTAGATACCTTGACTTCTGATGCGGGGTTCAATAGTTGTTGTTGCTCGATCTTGCTCTTGTTGTATCTATCAATAACTGACTTCATGCTGTTCAAAATAATATATAGTAACTTGCTCATAATTCACTCGTATTTTATACCAATTATCACAGTGATCGAATATAAAAGATTTTTTCCATAGAGTTGATTGAGAAATCTTCCACCTCGTCCATTGAAAAGCTTTCATACACAAAGAGAAAACTAATAGCCTCAAAGTTTTGCAGTATCCTTATTATGTACTATATATATACAATACAGTTCTCAGTTTTTGTAATAGGCAATATATATATATATACAATACACACATAGAGATACAGACTTATTTAAACTAAATAAACTACATATTTAAACTAACTAGATAGATGGTAGTTTCTTTTCCAATTTACAAAGAATTGCTAGAATTTATTTTTCGTTTGGCGTATATAAGCAAGAACACTGAATCAATTTAATTAAGAACCAAAAAAAAAGTTAATACGCTCGGTCACAAATATAATGCATTGATATGGCACACTTTTTATACTAGATTCAACACACATTAACATGTGTTCAAGGTATATCGTGGTGTTGGTTAATTTAAAGAATGGTAACCTCAACTATCCTTTCTTATATCTATAGTATCTCACATAAGAGGTGCTCTTTACTATTTAATCAAGGAAAGAATCATCAAAGTTTTGGTTGGATAAATATGCATTCATACTATACATGATTTTTTCAAAATAACTAAAATATTTATGTTTATTTTAGATGAATTTTTTAATGTTAATAATGTTTCTGATCTATAATATTGGGATGGAACATATATCCATGAATATAGAACCGTCAATCAATATATTTTTTCTTTACATTTGTTATATTATGACAGAATGATTTGATGACTCGATATCTTTACCATTATCTATGCAGGACCGTTACCATTTTTTCATATTGATTAGTTATTAATTGACGGTTCTCTATTTAAGGATATATGACAGAACGATCAGATGAAAGAAAATAGTCACTATTATGCACATATAGTGTTAAATCGTTCTGTCATGATAAATAGTTCTATACACAAAATATCAAGATGTTTATGTTTATAATTACAAATCGATCATTTGTTATTGAAGTAGATTAAATCATCTCCTAGTTTACTGATACACGTGTAACTAAATCCCTCTCCACACCAATCATTCACCCTCTCTTTGTGGTTTCCTTATAACTAAATCCCTCTCCTTGTTGGTTTCCTTATAACTCTCTTTTAGCTTTCCAAAACTGATGTTTGAGCATTTACTAGGCTTGTTATCTCATCTTCTAAAAAAATTCTAAATTTGGACCTTAGATACACATTTGTATACGTGTAGATACACAAACACATGTTAAGGAAGTACTTTAAACATACTGATGTCTACACACATTCACTCGAATATTAACCCAAGCAACAACTTCAAATTAAACTTCTTCAGTTTCAAAGATATCATTCTTCTTTAATTTAAACTTCTAGCCTCATTTTCAATCTTTCTGTTAAAAAAATATATACTTTGTCGGCTATACATACACATCTTATTGTACATATAGTAAAATGTTATATGTTCTACCGACCGCAAGATGAAACAAAATTATATCACTACAAATTGAATAAATCACGCAACTATATACATCTCACCGAAATCCCCCAACCCGTAACATAAAATTATGTAAGTACCGTATACACACACACATACACACTTCCATATATATCCACACAATCAAGAAGATGTAAAGATTTCAGATTAAATAACTGTAAAAGAGGAACCTGGAGCTGGCAAAGTCATAAAGCTTTCCGGTGCTGGAGAAGATGATGAGACCGACCTCCGCGTCGCAGAGAATAGCTAGCTCTTTGGCTTTCTTGATAAGACCTTTTCTTCGTTTGGAGAAAGTGACTTGTCTACTAGTAGAATCATCGATCCTTTGGATCACAATCTTCCCTCTTCCCATCAATTTTATCCTCCAATTGATTCTCCTCCGGTTCTTCTCTTTTCTAGGGTTTTGTTTTTTTAGATCTTAGCAAGACCAAAAGGGAAACGAAGAAGAAGAGGAACATATAAGGAGAAAGAGAAAGGAAGAAAGAGAGAGATAGGAAGGTTGAGCCAAGAGTCAACAATCTATTCGAGGAATAAACTAAGGATATATATGCATATGAACACATATATACACACAGACTCCCCACTTATTTTGAGACATTTTTGGCAGATTTAATATATAGTAAGTACTAAGTTTCTAGTCCAAAAATAGTATTTGTGCGTAACTGTAATAAATGTTGAGAAAAAAGTAAAGGCAAACAACGAATTAGAAAGAGGTTATTATAAAGTTCCTAGGTTAAGACTTAAGAGAGTAGGAGTGAAATAATACTAAACGTAGTGTGCTTTAGGTAAATTTCCATTATCAACAATATTTTCTCTTTAACAAGTCCGTACATGTTTATAATTTATTTTTAGTCTTACTCAGATGTCATGTGGCAATAGTGAATGGGCGCATCACAGGACTCTGTTTCTCTGACAAAAACCTCTTGCTTTATATGCTGCTTTTCTTAATTTATTGGGTCATAAAGAAAAACATTAAGATATTAAGGACCTTATTATGGTCATAGGAAACAATTAAAATATTAAATGGATCTGTACAAAAGATTTTACCCAAAAAAGTGGATTGAACAAAATACATGGTACAAATAGTCCATACAACTTTCTGTTAAAATACAAATGTATTAAAAAAAATTGTGCCAATGAGTATAAAAGAATTTGTTAAGTACACGTGTCAGACAGGAACTTGGAGTTGCGGCGATTCATTATAATAATTGTTTTGTCCTAAGTTTCCAGATATGGCAAGAAATTGTGTATGTAAGATAATTAACATTTGCTAGTTTCGACGCCTTAAATGCTATCAAAGCTAGCAAGTTTTGTGTTTTAAATGAAATCCATACTGTTTCTTCTTGTGTGCGTTTAAACCTATTAATTACACTTTACTAATTTTTTATACCAAAAAAAAAACTGAAATGCTAGTGTTTATGAATAGTAAATTTTATCTCAAACTCAATATTCTAGTGTCCTGTTATTGTTTGTATATGCAGTCATAGTTGTAACAGTAGAATTTGTGACTGTAGATATAATAATGTAAGTCCGAAAAAAATTAACTTGGTAAACTTTAACATCGTGGCTAAAAAAAGTGTATTACTTAATGAAACTATATAGATTTTTTTTTGGGACATCATGAAACTATATAGATAATATGCAGAAACAGCTCCTGAGAACACCAATTGATGGATGTCTTCGCACGCTTCACCGCAGAATCCGTACACCTGGTCCTTTTTAAAATTATTTTGTTTTATTTACAGTTTCGCTTTCCGGTTCAGGTAAATTACTTTGCTTCCCATGATATTTCGAAATCGCAATAATAGTATATGTTAACAAATAAAAAGAAACGAAACCGTATATACAGGTTGTTAATGATTCTACTTACTCCAGATCAAACTAATAACGAACATACTGTTTTTTCACCATTTGTATTTTTGTTTCAAATTACTTTAAACCAACCACTGACCCAAAAGGTGAAATTGGTGAAATATTAGTATTCGTTTGATTTTTTCAGTCCATTCCAGAAATGAAACAGACCATAAATATAGTCCGGAATTGAGTGAGCAACCATTGAAGACCAAAAGTTTCTGATGATCGAATCAAAACCAAACCAAACAATATTAAATTTGATTTGGTTTAACAAATTGCTTTTAAACCGAGCTAAACCAAATCCAAACCCTAATCAAATTCAACGGAAGAAATAATGAAATATTAGAAGATTAAGGTGGGGCCCAAGTGGACAACATGGTAATAAGGATCCATAAGGACCACGTGGGCTCGACTGCTTCGAACCAATCACATCTCGAATCTCAAACTCAACTTCAGATTTTTCTCTTTTTTCTATTAACAACGAATCTTGAAGTGGCTTATAAGTGACCAAATCCCCATTTATCGTTGTCTTTAGATAAAAAGATTTAGTTTCATTCACGCCAGGTGTCAATCATCAGCGAATCATTTCGATTTTACCAATAATAATCATTATTCTCTTTAGTTCGACGGGTTAACTCTTTTTTTTTTTCTTGCTGAAAGTGTTAACTCTCCTTTTTTTGTTCCAGATATTTGAAGTCCAAATAAGAAACTATCTACAATTGTCATTCTTTGTTTATATTGGTTTTCTTAATACCCCTATACTAATATCTTTGTCTGTATTTTTTTTTTTTTACTATATAAGAATTAGTAACCATTCTTAAAAGATTTTTTTTAGTAATGACTAAATCAAATATCTAACACATGTATAGAAGCTATAATCCAGAAGCTAGTTGCCAAACAACAAAAAATAATAGATTTCATAGATGACCTAATTTTGTTGGACCAACATTTAATTTCTTACTTAAGTATGGTAGTGTTTAATAACACACCCGTACTGACTACATGATGTTGAAATAGATATCAATATTCATTAATCATATAATGTATATTGTTTATATTCTATAAACACCAACAGGCTTAAGGAATATGTAGTTTTTTTCAGGAGATTCTTCTAACTTTTACAGTTTACACCAAGTAAGTTTTTATGTCAGCTATTTGTCACACCACTTCAGCGTGTATCAAACCAAATAATATTCGATCTTTTGGCACAATTGATGCTCAATTAGATTGAACTTAGAAACCATGCGTTTATGTTATACATGATAACTTAACTATCTATCAAAAAGTGATATTCCAATTAATTTGGCGTGTTAGCCAAGATTGGAGATCGTAGTTCAACCATATACATTTAATTGATTACCGCTAATTTCCATTATTTTGCAATGTTTAGATAATGTAAAATTACCTTGTTGTTATATTGAATATGTTTTTTTTTTCTTTTCTCTGGGTGATGCTGTGAAATATAGGCTATGAGAGGATACTAAGAGTGATAGTGTGAATAATAATAAACCTTATTTAGATTATTGACCGGACCAAGAAAAGCAGATAAGCTGTTGTCCCTTTTGATGTTTAAAAATTAAATCCCACATGATCTTTCGGTCCATGAAGTTTTAAATTTTATCCTACTTTTTTCCAGAGTTTCGAAGATAATTATTATAAATAGTAGTACTTAGTAGCAAAGGTCGAGTTGAAAAAATGGCCTTGGAACTTGAATACTGGTGGAAATTGTACCCGATGTTCCAAAGTTGTAGGCCATATTATTTCATTTTTATCTTTTCTTCTCTGATAGTAGCAAGTATAAGTAATAAAGACAACATTTGAATGCTATGATTACTATATATATTAGATAACTACAAATGATGATACCAACGAATCATGGTGTATTAGTTTTATAAGTTGCTACAGAAACTAACTTTTTTGGACAAATAATTAAAAAGTTTTTTGACAGGGCACGGACGTGAAAGATATTAGAAAATCTCACGTTGAAAATGGAGATGATTCATAATTAATACTGTATAGAATAGATATAACTGTCTGTTAACTTATAGTTTTGAATGAAATGTCCATAATTATACATCGGAATAAAGCTTCATAAACTTGTAGAGATGTAATCGATCTAAAGATAGAGTAAAGTTTGGTTTAGGATAAATGAGGGAAAATTTTCATCATCACGAAAGAACATGTTATTTTACTATTATTTTATTCCTATTATTTTATTTTTCTTCATTTTTCTTTTTTATTCCTATTGAATGAGGTTTAAATCTTTAGTATTTTTTGACCCCAAAAAAAAAAATCTTTAGTATTTGAGCTTATTCTTTTCAGGTTATGGTTGTGATTTTAAGATTTAAGGATTTATGATTAATTTTCACGATTTATGGCTTATGATTTAGAATTGGAACAAAGATATTTGTTGTTAGAAATACGGAAATCCAATCCCTGCCTAACGAATACACACTAAACAATTAGAAAACTTATAAAAACCAGAAGTTTATAACTGAACTCGAATCAAAAGGCAGACACACTGACCAACGTAAATCAATTGGAACTGAAAGATGAAACTTGAGAATATACCATAATTAGCACTGTGCATTTGATAACCAATAAAGCAGTCGAGATCAACGGTAACACTAGTTGAAAATCTCATCATAACTCACTAGTATTAAAATTTGATATTTTAATTAATGATTCCTTACACAGTTCTTAAAGTAATCCAAGAAATGTGAGAGCATGATTTAAAGCGATAGTGTGTTCCATAATTGAGCATAGCTCAAAAAGGAATTGACAATTAATTTTACTCAGAGTGGCCAAATTGTATCTGTCCTTTTCAAATTAATTAATTTGATCTTAAGATTCATACTTTGTTATAATACACGCCCCTTAAATAGAAATGTACACATTAATATTTGATCGATCTGGATTTCCTTTAGTGTCATCTTACCTATCGGAAAGTTATACAATATTTCTTTGCTGGATAAATAGCTAAAACTAAAGTGTTAGGTAAGTGTGGATGTATTTTTCTAAAATAAAAATCTGGAAGATGTCATAAAATGATCACTTCTTAATATTAAAAAATAATATAAAAAATAATATTACTGTTGAGAGACGGAAAAGCTAGAAAATATATGACATCTAATATATTTGATCTGCTTGATACATTTGAAAAACTAAAACATTTCGTATTTAAATTCAGATATCAAAACCATAAATTGTGTCAAAACTAAAGTAAAATCTGAATATTTATTTATTTTCTTCTCAATTTGATTTATCAATCAAGATGTTATAATCCATATTCATTATATTAATTCATTTAATATGCATACAATGTATCATAAAATAACATATATTATGTGATAATATTTTTAATTATATAGAGAGATCATTTATTTTTTATAAAATATACTTGAAAATAATATATGAAAAAGTAGATTTATTTCTAGATTTATTTTTGCATTTTTTTTACTTTTTCTGACTTATTTAGTTTATAAACTATCATTTTATATGTTAATATATATTCAACTACTTTTGACTAAATGTATTACGCGTCTCCTGATAAAATCCTGACTCCTGACTACATCCTGATTAAATCAAACGACCCAAACCAAAATATTTATCCCGATGACAGACACACGATATTATTGATATTATCATATGTAAGTATAGTATGCCAATCTAATAAATATTATTGATATTTGCATAATCTTAGTGCCATGATTCGATTTGTAAGAACTTCCTTATCAATGGCCTAGAAGCCCATTAACCAATACTTAATTATCCCTTCGAAAATGTTGTCTCGGGAACTTTAGAGTTAAATAAACTCTGTATATTCAGAACCAGGTCGTCTTTATACGTCATAACTAACTAATGGTGTAATTTGCTCTCCAGAAAAAAAAAAAAAATAAAGTTAGTGAAGCACACTCGGGCATGAGCTCCAATTGAACTTCTAAGAGATGGGTTAAAATTTTTGGAAATAAGATAACGTACGTGAACGTAGTCACTTTACTTACTCTGGTTCTCACAAGTCACAAAATAAAAAGGAAACAAATCTGAGATATAGTATAAATTCACCTCCTCCGCGCGCCTTAGCTAGGATCTGAGTTATTTAAAGTTTGTGATCTCTTTTTTTGTTAATTACAGATTTTATTCTAGCTAAATAAAATGGTAAATTAAAATATTTTACGAGATTTATATATAACTTTCTCGGTGGAAAGAGTTCGTCTTCTTCTCCAAGGAATCAAAGCTGCAAAAAGAACTCAACAAAGAGAAGAAAATTAGTTAAATATTATAAGTCAACGTACGTGCTTACATATATAAGATTTCTTTGTAATTCTATTATCTGTGTAATGAGTTTTAGAACACAGAGTATGATTTCGGGGTAAAAACTTTTGTTGGAAGTTCAGTGAATCTAACTGCATTTTAATTTTATAAGTCAAATTTTTCTTTTTGCCGGAAGTTCAGTGAATTGACAAAGGAGATGAAAAACAGAGCTATGGGAATAAAAGCGGGTCGGGTTATGATTCATATTTTTGTTCTGATTTTCCTTCTTCAATATGTTCATTCCCGAACGTCGCGGTATGTTTTCCTCAACTTCTATGTCTCTCACTAAATCGGGTTCTATGAAACTATTCTATTGGATTATTGAAACTCAATTAGATTTTTCAAAGACTTGTGATTTTTTAAATATATTTTTTTTGAAAATTTTGATGGAAACTCTTGTAATATCTGTGTTTTTGGGATTGGTCCTATGCTTCAATCTTGTTACTTTTTATTTTCATTTTCGAAATTCATATGTTAAAAACATTTGAGTTATTTCTCTTTTGGTATCCAATCCTAAGATGAATCTACATATAGGTCCATGCACATATTGAAGTGAACATTTTGATTTTTCTTTTATTTGAATTCTTCATTTTTCATTCTAATTTTTGTTTCCATTACAGAAACAAATTAAATATCGCAAAAGCGGGACAAAAGCTTGTATCTCTAGTTACGCTTAAGAAAGATATCCCTAACCTAGTACGGTCAAATGTCTTATTCATCTTTTATATATCTGGTTTAATTATGTTACAATAAAATTATGTTACGATAAGGTTTTATTCTTTTAATATCTTAGAATATTTGGGTTCAAAACATTGTTATACATGAGATTTGTTGCTTATTTTGTTGTTATTTAAGGTGGTCGTTGATAATGGTATTATACAAGTCACCTTCTCGAATCCATCAGGCTTAATAACTGGAGTCAAGTACAATGGCTTTGACAATGTGTTGAACGACCAAATTAAGAATCGCGGGTACGATACATCATATCTAAATTTATATAGCTTGTGAGAAATGTAGTAAAAATGTTCCGTACGTACGTTTGATATTGGTAATACTAATATATGTAAAGGTATTGGGACGTAGTATGGTATGAACCAGGACAAAAGCCGTTGACAGATTTGTGAGTTTTGGAATCTCTCTAGTCTCTTCGTATCTTTTTGTTTAACATACATGTACATAACCACAACTACTATACACATATATTTATTTCATATTAATATTATATTTTAACAGTTTAATTGGAGAAAAATTCGATATAATAAATCAAACAAGTGAGCATGTCGAAGTTTCATTTTCAAGAACATGGAAGATCTCTCAACGTGGCTCGGTAGCCCCATTAAACGTAGATAAAAGGTACATCAATTTGGAACAACAACAAAAAATTTGTCTTGATAAATTAAATATAGAGTAATCATAATAAAGTATTTTTTATTTAAAAAGATATATAATTCGAAGTGGTGTGTCTGGAGTACATATGTACGCTGTGTTAGAGAGGTTAAAAGGTTGGCCGGAAGTGAACATGGACCAAACCAGGATCGTCTTCAAGCTTAACACAACAAAGTAACCATTGTATTTTATTAGAAAAAAAAACATACATATATTTTAGTAAAAATGTTGTGGTTGATACATTTTTTTTTTCTTTTCTTGTGAACATTTTTCAGATTCGATTTCATGGCTTTATCAGATAGTCGACAGAAAATCATGCCTTCTGAAGAAGATCGAGATGTCACCAATGGTAATGCTAGTCCATTGGCTTACAAAGAAGCTGTTCGATTGATAAAACCAAAAAATTATATACTTAAAGGGCAGGTATATAAAAATCGATCCACAAAATTTCGACTTCCCTATATATATAAAAAAATTGTATCTATGAATCTTATTATTTTAACACCGGCTATGCATATGAGACCGCTACTACCAATAATAGGCGGTTAATAAGGAAATAAAAAAGGGTGAGAGCAAAGATTTGACTGGGGTAAAAATGATTGGTTGTGACGCAGGTTGACGATAAGTATATGTACTCAATGGAAGACAAAGACAACAAAGTGCATGGTTGGATTTCGTCTGACCCACGTGTCGGTTTGTGGATGATAACTCCCAGCGATAAGTTCCGTGTTTGTGGGCCCGTCAAACAAGATCTCACTTCTCATCTAGGACCCACCATCCTTTCCGTGAGTCCATCATCCTCTCTCTCAATCGCAACTCAATTTCGAACTTTTTTTTTTTTCGTTTACGACTCAATGTCGATTTTAATCGTAGATGAAAAATAAGAAAGAAATAAGTGTATTTTAAAGTGTGCTAAGTTGGATCGGTCTAAGCCAAAAAGTAAAAAATATTGGTTTCCCGTTTTATTAAAAATGTTTGAAGAATGATTTTTAAAAATAATAAAATTTTAAAAGTAAATAAATAATGTGGAATGTAAATGAAATATATAAAATTCAATCTGCTGATTCTGTGAACTTGAAATATATGTCACCTTTTTCTCTTAACTATTCGGTTTTAAATAAGAAAATTGGGTATTTAGATGTTTACAAGTACACATTACGTGGGAAAAGATATGGACACAACCTATACAAGCAAGGAGCCGTGGAAGAAGGTGTTTGGTCCTGTCTTTGTTTATCTCAACTCTGCCACCTCTCCTAATCTCCTATGGACTGATGCTAAACGACAGGTCTCGATCGGTATTATCGTGATTTCAATTAGTTTGAATCACCATGATTATTGTTATCTATATTTAATCTTTTAAATTAAATAACTGTTTTAGATGGTTGCCGAGGTCCAAAGCTGGCCTTATGATTTCGTGAAGTCAGTAGATTACCCTCTTCGCCACCAAAGAGGAACAGTCAAGGGTCAATTCTTTGTCATGGACAGGTAATTATATTCGGTCTTCGGATTTATTTTGAAATTCTATCTCACGTACATAGCTTCACAACACTTTTTTAATCCAAATGTGTGAAATCATGGATTTTATAGATACATAAGCAAGTCGAAGTTATTTGGGGAATCTGCTTTTGTGGGTTTAGCAATACCTGGTGAAGTTGGTTCTTGGCAAACCGAAAACAAGGTACTATAATTTAAAATTTTTAATTATACTAATATACTATTGGCATGGCGGATACATGCTGTAGAGAGTAATCTAAGTTTCAGTATGAGACTTTTTGGATGAAAAAAAAAATATTACTTTATTTTATCAAATTTGCTATTTATATTGTTGGCATACACAAAGATTTATATTTTTTTCATTCCCACATTTTTGGAACCGAAATCAAAATGTTCTGCACTTACCTGCACGCGATATTCAACGACGACATGACTTTACTCTCAAAAGGATTAAACTAACGGCTTGTAACAATATTTTAATATAAAATTTGGACAAAGGGATATCAATTTTGGACACGAGCAGACAAAGTGGGGATGTTCACAATAACGAATGTGAGACCAGGGAAGTATAGTCTCTACGCATGGGTTTCTGGATTTATTGGTGACTATAAATACGAGCGTGACATTACCATCACACCAGGTATATTTCAATATATTTATTTTAAAAAATGAAAAATGTGTTTAATAAAAAGCTCACTTGAGACCATGATGTATACCTTATAGTACACGTTGTTTGAAAGAAAGAAAGAAAAAACCTCGTAGAATACACGTTGTTTGAAAGAAAAAGAAAAACTTACTGTATTTAGATCCATACAGAGAAGTATAATTAAGGCGCAATTAAAAGCCCAATTATTGTGGCACAACAAGGATAAGTCAATTGATTCATTTGTGTGTTTGGTTTGGTGTAGGTATGGAGATAAACGTAGGAACCATTGTGTACGAGGCGCCAAGAAACGGTCCGACACTGTGGGAGATCGGAGAACCGGATCGGACCGCCGCAGAGTTCTATATCCCTGATCCGGACCCAAGCCTTTTGACCAAACTCTATCTTAATTCCTCAAATCCTTCCCAAGACAAGTAGTATAATTATAACACCCGACCAGATATGATTAACCGTATATATATATATATATATTTTAAATATACTAAATGGTATTTTATTTATAACTATACAGGTTTAGACAATACGGTTTATGGGATCGTTACAGTGTTTTGTATCCTCGAAACGATCTTATTTATATTGCTGGAGTGAATGACTATAAAAAAGACTGGTTCTATGCACATGTCACCAGGTAATACATATATTTTAATTTCAAATGTTGTTTTATCCACTTAAATCAATTGATACAAAGAAAATTTTTCTATAATATTCAGAGATGCTGGAAATGGGACATTTCACGAAACAACATGGCAAATTGTGTTTCATTTAAAAACAGTGAATCAAACGGGAAACTACACACTTCGAATGGCTTTGGCTGCAGCCACGACTGCGGATTTGTTTGTTCGGGCTAACGAAGCTAACTCCGAACCTATTTTCACGACTGGGTTTATAGGTCGAGATAACGCGATTGCTAGGCATGGTGTTCATGGGCTGTACAGGTTGTACAATATCAATATTCAAGGAAAATTGCTTAGGGTTGGTAATAATACGATTTTGCTTACTCAAAATCGGATCACTAGTTCGGTTATAGGTGTTATGTATGATTATCTTCGTTTGGAAGGTCCTTCTGGAGTTTGATAGCCTGTTTCATAAAAATGAGATAATGCCAGAAGTTCAAAAACCAACCCATTTATAAATAGCATAATTTTCCCTTTTTAAAACTAGTTAATTAAATAAAAAAAATTGAATATGACATTCTTTCAAAGTTAATGAAAATGTTTTGGTATGACTGTATCAGATAACATTCTATTAAAATTAAGACAATGTTTTGGTATGATGCATACCAAAAGTGCTCTTGAATCAAACGACAGCGTTTTTAGATCCTATCTTATCATATATATATATATATAAAATAAGGGTGTGTACTTTGGTCCTCATAATTACTCGAAATTAGAGAAAGAAAAGAGTGATAGATGGAGGGGTTAGGAGAGAGAGAGCAGAGCGTAGATGCGTTTGGTTGGGCCGCGAGAGACTCTTCAGGCCATCTCTCTCCATTTGCTTTTTCTAGAAGGTAACGTGAATGAGTGATGGTGTGTTATGTACATGATGGATGGTTAATGTAGCCATGATGTGGATGATGATGATGTTACATGATGGTATGTGCAGAGAAACAGGAGAAGAAGAAGTGAGAGTGAAGGTGCTATACTGTGGAATATGTCATAGTGATCTCCATTGTCTCAAGAACGAATGGCATTCCTCTGTTTATCCTATGGTTCCTGGGTACGCAATTTCTTGTTTTTTCTTCTTCTCACAAATATATAATATATATTTATTTAAATTCATTAATTATGTCAAAAATCAAAGCGTTAATATATATATAGTATAGACTTATAGTCCAGTGTTTTTGTTTTCTTTTCAATTGTAAGAAATTTCAATAGATCAACAAATTCTAATAGATCCAAAAAAAACTTTAAATTTCGATCCAAAAACACATCTTAAGAAAGGTAAACTTTGATTTGTGATGCTTTAAATAGTAGCAAGAGCCAACTGTTTGGTTCATAACTCATAATGTTAAAAATATATAGGTCATTTTATTTTTTGTAGGTTTTCTCGTTCTGAACTGGTTTGTTAACCTGGTTCTGTTTTATTAATCTAAATTGACCCAAAAAAAAACAGTCTAGGTTTAAATATCCATTTGCCCACTTAGTTATTTTTCAGATTGGTGATATGACATTCTACCATATCACATGTATCAAAAGATTAATATTAATATTAAAATAGTCGATTTGGTTGGTAAATTTACGTACTAGAGACCAAAATAATAATTAAGTGGAATTAAATGTGGCAAATTCTTGTTCGCCCACTATATTTATAGTGGAGCACTTAGCTCTTTTCTTTTGTTAAATTAAAACATTATTAGACAGATAAATCAATTAGTACTCTCGCATTTTTGCCGAAATTGAGCACTCACCTCCATTATTACCACCATCACTTAAAGTTGACAATTTTTACTAGCCTTTCTTCTTTTGTCAGAGTTGACTATTACTACTTTATAGCCTTATAACCTCTTTTCATGTTCCGATAAACGATTAAGCATATAGTGACTATTATTAATAAATATTATTGTCTATATATAATTTCAATTAAAAATGATCAAAAATAAACTCTTTCATTTTTTGTTGTTGTCTACTTTCTCAACTCTTTAAAAAAAAAATTTAGACAAGTTACTGAGCCAGATTATTCGTCAGATCATGATAAAACTTATCCGACCAATCGGGTTTTAAAAGAATGACTACAGTCCTATTTAAATAGATCATACGTTTCGTAATTTTTTTTTTTTACTATTTTCTTAACTTTCCTAACTATACAAAATGATTTTAAAAACATGGAAAGAAAAGATACATAAAAGTGTGGGTTGTTTATCACAGTCACGAGATCGTTGGAGAAGTGAGTGAGATAGGGAGAAAAGTTAGTAAGTTCAATATTGGTGATAAAATCGGTGTGGGATGCATAGTCGATTCGTGCCGCACGTGCGAGAGCTGCCGTGAAGATCAAGAAAACTATTGCACCAAAGCAGTCGCAACCTATAACGGAGTTCACTACGACGGGACGGTTAACTACGGTGGATACTCGGATCACGTTGTTGTCGACGAACGTTACGCCGTCAAAATTCCCCACACGTTACCTCTTGCTTCGGCCGCACCTTTGCTTTGTGCAGGTTTAAGTCAAATCAAAATATTATACGCTTCGTTTATTTGATGATCACTGTTACTAGTCCGCAATTTATATCTTCAATCTTGTAAACTTATAACAAAATAACACTAATTTCAGATACCAAAATGTACATTTCGTATCTTATGGGTTTTATGTATAGGCATCTCGATGTATAGTCCTATGAAGTACTTTGGATTGGCCGGACCGGGGAAACATGTCGGAATTGTGGGGCTAGGCGGTCTTGGACACATCGGGGTGAGGTTTGCTAAAGCATTTGGGACTAAAGTCACGGTGGTTAGTTCGACCGTGGGGAAATGTAAGGATGCTCTTGAAAATCTTGGAGCTGATGGGTTCTTGGCCAGTACTGATGATGACCAAATGCAGGTAAGAACATAAACAGTATATCAATTTTCAGTGTAATTTTTTTTATATCGAATTTTAATTACTGAATTAATACTATGTTAGGCTGCAATGGGAACTATGGATGGCATAATCGATACTGTTTCTGTATCACATTCAGTTTTACCATTAATTGGACTACTCAAATCCAACGGTAAACTTGTTCTACTCGGTGCAACGGAGAAGCCTTTCGACCTACCTGCATTTTCCTTAATCATGGGTATATAATAATCATAAGTATAGACTGTTTTAACTGTTTAGCTGGTATTTTTCTTTTTTTAAAGTCTTTTGCATCTAGATCGTTAAATATAATGAAATCGTGATTCGATAGGACGGAAGTCGGTGGCGGGAAGTGCTATCGGAGGAATGAAAGAGACGCAAGAGATGATAGATTTTGCAGCTGAACATGGCATAAAAGCAGACATTGAAGTCATATCCATGGATTATGTGAACACCGCCATGGATAGACTTGCAAAGGGAGATGTTAGATATCGGTTTGTCATTGACATCGCCAACACATTGGCTGCTACTCGATCTTAACTAAACTTGATATATTCACATAATCATTAGTCCATATTTCTACTCTGACCGTGTCAAAACGGGAGAACGAGTTTTTATATAAACAAGAGTGTGACCAAATAAATGTAAGTTGAGTGATTATGAGTTGGACGCAAACGAATGACTTGATTTTCAGAAGCTAAAGTATTTCTAGTTCAAATTCACACTATTTTTTTTTTTTTGAGATTGTTAAGTATATGAAACCTTGAAACTGAATCGTATGACTAATTTTGATTGGAATTATTAACATGTTACTTTCTTCGAGAATATTATATTATCGGTCTATCGATCATCAAATCTTATTCTAGGATTGTTATTATACTTTATTTGGATCAATCTACTTTAATCAAATTAAGACTTAAACCAAGTCTCCCTTTTGTTTATATTACTCTGATTTTGTTTTTAGTAACTTCTGATATGGAATTCAATATACGAGTTTTCACATCTATCTTTATTTTTACTTTTCTAATTTTATTACTTCTTGTTGAGACAACGTCATAGAATCATTAAATTGTCGAAAAAGCTAGTATTATTTAACTCTCATTAAGTTACTTTTGTAAGTTTTGTTGTAGTCTTGGCATTATTTATAGTTTGTATACATGGTATAAAAGCTCGGAATGGCCCGTACACACTGACTTGTCAGAGTGAGATGTGAACGGAGCGCGGACCTGCAAGAAAAATGTTTATATGATTATATATATATGTGGTTGAGCAAAGTCCCACATGTGGACTAAATTTTATCGTGAAAATAATCCCGCCATTCACGCATTGTTCACACATTTTATGCATTGCTGCAGGCAACGACACTGACCCATTTTCCATGAAACATCTTTTGATAGTTATGTAGTTAAACGAGTTAATTTGCTTTAATACTAAAAATAAAAACAATACTCATAAATTTAAATTCTAAAACATTTTAATCCTGCGTTTACGTTTACAATTAACAATTTATAACTCTTGGTTCGTTTGGAAAAACTGAAAGTTAACATTTTACAACATACAATGTGTACATAAAAAAAATATTCCCAAAAATAAAGGAAGAAACATCAATATCTTACCTTCAGTTTCAAATGAATATAACAGTAGAAAATTTCATGTTCAAACGAACTTTTTTAACTACGTTTTTGAATACAGTACTACAAATAAAATAAAATACATTATATATTTATAATGAACTTCTTCACTATGAAAAAAAAAAAAAAAAAAAAAGAACTTCTTCACTATGAGATTAGAAGGAAAGCTCTTGGTAAGAAAATTTTGTTCAACATGAAACTTTTTTTTTTTACTTAGAATATACTTTATTTACATTATACCACTACCTTAACTACTATAGTCTTTGAAAATGAATTGGTTGCTCGTATGTAAATGGTATAAAGAATTGATTACAGGTATTAATAAGGACTTAGCGGAAATGGTCCAGATGAGAGTAATAAAGAATTGATTATACCACTACCTTACATACTATAGTCTTTGAAAATTCATTGGTTGCTCGTATGTATATGGTATAAAGAATCGATTACAGATATTAATAAGTACATAGCGAAAATGGTCCGGAGGAGTAATAATGAGTATTGGCCCTCTCACTCACATCTATTCAACAAGCCCTCCTATATAAAACGGTGTCTCTCTTCATTATCTCTACACTTGACAATATTTAGCGTCACTCAAAAAAAAAAAAAAAAAAACAGTTGGAATTCTATTCTCTTGTTGGTTATCCATAATGGGAAAGGTTCTTGAGAAGAAGGCGTTCGGATTGGCCGTGAAAGACGAATCTGGTGTTTTCTCGCCTTTCTGTTTCTCAAGAAGGTTCCAATTTCTTTTGATCTCTATCGCTTATGTTTCGTCTATATATGATATGAAATTATTTCTTATTTGAATAACTAACAATATATATGTTTTGGTGGAATTAATGTATATAGAGAGACGGGAGAGAAGGATGTGAGGTTCAAAGTGTTGTTCTGCGGAATTTGCCACACTGATTTAAGTATGGCCAAAAACAAGTGGGGGTTTACTACTTACCCTCTCGTCCCCGGGTAAGACAACACTTCCATACTCAAGAGTAATAATCAATTATACATAACAATTTATTTAAAAAATAAAACTAGTAAATGTAGCAAGTCTAATGCTTTTTTCGAGATGATATCGAGAAATTTTAGTATATTTTACCGGACTAGACTTCTTAATTTTAGATTATTTTTTTGTAAGTCCAGAATTTATGTGGTTAAGCATTTTGATATATGGCTAAAATATGTATGGCCACGGACATCCACATAAACTTTTGAGAGACTAACCAACCACGAATAATTACCTCATTAATTCCAGTGGTAATTACTGGATAAATCACAGTTTTTTTTTTGTAATGAATAATACTATTGGCTCAATCCATTCAATATCCAAATTTCTTGGGAAAAAAGATTATTTCTTATTTTCCTAGTAGAAACCTAGCTCCTACTAGAAGAAAAAATAAAAGAAGAGATATGTCCGGTGTTATTTCAGATTTTATACTGTATTACATTTAATCCGGAAATAAATGTTTTAGGCATGAGATAGTTGGCGTGGTGACTGAAGTCGGAGCCAAAGTGACTAAATTCAACGCCGGAGACAAAGTCGGAGTTGGTTATATGGTCAGCTCGTGCCGGTCATGTGACAGCTGCACCGATGACCAAGAGAACTATTGTCCAAAAATGATCATAACTGCCGGAGCCAAGTACTACGATGACACCATAACCCATGGTGGTTACTCCGACCACATGGTTTGTGAAGAGGATTACATCATCCGTATTCCAGAAAATCTCCAATTAGACGCTGCCGCGCCGCTACTCTGCGCCGGGGTCACGGTCTATTCCCCGTTGAAGTATCATGGGCTCGACAAGCCCGGTATGCACATTGGTGTGGTGGGTTTAGGTGGTCTGGGTCATGTAGCAGTTAAATTTGCCAAGGCTATGGGTATTAAGGTTACGGTTATTAGTACTTCGGATAGGAAGAGAGACGAGGCTATTAGCCGGCTTGGTGCGGATCTGTTCTTGGTGAGCCGTGACCCGGAGCAGATGAAGCAAGCAATGGGGACTATGGATGGTATTATTGATACCGTATCCGCGACTCATCCGCTTCTTCCGCTGCTTGGGTTGCTTAAATACAAGGGAAAACTTATTATGGTTGGTGCACCCGAGAAACCACTCGAGCTTCCGGTTCTGCCTCTCATCCTTGGTAAGAGACTATATATGTCTTCTTTAACCGTTATCTCTACATGTTACTTTTTAGTTAAAATGCTTATTATTTATACTATGTTAATTCACTACTAAATCTGTATATTTTGTGTCATTCCGTCGTTACTTTCATCACAAATCTAAATGCATTTTTAAGTTTCCAGTCGATAAACATCAAGAATATGTTTTTTGGTTGTGTGTATATATATATAGGAAAGAAGATGGTGGTTGGAAGTATGATAGGAGGGATAAAGGAGACTCAAGAGATGGTAGATATGGCCGGAAAACACAACATCACGGCGGATATTGAGCTTATCTCTGTGGATTATGTCAACACCGCCATGGAACGGCTCGAGAAGGCCGACGTTAGGTACCGATTTGTGATTGATGTTGCCAACACATTGAAGAAGCCTACTCCTTAAATTAGATAAAAAGCTTCAGAACTGAATTTCCCCAAAGTTTTTTTCTTGTTTGGTTTGTTGTAATCAGTTTCGTGTTGTTTGATTAGGACTTTGTGTGTAGCATACTAGTACCACTACTGTGCTTTATCAATTTAATGAATTTGAATATTATACGTTAGCTATATATATGAATAAGATTTACGTAAGTATAGATTAAGCCTAATTGTAGCTATATGATTTGAATGAATGACTAGAAAGTACCAAGTCTTCTAACTAGGAGACTAGTTCTTGATAGTGTATGATTTCGAGACTAAATTCTTTTTTTTTTGGGGCAACGATTTCGAGACTAAATTCAAACTATTCTTTTCGAGAATTATTGTTCATGTGCATGCATCTTAAAAAAAGTAAAGTGCATGCATCTTAACAGTGTAAACACGTTTTAATTATGAGTATGTTGCGTGGACGAAACTATTTGGGAGCAAAAGCAAGTACGAGATTAGAAACATATCTCAACTTTTTCGAATTAGACCACAAGAACGGACATACAACAACCCGTAGATTTTTTTTCCAACAAGACGTAGACGTTGTATATGAACAAGACGATAAGTCATAACTCTTAAGTTTCATTTTTCATTTTTGCATTCACATTTATTTGATTAAATATGCACAAATAATATGGGAAGATATGTCAGAGAAATGGGGGAAAAAAAGTTTAAAAGGTCAAAGACGGGAAGGAAGCTAAAAGAAAGGGACTGGGAGGAAAAGAGCTAATTAAAAACTAGTTATTCTTTAACATACAAAACTATAGCATTAATTTAAATATGATCCAAAACTATATCATATTTTTCTGTTATATGAAACCAGCATTTTATATGAAACTATAGCACAAATTTTAATACATCGTTAACCTGCATTAAAAAAAAAAACTAATAATACTATGTCCATTCTGGATTTGAAATTGCATTTACGTATTTATATTTTTCAAATTATACGAAGAGTAACATAAATAAAATGTTTTCAATCATTTATGGTGATCTTTAGTTGTTGATTCACGTTGTGCTGCAATTTTTGGGACACTTTTTTTGCTCAATGTTTCAGCAGATCTGTTTCATATTCTAACGGTAGCTAGATCTGTTGCTTTTAAGGGGGAGTTATGAAATTATCATATTCACGCATACTTAGCAGACAAAATAATACCTAATGCATGTATTCATATTTATATATTTTTTGCATTAAGTTAATAACGCCAAAAAAGCAATGAAATATGAAAGGAGGAAAAGAACGAGTCCTTGAGGTACTCTCGTGATAGTAAGTGAATGGTCCTAATGACACCCTATCACGTCGGTTCCTCAATCCCTTGCTATATTAAAGCACTTGCATCTCCTCCTCATAATCTCAAACTTCTCAATATTAATTGGTGACATTCAAATAAATTCAAACCACACACTTGCTTAGTTTTCACTCCATATCTCAAAGTTTTAGTTAGCAAAAAAACAAAAAACAAAAAATCCCAAATTCTTATTGTTTTTTGATCGATTATGGGAAAGGTTCTTGAGAAGGAGGCGTTCGGATTGGCCGCAAAAGACAATTCTGGAGTTCTGTCGCCTTTCCGTTTTGCTAGAAGGTTTTACAAATTTCTCTTTTAAACGAAATAATCTCTACGTATACTTCTCTTGTAAATGAAATTAATTTTGGTGGTACTAATGTGTACGTAGGGAGACTGGAGAGAAGGATGTTAGGTTCAAAGTGTTGTTCTGTGGAATTTGTCACACTGATTTACATATGATCAGGAACGATTGGGGAATGTCTACTTATCCTCTCGTCCCCGGGTAATACATAAATTTCTATTCTATAAAATTATAACAGATTATATATCCAATTTTTCTTTTAAAAAATCCAAATTTATTCAGAAGAATTTATTAGCAACCCGTAATGATGTTTTTAATCAGTGAATTATTTCTAATAACTATATATAGGTTTCGGTCATGAGCATTAGTGTGTAGACCTAGAGAACACATGTTGATTTTTATGATTGTTATTGTATAAAATTTATATTCCGAAAGCTATAATAAATCCACAGAATATCATCAATATGTATTTGTTGTTGTCATGTTGTGGGATGATGCTACATGTTAATTTTGTTAGGAATACTTGCGAAAATACATTAAATATCGCAAAATAATTTACCTTTTGTTACAACAAGAAAATGAGCATCGCTAGAATTTTAGTGGAGACCTATTATTTTGAATTTTTTGTAATACGACAATTTTAAGCCTTAAAATGGGGAACATAATATGGGAATTTTTTAAAAACAACTTAGATTTTTTTTATTTATTTGGTTGGTCAATGAATAAACCAAGAAAAACTGTTAACAATAAGACACCAAGAAATATTAAGAGAAGTCTTAGAAATAGTGGACAAAAGATCCACGATAAGCTTCTTGTGGCTCCTGTGTTATCTCTACTCTGTCCTAAATAATGGCATTTAATTATTTTTATTTCTATTTGAGTTCTTCCTAATAATTGGAGCTAGTCTCAACAGTGACCAGTTTCATTTTTTTTTACAGCGACAGGTTTGATTATTTCGAAAAAGCCAACATAAATTGAATGGTTTTCATACTCTAAAGATGAAAAATTAAATTTGAAAATAAGGTTGTCTTTTTTGGGTTCAGGCATGAGATCGTTGGCTTGGTGACTGAAGTGGGAGGTAAAGTGACTAAATTCAAGACCGGAGACAAAGTCGGAGTCGGGTGCATGGTCGGCTCGTGCGGGTCATGTGACAGTTGTACCGAAGGTCTTGAGAACTACTGTCCAAAAATGATCCAAACGTACGGGTTCAAGTATTACGACGACACAATAACCTACGGTGGTTACTCCGACAATATGGTTTGTGACGAAGCTTTTATCATCCGTATTCCCGATAATCTCCCTTTGGACGCTGCTGCGCCGCTACTATGCGCAGGGATCACGGTCTATTCACCGTTGAAGTACCACGGGCTCGACAAGCCCGGCATGCACATTGGCGTGGTGGGACTAGGCGGTTTGGGTCATGTAGCGGTTAAATTTGCAAAGGCTATGGGTACAAAGGTCACGGTTATTAGTACTTCAGATAGTAAGAGAGGAGAGGCGATTAACCGGCTTGGTGCGGACGCGTTCGTGGTGAGCCGAGACCCACAACAGATTAAGGGTGCAATGGGGACTATGGATGGTATTATTAATACCGTATCTGCGACTCATTCGCTTCTTCCGTTGCTCGGTATGCTCAAGCATAAGGGAAAACTGGTTATGGTTGGTGCACCAGAAAAGCCACTTGAGCTCTCGGTTATGCCTCTCATTTTCGGTAAGCCTATTTAGCCAAATTTTGGCGAATGATGTGGTTTTAGTAGTAGCATATCCGTCTGAGCTAAATTTGTATTCTCTAGTGGACAAAGTGACATTGAAAATATGTTTTTTTGTTGTTAATGTGTATATTTTAGAGAGGAAGATGGTGATGGGAAGTATGATAGGAGGGATCAAGGAGACTCAAGAGATGGTGGACATGGCCGGAAAACACAACATCACGGCGGATATTGAACTTATCTCTGCGGATTATGTCAACACTGCCATGGAACGGCTTGAGAAGGCTGACGTTAGGTACCGATTCGTGATTGATGTTGCCAACACATTGAAGCCTACTCCTTAATTATAAATCTTAAGATTTGAATTTCCCCAATGCTTTTTATTTTTATTTCTTGTATGGTTTCTTGTACTAAGTTTCGTGTTGTTACTTAAGGAGGTTTTGGGTGACTCTACATGTAGCATGCCTTAATCAATTTAATAAACTTGAACATTATATTTATTTTCCACTCTATGCTAGATTTTGGGGTAAACCAAGAATTGTATATATGTATTTAAGAATTTGATAGATAACAGTTTATAATTAATAGTGAAATATGAGAACGATAAATGAAAAAAATTGATTAACCGCAAAATGACGGTTATTAATATTTTTTTAATCCTTAAATTGATAGAGTGGCAAAATAGACTGGACACAAATACATGGTTAATGAAAAACTATAAATCGTAGTATCAGTTTATCATTAATTAGGTTAGTTATCAAGCTGAAATTAAATTATCATGCATTGTGACAATTAATCTTCATATTCGATGAAGGAGAGCAACATATGTGAAAAGTCAAAGAGGATATTAAATGAAGCGTACGTACGGCTTGTGTAGTGTTGCTTCAAACAAGAGAAAAGACAGTGAAGTTCGAGTTTGTTCCCAATGTGAAGCACTCCACTCCTTGATATGGCTTCTTCTTTTTTACCTCGTACCTTTTACCAGATCTCTCTCTCTTCCCTAGATCGATCTTATCTTGTCTTATCTGTATATTTCATAGTAATATACTATAAGAGATATATTTTTAATTTTCACACATTCATAATTAAGTGATGACATACAAATGCGTAAACCATTTTTCTCCAATGAAAACTTAAACCTCGGAACATGGTCCAACCTCTCTCAAGGTAATCTATCCTCCACTAAATGAATTATTACCCATATTAAACTATATATGTATGTTACTGGTTTTATAGTTTGGGTTCATATATAGGTGTGAGTTCATATATAGAATGATGTAGTTAGACAATTAGAAATGGTGAATTTATCAATTCGAAGATCGGCTTAGATATTTCTTTGACAAATAGATCCATATAACAAATCTGAAGTGTGCTACAAATAAGTGGACGGTGACAAATATGAATTGAGAGATTCTTGCAGTTAAACCGCATCAACCGCTTACCGCTATCACTACTTATGTCTACGATTTTTTTTTTTTTTAAAGCTTATGTCTACGATTTAAAACTGTATATATGTGTGTACATGTTAATTAGTATTTACTGAATGTCATTCGTCTTTGAAATTGTCCATCATGAAATACCAAAACATCAATGTGCAGTTTTTTTTGTTTTCAGTCATGTTTGTATTGTAAGAAAATATTAAAATATAAATACCATATAACAATCATGAATGGCATATACACTTTGATATACATCTATGTGATCATATATATATATATATATATATATATATACACACATATGAAGATTCATTGAATTCACAAGAGCAAATCTCTCTCCTCTTCACCCCATATTGCACCACCTCTCCTTAAGATTACATGATGACGTCATCCCATCAGAGCCACACCACCAGTTTCAAACCACGGAGGATCAAGACGACGGCGAAACCACCACATCGGAACAATCACATGGAACCGTCATCGGCGTCGCAGCCGGTACTCAAATGTCCGAGATGTGATTCAGCCAACACCAAATTCTGCTACTTCAACAACTACAGCTTGTCTCAGCCACGTCACTACTGCAAGAACTGCCGCCGTTACTGGACACGTGGCGGAGCCCTCCGTAACGTCCCCATCGGTGGTTCAACCAGAAACAAGAACAAGCCTTGCAACCTCCACGTCATCTCTTCTCCTCCTCCGAATGTGACGTCATTGTCGTCGTCCTACGAGCTTGTTGATGGGTTTCGTATGAACAGAGGAATTATAAACCCTCCTTCGACGGCGTTTTCAGGTGGATTCTCCGGCTACATGTTCCCGTTAGATCCTAATTACAGTCTTGCATCTTCTTCTATCGAGTCTTTGAGTTCTTTAAACCAAGATTTGCACCAGAAGCTTCAGCAACAGAGACTCATCACTTCCATGTTTCTCCAAGATTCTCTTCCGGTTACAGAGAAACCGGTTATGTTTCAAAACGTTGAGCTGATTCCTCCTTCGACCACGACGACTGATTGGATTTTCGATAGATCCGCCAACGGAGCAGGATCAACAAGTGGCACTAATGGAAATAATGGTGAAGGTGAAGGTAATTTTGGAATTTGGTACCATACTGCTAATAATACTCTGCCCTAATTAATTTGTTTTCAATGTCATTACCATTATTAGTCTCTACTATTGTAGCTAGCATGCAGAAGCTATGGTTGAAAAAATTAGTATTAATGTCCCCTTTTGTTGTAATGTTTAACATAGTAATTTGCTTGATTTCCAAGAAAAAAAGCGATTGTGTAAAATTAAATATTTCCAGAGAGAATTAGAGAATTTTTAAATCGCTGAATCCAGATTGTGCGTGTGTGTGATAATAATCATAATCATGTAACTGCATATACATGACAGCATATATTTTATAATTTATTATATTATATATATATATACATATAATAAGATGAGAGAAGCAAGAGGAACGTGAAGTAGAAGAGGACAAGTTCAGCTTTAGGCAGAGACATGCGAGAAACTCATGAACTCTCTTATCTATCAATCTATGTGAGCACATTCTCATGGATCATACATATATCATCATTGTTTTATGCCATAAACTTCTATAGCACTTGATCCTGTAACCTTTGAGATACCTTTAACCTTCATCAACCTCCTAACCTTAGCAACATCATCCCATCTTCTATTAGCTGCATAAATATTCGACAGTAACACATAAACACCACTATCTTCAAACTCCATCTCTAAAAAACTATCTAATATCTCTCTAGGAAGCTCCACTAATGTCTCTCTACTCTTACAAGCACTAAGAATAGCTCCACATATAAGCACGTCCGGTTTAACCGGCATCGCTTTGACAAGCTCTAACGCTTCATCTAACAATCCAGCTCTACATAGCAAATCAATCAAACATCCATAATGCTCAAGCTTAGGAGATAGATTGTATTCTCTGGTTTTCATCTTATGGAAGTATCTTCTCCCTTCATCCACTAAACCCGTGTGGCAACAAGCGTTTAGAACCGCAAGAAAAGTTACCTCGTTCGGCTTAAAACCGAGCTTAACCATTTCTTCGAAACATCTAAGGGATTCATGTCCATGTCCATGGATAGCTAAACCACCTAACAGAGCATTCCAAGTACACACATTCTTACTTCTGATTCCATTGAAAATCTCCAAAGCTCTTTCGATGTAGCCGCATTTCGCATACATATCGACAATCGCGGTTCCAATATGCGTATCCCATTTGATTCCAGCGCTTACAACATACTCATGAACCCATCTTCCGTAATCCACAGCTCCTAAGCTAGCACACGCAGAGAGAACACTTGTAAGTATATGCCCATCTGGTTTTACACCCGAAGACGTTTGCATCAGAGAAAACAATTCAATCGCCTCGTTAGACTTTTTACACTGAACCAATCCACTAATCATACTGTTCCAAGAAACTTTATCTTTCATTTGCAATTCACCAAAGATTCTCTTAGCATCGCACAATTGCTCACATTTCACATACATATCTATAAGAGCATTGCCAGTCTCTAAGCTGATCAAATATGCCTTTTTCAAGATCAATCCATGGATTCCTCGCCCTAAACTCAAACACCCTACCCGACCACTAGCGACCAACGCACAGACATACGTAGCCAAATTAGGCTCAGCATCCATCTTTGAAAACATATCCAAAGCTTTCTTATACAACCCAATCCTCGAGTAACCTGATATAATGCCGGTCCAAGAAATGACATCTCTCACAGGCATTTGATCGAACACTTTACATGCGCTCCGTAAATCTCCGCACACGCCATATAAATGAACAAGCGAGTTCTGCACATACATATCGTCGGAGAAGCCCATCCTCGTGACAGTTCCATGATACTGTTTCCCTTCTCCAATCCCTGAAAACTTCCCACAGGCCTTGAAAATCGGAGGAAACGTGTACATGTCCGGTGAAAATCCATTGCTCACAAATGTTCGGTAAACAAGAATCGTCACTCTCGGTTTATCGCAGACTACGTAGCTTGATAGAAGCGTGTTATATGGAAAAGAACTCAACGCACGACGGATGCTGTGGAGGAATACACAACTGTAAGATGCAAAATCGGCGGATTCACCCAAAAATGTAACGACTTTGTGGACGACGAATTCATCGCTTAGAAGATCACGAGAAATCAATTGAGTCTGTATCTGCTTGAAAACGCGAAGCGAGCTGCATCGGCTGGTCAATTCCAAAAGTATTGATTTCTCCGGGAAGTACATAACAAATACTTTCTTTTCGCCGCATATAGTGATCGAACAATCACATCGAATTTATCTGTTAATCTGCATTTGCTCCATTTGAAAATATGTAAATCCACAGAACGAACACGAAAGAGCAAAATTTGCAGATTCATAGACGAAGAAGAAGAGAAGACATAAACAGAGCCTGAGATGTTAAAAATCCCAACTTTTCGGCCGAGAGAAGGGATGGTCCGAATATTGGGCCTAGCCCTTTTGATGAAATGGGCTTTTCTGCAGATTATGGAGGCTTGAAGCTTCCCGGTCGAACGTCATCTTCCCCGCCTTGACTTCACCGGACAAGGAGAAGGAAACGGTTTAGCTGCATAACGCAATGCACTGTGGATGTGCTTTCGCTTCACCAGCAGTGTCTCCACGTCTTCCATTTGATACCAAAATATCAGTTTCGAAGCTTCGAGCTTCATCAGCCCATTTACCCAGAACCCAGATTCAGATAAACCCTTCAGATGATCTCACTATCGACGGTTCAGATAAATCTCCGGCGACTAGGGTTTCGTTGCCGTCTCATGTGAATTCCATCACCAGCACTTCAAACCCTTTTATCAAACACTGCTTGAAGCTCCGCCAAAGCTCCTCTTATCGACACGCTCATGGCTCTGTTCTTGTCGTCGGAGATATTCCAATCAGGTACTTATCAGTGATTCCGTATTCTCTGTGTTCTTGATTGCTGCCGAGTGATTTTTGGAAAGTAGTTTCCTTTTCTGTTGGATTGATTCCGTGTGAAATTGAGTTTCAAAGAGATAACTTTTCAAGGCATTGTTCACAGGGAAGTATGTATGTTCCAAGCGAATAAGCAAGGAATCACCACTGACATTGACTGTCTTTTTCTCCACGAGGAAGCTCAGATTCCACAAGGATTAGAGCGTTTAAGTGTACGCATAGTTCGGGTAAGTTCTTTAGTGATGAAGAAACTCTCTGGAGTCCAGTCTACTGAATCTGTTGAAGCCATTGCCTTGATGAGAATCCCTTACAGCTTCATCGATCTTGAAGACGATGAAGACATCATCACAACAGATTGCAACAAATGGTTCCCTTCTGCTCACCGAGTTCTTGTTCTGGACCGGATACAGGTTAATATGCTCCCTTGCTAAATTGTTTTGAAACGAAATCTTTACGTCTAGTGTAATGATCATTTCTTGATCAATAGATTGGTAATAGTTTCTGCCATTCGATGTTGTTGCAGGACCCGGGGAACCTTGGCACATTAATCAGATCAGCTATGGCGTTTAATTGGGTATAAATGATCAGCTTTTCTTCTCAATTCAATAACCAATTTCATTTTAAATAAAAAGAACTCTCATTGTCATGTGGTCAATGTTTCCGATAGGATGGTGCATTTCTGCTTCCGGGATGTTGTGATCCATTTAACGACAAAGCTCTTCGAGCAAGCCGAGGGGCTTGTTTTCAACTCCCTATAGTTTCCGGCAACTGGAACCACCTCAAGCTTCTTGAGCATGAGTTCCAAATGAAGCTATTAGCTGGTCATCCAGAAACTACTACTCAGAAACCGAAACCCGTCTCCAAACTTTCCCTAGAGTTTGCTCAATCTTTAGCAGAGAAGCCATTATGCTTGATCTTAGGCAGCGAAGGGCACGGTTTGTCTGAGCAGTCACGACAAGTATGCGAGCTCGTGAGCATTCCCATGGCAGGTGAGTTTGAATCTCTTAACGTCTCTGTTGCTGGTGGCATTTTCTTATTCATGCTTCAACCTTGTTCCGGTTTTTAATCTTATAATGTTGTTATAAAACCATAACATTCATATCAAATTCAAAATCAATTTCATAAATAAATAAATCAAAATCAATAAGTATAAGTCTCAAAAACCCTAGCTAGATTCTCCTAACAATTGTGTAAAAAAAAATATAAGAAAAAAGAAAAACCAAAATAATAACTAACGAATGAAACTAATCTCTAGAAGGCCCTTCAAGACGAATGTAATCATACATAAGACCTTCAAAAGGTCCCATCGCTTTGGCCTGACGTAGATAAATCGTGTTGGTCCCGGTTCTTAGTAACCTTCCAGGTACATTGATGCTATAAAGCCGATAGGCTCCATGGATTCCATGTCTTGCTATAGCATTGTCTCTTCCGATATTACCTGTTGAGAAGAAGGGCCTCGAGTTTTCGTTATTGAACCGCACTTGTAGATTAGCCCGTGAAGCCGAGGCTAAAGCTAGCTGCAATGTGTAGCTTCCTCGCCAGTTCACGTATGGAAGATGAAACTTAATCTGCCATGTCGTTGGTTCGTAGGTCGAATCATCAATTTTTCTGTAGAAAAGAAATCGATTAAGATTTTCAAAATACTTGATAACTTGTAGTTCAATAAACAGTTTTATTTATTTATTTACCTTGTGACATGAGCGTAGAACCAGTCTTGAGTATAGTTACTAACACCAATTGTGTAGACGAGATCATGATTTGGATACAACTCTGTGTATCGTTCCCACAATCCGTACTGCCTAAACCTGCAGAACAACGAAACCGGAATCATTAGAACCAAAACCGGTTTCGGAACAGTGTGAACCGGGATCATGAGGGTTAAAGACTCTACCTGTCTGTGTGGTTAAGGTATAAGGGATTCAATGTATTCTTGTAAGGTTCCGGTACATAGTATTCTCGTGCGGTTCGATCCGGTACACCAATCTCCCACAACGTTGGACCGTTCCTAGGAGGCTCGAACACGACGCTATGGAGACTAATCTTTGAACCTGCAGCTACGTTAACACGGTTTTGGTATCTAAAGTCTCCGATAAAACCGGGAACCCATCCGTACAGATTGTAAGCTCCCGGTCTAACGTTATCAATCGTGAAATAGCCGGTTTCGTTCGTCTTTGTCCAAAATTGATAACCCTGAAAAAAGAGAGTGAAAACAAATTCAATGAGCAATACATGTTAGACAATTACATTAAAGTTAAATCAAATTTTAGGAAGAGACATCAAAGTGTAATTAAGAAAGGATATTGTACCTTAGTATTTGTCTGCCATGAACCAGCTTGTCCCGGTGGTGCTAAACCGACGTATGCAGATCGTGCCGGTGTCAAGAATCTGAAAATTGAAAACGTTTGCCAAAAATATTAATAAAAAGTCAAAAGGTATAAAAAATTATTTTATTTTATTTTATTTTGGACTTGTATACCTGTCATTGACTAAAAGTCGACCGGTAACGATTCCTCTTTCTTGACGAGAAGGGAAGTCAGAGGAGGCTACAAAATCGTACGGCCAGGCTTCAACTTCTTCTTTGGTCTGAATATTATTAATATTATAAGTAAATTAACATAGAGTCATTTTCATATATTAAACTTTAAAAGGAAATGTGCAAAGAATGTGAAGAAAAATAACCTGTCGTTTAGCATCTTCCCATAATGACTTGCGAGGATTATTGCCGGTAGAATCAGAGTTTAGGTAAATAAAAACAGGTCCCAAGACCTTTTTCCACGCTTCACCAGCTCTGTAATTTGTCTCCATGTCCTTACCAACATAATGCTCGCTTATAAAGGTCTGCATTATTAAATTATTATTATATTATCAATAAATTCAAAATCTTTTTTTCGTTAATTAATTAGTGTTTGATCAATATATCCTTACCGTGAGGGTCGTGGGACCAACGTGAGAAGTGAGCTCCTGTTTGATCGGTCCACCAGAGCGGTATTCGTCGCTCGGTGAGATGAGCCAAAAACCAACGTGTGACTTGGTTGAGATCCAACCGTGCACCTTGTTGTCCTTTATCTCACATGAGTACTGGTACTTATCATCCACCTAATTGTCATTAATAAAGTTTAAAAAATCATAACTCTAGTATGTGATCAAAATCTAAATCTTTTTTATTCCGTGTATATATATATATATATATATATATATATATAGATTGGTAACCTGGTTTTCGAACAGATGGTTATGAGGATGAGTCAATTGGACAGCCTCTTTGTAAGCAAGAGCCTTGGCATGGCCACGATGGATGTCACGGTCATCGTCCGTTGGCATTTCTCTTTGCCGGTTATCGGCAACCACCATGTAATGGAATCTACAAACAGATTTTAATTTAAACCGGGTTTAAATAAGCTTTGTTACTCAAACAAATAAACAAAACATATCATCGGTTTTATTATAACGAATTAATAATCATATAAAATACCTATCAGGGTTGACTTTGAATGCTATTCGAATTAGACCCATCTCGACTTCTGGCCACTCCGGGAGTCTCTCGAAGATTCCGTATGTGTAGATTCCTGAAGTATTTTTACGTATAATATACCTCTTGTCTACGTTTAACGGAATATGACGAGAACCACCGTTCCATCTTCTAGAGAACGAAATCTCCACTTGTTCTTCGTTTTGAGTTATGATTCTAAACTTGGTTCCTTCGATTCTGATGAACGAACGAGAAAAACGAAGTTCATAAATATTAAAGATGAGGTATTCTCTCGGATAATAAATCAAAAATATTTATGACAATAAATGATCAAACCAAACTTAAGTTAAATACATGCTCTATATACTGTATGTGAACATGGGTTAGTTTATTAAATACTTTTTCAGCTGACAATTCAGACGAAGTTTTGAATGAAGTATTGTTAATTACCTATCCAAGCCCTGGCGAATGTTTTCTCCTTGCCATGTTACGTCCCAGTACCTACATTAATTATTGGAATTAATCAGGAAATTTTTGATATAAATTAAATAATACAATATTATGGAATACTATTTGATTATATGAATCATTGATATTTAATCACCCTCGAGCTCGGAGGTGCGGATTAAGGACATTATCGATTCCTTTGTATTTGATCCCAGTTATAAGTCCTTGAGGACTCGAGAAACTGACTCTGATTATCCCATTGTCCACTATCACCTGAAAATATATTAAATTTGTATTATTATTCTCAGCATATATATTTGTATGATATTTGTCTACTATTGATGATAAAAGACATGTTGTAGTCATAATTTACTACCTCTCTAGTTCCATGTCTGTTTCGTATCTGCTGCACTGTTGGAGCTCTTGCACTTCTTCCATCTAATATCCTGTAGTGTTTCAATAATATAAAATTATATAACGTCAATGCATTGAAATATTGAAAACGCTCGAAGTACATACATACATACAATTAATAAAGTTAATTATAACGCAAAGAGGGAGATTAGGGTTTGTTTCTAATGCTAGACACAACCAGACTCTTGATAGTTTTTCTCAAGAAAAAAAAAAACTCTTCATAAATCATAGTTAATACACAAATCGAAGAACATATACACTCACGAAATCCTAAAAACAAATTAAAAGGTCTTCTTGGTTCATCAAAATTTATATATTAAAATCTATAATATCTTCAAACTCATACGAAAGTCACAATTGCTACCATATGACAAACGAAATATGCATGAGATTTGAGAAACATGTGAACTTTGTGCACAGACATTGATGTGGATATATGTAAACAGTAAACGTATATGTATATGTTTGACTGTAACATCATGAGTATAAAAATTAAGCTGACCTTGTCGGCTCAGAAAACGCGATTGGAAGAAGAAGAAAGAGAAGCAAACAGATCATTGACGAAGCTATCTTTTTCTGCGAAATCATCTTTTTTTTCTTTCTAAATCTTCAGAGTTTAATGTAAGAATAAGATCTTTGCGGAGACATGCATATTTATATATATGTGTGGTTTAATTTGTTAAACAAAGTCCAAGACCAAACGGGAATAGGTGCACCAAAACCTAACAAGGAGTTACTTTGACTTCTGACATTAGAGTTCTAATACGACTCAGTTTCATAGAAGATTACCGATAAGATTGAGTTTCTAGGTTGTGCCTTTTTAAATTTTAATTTTTTTATGAAAGATTTTGATTGTCCTTTTTATTTCCTTTTTGGTTTAAGTTTTTTTGGGAACAATTATAAGTTTTAACAACAAAATATATATGTTTTAAGTTTCTGCAATAACAATGGAAACCTTCCTGATTAAAATTTATTTATTTTCTAAAAGTATCTTTGGAGTTCATATACATATTGTGAAATTTTGTGTTGCATTCACAATGAACAAGTTGTAACGTTGGATTTGATTGCATGGTTTAAATGTTATGAAAGAAGCTATTTGAAAAATGTATTTTATAATAATAACGTTTTCTTATGTACGTATAAATATTAATATGAAGAGTAGTAATTTTTCACTAATAAAGTATTAATTATGTTATGTGTTTATTAATAATTTAATATATTATAGATTGGTTTGACCTGCTTTCCTTTTCCCCTACATTAAAATATATTTAATCAGTTGAAATAAATCTAACCTCGTAAGGATATTTTGTTTGAAGCTGAATCATCAATAAGAAAGTTGAAAAGTATACAGCTGATTAGCAAAATTGGAAATTTCTATTAACCAATAGATAATGAGTGGATTAGTCAAATATCTTTTATGTATTGTTTTTTTTTATGTAACTGGATATTATTTTATGTTTTAATTTCTTCTAGATATGGAATTCGTAACACTAGTAAAACTAAGCGGTTAGTTTGGCTTAAATCCAACTCCGATCCATAATTAGTTTACTACAAGAGTTAAAAGAAACATTAAAACATTCAATCGTCATTGATCTAGGCATCTAGCGGTTGGTCAAGAAACTATCGTATATGATGTTCTCCAATCTCCAAACGGGAGTTGAATGTAGAAAAAACCTTTCTTGTACTAAGAACACCCAATATCGATATGTAAAAAAACTCTTAAAATTAGAACTAGGGTATTAACATAAATTAACTAAGCGCAAAAACATATTACATATATAATCCATAAAAGATTGCTTTCCTTAATACAAAACCTAGACATAATAAAAGATAAGGCCTAATCAAAACAAAATACAAAGAATAAAGATTATATTATATCTAAAATCCTAAACCGCCACCATTGAAAGATCATATGATAAAATACATACAATAATAAAAAACAATTTTGATTTATTCAATAATATAACCCATTGTAAAATTGTAAATAAGCAAAAGAGCACATGTGAGCTTAGACAAGGACAGCTAAAAAGACCAAATGCAGAGATTGAAGTTCGCAATCCAATAAGAGAGCTTAGATCCGTCCGATGACGATCGTTAAACCGTCGCAGCTCGCTTCCTCCGGCGGATCCTCGCCGCTATGTTCACTCAAAGGATCACTCCTCACCGTCGCCGTTCTCACTTTCGTCTCCCTCTTCTACCTCTCTCTCAATTCCTTGCGCAACTCGCCGCCGTCTCCGGTCGTGGTAGGACCGATTCAAGTTCCTCAGACCTTCGTGAAGGAAGACACTTTAGATAATTCTGATAACGACGGCGCACCGGCGGAGGAGGAAGAAAATTATTCCGATGTATATCACTCGCCGGAGTCGTTCCGGTTGAATTACGCAGAGATGGAGAGGAGGTTCAAGGTTTACATTTACCCCGACGGAGATCCCAACACGTTTTATCAGACGCCGAGGAAAGTGACCGGAAAATACGCCAGCGAGGGTTACTTCTTCCAGAACATCAGGGAGAGTCGGTTCCGTACCCTAGATCCAGAGGAGGCGGATCTCTTCTTCATCCCTGTTTCTTGTCACAAGATGCGAGGCAAAGTAAGAATTTTTCCGACTCTAAATTGCAATTCTCGAAAGTTACTGAGAGATGATCTCTTGTGTGTGTAGCCAATTTGGGGATTTGACTATCCTCTGGGACAATTTTGTTGATATTGTTGCTTTCTTTGCAGGGAACATCGTACGAAAACATGACTGTGATTGTTCAAAATTACGTTGATGGGTTGATAGCTAAGTACCCTTATTGGAATAGGACCTTAGGAGCAGATCACTTCTTTGTCACCTGCCACGACGTTGGAGTTAGAGCATTCGAGGGATCTCCGCTTCTGATTAAGAATACTATTAGGGTTGTGTGCTCACCGAGCTACAATGTCGGTTTCATCCCTCACAAAGATGTTGCTTTGCCCCAAGTTCTTCAGCCTTTTGCACTCCCCGCCGGTGGAAATGATGTTGAAAATCGGTAAAAAACTAGCTCTTTATCTCTTCTCTTGTGTCGTTTCGCATTTGTTTGGCTTTAGAAAGAGCGCGTATTCAGCTGTCTGGAGATAATCATTAGTCGCTAATCCACAATTTCGTGCCTGTGTTTGATACATCCACTAGCTAAGATGAGAAATTTTGCTGATGTTCAAGTTTATAGCTTTGCTGCTAAACTCCTCCAGAATATAGCTAATCTAGACCTTCTAATACCATTGGCATCGTTTTCTCATCTGCTCTTGGGACTTGATTTAGGATTTGCATTCTCATCAGTGTTACTAATATTGTTAAACGGGGGTTTTTACAGGACGACACTTGGTTTTTGGGCTGGTCATAGAAATTCCAAGATACGGGTAATACTTGCGCGTGTGTGGGAAAACGACACAGAGCTCGATATTTCAAATAACAGAATAAACAGGGCTACTGGGCATTTAGTATATCAGAAGAGATTCTACCGGACTAAATTCTGCATATGCCCCGGCGGTTCTCAAGTCAACAGCGCTCGCATAACTGATTCGATCCATTACGGATGTATTCCTGGTTAATGTTCTTGTACTCTTTCCGCACTCGTTACCACAAACGAAACCAAAACTTACGCATCTTGTTATTTTGGACAGTTATATTATCAGACTACTACGACCTGCCTTTCAACGACATCTTGAATTGGAGAAAATTCGCAGTTGTACTTAGAGAGCGAGATGTGTATAACCTCAAGCAGATCCTCAAGAACATACCACACTCGGAGTTTGTTTCCTTGCATAACAACTTGGTCAAGGTACAGATAAATTTTCACTCTTTTCTCCAATATTATACTTGTATCAAGTAGTTGATTGATTCGTCCTGTTGTTGTGCAGGTGCAGAAACATTTTCAGTGGAATTCACCTCCAGTCAAATTCGATGCGTTTCACATGATCATGTATGAATTATGGTTACGCCACCATGTCATCAAGTACTGATCAAAGACTCGTTCTTTTTTTTAGAACCCCGTAGATACGGTCCCAAACGAAAGAAAAACAAAAAAGCTAGTATGTACACCTCTTGTAAGTTTTTAATATCATAGCTTATAACAGTAACACCAAACAACAACATCACATTCTTTTTGAGGAAAATTCATTATTCTTGTGTACTCTGTTCTATCCTGTGGATTAGTCAGTTTCTTTTTAAGGGTTTTCCATATCACATCACAAACGCAAACGCAACACTGAGGGGGACTATCACAACCTGCAACTCTTTTCATGAGAACCTTTTCTTCCATATATATGTGTTTCTGTGTAACCTATGGAAAAAATGAAACTGGAACTTAAACATCTACTTGCAACATCTGCAACCGAAAAACTGAGCAACTTTTCTTGGCAATGAGTAATCAGCTTGCATTTCAGGGTCCATCTCCATGTCCTCGGCTCGTGACCATACATATACTCCTCGCTCTTCCTTACTACCCGGTACAGTGTTGTCCAGTACGAAAGCAAGTAGAAAGGTTACAACCATATTCAGAGACAGCACAGCGTTCATCGCAAAATCCAGCTGCAGTTTGCATAAGAAGAGAGTGATCACTCGGTCATTGTCCAGAAAAATGCTAATCAAGGTGCAAAGAGAAGGAAAGTGGTTTACTTGCTCGATGCCGGTTTGGAACGGTCCGCTTGACGCGGCTCCAAAAGGCAGGTAATAGCTCGGTAGTATTAGAGTTGATAGCGGCTGGTACTGCTGGAAATAAGCAGGGATGGATAATCCTAGAAACAGTGAGACTCCAACTATGGTTATGTTCCTAAAGCTCGCTGTATGTGTGTACCGGAGATTCGATAGACCTAGAGCCACTGTAAGTGCCCATATAAAGCATAGCACTGAAGCAGCCAAAGCCTGTGGTATGGAAGCAAGAATCGCGCCTAATTTTCCTGTCAGATTATAAGGAAATTTAGAGAGGAGTGTGATAAAGATTTACACTTTGGATCGGTCATTGGATGATGCTTACCCACAAATGATAAAACTATCAAGAACATAGCACCGATCACCAAAGCTCTTCGGCTAGCCACCTTGGTGATGTTAATTGTATGAATATTTTCGGTTAAAGTGGTTGACCCGGTACCGGAGCCCCAGATTCCAGCCAATAAACTGCAAAAGCCTTCTAATGCAACGCCTCTACTGACAATTCCTCGTGTAGGGCGCTTAGCATTCACTAACATAGATGCAGAATGATATGTTCCAACCTACAAGTGAACAAACTCTAACCATTTAGCAGAAAGATCACATCTTTAGTGAGGGGGAATGGCAAAGAGAGGAACATACCGAATCCACTGATGCAACCAAAGACACAAAGATCATAATGATAGAAGTTCTCATGTGAAAACTCGGAAATCCCCATTGAAATGGAAAAGGGATTCTGACCCAAGGGGCAGTTTTCCAAGCATTTGAAGCATCTGTTCTGCAATGCTTCATAGTATATGCGTGCTTCTTACATTCACTTATCAGTATGTTAGAGCTCGGTATGTCGGCGTTACAACCTCTGTAGTCATAAGCCCCACCAACAGTTAGAAAGAATGCATATGTCCATATGATCAGAGCACTCAGCGGCACCTGACAAAATATGATAGCAACATCAAAACGGTTGATTTCTAGTAGATTCCTCAAAAAAAGATTGAATTTTTTTCACTTTTATAAAGAATGTAACATTACATACCGCATAAATTCGGAATAAGCGATGGCCAAAGAGTGAAACTCCACGAAGATACTGAAAGTGTGAAAACAAATCCCTTATCAGCGAGATACAAACATGGCTCTGTTATTTTGTTCAAGTTAAGGCAAAATCCTTACCAATGTGAAAACGAGAAGCAAAAGGATTACGGGAATGCTGATCTCAACACAAGTTCCGGCTTGTGGAAAGCCATAGCTAAAGAATGCTAATCCTACTGCAGCTACGGTTGGGGCTACTACGACAGGATTAATAAATCTGAAATCAGAGTTTAAAGGAAACATATATAAAATGAGAGCAAAAGATCTGATATCTATGAGCTTTAACGAAACCAAGGAAACTGCGGATTACCTAAGAAGGAGAGACATGAGACCACTGAATCCCAATATGCACTGGAACAATGAACCAACAATTATAGCTCCCTGTAGTTCTCTCATTATGTCCCGGAATTTCTGCGAGGGAATTGAAAACAACAAGTTTATCGCAAAGTTTCCAAGAAAATCAAATCCTCTTTTGGGATTTAGATATGCAGACTTACATGCTCCGTGAGGTTCCTGAACTCCTCAGAGTTGATGACAACTAAAGCCGGGGCTAAGTAAACAAAGGAGCTTCCTTGAACCAAGGGAAGCCGAGTACCGAAATAACAGTGAAGTATAGTTGTAATTCCAGTAAGAAGCAACATCGTTGAAATCACTGCGGCGGTATCTTTCTAATCATCATAAGTCCAGAATCAAGAACAAAACAAAAAAGTCTTCACAGAGGAACCAATGGAAGAAGAAGAAGAAGAAGAAGCTTACATCTGAACCATCCATTGCTGGTACAATGACAAGAGGAATAAACACAAGAGAACCAGCAAGTGACAAATAATGTTGCAAACCGTAATAGATAAGTGGAACTGCATTTCACAACCAAAAAAAAATAATTTAGAGAACAAAATCAACAAAGGAGTCTCCCTCAACATGTGTTAAAAGAATCTTCCAGATTTACCAGAAGAAGTATCCGTTAAAAAAAAAGTTTCAATTTTTAGGGGAAGAAGAAGAAGCTGAGATTGAAAACTAACCGAAACCAGGATTATCTCTAAGACCAAACTTGAGTGCAATGGGTTTAGGCCATTCTCCATCTTCTGCTTCTCCACCGCCTGGATAGTAAAACCCGTTTTCCAAATCCCTATTGATTTTCCCGCCTTCATTTTCCGTCTCCGACAGTGTCTCAGCCGAGTTTCTGTCCTCATCCCGGTTGGTTCCTCTCTCTTCCTCTCCAGGACCCGCTTTGGACCCGGAATTAGATCCGGTTACGTGTTCGATATCGGATCCTCTCTTCGGTCTACTTCGTCCCAGAATCGGGTCGATGTCGGTTTTATGAGACGAGCCTTGGCCTATTTGATGTCTACCATTTGGCAAATCAAATTCTGAGCTCTCACCGAACTTGGTACGAGTGCTCGTGCTGGTTTCGCCGGAGTAATCAGAGACAAACCCAGTTTTCTTGGCCCAAGATCTTAGGTCTCTCGGATTCAAATCCTTTTTCGGTAAAAATGGTTCTACTCTCTTTAAGAAAGCACCGAACTTTCTCTCGCCATTACCACTTCCTTTGCCCTTATTACCATTGTCCGGATCCAAACCCGACCCGGAATCCATGGTTTACAAATACTCAACTAACAAGAGAGGCTAGAAGCTTGATTAGTAGCAGACTTACGAGCTGTGAACTGAGCTCCTTTAAGTTAAGTTCGAGCTTCTTCTTTTTTGCTTTTTTTGCCAACTTTGGCTCTGAAGTGAGAAACAGAGCGTAACGTAACTTCTCCTTCTCACTCATGTCGCCATCACACATCAGCGGTTTGTCTCTATCCTCAACTAAATTACTAAACTAGCCTTCTTATGTATGCTTTCACATTGATACCCAACTAATAAATAATATCTTCTGTACAAACCTTATGATTAAAGCTAGTAAAAAGTTAGCTTTAAGAATAAGTATTCAACATTAGCTGCTTAATGATAATTTACTACTTGACGGTGGATGCTGTTAGCACCATCATTCCCAGATATATATATATATATATAGAAAAGCAAATACAATAACTCTTATTCTTATGTCAAATAGTACTTTTTAAATATACAATTTTTATATTCTTGAAGTACATATTGGAAATAGAGATCACAAATTCAAAAACATATCCAAAGAGATATGCCTCTTATTCAGGACACACGAAATCTGGAGAAACTCCTCCTGCTTCACCAATCACAATAAATACATATATATACAGACGATGTTTATAAAGAATTACAATGGCATCACTACTGTTTCTATTCTATATACAAAACTATCATCAGTGGTAGTTAATAACTACATACAATCTGCAATCACTTCAAACTCAGTCTTGAGGAAGAGGAAGAGAGTTATGATACAGGACAAAACTATTTACATCACTCTATGTGTATTTACATTGAAGACTTTTTACATGAATTTACAAACTCAAATGAATAATCCCTCCCTCCCGTATACCATCAATACCATCATCCTGATATAAAACCTTACCACTACTTCTCCTTCCTCCAATCCCCTATTCCTTTCTTTCCGGTTTTAATCATTTCCGTAGCCTCTCTTATTGGATGTTGATCTGTTTTCTGGATCAATGTAACCAGCTTATAACATCTCAATAGGAACCCAAATGTGCTTTTTCTCCATAGCTTTTCTACTCCCACATAGCTCTTTTTTTTCTCTCTCTTTTTCTTTTTCTTTCTATTCTTTTGGGTCTTGATCCGTGTCCAGGATCAGTGTGCAATACCCATCACCTTAATCTATACATAAACTACTTGTGCTTCTCTTTTTTCTCTTTTTCTTTTCCACTTTTTTCTCCTTTTTTTGAGTTTTCAGGATTATTGTAGAAACCAAAATGATTCTTCAGAGCGTATTAGAGAACTAAAACTACTAACTAACTACAAAAGGAAGAGACCTGGTCAAAGGTTCTGCAGAGATGAAAGCCATTGCTCCATGTAGTTCTTCCCATCTGCACATTTGATTAGGAAGATAACGAACCCGAATCAGAAAAGTTTGCACTTTGCTATTAGGAAAAAAGTGACTTTTGAAACATCAATAGCAAAGACTCTGAACCGCAAAATCCAGGTTTCATATACCATTCTCATGATACTAATCAATACCAAATATTCAGAGCAAGTAAGATCAATTACTAAACAACAAGCGTTAGCCTTTACATACAAGAGAGATAATAGTTCGTTCATACCAGGAGACAATCCGTTGGGGAGATTCTTGACGGCAGCCACGAGCTGGTTATTACTAGAGCCTTCGACGACAGCTCTGTAACAAGGAACAAGCACTAAGAAGCCACCATCATCTCCTTCATCATCGCTTTGGAAATCAGGCCCATGTGGCTCAGTCCATCCAACAGACCATTCAGGCCCGTCACCAGCAGCAACAGCTACAGATTCTGAGCCAGAGGAACCAAAGCTCTCAAGTTCCAGCTCCTTCCTCTTGATAACTCTTCCTTTGGCTCGATTTATCTTTGTAGGAAACTTAAGAGCCTCAGTCTCTTTCTCCTTCCTACCACCTAATAACCACCAAGGCCAACTCGGGATCGGTCTCTTCATCATTTCAAGAATTGGATTGTTTTTTCCTTTTGGAAATAATCTGATGAGATACCACAAGGCAAAACCCTTTTTGGTTGTAAATCGACCTCAAAATGAATCAGAAGCAATCAATTAACGCTTGAAAGAATGGAAGAAGGAGCTGATCTTCGTGAATTTGCAGAGCGTAGTTCAAAATTTACAGCCAAGTAATAAAAAAAATGTCTAAAATGAAAATAAAGGACAAAACTTTCGAGCTCGATGTCCCCGGAAAGAGATGAGCTTTTCTTAAATCTTCAGAAGAAATGGGAGAAAAGAAGATCACAAGAGTCACAAACTTAGCTACAGGCTCGAAATTCCAAGCTCAAGATCTAAGTGTCACCATTGAAAACCGGCGAAACAAAGAATGTTTCACCAGAAAATCGGAAAGATATAAAAGAGCCCTAGAATTAGGAGCAAGATTTTGACAATGAAATCAACTGAAACTCGATGGAATTACACGGAGGAAAAATCAATCGATCAGACAAGAAAATATTTTATAAACCCAAATCATCTATTGTCTTCTTCCATCATCTCTCTTGTCCCTCCGACCAAATTTGTCCCTTGTACTCAAGAGCTAGTCGTCTTCTTCTGCAATTTATAATTCGATTTCTCCAATCTTTTGGTTTTAGTTAGATCCAACGGCCACAAATTTGACGATCGTCCCCTCCAATCATTAAACTACAATTATATGATTGATGCAAAAATAAAAGATTTTGAGTCCTTTTCTGAAGAGACAAAATAATACTATTATTTACTTAATTAATAAAAAGATAATAGGGCAAGAGTTCCTATCTACCGTTGATTCATCGACAACTGGGGATGCCTACAACCGTACAAAATTGATGATGTGTCATACTTTATCCAATCGGTTTGCGTATGTATGAGGCTCAAGTTATGGACACGTGGCAAACTCATCTGCCTTTGGTTTTAACTCGGGGTGATTTACGAGGAAATTATGAATTAGATAGAGATACTTTTGGCGAATGTTCTAGAACATTGTTGGAAGATCCGGTTATTTTTTTTTTTTTATTGAAATAGATAACTTCGCTTTCTATAACTAATTTGCGTTGACCACAGAATTCTATTTGGCTTTTGCTTGTTTGTAATATAAAACATTGTGGGAAATAAATTAACTTATCCAAAATATTAATTAGTCTTACGAGACTTATATGTTAGGTTGCTCGGTATAAATTATAGAGTACTTACACAAGTCACCGGCGCTTATGGATAAGTGTAACTAATAGCGAATTATTAATTAATTACTCTCTCTGTTTTATAAAAAATGTCATTCTGATATTTTTCACACATATTAAAAAATAATTAAAAATATAATTTTGTCCCTTATTAATACATTAAATCATTTGTTTTTATCTAATAAATACATTAAATTAATAGTAAAATTGAAATATTATTTAAAATTTTGCATTGAAAATATAAAACGACACTCTTTGTGAAACAAAAATAAAACGCTAAAACGATACTCTTTATGAAACGGATGGAATAATGTTTTGATATCATCTGCTTTAGCCTTTAGATATTAACATAGCATCCAATTAATAAAACAACAACAACAAAAATTATTATTCAGTTTCCATCTCAGGATTGGTCTTATGGATGCTATCTAATTAAGAGATTGGTTGGGTGCTCAATATTTGGCAAAAAGATAATGATGGAGTATGGACAAGTCAAAAATTTACTGAAATCACTGAATAAACTAAAGCAAAGGCGTAAAGGTAGACAGTCTTTTCTAATATTTACGTGTGGATGTTATATTGGATAATTATATTTGAGTCCAATCCAAAACAATTTAATAGTATCAGTGGTGAAGAAGAATGACCGACTCTTCAATCGATTGTACAGTAAAACCTCTATAAATTAATAATGTTGGGATCATGAAATTTTATTAATTTATCGTGATATTAATTTATCTATAAATTAATATTTATTAATTTATAGAGATAATCTAGTTTTGTCTATAACTTTTTTAAAAAAAAATTTGAATAATGTTGTATTTAAGAACTTAAGAGAATAACTTAACAAAAATTATGATTAATAAATATAGTTATCATAACAAAATAGTTTTTAATAGAATATTAATTTGTCTATTAAAAATATACATGTTTAAAAGTTCAAAATTTATAAGAAACCGTGGCTATTATCAAAAATATGAAAATGAAGACAATACTACAATACATTCATAGATATTTACGTGTAAGAAACCCAATTATTATATCAAAAATTCTTCACAAATTTGAATGAATTTCGAAAAAAACAATAAGAAATAGAGATGTAATAAACAAACAGATGAACACCAATAAAATTTCAACTTTAAGTAAAAGTAAACACATTATTCATATTTTAGAATAATATATATATACATTTGTATATATTTATATAATTATTAATTTATATTTTTGTTGGGACCATATATTTACATAGGAGTTTCAAAAATATTATTATCTTATTATTTTATCGAATTTGATGGATTTTTACACTGTTCCCAACTCGGGACCAAATAAATTTATTAATTTATAGTGATTATTAATTTATCGAGTATTAATTTATAGAGGTTCTACTGTATTAAGTTAGTATTCTATCTTCAAGGAGAAATAGAATGGCCATAGAATAAGTTTTTATTGATGAGTTATCTATCTAAGCTGAATTCTATATATGGTGCTAAATTACGCTATAACTCATGTTGAAATCGATAAAACAATGTAAATTTTATTTTGAATTTTCGACTAATGAAAAAGACGTACTTGTTGAGGAAAAAAAAAGGTCAAATCAACTGAAACAACAGCTTGTCGTTCGTTTGCCTCATCGGTGTAGTGTTGTCGAGAAATGAAAGACACCAACTAATTAATAGCACACAAGTATAGACAATAACTCCTAATTTGTATCTAAATTAGTACATACACACGTATGTTTCTAGTATTCAGGAATATATTTACATAATTTTTCAAGATATCATTAGATATCTATTGTTTTGTATTCATTGATTGGGGATCGTAAGTTTGTGAACAAAAATTTACAAGTCAATCTAGTATAATGCAAAATTCGGTTGTTATCGTTGCATGATATATATATTTTTTTGGTAATCAAATTGTTACTTGATTTGATTTTGTATAAAACGTTACACAATAAATAAAATCATATAAAGACTTCAAATAAAATAGGTTTTGTTTTTGTATAGAACATATTCTCTCATACATAACGTTGACGTATGTATATAGGAATAAAATACAAGTGCACGTAAACGTAACGATCCCTCACAAGTTTATTTATTGATAACGTGGAAGTTGCAGTAACATCATCTTGCACAGGAATTTTTCTCGATTCTTTTTTTAAAACGATAAAATTTCCATGATGATTTCATCGACTGCAAATATGCAATATAGCCAAGAAAAAAAACAAAATCGATATTTGAGATGGGCGGAATTTGTAAAGCCCATCATTAGATAAAGGCTTAAATAACGTTGAGCGGAAGTCAATTAACGGTGTTAACTCGATCTCCGTTTGCACATTTTAAAATTTTAAATATTCCCCTTTCTCCTCCAACGGCTCCTTTTTCCGAAAAATCCCTCAGATTATCTCAGTTTGTTCTCTCTCTCCTCTCCTCCCATTTTCTTGCACACTCTCTCTCTCTCTCTCTCTAATCCTCGAGAATCTGAGCAGATCAATCGATTTATTAATTGAAATTTCGGTTTGAAGATTCGGTATTTCGAATCAGGTACTTGATTTTTAGGTTCTCGTTTCCTGGGTTGACATACTATGGATTAGGGTTTGCTTTCTTTTGCATCCAAGAAGATAAGTGGCTTTTTATGTTCTACAATGTTTGATTTTCAATGGAGATTAGCGATTTTTTCCGTTTTAGTTTCATGTAATTTCTTGTAATGTGAATGTGAAGTGTGATTGTTTGGCTCAATGTGGACGAATTTCAGATTGAATCACTGCATGTCTATGTCTTCTTCTTCTTTTGCAGTAATTTGAGATGATAAATGGTTTTAAGGTTCTTAGATGTTGGCTCTCTGATTATCAGAAGCGATTACCGCTTTTTCCTCTTGTAGTTTCATGCAATTTCTCACATTCTTCCTTTCTTCTAGATCTGTGGAGTCAAAGGTAACTGCTAAAGTATTTTGCTTGAACGTAGCTAAAATGGAGAAGGTTTATGAAGAGCTAGATGAAGTGAAAGCCGCGAACGAAAAGCTCAGAATGGACTATCGAAGCAAAACGGAGCTTCTTGACAATCTAAAGAAGGTTCACAACGAGCAATTAGTAGAAATTCAAGAGGCAAGATCGGTAATTGAGAAGCAGGGTTTTGAATCTGAGGAGAAAACCAGAGAAATTTCTGAGTTGAAGCAAACAAACGAGGATCTACAACGTTGTTTGAGAGAAAAGGATTCTTTTCTCAAGAGTTTGAAAGAAGCCTATGATAAGCTTAGAGCTAATGGGGAAGATAAGTACCGGGAATTTGAAGAGGAGAAAAGAAAGTTGATGTCAGCTTTGGATGAAGCAAGTGAGAAGAACATTGACATGGAGCAGAGAAACAATGTCTACAGGGCTGAGATTGAGGGGCTCAAAGGGCTTTTAGCAGCAGCAGAGAAGAAAAAGATGGAAGTTGAGAAAACTGCCAAAGCTTTTAAAGAACTGAGAGGAAGAGATGACGTAGTGATTAAACTGGAAGAGGAAAAGACTCAAGTAGAAGAGAAGCTGAAATGGAAGATGGAGCAGTTTAAGCATCTTGAGGAAGCATACGAGAAGCTCCAAAATGTGTTCAAAGCTAACAAGAAAGAGTGGGAGGAAGAAAAATCAACGCTTCTAGATGAAATCTACTCTCTTCAGGCCAAGCTAGATTCACAAACTAGGATCTCAGAGGATCTTCAGAAGAAGCTACAGATTTGTAACAGTGTGCTGACCCAAGAAGAGACCCGACGGAAACATTTTGAAATCCAAGTTTCTGAATTCAAAGCTAAATACGAAGATGCTTTTGCAGAATACCAAGATGCAAGAACACAACTTGATGATTTGGCTGGCAAAAGAGATGAGGAAGTTGCAGAGTTGAGACACTCCTTGAGCACGAAAGAGGCATATTTTAAGGAGATGAAGTATGAGAATGGAAAACTCGAACAGGAAAACCGGGAGTTGCTGCTTTCACTGAAAGAGCTCCAAGAAGCTACAATTCAGGGATCAGGAAACTCTGCACTATCAAAGCTGAAAAACAAGTTTCGGAACTTGGAAAACTTGCACAAGAACTGTTCAGCTAATTTAAGGGTTAAAGAAGCTGAATGGAGCTCTCAACTGGAGAAGATGGCTGAAGAGACAAATGATTATAAGTTGCAGTTGCAAAGTAAGGAGGCAGCACTGAAAGTGGTTGAGTTGGAACTTGAAAACTGTCATTCTTCGACAGCTAAAATGAGACTACAGTATGAAGAGATCTCAGTTATGTTTTTAGTGCTAAGTAGAACAGTCTCCGAGGCTCAGTCAAGGCTTGCAAATGTCAAGGATGAGCAAATCAAGGATGAGAAAAGAGAAGACAAAAGCTATTCCCTATTGATTGAGCAGCTAGAACAAAAGAATGCTGCCCTAGCCAAGGCGCATATAGAGATCGAAGAAGAACGTGGAAGGGTCGCGTGCTTGCTGAAAAGAATTGAAGGGCTGGATCATCTTGAAGAACAGAATCTTCAGATGCAGAAAGCGGTAGAGAGGTACAAAGAAACAGTTGAGGAATCATCTAGATTCCAAACTCAGATGAAAGAAAAAATGAAAGAGGCTGAAAATGATTATGAAGAGAAACTTATGAAAGTCTGTGATGCACTTGACAACACAAACTCGGACCTGGTCGCTGAACGTGAGAAGGTGGTGGGTTTAACAAGGCAGATTGAGTCCTTCGGTATTGTCAAAGAGAAGAATTTCATGATGGAGAAAGAAATTCAGAAGTATAAGGAGATGCTGGAGGAATCAGACAAGTGGCGGTTGCTTTTAGAAGACCAGATTTCGCAGCATGAAAGTGATTCCAAGGAGAATATTAGAGCGCTTTGCAGCAAGGTGGACATTGCATATGCCAAGTTAGCGGAAGAGGTTGAGAAGAATGTCTCATTGATAAGAAAAACTGAGTCCATTGATCGAAACGAAGAGCATAGGCAAAGGGAGCTTGACAGTTACAAGGAGATGCTTGAGGAGGCAACCAAGAGTCAACTTCTCTTACAAGAGAAAGTTGTAGAGGTGGAAAACGACTCAAAAAGGAAACTTGCTGATGTTTCTGAGGCCCTAGAAACAGCAAACTGTGAACTGTCTGATAAAACCTCCGAAGCGTACCAGCTTGAATTCCAACTATGGGTCTGGAAATCTATTGCTAAAAGGCTGAAAGTCGAACTCGAGCAAAACCAGAACCTGCGCAAAAGAGTAGAAGCTTCTCTTCTTGAACAATCTTTGCTGCTGGAACAGAAGCAAAACGAGGCTAATATGGTTCACAAAGCATGGGAGAAACTCGCTGCTAGTAACATTCTTACCGAGGTAGAAATTGAGGCGAAAAAGTTGATGATCGTAGAGCTTGAAGGGGAAGTCTCTAGTATCAGCCAGAAATTCGAAACCTTGGAAAATTCTGTTTCTTGTTTCAGAGAAGAAGCAAGCAAGTTAGAAGCTGAATTGGAAACTAAGCAGAGAGAGTTAAAGGAAGTAATTACACAAATGCAGGAAAAGCAAAGAACTTCAGAAGCGGAAAAGACAGAGTTGGTTACACAAGTCTCGAATTTGTCATCAGAAAGACAAAATCTTCTGTCTTTTATCAGCGAACTGGAGAATGGAATGTCGAAGCTGTGTGATGAAGAGTCTTCGTTTTCGGTTTGCCATGCCAATAGTATATTAGTATAATTAAAAAAAAAACTTAAAAAAAAAACTAAATTAGAGTACCTTATTTTCGGTGAACTTGGGAAATTAATTTTTTCTCAGTTAGTTTCTTGAGTGGTAGTAAGTGAAAACTGTAAACGACTACGTGAGATTATATAATTTTTTTACTCAGATTTTTCCAACTTCAACATTAAGATTCCTTTGAAAAATATCTCAATCCACCTTGTTCGAGATTTCATTCTCTCATTAACATTCTCATATGTTTTTTTTTAATAATACCAATGCTTTGATGCTAAATTTTTTAATAAAAGAGTTTTTATTTTTTGGCATAAATTAACATTGGTTTTTGGTAAAAAAAAAAAAACATTGGTCATCTCAGTGAAATATTATTATTGGTTAACATTTGAACTTTACTGAACAGTCTGAACTTTTCATTGGCTCTGGATTTTATTCTTATGGGGTTCGAAGTTTCAGGATATTTTGTGTTTGAAATCTCAATAATAAAACAAGAATTGTAATTTTCATGTTTGAAATCTCGTCTTAATATCTATGATCATCTCTTCTTTGTTTCAAGTTATTTATTACAATATATTCTCATGCTTATTTCTCATTAATCACCCATTTATTACATTTGGGATCTTCTCCATATCTTTCGTCTTATTACAATATATTTTACACAACAAAAAATCAACATTCCCTCCATTGTTTCATCTCTTTGTGTCGCCATGGTTTTACTTCAACAAGTAAGTCTCTCTGTTACTTTCTTCTTCTCTAATCAATCAAACTTCTTCTTCTCTGTTCTTCTTACTCTCAATCTTCTTTTGCTGGCCCCTCCTGTCTTGTGTTTAACGCAGTTAGAGCAAGGGATGCGTCCCCTTTCGCGGTGTTACAATCCAACGGCGTATTCAACAACAATGGGAAGAACTTTCTTCAATGGCGGAGCCACAAGCAGCAACTTGTTCTCAAGAGGTTTTTCAGCTGCAAAGCCAAAATCAAAAACCGTATCTAAAGAAGTCGCTGCAAAGAAACATAGCGATGCAGAGAGAAGAAGAAGGCTTCGGATTAACTCCCAATTTGCAGCTCTCCGCACCATTCTTCCAAACTTGACCAAAGTAAGTTATATAATTCTTGTTGCACTCCAAATTACGCAAAAGGCATGTCAAGATTTCTCGCCGGAGAATAAGCGCTCTATTTAAGTTTAATGAAAATTTAACAGCAGGATAAAGCATCCGTTCTAGGAGAGACTGTTAGGTACTTTAATGAGTTGAAAAAGATGATTAAGGAGGTACCAACCACACCAGCTTTAGAAGACAACTTGAGATTAGGTCACTGTAACAACAACAGAGACATAGCGAGAGTTGTGTTCAGCTGTAGCGACAGAGAAGGGCTAATGTCGGAGGTTGCAGCGTCGATGAAAGCAGCGAATGCAAAGGCGGTGAGAGCTGAGATCATGACAGTAGGTGGAAGAACCAAGTGTGCCTTGTTTCTTCAAGGTGTGAATGGGAATGAAGGGTTGATTAGGCTCAAGAAATCATTGAAACCTGTAGTGAATCGTAAATCATCATCATCAATATTAATGGCGAAACACAACAACAATGGAGGATCGTTCTTGACTCAGCAGCAATGAGAAATTTGCATACTTTGTACATCTCTGTTTCTACTTAGTCCATTAGAGAAGGTAGATATAGATGTAAAAGGTATATAAAAGGCCATGTGTTATTGAATTTGGCTGGATACTTGCAAAGTCTATTGTATGAATAAAAAAATGCTGCAACTCTTTCTTGGGATTCCATTAGGTATCTGCAAATAAAGCATCATTATCTTCAGACATGGTCTGAATGTTATATCAGGCTTATGAGTTTTTTGTGAAAAGAAGTCTCATGGTTGGTTGATTCTAGTAGATAGCTTTCTTATGGGAAAGAAACATTTGGTTTAATAAGTTGAACCAACGAATGACTCTTCAAACTTTCCTCACCTACTTATCATCAAACATTAATGAATACTTTCCTCGTTATATATAGAGGGTTCCTGCACAAGACTCTCATTCTCAGTCAACCCAACAAGCAAAACAAACCAGAACACCATGGCTCCTCTCAGGAACTGTTTCTTAGCATCTCTGGTGATGGCATTTACATTCACAAGCTCCTTCACCGTCCTTTCCGCTCACCGTCATCTTCTCCAATCAACACCAGCGACTCAGCCTCCGGCTTTAACATTCCCACCTCTTCCCAAAACCACTATGCCACCGCTTCCTTCTCTACCAAATCAACCACAGCCAAATCTACCACCAATGCCAACACAGATACCTTCATTGCCCAACCCGGTGCAGCCCACGATCCCCAACCTTCCACAGGTGAACTTACCTATTCCCAGCAACTTACCCTTCAATCTACCTTTCAACATCCCAAACATTCCTTTCCTCACTCCACCACCGTCAAAGTAGAAGAAGCGACGAGCTAGGTCTTTAGCTGACACGGATTTATATTAGTCCTTGCGTTGACACAGCTTTGTATCACACACTTTACTTTTGTGTCAGTTTGTAATACACATATCTGTACTGTTTCTTATTCTTTTTTTCGCTGGTGTCGTCCTTATTCTTGTTGCTTCCATTAGTCGGTTCCTTTTCTACTATACTATACAGAATTTTCTTCTCCTGTCAGGTTTTTTTTTTTTAAGGCTTGACTTGCGCAACCCAAAAAGACTGAACTAGAAGTCTATCATTATGAAACAGCTCATAATATCGCACGAGGCATTCTTCAATTCAGTTGCTTTAGAAAGAAAGAGAAAAAATGTTTTATTACAGGATAACGTTTTTACCTAGAAATTGCTAAGTGCTTTTGTAAAAGACAAGGTCTCGTCTGCAGTTGGATTTGATGGCATCCTCTAATTTATCAACCTGGTCAAAATCAACCTTGAAGGAAACCATGGTGGTACCATCTTTACCAGTATCATAGTCTTCCTTGATGTCTTCAGCCTGGCACGATTGCAGCTGAGACATATATATATATATATAGACACGCACAATCTCTCAGATTTGAAACTTAAAACCAAAATTTGAAGAAAAATAATAATTTAAGGTGGATATCAGAAAGTCACCTGATTGTAAAGAAGACCTATAAGATCAAATGTCACCTCGACTCCCATTTGAACCTGCAGAAGCAAAAACGGATAAGGTTCAAACAAAACAAAACACCCAAGAAACAGCAAGAAAAAGGAAACTTGAGTCCAAGATTAAGCAAAAAATTGGTAAGAACAAAGAAAGAAGGAAACATGGTTTTATACTTTAGACTTGACAAGGCAAGTTGGAGCAGTTTTCAAGCAATCAGAAGTAACACCACCATATGCTCTAACAAGACCTCCGGTTCCGAGTTTGATGCCCCCAAAATACCTTAACAAAAACCATTTTCTTTTTGTTTCAAGATTTGTGTTATTCTCAAAACAAATGCCAGAGAACATATTAAAAAAAAAACTCTTACCGAATGACAACAACCATAACTCTGTCTAATCCAGATGAGCAAATTGCAGAAAGCATCGGCTTTCCTGCGGTTCCTGATGGCTCACCATCATCGCTAGATCGGTGTTGATCACCTACCTACCCGAATATGGATATATTAAAAAAAAAAAATTGAAATTGAATGCAAAACGAAGTAAGAGCCATGAAAAAAAAAAATCCAACTTTGAATCACCTTATAAGCCCAGCAATTGTGGGTAGCTCGAGGATCTCGGACCTGGGAGAGGAAAAGCTGAGCGGATTGCTCGCTGGAGATAGGACCCGCGATTGCTATGAACTTGCTCTTCTTAATCTCTTTCTCTACGGATACCACTTCTTTGATGGTCGTGAATGCGGCGGCCGCGCCTGCGGGATCCCGAGGCATCGAGCTCTTAGTGGATAGCATAGAAGCGGCGGATATTCGCCGGCGGAGAACGACCAAGACGGTGGTTGCAGGTGCTACCGGTACGCCCACCCGCATCTGATTGCTGCGGAATCGACGAATAAACCAGGAAGATGGAAGAGGAGAATAGGGGAGAAATAACAAAAGGGAAAAAAGAAGGGTCAAAATGTAAGAAAAGTTAAAAAGGTAGGGCTAGAAAGTTACTGATAAGTGGGATACCTTTTCAGACAATAATAAGTTATCCATTTTACTCTTTGGCCCTCAATCTCTTGTTTTTTCTTTCTCTCCCTTCATAAATCGTATACAGAGAATTTATTTTGTTGAAATGGTATACACAGACGAACATATTACAGACTAAAGAAGACTTGGCCCAAACTGTCACATTATAAGATACATGCCTGGTGGTAACTGGTAAATTAACAAAAAAAAAAAAAAAAAAGGAGTACAGCATCAATTTTTATCACCCCTGTAATCGAACAAGAACAAACTCTTTTGTAATGTGGACCTTTTCAGGTAATAATGAAACAGTCAAAAGTGTATTAATCGTAACATCTTAAGGAGCAATTGTTCTCTATACACTTGTACAGAAACTAATGAAAGTCTTGACAAGGGAAGAAGAAGGTAAGATTTGCTCTAGTTTTCTTCCCGAATGTGAAGTCGTGACGTGTTTTGTTTTATTCTTCTGAGAAGCTCTCTAACAACAACTAAACACCGGCGTCATGAGGATGTCGATAAAAGATTAGACAAAATCAGGCTGACCTGTGGAAGTTAAGCAACGATGCCACATCCGACTATTGGGATCAACTGATTTGGCATAAGCAATCACTTCAGGGATCGGTAAGTAAGCATAATGCGTGTTGATTATCCCCACCGTTATTCCACTGTACCCAGCAAAAGCTCCATGAACCTGCGTGAGAGAAACAGTGAGATATATAGACCAGATCAAATGCTGTTTGAAGCAATCTAGACAGTGTATAACAAAAGTTGTTGTAAGACTTTTACAGCGTTTTGTCCTAAAACAGTGCAGAGGATTCCGTCTGATGCATTTGCACGGACAGCACGGATCATGTATGTTGGATCTATATACTTCACATCCGCCGAAGTACCAATCTCCTTAAAATATTTCTTCGTCTGTGTATATACAAATTTCGAGCACTCAAATTTTGTATTAATCATCATCTTTCATGATTGAAAAGATTCAAGATTCACAACCAAACCTCTTGTTGAATATGAACACCGATATCACCGAGTACCTTGTTTCCAGATGCATCTTTCGCATTTGTATTCTCAAGGAAACTCTGCAATAACAGAAATCTCAAGGAATAAGTTCTCGTTGATCTAGAGGATTTTTGATCGATGTCAAATTTCGAGTTTCTACCTGTCCTGCTCCCTCTGCAACACAAATTACAGCAGAACCTTTTGTTTCGATAAGGTACTTCAGATGTTTCAATACACCATGAGGTCCATGGAGATTGAAAGGAACCTTTTTAAAGTGGAATACACACTTTAGTTGATTAGAAGCAAACTCTCAAATGTTTCTGACAATTCAAGATAAAAACAGAACGTACCTCGGGGATCAGACAGATGTCGACTTGTCCGCTCGCCAAGGATGCTTGCATCGCAATGAATCCACTGCTACGACCCATCAGTTTCACGACGCCAATGCCATGATAAGCACTATGTGCCTGATCACAAAAACCATACACAAAGCGAGGGAGACATATTTAATCGGGTTTTAACATATGCACAACTAATGGTGATCTAAGTATCTAACTCGGGTATTTTTTAAGTACCTCGATGTATGCAGAGTTTATCGCTCGTTGTGCTTCTTCAACAGCAGTGTCAAACCCAAAGGTTTTATCCATATGCAAAATATCATTATCGATAGTTTTTGGTACACCAACAACAGCTACCTTCATCCTTCTTTTGCGACACTAAAAAAACAATAACAATAGAGAGAAAAGAGTTAAAGATGGAACACAAATTTTACAAAAACTTTGTTCAAAGGTTTTCACTTTAGAGTGTTGACAGAGTAATAAACCTCATTGTGTATAGCATTGGCACCTGCATGAGTTCCGTTACCGCCAAGCACGAAAAGCATGTTGATTCCTCTCTCCTAAGATAGATTTCAAAAAACTGTTAATAAATCAGAATGTTGCAATTCCACCATTAGCAATGAGAATTGAATAATCCACACCTCCATGCTGTCCACGATCTCACTAACAGCCGGTCCCCCACGTGAAACACCGAGCAAGCTTCCACCAGATAGATGAATATTTTGCACCACTTTCCTCGAGAGCTAAAAAAACAAATAAAATTATCTTCCAAAAGGTACTCTTGGCAACATAGAGCCAAAAAAAAAAGTCGGACGTTTTCTTGAAATAACTAATATGTACCGGAATTTCAGGTAGGTTCTTATCGGAGAAGCCACGATAACCAAAAGGAATACCAACAACGTTCTTCACACCATAAATCTCTAGAGTGATGACAATCTGCAAAAACAAAACAAGATATTACAAAACAGATCTTTTTTTCAGATGAATAGATATTCTCTCTACATGAGAAAACTCACATGTCTAATGACATCATTGAGGCCAGGACAAAGCCCACCGCAAGTAACAATCGCTGCCTTCACTTTCTCTGGTCTGAAGTAAATCTTTTCCCGTGGCCCAGCACGATGAACCCTACACGATCAATCCTTAGAGAACACTATTAGGTAATCTAATCAATTTGGAAACAACAATAGTAGCAAGGCTCAAAACCTTGAAAAAAACTACATTTTTTTAGTTCTGTAATATAATTACCATTGCTCGATCCAAGTGCAGTCAGGATCAATACACACAGCTCCAGCAGAAGTTGGTGATGAGTAGTTTATAACCTGATCAAATTCATTCCAATACTTATAATTTTTGCCCCGGATTCTTAGTCAAATTTATTTCTTTAACCAATTGCAATTACCTTGAGAAGTACTCTGTCTTTGTTATTGATGTATCCATGCCATTCTTCATCCGACGGGTAACCGCCGGAGAAATCTTCCGTTGGGGACCTACCGGAGGAAACACAATTTTTTAAATAAAAAAAAAAAATCCAAACTTGAGCCCTAAAACGATCGTTAGTTCATGACCCAATACTCCACAGAGATTGATTCCCTCCGAATTTCCACACTAAACTACAAAAAAAAACCCCAGAAAGTGTTTGAAATAAAAGTCCCCGAGCTCACTGGGATTTTGGAAATTACTTACCTCATCTTGAGGCAAAACGTTGAACGGATTGCTTCTGCATCTGGGAACACATCAGTGATATGAGGGATGTTGAATCGCTCCTCGAAATCTCTCTGATACTTTAGTCTCCAATCAGGGTCGCTTAGATCGATCGCCGCCGTTTCCGCCATCACTGCTCTCGCCGCCGCCGCCGCTCCTCGCGGAATCCGCATCGAATTCGCCGGAAATCTCGGTTTCCGGAGGAACAGGGAACCGAGACGAGCAGATCGGACGAGGAAAGAGTTCTTAGGAGATATGCCTACGGCTATGGCGGTCGAACCGACGCCGGAACCGATAAGCACATCCATAGAGAAGACTGATCGGATCTTCGCTTTACAGTTCCCACTAAAAGACTTTTGGAGGGAGATTTATTTTTCTCACAATTCTCGCCAGAGAGAGAGAGACAAAAGTGGTTTTGATTTTCAGCCGTACGATCTCTGACTTTTTGGCTAGATTCCCGAAGAAAGTAGGTAGGACGACTGTAAACGAAATCTATTCTAATCTAAATTAATAATTATTAGAGAGAACAAAATATCAAATTATTTTTAGGGTTTATATACAAAATTGTGTCGAAATTAAACAAATCTACTAGTACCAGCCTCACATTCTCATGAGTCATGACTATACTAATACTAATCAAAACGTTGATAGCTAATTACAAACCTACAAATTTTGTTTTTCTTAAACCTAAATCTGATGGGTTCAATAAAGTGAAAAGATCTTTGACTTTCGCATATGTAGCATCATCACATCACTTCCACTGTAACACATCACATCATAGTCATATCGCTAACCAATAATAGAGTGTTGGATGTATAAATGAGAATATCACGTAACTCCTACGCTATCCTACAAAACGAATATTTGAAGAACATTACGAAGAGAAAGAAAAAAAAATATTCTATCAGAGTATTAATTTCTTTAGTAGGATTTCATGGAGTAGCCAAAAAGTGACGAGAGAACAATACCAAAAAGTTCTCAATAATAAGCCAAAACAAAATTTAATCATTAATTTTCTATAACGCTAGTTTTGTTTTCAACTTATCAGCTTCAATATCATTGAGGCGTCTAGCGACAAAATCAAATTGCCTTACAATTTACAAGTGATCTAATCACTAAACTTTTTTTGTTTAATTAAAAGAAAATAACATACATATAAAACCTGATTTCTTCATCTTCTCATGAATAAGGTGCTATTATTTCTTTTAATTAACAAATATTATCTCAAAATTCAGATAGAAATAATAAATACAAACCAGTCATAAACATTTGAAATTTGTGAACCGCATATTTTTTATTAATGGCAACCATGTTGTCCTCCAGATTTAATATTATGGGGATGCCGGATGTGGTTTGTATAAACAACTGTAGTTAACAGGAAAAAAAGTTTTTTTATATATATAGAAGAAGATACATGTAATGTCTTGACGCAAACATGTGAATCTTCTTCAATATTTCTCGGGCAGAAACACTTGAAAGCAATCCATAGCAGCCTTATAAGTAAAGCACTATTCTCACCAATATATAAAAAAGACAGACATAAGCTTTTTCAGTTTAATTAACTCAAATATAAATCTCCGAATTCGCACTTAAAAGATATTTGGCGCGTAAATGCTTCAAAAGGCTGTTTAGTAAACGGTCACTTAAAACCTTGTTATTATTAAATAACTTTTACAAACTTCAACATGTCGTATTCGGACCACCAACTATAATACCTGAGCCCACAAGCGACCCATCAAGACAAATGTCAACGTCAAAACGCCGTAGTTTTATATCCCATATTTGCGAATCAAGTGTGAAAAAAACTAGACAAAGGGAATTGTGAAGTGTAGCCATGGACCAACAAGACTATAGCAAACAGAATGTAAGTAAAATATAGATATTTATACGCACACACATGACACATGCATGTGATGTAACCTTAATAATACTAGCAGTTAGCTACTGAATGATTACAAGTATGATTGCAGGAGAGAAAACTCTTATTGTCCAAAGAAGAAGAGAGGATTCGCGATGAGCTTGAAATGGAAATAGAAAGAAATTTGGAAGGGGAATTCAAGGATGGGATATACAATCTCGCACTCAAGCTGCGCAGGCTGTATGAACAAAGACGGGAAAGAGAAGAATCGTTGGATGCTTCGATGAGAAAGAGCAAGAGAGTATTGGAGGTGAACATAAGCATAAAGATGGAAGGAGATACCAAGATTGAGATCACAGAGAGGAAGAAGGAAGTAGACAACGTCAAGACGAAAAAAGCAGAGAATTTGGACAATAGAAAGAAGTTTGCAGCAGCTGGTGAAGATAAAACAAGTAAAGAAAAGATGAAGAATCCAACCAGGGCTCATGAACTCAGATGGAAATGGTAAAAGAGATAAATTGATTAATTGGCTTGCACCTGTGCTATTTTCCGGTATCTACGTTTCAAGTTTTTTATCCTATTTATATACGAACGAAATAAAAGCAATTATGCATAATATCACAACGTGCAATGAGATGATCAGAGTTAAAAAAAAAAAAATCTTCTTTTACAAACATATAATATTTGAGTTGCTGCTAAGCTATCATCTAACAAAAAATATTAAAGCCTAGAATCCAGCTAGCTTTTTTCTATTAGCAATGATATGATTTAGAGTATATTTAGCAAAGGAATGCTACCGGGTGTATTAAGACATGGTAACTAGTGAAAAATGGGAATCAAACCATTTAGTTTGCAACAAAAATGCTATTGTGTGTTCACACCAGGGTATATCACACTGACTGTAAGGCACCGGCTTGCAACGTATCTTGCAGAGATGTAACAGCACCTTCGTAGTTTAAGAAACCCATGAACCAAAACTCATGGTCATCGACCGTGATAATCTGGATGTACTTTTCTGCGGGATTGACTGTGCTTGCCGAAGGGTTAACCGATTTAAACTGATGTAATGGGATAATTACCTGTGTTAAGAAGAAGAAGAAGAAGAAGATACAAGTATGAATCATTAATTGGTGTCTCAATAGATTGTAATGAGGTGCTTCAAAACAGCTACAGATTTTCCTTTTTTTCTGAAAAATTGAGATGAATAAGAAAGAGTACTACCTTATAATAGCTCCATTCTGTTTGATCAGAAGCTTTATACGAGAGAGGGTTATCGCTACAGTAGGCAAGTTTGGCATTGGATATGTAAAGAACGCCCATGACTGGACCAGCTGATGTTGACAAGTAGCATGCATAGGAATTAAGCAGCTGCTCCTCTGCAGCTGTTTCAAAGGTCTGCCTGAAAATTTTCTCATAGCCTCCTTCTGCTAGCAACTTTGTACTCTGTGCAATTCTTCCCATTGCAGCATCCGCAAAACTCGGTGCAGTTTTCACTGATGGAAACAACCAAAGATTTGTGTTTAGTGTGAGACCAACCATGTATATTATAATCACTATCAAATCACTTCTTCTCTTTGGCATTGTGGCTTAGCCAGGAATTTTGATATCTAACTCATCAAGAACAATGATTCTACCCAAAACCTATCAAGTCCTCATGGACATGATGCAACCATATCTATTTCAAAACAATCAACCATAAAAGAAGAGTGGGAGGAAACAGAGGAGGCACATTATATCATTCATATCGGAAACTCACGGTGCTGCCACGTGTTCCCGGCAAGGCTCTCCGCCTTCATCGCGGCTTCTCCTACTTTCCTTCCCCATCTCCCAATCACATCTTTCACAGACTCCACTGTTTCTGAATCCAATTCGAAGAGATTTACAACGAACGGTTACACATCTCAAAGGCACATACCAAAACAATAGATATATACCCTTTGCACACTACCTTTCAATGACGCATCCGAATTTTCAGCCGGAGCACGAGCGACGTACGGATTAGAACCCGCGGCGGAAGAAGACGATAAGTCCTTCTGATCCGGTGCCGGCGATTCAGCAGAAACCAACTCTGGGTTCCAATGGACCGATTTACCCGATCCGGACGCCGATCGAGCCGGCGTTTGATCGCCATTCGTCTCGATTCGATCCGATATTACTATCACAGAACTCGCATCCTCTGCTCCTTTCGGCCCCTGATCCACCGGTTTGGGATCCTTGATCGGAACTTCCGATTTCACTGCCGATTCACCCTTCAGCTGCTCCATCCCTCGGACGAATGTATTTGAATTTCGCAAGTATGGTATTATGGTATCGTCGTTACTTAGCTTAGCCTTTCTCTTTGTTTCCTTTCCGTTAACAAAAAATAAATTAAAAACGTCTTTTATTGGGAGTTTTTTTTTTTTTTTTTTGGAATGTTAAATAGAAGATGGGTTTACCGGGAAAAACGGTGATAAACCGTGATAAGCGACGCCGATGAGAGAACTTAGACCGGTTTTGACCGGTGAATAAATTTCTCTGTTAGTAGTATAAATAATTTCATTGCCGTTTGCTATACATCTGACCATGATATGATGATGATCTTCATCATTTAGATTGCTATTTATCAATATCACATAACGAAATCGTTATTCTGTAGAAGATCTACAATATCTTCACGTTAATTTACATTGGTTACATAAAAATGAAGGTTAACTATGCAAATTGCCAACAAACTATAGACGATTAACGAACCAATGGGGGAGTACCAAAACATGATATGAATCAACATGGAAGCTAAGAAAATTAGGAAGAAAGGACTAGAGTTTTGGTTTTGGTTTAATTTTGTTGGTATTATAATTTCTGTTTGGTTTTGGTTTGGGATGAACGTTCTCTCTTGCGACCTAACTAAACTTTCCCCAAAATTTTAAAATATTATTGTAAAGTTTATAAAGTTTTTTTTTTTTTATTTCTCGCACTCTATATGTCATAATCATTGACAAATAATAATACGTTTGCTTGCCTGCTCGTCGTAACCTTAGTGGGAACCAAGTATCTTGCGCGTGGTCTTGACCCTTGACAGACAACAAAATTTATAATTTAAAATATTCGAAGTATATCGCCTGGCCCAAAATATGTCATTTTCTTAATTCGATGTAAAGTCGGCTAATTATATTCCTTCTAGTTGTTACATTACAACATACAAGACAAATTAGAAACTTTCATTGATGTTTTTCTTGGCCATCAAACGTCACGCTCCATGGGATATTTACAAATGAGGATAAACAAAAGTCATAAAAATTGAAGCTGCATTGACACGGTAAATCAGGACGTGAAGTTATCACTAGTCAACGACAGCTAATTAATAATTTTAACACGAAATATGTACAGATTATCTAAATGAAGAAGATACAACCAACAGAACAAAACTTTTAAAATGCAAGAGACTTGGTAAAGACTACTGATTTTGATATTCCGTATCACTAAATGAATGAGAGTTGTATATCTTATGTGCTTGCATGATTGTGTCCACCAAATATTATATAATCATCCTAAATCTAATTTTTTATAGAATTAAATATAATCATCTTAGCTATATATATTGAGAACACATTTCCTCATTTCTTCACCACCAACGAAGACAAGAGCTTTCTCAGTTTCTCATTAAACTCGTCGTTTTTTTCAAGACAACGAAAGAAATTAAAACAGGGATTAATGGCAGCTCTTAAGACATTGCAAGCTCTGATCTTTCTTGGTCTATTCGCCACGTCATGTCTCGCTCAAGCTCCCGCTCCGGCACCTATGACGCTTCTCCCACCGGTAGAGTCTCCTTCTCCGGCTATGACACCAACCGCTTCACCACCGTCTCCGGTTGCTTCACCACCGGTTCCCGTTACCGAGCCAACTCCAGCTCCGGCGACTCCACCCATGGTCTCACCACCCGCTAAGTCTCCGAAAACATCTCCCGTCGCTTCTCCTCCGAAACCAGAAGGTTTGGCTCCCGGCCCATCAGGCCCAACACCATCGTCATCACCAGCTCCGGCTCCTGAAGAACCGGTAGAAGACTCAGCATTGACTAACAAAGCTTTCCTTGTGAGCACCGTCATTGCTGGTGCTTTGTACGCCGTCGTTTTGGCTTAAGAGAGCATTGAGTATATTACTCTTATCTATCTCTCTCCGCCCTTTGTTTTTTCTTATGATGATGTGTTGAAGAATCTCTGTTTTCTGTAATCCATTTCGTATGTTCTTCCTCTTTGTTGATGTTATTTGTTTTTGTCTTTTTGATACTTACTTTATAACTCTGATGGACCATGTGATTAACCTGAGGGAGGAGATTTTTCTTCATTCTATTTTTTTTTAATATATATAAAAAATATTCTTGTTTTATATAATCGCGTTTTAAAGATCAGCATTAAGAAGTGTGTTTATATGTTATTATTGTTAGTTCGAACCATTTTTGAATTTAGTATTATGTAATTTAGAACATTTGAGAAAGAACAATTTTGAAAGTTTTATTCCTAGCTCTTTTAATAGCGATGTACGTATTTGGTTAAATTTTGAATATATTATGAGAATTTTTGGTTAAATTTGTGATTGTTTTACACAACCTTTACTATAAATCCCTAATCTATAGTTTTCGGTTAATAAGCAGTTAAGCAGGTTATTCATATGTAGTTATAGCCAAAGTTCAGGTGTTTCCTCATTAAAAGATCTTAGTAAAATATCACCCAAATGAAAGAAAAATGAAAAAAATGATAATCTACTTAATTACCATCAACGTCTAGGCTTTTATGGTAGCTGAATTAGAAATATATCTGAAAATAATGATCAAAATATAAACTATATTAACCGTCTTTCTCGATATTCAAAATGTAGATCATTACTCTGTTTGAAAAAATTCTTCCTCTATCTTTTGTCACCGTAATTTGTCTTTTAAAATTCACAAGGCATCTGAGAAGAAAAAAAAAACTAAAACCAGAACAAAAAAAACTTTCATAAGACCGGTCACAGTCAACACAATGTGCGACTAGAAACCGGGTAATTAAACGGATCAACATTCGAAAATCTACCGGAAGAAAACCGAACAGCATCACCGTAACCAATAATTAACCGATCAGTAAACCGAGCCGATTCGAATCCTTTTTCTCTCCTCCTAATCCCAACAATCTGCCCATCATTATCCTTGAAATTACCAATTATACCCATAACTTCACGAACCAAACCCCAGAACCCATCGATCCAAGCTCTTTTCCAATTCCCATGGCAGATATCAGACAATCTCTCTTTACTACTCTCGAGCCGCTTCAAAATACAGACAAGCTCGATCGAATCTCCGAAGCTCAGAGTGCTGGATCGCTCTTTAAACTCGTTGAATCTCGTGTAAAGCTCGTTGACCGAAGACATGTAGTCTTCTCCGACTAACTGGTTGATTTTGTCGGCGAGTGATTTGCCACCAGAGGAGGGTAGATCCGGAATTTTACATGCTTCTTCTAGTAGACCGACGAGGGCGTCGATTTCACGCAGCAAATCAGTGTTGGTAAGAGACGAAACCATTTCTTCGTATTCGTCTTTGTGGATTGTGCTCGATGTCGAAGAAATGAAAAATCCCATGATTCTTGAAGTTGATAATAGATGCTCAAGGTATAAAGCGTACCTAAATTCAAAAATCGAACATATAAAAAAAAATCAACTTTTTAACTCTTTATGACATAAAAATTGAAACTTTCTTATTTACTGTTTCGAACTCACCATCGGACCCAAGAGGAAAGCTCCCACTTCAAAGGGGATTTCTCATCTCTGAAACTAGAAAGCTTGAGATAATTCCGACCACCGGATACCGGAATAACAGAGAGCTGATCCTGGAGGATGAAGCGACCGTGCTTGACGATGTGATGGACGATGATCAACGATTTGAGAGCGACGCAGGCGTCTCCGGTGGTGTGGAGACGATCCATGATGGCTTCTACGGCGGAAGCAGCGGTGACTCGTGAGCCAGTACCGGCGGAGAGGAGAACGGCGATGTGGCGATTTCCCGGCGGAGTTGAAGGGTCGTGAGTAGTGGCACGAAGGACGGAGAGATGGAAAGAGAGAGATTTGCTATTTGGGTTTGATGAGACTAAGGCAGCTTTGCTTTGAGAAGCTTTGTCTTTGATTATTCCGACTAGATCTGCAAAACTTGTGATTCTTCCCATCGATTAAAACTTTTGAGTTCTGATGATGATGATCTACAAAGATAGATGACTTCTTTGTGTCTGTTTTTTTGCCAATTAATAAAGAGATAATATAAATATACTAACATTTATTTATCTTGGGTCAAGAATGGAAACTGTTTTTATTTGATTTCGATGTACCAACATGGGTCAAAATAATCAAATATATACATGGAGAATCACTCAATTGTCGATATTTTTTCCCGGTTTGGGTCCTTTCCAAACTACCTTCCATATTGAAACAATCTATTTTTGCCTTTCTTATTCACCAGTTCTGAAAGGGATGTCAAAAATTTATCTTCGATTTCTCAAAAATTGAACATGATAACTCAAACAATCTCTTCATTTTATAAATTTTACATTTAGCACTTACAGAATTTAGAAAACTTGTTTAGCGAGCTCCTAAACAAGCTGGACTCTTTTAACCTTTTTTGTATACAAATTAATGAGGAAAGACCAAAGTGAATAATGAATATCCATCAAATATATTTAATATTTAATCACCACTCGTATAGTCGTATGTACTCCAAAAAAAAATATTCACCACTGAGAGCGCGGCTAACGCGGTAAGCTATAACGTCGTTTATTTCAACGGTTCGTCGTTAGATTTCTGTGATGTAACGGATCCCGAGTTTGACTTTGAACTAAACAAACCCCATGGATCCGCCCAATTGATCAGATCCGATTTTCCACCCGACCCGACTGTGTAACTGCTCTCCTCGCCGCTCCGGCAATGTCTCTCTCTGCCATCCGCCGTCAAATCAGCATCGAAGCTTCTCGTTCGTTTCAGTCTACGTCCTTTCTCCGCCATTATTCGCATCTTCAAGTCGTCAGGCAACCTCAGAGTATACCTCTCAGTGTCGCCACTGAGTCGACCCATCGAATGACCCGTCGAATTCGACCGCGGAAACTTACCGGAGATTTCAGAACTCGGCCGTCGGTGGTGGCTTTTCGCTGCCTCAACTGTCTCTAAATCTCCAGTAAGACAGCCGTCGATGTCAATCGTGACGTGATCTCTCACCGCCGCGTCCTCGGCTCGCGGAGGATCGTCTTCCTCTTTGGCCGTGAGATTGGCTCTGCATACAGGGCAAGTAGCGTGGGAATAAAGCCAAGCGTCGATGCAATCGATGTGGAAAAGATGATTACAAATCGGAAGCAATCGCACCGTCTCGCGATCCTCTAATTCGTTGAGGCAAATCGCACATTCCAGATCACCGGAACCGATCTTCGATTCCTTAACGGAGGAGTAAGCGAAGACAGGAAAGCTCTCTACGACGGCGTCGTCAAGTCCGCCTCGCCGTGAACAGCCGTCGTAAGCGCGGCGACGGGAGTAACTAGGGGAGGATCCGGGATTAGCGCGCGTGCAGTGGCGGATGTAGACCGATAGTAATCCGAAGAAGAAGAAGACGGTGACCAGAATGGTGAAGACGGTAGTTTTCGACGTAGCTTGACCCGATTCCAGACTCGGTGGCGAGTGTGATTGCGCATTCGCTTCTCTGATGAAAGCCACGTGGACGACTGCGATCAAGTTGAAGGTAATCCAACGGTGTGAATGGAATCCCTTGACACGTGTCATCGTTCATTCGAGGCGACGCCGGAAAGCAAGAATTTGACAGAATTGACGGCTGAAATTTGTCCACGTCGAATTGCAAGTGTTTAATTTTTTTTTTTTTCAATCAGTTGTGTGATTGTTATTAAGGTTAGGAGCAATATATCAGATACGGAGATTGTGTTTATATGCAATTCCTATAAAGTTAGAGAGAAGAAGCAACGAGTTGTCTCATAAATCTTTAGAAGGGCAAAATTATATGATTTTGACTTTTGTATGAACTTAAATTTTGTTTTTAAAAAACGACAATAGGCAGACTTTCGACAAATTGAGGTAGATAAGTTAGCTACAAATTCATTTTATTAGTAATTTTCCACCACTTGCTTATTGAATAGTCTTAGCCACTAGATTGTGCTTCGTCTATATGTTAATCATGTCTATCCACATGTTCATTGCATATACACAAATTGTTTGTCTCTTCGATAGGGTCAGATTAATCAATTTTTTGAAGTCAGAATGTTTCATCGTACAGTTGCCTTTTCCTTGATTTCAGACAAGAAAATAACAAACAAACATACAAAAACAAGTAAACAACACAAGTTGATAAGTGGTGTGTATAGCCTTTGGCCAAAAAGAAAAGAAAAGTGATATTTATGGCCATCACACCGACAATCCGAACTATCGTATCAATAGAGAAGGGTCACAGAAATAAGCTTGATGGAGCTAATACTGATTAGAAGATCTCACATTATCCCTTAAGCCACATTGTTAAGGAAACTATGCATGTTGGGTCAACCAATTCAATACACTCTGTCGATGAATCTGTCTTTAGACCTATACAAAATTTATATACTAAAATTTCTGACCATAATTGGGCTTAGATTAAAAGATAGTCTTCGAAGCCCATAATTAAGCATGCAATTCGTAACTATAATACTACTAATTGCTTGGTAAAAGTAAAAGCTTTCTTACTCTCAAGTTGAACATGATTCTGAGGAGGAGGGATACTCAGGTGATATATAAGTTGACCTTCTTTTCCATTTTTTTTTTTGTTTGGTCGAAACCTTCTTTTCCATTAAACCTTTTCGTTTAGTCATAAAAGGTGAAGTTCTGAAGAACATACGACCAAAGCAAATTCTGTTATAGAAAAGCTTCATTTGCCCAAAATCTATCACACTTTTCTAGAATTAAGCTTCGGTTTGACATATTCTATAGTTTTGTATATTATTTTTTATACCATATAATTATAATCTTTCCTGTGGTAAAAAAATATAAAAATGGCCCTTCCTAAATCGGTTCTAGCTACCATTATACTATACATTCTTATAAATTGGATTCCAACTTATTAAAGCTTAAATTATGTGTAATCCACCCTTGAAATTGTGTTTTTGACAGAAAAAAAATTAGGAGCTGAGCAAGTTTTTTTTTTCATGTTTCAGCCCGAGATAGCTTGACCAAGATAATGATTTTATTTTTTTTCTTAAAGATCTTAATCACAAATTTGTTAAGTGGATGCAAATGTTTTGTTAACTTTGATTAATTCATTTGTCTGTTTGACGGTGGCGTTCTTTGAGGCTTTGAGCCCATGGTTTTGGATAAATTCAAAGAACCAAACCCAAATTGAAAGACTTTGTTCCCCCACCCACAGCATTTTTCCCACCCTTTTACGTTGCCAACAATAGCATATTAATATTAATGTTTTAATATATAGATCTCAAATCAAATATATGGGTTTATATATATAATATATCATCCTTATGATTTAATATCTTATCTATTTCAGTTTAACTTTGTCTTTGATTAGGAATGAGAAATATATTTACTTTCATTTATCATGTTGTCATGAAATCTTCTGACGTATCTTATGACGTTTTTCAGAGGATTGTGTTAACTTAATTCTTTTAAATGCATCTTACGTATCTAGTTTCATTTTAATAGTTTATCCGAATTTGCAAGTGTAGAACATGGAAACACCTAAATAAAATAGGGTTGAGCAGGTTCGGTTTTAAAAATCCCATACGATGACGTATAACAGGTTTCCTTTTTATCCGAGCCGAGCCGAGCCATATAAATCTGTTCAAACTTAACCCTAGTTACATTTTAACCCTTTATCTAAACCCAAGGTTGGTTTATTTAAAGAAAGAGAAAGTGTGAAACCATTTTGTTCATACTGAAAACGAAGAGCTCTTGTTCTCTCTCTCCTCATCTTTTGCTTCCTCTGTAAATAGATTGCCATTTCTTCTAAATAGCACCCAAAAAAAAAAGCTTCTCTCTTTCGCAATCCAGTTCCACTTTGTTCCTCTAAAGCCTTCTCTTTTGAAGTGAAGAAGCTAGAACATTGTTGCAACGAAAATTTAGAAAGCATAAAATTAAAACTCCATAAGAATTTAAATCTTTTTTTGGTGTCATGAAGAGACTTAGCAGTTCAGACTCAATGTGTGGTCTACTCTCCAATTCTACAGGTTCTTACCATTTTTTGTGGCTAAATCCATGTGATCCTTTCTTCTTGGAAATAACACTTTAATAGCAAATTCATCATCATTGGTTTCCTTTTACTGACAAACTCATTGGTTACTGATAACAGATGATCAGAGTCCACGAGGGTACGGAAGTAATTTTCAATCTATGCTTGATGGTTACGAAGAAGAAGGTACAATAGTCGAGGAATATTCCGGCAACCACCACATGGGTATATCGGAGAAGAAGAGACGGTTACGCGTTGACCAAGTCAAAGCTCTTGAGAAGAATTTCGAGCTAGAGAACAAACTCGAGCCCGAGAGGAAAACGAAACTAGCACAAGAGCTTGGCCTTCAACCTCGTCAAGTAGCGGTTTGGTTTCAGAACCGCCGTGCACGGTGGAAGACAAAACAGCTCGAAAAAGATTACGGCGTTCTCAAGAACCAATACGACTCTCTCCGCCACAATTTCGATTCCCTCCGCCGCGACAACGATTCCCTTCTCCAAGAGGTGAACATTCGATTTTATAGACTGAAAAATCATTAAAAAATTGAAACTTTATTTTTCTTTTACTGAATTTGGGAATTTGTTTTGCAGATTAGCAAAATCAAAGCTAAGATAAACGGAGAAGAAGTTAACAGAGCTACGATTGAGAGTGATATCTCCGCCGTGAAAGAAGAGAAAGTTTCGTTGCCGGAGAAATTATTTCACAAAACGGATCCGACTCCTTCCTCTCCTCCTCAGTTTCTAGAACATTCCACCGGTTTTAACTACCGGCGAAGCTTCACCGATCTCCGTGACCTTCTACCGAATTCCACCGCCGCCGTCGACGCTGGATCTTCCGACAGCTGCGATTCTAGCGCCGTTCTGAACGAAGAAACCAGCTCCGATAACGGACGATTGACGCCGCCGACTACGGTTACCGGCGGGGATTTCTTACAGTTCGTGAAGACAGAGCAGAGGGAGGATCATGACGATTTTCTGGGCGGTGAAGAAGCTTGTGGTTTCTTCTCCGACGAACAACCACCGTCTCTTCACTGGTACTCCGCCTCCGATCACTGGACATGAGAATCGTTCATCGGAGGCGATTGAGTGATCGGTTTAATTGTGCTCTGTTATTACTCTCTGTGGAGTCCAAAACTGGAATAATCCAAAATAAGGAAATTAAGGAAGGATTAAGGAGTAGTTAATATGGGGTTAATATTGTAATTGTGTTTATTCTCGTGTAATTAAAACGATGTCGAGAGGTGTGTTTCACGGATATGAAATCAAGTCATCGGAGAAACTCAGAATGAAACTAAGCTTGATCCCTCTACTCCAAACTGTATTCCAATATCTACCCCTAAACATTCCACTTAACTAATATAACCTTCTTCTTATGATATATACATATATACTGTATATGTTATTTGACGCTATAGATTTTTCCCTAGTAAGAACATTTGGTTCCCTAATTCACACGAGTGATATTTGATTAAGTTTTAATTTCTCAAAGGAAATCATAGGCTGAATTTTTGTATGACGACATTTCATGTTTTTTTAGTGTAGTTACTTGAAAAATATGTCCAGTGGTAATTACTTGATTAGACATATTTTTTAAAATAAGTAAATATATAAAAAAAGATTATGCATGTAACTCATGCTAATTTAGTAAACAATTTTTTGGACATGTAAACATTAAATACAAATATGTATAATTTGTTTTCGAGATCAATCAAATGATATTTATAGGGACATTACTCTTCAGAAATTATTTATACATGTCTCGTGATGCTATATTTAATTATTTTGCATCAAAATATAAAGGGGGTAGAGATTCGAGTTTTAAAAGAGTAGATGGGGAGAAAGTGAAACTGAGACAAATATGGATAGAAAATGGAAAATGATAGAAAGAAAAGACGTGTGATTATTTTCTCCGTAGCCGCAGCTTTTCTCCCCACGACCACGACATATCTCTCTCTTTCCTTTATTTTCTTTCTTTTTAAACATAAAATCATTTTCTTTTTTTTTGAAAAATAAATATAACCACGAAAACGATAAACTAGTGATCACGACAAAACAACAAATTCATATTTTTCATTTCTCGAGTGTATATGAATAAAGGCTAAATCTGAGGTCACAATCAACAATTAACTAAAATTTACACCATTAAACCTCTTGTGATCTCTTCAACAAAAAAACACATGTTTTCCCAAACATTAACTTGAAAATTCTATGACCGCTTAAATGATTTTTTTCATGAAACTGAGAAAAAATATGCGAGAAAAAGTTGTTCATATTGGAAGTGACTTTAAGAAATGGTGCAGAACCTGATGATTTTCGTAAAAAGGTTTTGGTTAAAGACAATAAAGTTTTTCTTAAAAAAGGAAAAAAAAAAATCCAAAGGCGATAAATTAAGAAATACTTAAAACATAGGATTGGCTTTGTGAAATGCTACCATCATCATCGAGGTGCTTTTGTTTTGATGATTGTGCGAACGTTTTTAAGTGGAAGCATGGGACATCGTTTTTAGTGAATGATGAAAACATTCTGACACAGTCAGAAGCTTTTACCATTGTCACGGATCATATCTGAAATTGAGGCATTCAAATCACGACATGACGCCAACAAATACAAAACAACAAAATCTTGTAATATAGATTCCTTTATGATCCTATTTTATTTTAACAAACAAGAAAATGAAAGTGTAGTTGTTCCAATTAACACAATAATAAAGATCTGAAGCAAATTCAATATTATGTTTACTCTATCCGCTAGAAATGGTGAAACATTTTTCTCTTCAAATATATAAATATTTTTTTTTAATTAAAAGGCTTGATAGTGCATACATATTCAATTTCACCATGTAAAACCCATAAATACCAGTTTAAGTAAAAAAAAAAACATACATACCAATGGAAATAATGTAACTAATTTTCAAAACAATTAAATTCCATTTAAAATAGGTGTTCTATACATAGTATTGAATATATATTTTCTTAAAATGCTCTGTATCTACGAAGAAATTAATATTATAAATTATCAAAATTAAGTTAGGCAAAAAACAGAAATTAAATCAATACTTTTTGTTATTTTCGCTGTACTGCCAAATGGCACAGAAAATGAGTGGGGGCCTACACTGTAGCTTATTTTTCTCCTTTTCTTTATACGAAGCAGCGAGAAAAATAGGGCCCACTTGCCCATGTGTTGTGGGACTATTGATGCATCAAAGAACATGTCGTTTTCGACATTGCCATTTGTCACTATCGACAGAAAATAAACAAAAAAAAAATCGAATATTTTATTTTTATATGAGAAAAATCAGAAAAAACTCGCAGGATAGCTGGAGGAGGATAGACACGTGTACAGTTCTCTCTTCTTAGCCCTCCGATCCGGGACGTCTCATCTATTTCATATATTTACAGCCGTCTATTTCACTGCTTTATTTGACCACTTATACCTCGACACGTTACATAATCAAAGATTAGCGTCGGTTTGGGCTGGTAAGAGGTTAACCGGTCGGTACAATTGTAAATGATCTTAGTGTGAGTAAGGTTTAGAAGATTCCAGATTAGTTTCTTCTTGAAACCAAAATGAAAATAAAAAATCGACGCACATAAACACACCTGCACATTGCTTTGCTTAATAGATGCTTACATTTCCTTAATTATTTTTTAAATATGGCTGTACTTATTATATTAATTTCTGGCGGCGACCATTTATGTTGTGTGCTTCACTTTCTCTAGGCATAGATCACAATGGTTTTCAGAATCTTTGCAAATCATTTAGTTATATTTACACGTAATAATTAAAACCATCCAAACTTAGTTATATTTGCTTGCTAACAGATTAATTGAACTAAACAAAACAAAGCATTTTTTGTAACTATTATAGAGATGGTTGCAGCAAAAGAATTGATCACGTTCACGTATATTACAAAGACTTTTGAATCCGAGACGTTTTTGTATTCTATGGCGTGTGAAGACAATCGAGTTCTGTCTTTTTAATTAAGAATATAAAAAATGTTATTTTAGTTAAAATCTATTGCTATATTAAAAGAATATAATCGCCTTTAGTTTAATGTCGATAGGTTATGTTTTTCAACACACTTGTGTTTCCCAGGGCCCGCTAGTAGAAATTCAAATATGCTTTGATGGTGAAAGGCGTTTTAGTTTGTACTTAAATAATTAAATAGTGTAAACAAACACGCAAATGGGTTATTTTAATGAATATTTATGCCAATAAATAATTACAAGTTGTGGTCATTTAGAAATGTCTCTCTCAGCTTTCAAGTCTTTATTTCTTTAAATTCTTATAATACTCTAAATTTAGAAATAACTAGCTGATGTGATCCAAATTTGGTAAAAATAATACATACGTTTATAAAAATTTGAGACTATTCTATAGGTCTGCGTGAATGTTGGACTATTCAAGCCTATGTAATTTTAACTCAACACAATACTAACATCGCAAATCCTATGCATAGATTAAAAAATAAATAATAATAAAAGTATAGATCCTAGACACCAACTAACCTCTAACCAAATGATCATGTCATTTTTGATCAAGTCACCATTTACTTTGATCAAACGTAAAATGAACATTGTACTGTTTAGTTCATGTATAACTGTAAGTCTGTAAAACAATTACGTACAGAGTTTTATGATTTTTGCTAATCGTAAATTATGTTACAAGATTATTGTTCTGCCGTTATTATATAGTTTTAGTTAAACTCATATTTTTATTTATTTAGTGAAATACCTATATCACATTTTCTTTTCCATTTTCTACAATTTCACAATTCTATCAGTACTATAAACCGGAACCAGATATAGTGTTATATATATATATATATTACTTTTGAATTTATCGCTATTTCAATGGGAAATTCACATATTTAAAACACGACTATCATTATTCTACAATTTTTTCATTTGCTTGAATTTATCGTTTGTTTGTAAAAATATTTAAGGCAATATTTTGCGAACTAAATTATACTACATTTTCCGACACTAGATTATAATCTAAACCTGTTGGTACTTGGTAACATATGGAGTTTTGTAACTCTTTAACAATTTGAATGAGGTGAATGAAATTAACTGTGTAATAGGAGTGATGATCGATACGGGATTTTGTTTCCTTAACCTAGGCTTCAAAGCTTTTAGATTAAGATTTAAGACTATTAATTAAGTGCTTAGTAAATTATACATAGAATCATCTCTCTTAGATACGTGTATCCCAACATATGAAAATTTCCATTGTTTTTCTTTTTTGGACCAAACAAAAAACTTTCATTGTTTAATATTAGTATTCTCGAATCCGTTATCTATCTGTTGAGAAAAAATGGTCACTTGAGATCTAATTGAAAAAATACACTTAAGCTTTAGTTGAAAAAATGGTCACTTAATAAATTACAAACTTTTACATTGCCGCAACGGTAAATGGTATACCTTATACGTTTTAATAGTTACAATAACAGCTAACAATATATAAAACGACATTCCCACCTTTTTTACTGTCCTTTCTTCCCTTTTATACATATTTCAGTATCGTTTACAGCTCTCATTCTCCACGCTTAATTTTTGTTTGTTACTTTACACCATTAACTGAATCCACCTTATCAAGCTATATTCAGGGAATGTCATTTTAAAAAAAAAACCACAAGAGTGTAGTTTTTATATTAATATTATTAAACTTTAGTAAGAGGTCATTTCGTACATCATCATTGATTTCTTTAATCTTTTAGTGTTTCCGAAAAGAAGAAAATATAGTTTACAATTAATCAATTGTAAACAAAAATCAGCACTAGTGCGATTGCGATTTGTTAGGAAATGTATGAAACAACAAAAGGAAAAAAATATGATTAACAAAATATAGTTTTTTATTTTCTTTTTGGGGTTCCAATATAAATAAGAAACAAAAAGGTGATAGATGACAAACCAGTGTCCTAATTAGAAAGAAAAACAAAAAAGTTACGAATACGACGATTACGAAGGTCCGTTGTAGGAGACAACTTTTATACGGCTCGCGCTGCGCCGGCTTAAGCGAGGGAGAATGAGCAAATGGCTTTTACCAAAACGACAGCACTTTTGTCTCGTCTATAAACAAAATGACACGCGTACGTTAACCAGTGGTCCTATCTCCTTAAAACTAGTTCGAGTCAGCAATGGTGGAGCCTACTTTATTTTGTTTTTCAAGGTACCTAAAGTCCAATTATTCGACGTTTTGATATAGAAAATTTAGAATTCTTTTCTGAATAAATATATTTTTTTAAAAAATTATACGTCAGAAGTCACAGAACTTTTTTTAAAATTTCCTCTTTCTCCGACTATGTTATCCGGACAGAAGAAAAACCAGACAGTTATCGCAAGCTCACAAAGTAAAGAGATGTATGGTTGATGTGCAAAAGCTTTTAATCAATAAGTATAACCAAAGAAAATTGCGAGTGTGATTCGTAAGAAATTCAAAACATAGGAGGAACATAGGCAATAAAAAACTATTTGATTGTCATACTTAAATCATTGCAACCTATAATTGAATTGAAATATACCCAAAATATAGCTTTTGCTTTTAGGAAAAACGTGGAAATATAATTCCATTTGTTTTCACATTATGCAACTCCTCTACATGTCCAGTTTCCCCTTAAGCTCTTTTGGCCAAATTGCTGCAAAACCCAAAATCAGTGCCACTTCTTGTTCCTTATGTATCAATCTTACACCAATCTCACAAATTTAACTAAACAACAGATTGCAATCGTCGCACAGAAGTTATCGATCACCGATCCACCACATATCCAACAGAAATGAGAACATATGTCAAAAACAAAAAAAAATCAAAAGTTATCACCAATTCACCATACAGATTCAACTAAAGAATAGAATGTATATTGTTTAAACGTAAAAGGACAAATATTTCAGACGAACTCAGGCTTAAATTACTAAAATCACCAATGAGACACTTGCCAAACTCTGGCCTAGAAATAAAATTGTTGAACGTCGCGTCATTTTTTTTGTTGTTGCTAGACTTCAATAGCATGATCAAGATGTAAGCCAAAAAGACAACGGATATTTCGAACTTAAGAGAGTCAACCAAAAACAGAGAAGCCAGTGAGACCAAAGCTTTTATTGCATCTCCTGTAGAAGAAGAGTAGATTTAGACGTCTCTTTATCGATTTTGCTGCAAACCTTTTCAATCTCATCTTCCCCGACTGATTAACAAAACTAAAAAAAAACAAAAACTTCAAGAATTTCGCCAGGTGGATGGCACGTATGTATCTGAACAACTATTCTAATTTCACTTTCGAGATACCTAGCTATCCCGGATTCTTGAGTTTAAAATATCTCATCTGGATGATCATAACAGATGTACGGATTATTATATCTATGAATGCAAGGAGCAGAAGTTTGTGATGTATAGCGGCCCAACACTTTCCTTATTATTGAGCTTTTCAGCCCAAATAAGGCCCCATTAAACAATGAGATTGTGTTGTAACGAATGATCTAAGATGAGCACCATTGTTTTTGTTCATTTACGGAATTAAGAAATTAACCAATTACAGAGGAAATACAATGACAATCTATAATGTATTATTGTTTAACAGCCTAACAGGTAACCAAAGTTTACTTTATTCTAACAGACCTTTTGCTTCTTTTTTTTTTTCCTGGTAATGCAAAAGCTTTTAAATCACTTTGTGCCAAACAAATATGTTGACATTATTATTTTAGAAAGCAATCTTTACTTCTTTATTTTCTACTTTGACACTAATAAGTTCTCGGCACTGATTTGGACTTACATTTACCTTTTGTTCTTTTATGCTTTCTTTTTTCTTTAATTTTACTTTCTTCATAAACCCTTTGTCACCTATAATGACTTGTCCATCAACCTGAATCATCTAACATCCATCCATAACCAAAAATATTTAATCAATACATGAAACTCTAACATCTATCTATATATATATATATGTATATATTCTCTCAGTTAATTATGCATACATACATGAATTAACGTTCCAACATATAAGACAAATAATTCAGTATTTTTGGATGGATATTCAAAAACAATCACTAATTTATTTATGATTAATTAATCTGCTTGGAGTTTTTGTTTGTTTTTTAGTCCAATGGAATGTATTCATGTGATAGGTTACATAAGAAACATCTAAACTAACTTGTCCAATATAGAGGTACAATTTATAACTAGCAAATAAAGTTTCCCACCTAATAAAGCGTTTAACAAAGGCGACGTACCATTTGGTCTGCGAACGCATAATGAAATTAGTTTAGATTTTTATAACATACTATTTCATGTCAAACAATAATATGACCGAATAATTTAAATATTCAAAATTCAAAATTAATAAATAGAGCTGAGACAACTAACATCTATCTACTACTACAATAAGTTAATGAAAACATGTCCCACTGATATTGTTATTTGCAGATGTAAAGACAAAATATTTATATGACATTTTTCGTATACTCGTTTTTTTAATATATACTGTATGCTAGCTATATACTTTATTCTCATTTCCTTTTATTTTCCTTTTATATGTACAAATTTTTTGTTGTCAACCACCTAGAGATTCTCTTACGATTGGGTAAGTAAGACCGTAAGATAACCACATAATGATTCGAGACAATCAAATTAAGGTAAATTAAGTACCTTAAGCAGGTTTATTAATTTTTGCAAAATCTCGACCAGTGATTAAGAAATCGATTTCGTTATCACCATAATGTTCTCAGCAAGGCCGGAATAAAAATGAGCATTAGCGACCTGACATGTCACGTCGGTCCACCTTTAAACATAAAAATTCAGTAGATGTGATGATTACACAATTAGCTGAATTTAGAACAAAATCCGAAAAGCAGAAAGACTAGTGCTCAGTATGAAAGTCAACGCATTTGCATTTTCCCTTAATATATATATATATATATATATTTTTTTAACAAATTTCAGATAGTAGATCAGTAGCCTTTTTTCACCTAAGAATTACCCACCTTATTTCGAACACCGACTATATATAACACGATGACGATATTAGTAGAAGCTATTTTACTACAAACTTTGATCAACAAAATTACGGGTTTAACAGTTGGTAAATTGCATGGTCGTACACGGAAAATTAACCATGTTTTAATCGAGTTACTATTATTATAGTTTATAAACGATTGCTAGTGGCTACAGATTTACCAAATCATCTTTCCAGGTTTCGACACATACGTACATATATAGTAATATCAACTCCTTTAAAATGAAAAAGGCTTTGCGTCATACCGTACGTCGACTTATGATAAAATAAAATATAGTCATCATGTGCAAGCTGCTTATTGATATATACCATCATTAATTCTCTAAACTAACAAAAAAAATAAATATTCATACATTTGATTTGACTTGTTTTCAAATTTCGTATTCCATGGAGACTAAACTAAGAAAATAATATTTCGTGTAGATACGTACGTTATGTACATGTGCTTAAACTCCATATACATGATACATATGTACTGCATGTATCTTCAGTGTATCATCATCGTGTATATATGTGTGTAAATGCCAGCTCGTCTCACGATGATTACACAACACAAACGAGATTTCATGGTTCTGCAAAATTCTCTTTTCTTTGGTTAAACTCTGCAAAATTCTTTTGTGGGTTCGTGCGCACATGCGTTTTTGCTTATAGCGATGCATACTTTTATGTATAATAATCCAGCTAATAACCATTTTTACATTATTAAATGTTTGTCCAAAATAATGCTGGTTTTACTGTCACGCATTTGGAAAAATAATCTTGATGTAATAACACAGTTCTATCATACCATTTTAAAAGAAAAAAAATAATATTTTAGTAGTTATTAAAACCTCGATTTTTTATTTTGAAAGAAATGGTAAACGCAAAATCTCTTTTTATTTAAAAAAATCTAAAATTTATAGGTTCGACTTACAATAACTAGAAACTAGTATTATTAATCCCAAAGACTCAATATTTTCTTCAACTGCTTTTAGAAAGGTGAACAACTAAAAGAGGAGAGAAACCAAAAAAGCTTAGAAATAAGGAGGATAAATTGGTGGGACAAATACACAGTTAATTCATTTAATTAAAATGAAAAGTAATAAAAAAACAAGAAAAGCATATTTACTTGGGATTCTCTCATCTATAATCTCTCTCCACCGTCGTTCACATTCATTAAAGTCTCTCTCTCTCTCTCTCTCTCTCTTTCTGTAGCCTTTTTCTCCAGAGCCGATGATAAACGACGGCGGATTTCACCGGAACTGAGGGAAGATAGTTGCCTATGGCGGAGGAAGATGTTTCGAGCAATTTCCGAGTCTTGGTGGAGAACGCTGACCGGAAGTACGCCAGAGTTCGTGACCTCCCGGCGTTTGGACGAGCGCAGAGTCACTACTTCCACAAGGTTTTCAAGGCCTATATGAAACTCTGGAATTTTCAGCAGTCGCACAGGTCGAAGCTGGTTGAATCCGGTCTAAACCGGTGGGAAATCGGCGAGATCGCGAGCCGGATTGGGCAGCTTTACTTCAGCCAGTACATGAGGACCAGCGAGGCTCGCTTTCTCCTCGAGGCTTATGTGTTCTACGATGCGATTCTGAGGCGGAGGTACTTCGAGGAAGCTCATGGGAAGGATCTCGGTGCTCGATCCAAGGAGCTACGTTTCTACGCCAGGTTTCTGCTCGTCTCGTTGATTGTCGATCGGAAAGAAGTGGTTATGCACTTATCCGAGAAGCTTAGGGGTTTGGTGGATGAAAGCAAGTCCAATTTCAGGGTAATTTTGATTGATTTCCGATCTGCCCTTTTGATTCATCTTCACCCTCTTTGATCTCTTCTCTTGTATACTGTATACGAACATGTTTGGTTAAGTTTTGTTGAGGATTTTTGTTTCTTTCTTATTCAATATAGAAATGAGCAAAAATAGCTATTTAGGAGTATAATCACGATTCACACGAGGATTGATTGCTGGAATTTAAACTTCATTCTCACCTTTGTGTTTTCCAGTTCATGTGAATTAGCATTATATTTTGGTAAAAGATGATTCCAAACCTGGGTGATGATTTTTTTTTTGGGATATTCGTTGCGCAGGAGACAAATTTCAAGGAGTGGAAGCTGGTTGTGCAAGAAATCACTCGATTTATAAATTCTGACACAAACTTAACTTATGCCAGGCCTCTTCGTTACTGCGCAACGCTTGATTACTATCCAGCTTCTCAAACATACCTAGCACGTTTCCACGCTAAGAAATTGTTCAAGTTTCGTGATGCTCTCTTGGCAAGCTATCACCGTAACGAGGTGAACAAGCATTTTTTTTGTTTTAATTGGCAACTAAGGTTCACTTCATTTCAACTCTGTTTACCTTCATAATCATTTGTATGACTTGGTTTCCTCAGGTGAAATATGCTGAAGTCACGTTGGATACATATAGAATGATGCAGTGTTTAGAATGGGAGCCTAGTGGATCTTTTTACCAAAAACGCCCTGTTGAAACCAAGGAGAATGGTTTTGTAGTTGATCATACACTTACTTCTGGGCTTATAGATATGAAATTGGCTGCTGATATGGCTGATCCATCACTACCTCCCAATCCTAGGAAAGCAATTCTTTATCGTCCCACTGTCTCCCACTTGCTAGCGGTGAGTGTTATGCGTATCTTAATATAAAAATCTGCAGGACTTTCTGATTTTGCCTTCATTATCGATAGACAGGAGACTGCCGATTCATTAAAATGTTTAATGGTGATATATATGCAGGTCTTGGCAATGATTTGTGATGAGCTCTCTCCAGAGAGTGTGCTGCTAATATATTTGTCAGCTTCAGGTTAGTTTTCTTTTTGTTGTCATTTGGAACTTCTAAGGTTGGTAACTTTTTTTTTTTATTATCATGGTGTATCAATGATATTGGTAACAATTATATAGGTGGTCCTGCTCGTGACAATGTTGCCCAACCTGAGAACTCTGTCGGTTCAAGCAGAACATCAAAAAGCAAGCTGCTTGCCCGAGCTTCCCAAGAGCAGAAAAGCTACAAGTCAGAACCTCACAGCAATGGACAAAAATTGTCTGGTGATTACTATGATGATCATCTCTGGTTAGGTCCTAGAGGAGGTTCTGGTAAGTCGTTTTCCTTGGATTTTACATTGTAAGCTGTCTCCAAAGAGCAGACTTTTCTCACTGACTGTATTGTTTTTCTTTTTCAGGTTTAAACAACCTTTACCCTGGTGATCTAATCCCTTTTACACGGAAACCGCTTTTCTTGATCATTGATAGCGACACTAGCCGTGCATTCAAGGCAGGTTTGTCATAACTTAGTGTATCATTCTCTCTGGAGATTCTAATAGTTTCTCTCAGTCAGTGTGCGATATTTGCTGACGAATTGAAAACTCCAGGTTTTGAATGGCGCAGAGAGAGGCGAGCCTGTTGCTCTACTTCTTTCTCCTCTGAAGCCATCTTTGGAGAACCCATCTGCAGATGATACATTAGCGCTAAACGGAAGTCAGTTTACTTTCTTCTTGACAGCTCCTTTACAAGCATTCTGCCAAATGCTGGGCCTCTCAAACTCAGATGCCGACCCTGTAAGCGCTTGTGACTTGAATAATACCTTAAATGAACCAAACATTTATAATGTGATATTGCCTCTTACCATTTTGATCACATTCTTTTAGGAGGTTTACGATGAAGCAGAGAGCATACTATCTGCTTCCTTCTCTGAGTGGGAAACGATCCTTTTGACTTCCAGAGTATTGAATCTCGTCTGGGCACAGGTCTTGCCCGATCCATTCTTGAGACGGCTGATTCTCAGGTGAGTTATTATTATTTTTTTTTTGGTTTTTTCTAGTTTTCGGAATCAAGACCATACAAAGCATGGACTTATGAGCTTCTCCAAATGTTGTGTGTCTGTTGTGTAGATTCATATTTTGCCGGTGTGTACTCACATCCTTGAGCCGCACAGAGGATAATGACCCGTATTTACCTCAATGCCACCCGAATCTCCCAGACTCGGTCTCACCGGTATCTAAACCGGTGCAGTCCTGTGTACAACGACTAGCTGATCACTTGGGTGTTGCCAAATCTTTCCACTTGAACAAGGCATAAGATTAGAAAAAAAACACATGAGCCGAGGGTGAATTAGGTTGTTTGTTCATTTCTATAGAAGAGTCTGTATTTTTTTAGGTTATAAAGAAAATGTAATTTGGGGATTATATATCTGTTATGATTTTGATGATTCTTTAGTTTTGTCCTTTGTAAAAGATTAGAACCAGCCAGGTAATAATTTTTAGTCTCTCTCTCTCTTGTTAGGAGAATTGTTTGTTTTGTGTATGATGAGAAGAACAAATCTGTGCATTGCATAAAGAAAGTGTGACTACTTTGTTCTTTCGCAAGTTCATAATTTCTGTAAGAGATTATTCGAAGGTTTCAACATTTGAGGCTTTGAGCTAGAACGAAGTAGAGATTGTAGAACGAAGAAAAGATTGAAAAAGCCTTTACCATATACATCGTCGATTACTGCCAGATTGAATCCTAACCGTCAAATATTAAAACGCAAAGGCCAAAGTTGTCTGAGTGAGATTGAATCGTAGCCATCGATATGAGTCCAGTTTCTGAGAGGAAACCGCTTGATTTCGCTGTCTTCTACTTCTACGACCTCTCGCTAGTGGAGAGGAGTGGAGGAGGCAACATGAAGAAGAATTCGAGGTGAGTTTTGCTTTCGCGTAATTTTCAATCATACTGAACCTCTTATCCGATTAAATGTCGATTAAAGGAATATTCAAGGCGAGAATTAGGGTTCCTCTAGTTTAATGATTCGGACAATTCCAATCAGGCTATGGTGGATTTGATATTGAGTTCTTTGGATCATCTGGGTAAACTCTTATTTGATTCTACTTTGGCCTCTGTTTATCAATCGCAGGTGGAGTTAAAACTCGCAGAAACGTCCTTTGATTTGAAAGCTCTAATCATCGACGATGTTGTCATTGAGACCCTTGGTGCCTATAACGTTCAAGACTCGTCGTTTCTCGTTAAACATTCCGCATCATCATGTCCATTTCTGCAAATCCCCATCCAAGCTCATGACTTATGCTCAAAATGGCGGCGGCAACGACTCGGCCAATGAGTCTTCTGGTGGCGGAAACAGACCGGTGAGTAACGATGTTGGGAATGGTCCGAAGAAAGACCGATTTGCTGGCTTCAGTTTCCGGTGGGGAGATCTGTTGAATCCGGATCCAGATAACTTTGTGGCCGTTGGGTTAGCTGGAGTATTGACTTGGGCTAGCCTTCAAGTACTATCACAGCTTTTCTTCATCTCCTTCGCCATACTTGTCGCTGCTCTCAAGTATTCTTTTATCGCTGCGCTTCTCATTTTCATCCTCGTCACTCTCCTCTAGCTTCTGTAATGTTATTTACTGCTTGATTGTAGAACATCTAATAGTTCTTCTGAACTGTTCACCTCACAATTTGTATTAGCAACAATTCAGATTACACTTTGTTCTTGTGATCAATTTGGTTATTAGTACAAAGACATGGATGTACATATTTGAGCTTGGTTTTTACTGGTTTTGCATCACATGTTTGAGTTCGAAGTGAATTTGATCTGTTCTTATGTTTAACGTTTAAACACTACTGAAGGATGTCTCATAATTAGTTAAATTCCAAGTTAACAGCTTCCATGATTCTGAAACTTCCAAATATGGATTCAATCCAGGTTCATCCAATATCATAAGCAATTCTTCGGCAAAGATCATGTGATCCAACAATGGCGAGAATCATTCAAAATTTATTTCATTTGACTTATCAAGCTTTTAATAACAAATCCAGAACATGTCTTAATACCAAGGCCAAAAGAGAGTATTCAAAAAAATCGCTACTTTTTAGAGGATTTCTTCTTCGAGCTAACAACGACTTGCGGTTTAGGATGCTTCTCGGCTTCACTTGGATCCAACCACTTGAGAGGATGACGGTTGAAGAACGGCCAACTTGGTACGGTGATCAGAGTCGTGAGTGCAACACCTCCGGCGTAGATCAACATCATCGTCCTAAACGACGCCGTCGCGTAACCAACAACGAACGCCACAACGGCCGCGATCAAGAGCAGGATCTGCATTATCTGCTCCGCCAATTTCTGCCCTTGCCAATCCATCTCTTAAAAGAACCAAAAAAAAAAAACAAAATTACGTCTTCGAATTGAATCCGAAATCCAATTGATCAATTCAAGCCTACGAGAACGCAAATTAACAAATACGACGATTCGTGCAGATCGAAATCCTCAGAGAATCCTCAGAGAATCCATACCTGGAAAATGATCTGAAACCAGATTTCTTCTTGACGGAATTGAATTTGGGGAAGAAGACGACAACTCCAAAATCGGTTGAATGCAACTAAACCGGAAAGCCTGACTAATGCAACTAATGTAACGCACCGTATTCTGCAGTTAATGGGCCTTGCCTTATCTGTGAACCCATTATGTTTTGCATCGGAACAGTTGATTTCGTCGATCCATGACGTTTCGAATTCAACCAATAGTAATCGAGTATCCAGCATTGGCGATCCTTGTCAATCTGTATTATTAGATCGGGACCGTTGATTGGATGCAAGAAAGCACATGTTGTAGTATTCTACTCCGTACGATTAAAAAGCACGAGAAACACATTGGTGAGCGATAATAACCGTCAGATCGTCAATCTACTTTACCACGTTGCCTATAAATTAATATCGAGAGCCGTACACGCGTGAAAACTCCCATTACTTGCTTTTCCGAGATCAGAGCACAAATTTGAATTCAGAGAAGCCAGAGAAGTTTTCGAAGAAGAGAGAGAGAGAAGGTACGAGTTCTCCGAATTTCTTTGTTTTTTATTTTCGTGGAATGTTTTCTCGATTGATCGTTGAACGACTGTTATGGGTTGATAAATGGAGCTTAATTGAGACGGATTCGTTTCTGTCTTGATCATTATCTTCTCTCCGCCGTTTAATCTCCTGGATTTAGGCATTAGGTTAGTGAGGAATCGCTTCGCTAGATTTAGGTATCCGATTGTTTCTTTGGCTAGGATCATCCTCTAACAATGGAATTGTTGATAGTTATAACCTATAGATACATCGGCGTTTGATAATTAGGGTTTCGTTCTTCCTCTTCGATTGTATCGTGATGACGCATTGATGATATGTGATGATTCTTTGGATTTCTCTGTAATCTTGTTGATTTTAATATTCAATCGAGCAATTGATTTCTGATGCTCGAAATCTAGTTTTAACTGATCAGATGGCTCGTACCAAGCAAACAGCTCGTAAGTCTACTGGAGGAAAGGCCCCTAGGAAGCAGCTTGCTACTAAGGTAAGTCTCCAACTATTTGATATTGTGTAGTCGTATTTCACATTGCTGGCTTTGTTTCTGAACGCTTGTTTCAATATCAGGCTGCACGTAAGTCTGCCCCAACCACTGGTGGAGTCAAGAAGCCCCATCGTTACCGTCCAGGAACTGTTGCACTTCGGTATGTGAAATGTTTCCTTCAAATAAAAGCATAGTATCTTTGTTTTGGGTTGGTGCTTGATTGACAATCCATTGACAAACCCTGTTTCTTTGTTTCTTGTTTTTGGTTGACAGTGAAATCCGTAAGTACCAGAAGAGTACTGAGTTGCTGATCAGGAAGCTCCCATTCCAGAGGCTTGTCCGTGAGATTGCCCAAGATTTCAAGGTAATGTGCTTACTCATCTAACTGGAAATTTGATGGGTTTCAGCTTCTTCATGTTGATCATGTGTAATCCTTTTGCTTACTAATTTCTTTTCTCGATGTGATTGCAGACTGATCTGCGTTTCCAGAGCCATGCTGTGCTTGCACTTCAGGAGGCTGCAGAAGCGTATCTTGTGGGTCTGTTTGAGGACACAAACCTGTGCGCCATTCATGCCAAGCGTGTCACCATCATGCCTAAGGACATCCAACTCGCTCGCAGGATCAGAGGAGAACGTGCTTAAGTGTGTTGGTGTTGGGGATATGTGAATGTGGGTTGGTTCTACTAAATAGATAGTTGGAATTAGATAATGCTTTAAAAGCTTTTGGTTTTAGGAGACTTTGAAAACTATGATGACGGTTTGTTTCTTCTTGTCTAGTCGTTTTTATGATTTGCGTTGTGTTTAGATCTCTACGTTTTGTGGTGGGTATTGTTGCTTCTTTGGCAATATTAAACACCTTTTGTTGTTGAATTTCAATTTTAAAAACACTGAATATGTTGATGTTTCTTGACTTTGTTTTCATTTGATTCTATTTGTTTAAGAGTATATGATTTGAATCTATCAATCGGCTCATAGCATTCCAAGGTCTAAATTTCTCCAAACTTTTAAACCTTAATCTATCAATTCTACACAAACCAATAATGTAAAAATTGGTTATCCGAGTGACACGATAAAAGTTTCGATCGTAGCCGTTGGGTTGGATTGAGGAAACACAATGTTCAAATGTTATAACCGTCGGATGAGAGAAGTAAGAAAGCACAAGAGCGTATCGTGATAACCCTTTCGTTGGGTATTATAAATAACCATTCAACGGCAATTGTGGCCACCACAACCATAAAACTTCGATAATCCGCGATTACTGTCTCTCTCTGCCCAAAGGAGGCTTAAAAAAAAGAAAGAAGAAGAAGTCAGCGCAAGCGAAGAAGAGGTATGATCTTAGAATTAGGTTTAGGGTTTAGGCTTTTCAATCAGTTTGCTGTTACTGTCTGCGATCGCAATATCTAATTACACGACAAACGGATTTTGGGTCCTGATCGATTCCAATTTGAAAAAACAAAGAAAATTATCTGTCAAGATAGTGTCTGGTCCTTTTTTTGTTTTGTCGAATGATCCACTCGTCATCTTTCGTTTGTTTCTCACTTCGAAAGCTTATTGTTGCCGATGTGTTTGAGTGCGATAGACATTGCGTATCGATGTTTTGGTAATTAGGGTTTTAGATTCAATTTTGGCCATGTCTAGATATAAGCTAACGATTCTTCATCAATTAGTTGTGGATAATGGATATCCCCAATTGCTTCACTTAATAAGATTGATCTTGGTGTTAGGAACAGATGGCTCGTACCAAGCAAACCGCTCGTAAGTCCACTGGAGGAAAAGCTCCAAGGAAGCAACTTGCTACTAAGGTTTGTTTCTGCTTGTCTCTTTTTCTGTCTCTTGTATGCTCAAAGTGCTCTTTTGTTATGAAATTGAGTTTTCATCTTCTCTATATTCAAACTCAGGCTGCTCGTAAATCCGCACCAACCACCGGTGGAGTCAAGAAACCACATCGTTACCGTCCTGGAACTGTCGCTCTCCGGTTAGTCCATCTTTGGTTTTCTTCTGATTCGTTTTGTATTCCAAAGTTGATGTTACTCTCTCTGTTCAATCCTCAATTTTTCTTTTTTTGGGGTTGACAGTGAAATCCGCAAGTACCAGAAGAGTACAGAGTTGCTGATCAGGAAGCTCCCATTCCAGAGGCTTGTCCGTGAGATTGCTCAAGATTTCAAGACTGATTTGCGTTTCCAGAGCCATGCTGTGTTGGCTCTCCAAGAAGCTGCAGAAGCTTATCTTGTTGGTCTCTTTGAAGACACTAACCTTTGTGCCATTCACGCCAAGCGTGTCACCATTATGCCTAAGGATATTCAGTTGGCTCGTCGTATCAGAGGCGAGCGTGCTTGAGCCAAACCCGAAACCAGTCAATGTTAACCTCGCTTTGCGGATTTGGTTCAAGATTGGTGAATGTACTAGTTTTTTTATGATAAGCAAGCTCTCTCCATTGCTGTCTTAGGGTCAAAAACCAAAGTAGTAGTCAGAATGTTGTCTTCTTTCCGTTATGTGTGTTGCAAACTCTTTTTAACTCTTTTGTCACCAATCTTCTCTTTCGTTGAGTTTTCTCTATAATTAAAAAGTTTGTGAAAAATTTCTAAACTATCAGACTTTGGATTTGGCAAAATAAGGATAATATCAGAAAAAAAAAAAGAATTAGAGAGACAGAGGTAATGTAGGGAGGCATGATCTTTGGAAATGGACCGATTGGATGGGCTCTCGTTTGTTTGTTGCCGAACAAAAAACAAATCTTTCCCCTTAAAAAAAGGAGGCTACGTTCTAAAACATTGAACCATCTTTATTTGACCATAGATTTTTTTTTTTTTTTTTTTAACCTCTTAAATAAATTTCTTAGTCCATTTCAATCAAAAACCCATTAACCCAAATCTTCATATTTTTCGAAACTAAATATATTCATCGCCAATGGGAGAAGAAGATGAGAAACCATCTATTGACGGAGCGTCTCCGAGGTATCTATCAAACAAAGTTGCGGATATTGATACCGAGCTTTCCGAGATGAAAGCTTCTCTTGAGAGCAGAGAAACTGAGGTCGTTTCCTTAAGAGCCGCCTTATTGGAGAAAGACGTCTTGTTGAAGAACCTTGAAGCCGAGATTGAGAAAGGTAAAGAATCAGAGAAGAAACTGCTTGGCTCGCTTGAAGAGCAATCAAGAGAGCTCGAGCAATCCAAGGTAGAGATTGCTTCTTTGAAAGAAAGGATTGATGGGTCTTTTCATAGCCAAGACACGAGCGAAGAAGAAGAAGAAGATGATAGCTCTGTTCAGGATTTCGATATTGAGTCTATGAAGATTGAGATGGAATCGACAAAGGAGAGTCTCGCACAGGCTCATGCGGCTGCAGAAGCTTCTTCCTTGAAGGTATCTGATCTGCTAGAAGAGATGAAATCGGTTAAGAACGAGCTCAAATCAGCGACTGATGCAGAGATGACAAGCAAGAAAGCTATGGATGATTTGGCAATGGCTTTGAAAGAGGTAGCTACTGATTGTAGCCAAACGAAAGAGAAGCTTCAGATCGCAGAAACAGAGCTCGAGGCTGCAAGATTAGAATCTAAGGAATGGAAGGAGAAACACGAGGAAGTGAGGAAAGAAGCAGAATTGCTCAAGAACACGAGTGAGAGACTAAGGATCGAAGCAGAGGAATCTCTTTTGGCTTGGAATGGGAAAGAGTCTGTGTTCGTGAGTTGTATAAAGAGAGGAGAAGATGAGAAGAATTCGCTTCTTGATGAGAACAACAGATTGCTTGAAGCTCTTGTTGCTGCAGAGAATTTGAGCAAGAAGGCTAAAGAAGAGAATCACAAGGTGAGAGATATACTGAAACAAGCGATTAGCGAAGCTAATGTTGCGAAAGAAGCAGCGGGAATCGCGAGAGCTGAGAACTCGAATTTGAAAGATGCCTTGTTGGATAAAGAAGAGGAGTTGCAATTTGCTCTGAGGGAGATCGAAAGAGTCAAGGTTAATGAAGCTGTGGCTAATGACAATGTTAAGAAGCTGAAGAAGTTGTTGTCTGAAATTGAGGTAGCTATGGAAGAAGAGAAAAACAGAAGCTTGAGCAGGCAAGAGTCGATGCAGAAGGATGTAGAAGTTGTTGAGAAGAAGGTCGAGGAGAAGGAGAAGAAGGAAGAGAAGAAAGAGAACAAGAAGGAAAAGAAAGAGAGCAAGAAGGAGAAGAAGGAACATGGAGACAAGAAGGAAGACAAGGAGAAGAAAGAGCATACGCAACAGAATATCGACAAGAAGATGATCGGGAAGACTTGTAGTTTCAGTATCATGAAGCTGGCTCACAATCACAAGCACAAGGAATCAGGAGAGGAAGAGACAAAAGCACAGTCACAAGCACAAGACAACAACAACAACAACAGCAATCACAATGATGATAGTGGTGAAGGAAACTCTCCAGCTTCAGATTCTTATCTCTTCAAAGGTTCCATCTTTGATGTAGCTGAGACGCCACACGCAGCAGCGGCGCAAACCCATCACAAAAGGAGATCTTCGTGTACGTTTTTGGAAGAAGTAGAGACGATAAATCCAGAGGATTTGGAGAGTTTGGTTGGGAATCATTTAGAAGAAGGAGAATTAAACGACAAAGGAGCAGTAGCAGCGAGGAAGAAGAAGGCATTTATTCGTAGATTTGGGGATCTTCTCGTTAGGAGGAAAAGCTTGAGTTTCTCACACAAGAAAGAGTCTTCCACTGACTCACAAGATAAGCAGCAGCAACCGCAGACGCCGACTTCACCGTCTCCGCCGCAACCGCCGCTGTCTCCCGAGCCCTGAAGACAATTGTTTTGATCTGTTTGAGTATTTTTGATACGCCATTGTTGTCTTTTTTTTTTTCTTTTTCTTTTTTCTGCTGCACATAAACAAACACTAATAATGAGTTCGAATTTGTTGTAATAAGGAGTGATTTTTTTTTGTTTTCTTTAAAGTTTGAATCGCTCATCGAAAGGCAAATATACTGTATATGCGATACGAAATAATCTCAATGGCACACACAAGTCTTACATTTTATTTGACTTAATTAGGGGTTAATTGTTTGACTTAATTATACAAATATATATGCGATACGAAATAATCTCAAGCTACATACGTAAAAATGTACATGAATGAAATACAACACACATGCAGGCATGTATATATGGATATGAAATCATAGAGCACATACAAAATCACCATTTCTCTCATCATCATCATCATCAACATCATCATAAATATCAGCATCATCAATATCATCAAGATCCATGCTCCCATCTATTAAGCCTAATCCACCATTATCATTCTTACCATTCACTCCCTTTCTCGCTTCTTCTATTATCTTCACTATCTCCTCAACACTCTGTCGACACTTCTCTTCCTCTTCTCCTTCTTCTCCTTCCACTCCTGTCTCTGAAATCTCCGGCAGAGGATCCTTCAAGAACCACGTGTGCTTTTCGATTTCCGGTACAGTTATTCTCTATCATGGATTCAAATCAAAAACCCGTCATTAGAATATATAGTTATCCAATACAAAGCCAACTTTGTATAATTTGGTTTTCATTAATTACCTTATCAGGGTCAGCGACGAAGATACGAGACAAGAGATTCTTGCATTCGGAGGAAATCCTGACGTAGTCCGGTATGGTGTAATGTACACTTAATATCCTCTGTAAGTCGATATCACATTAAATATTATTTCTTAAATTTATATAAGACAATATTATAAAAATTTAATTAGTGGGATGAACGATTGGTTGTAATTTAATATTTAGTACCTGAATGGTTTTTCTAATGTTTTTTGGATCTTCTGGATCTTCAAAGGGATAAGCACCAACTAACATTACATACAATGTCACCCCACACGACCACACATCTGCAATCTATATATTAAAATTCATATTTTATGCTTAGTTATATGGTTTTTTATAAGCAAGTTGATGTTATTAATTTATAATCAATATTAGTTGACAAATTAATACGTACCTTCCCGTTATATTCTTTTCGGGACAAGACCTCCGGAGCAACATAAGCCGGAGTTCCCACGGTGGATTTTGGCTGAGAATGTAAAACTGATGACTGCATTTATAAAAACAAAAGCAATAAAAAATAACAATTAGTGTCAATTATAAATACCTGTTGATCTGATATGATCAGTGATGATGAACTAAATGTGTAATAATAGTTTAATACCTTTGAATATCCAAAATCGCATATTTTGAGCTGCGACGATGGGCTCCCATCTAAGAGTGTATTCTCGAGCTTAAGGTCTCTGTGACATATTTGCTGCAATAATTAAAAAAAAAAAATCAGTAACATAAAGTTTAAATTATATATATTATACAACATGATTGTAATTTTATAATATTTATACAAGACTAATTAAGTGTAGCAATACGTACCATGGCGTGACAATAGCTAACTCCCGAGATAAGTTGTTTGAAATAATACCTTGCCTAAATAATAAACAAAAAAATAATCAATATAGTTAACCACGAGATTAGTAGTTTTAAATTATGTCCATGATGAATTAAGTGATACTTCGTCTTCGCTGAATCTACCGGCACTGCAAATTCTTTCAAAAAGTTCACCACCTGCTGCATACTCCATTACTATGGCAAGATGTGTTGGTGTTACAAAAACCTGCATAAATAGACAGAATACAACACATACACATAAATAATTTATTTTTATTCTACTATGATATTCCTCAAGACCGAGACGATCTATATATCGACTGCTTCTATTTTTATATAATCTTGAATTAGTTGTACCTGAAGAATTTTCAACGCCGTGACTGTTTTTTTTTTTTTTTTGGCCGTGCCTAAAATTATATAGATACGCTGTCATATGAAACTAGAAGAATTTTGGACCGTTGGAGAATAAGACATACTATTTATTAAAAGCAATTTAATAATTCTCTAAGAAGAGGTCCAAAGTCTAACCATATGAAATGATACATATAATTTACATGACCGAAATCTCCTAGCACGCTAACTTTATGTTGCAATGGTCAAAGAAAATTATGTGTTAATAACCATATATTCTATAACACTAATTAACTTCGACCAACAAATATACAAATCTTACAAATTAAATCACCACTGGACGACTATTATTAACATATTTGGTTCAAATCATTTTGTTTTCTGATTTATGAGTTTTCTCGAGTAAGCTGGATTAAAGATCAAATTTTCAGACTCGACTGTGGTTATATGGTTTTGACTTTTGATCATGTTCATATATACCTCTTTAAATCTGATGATATTGGGATGCTTCAAGTCTCGATGATTTGTGATCTCTCTCTGTACATGTTCATCAATCTGTCTCAAAGAAGGAAGAAATGAATTCTAAAAGCAAGAGCAAAAGCAATGAATATACTATAGGGAAAGATAAAAAAAAAATACCTTAAGGCCTCTTTCGATGTATTTGACGGCGTAAAACTTTCCGTTGGCTTTCTCTCTGACAAGCTTTGCAACACCAAAGTTACCGGAGCCAAGATCTCTTAAGATGTCGTATCTCTCCATCGATGGTCGGATTAAAGAACAGAGAAAAGAAAGACCAATTGTCTATGGCTTTGGTTCCCCTCTTTATTATTTCTTCGAGGTTATTAAAGTGAAGATGCAAGAGAATAATAAGGCTTTTGTTTGGTTCAGTCGCGTATAGCATATTTATATACATACACATTAATATCTCGTAAGAACCGATACATACAGTCAGCACCAACGCGAGACGTGCTTTTTATCGTTGTAGGCCCCTGTGTGTATTGGGCCTTCATAATTTGTCGAAAATAGGCCCATTTGACACGTGGCTTCTCTTCAAGAACATGAACAACAAGGACAGGAACAAGGTGGTGACTCGCGAGCCGTTCAGTTCAGTTGTCTTTTCATCGTTATTTATTGTTCGTACGTTCTTCTGAAAAAGAATATACCTTTTTTTTGTCAACAAAGAATATACGGTTTTCGTAAAACCAAAAACAAACAAAACATTTAATTATCAAAATCATTTTTATGCTATCATTAATCATCATCGCATGGCTTGACAAGTTACACCTAGCTACTTTGAGTAATTGCGGTTATCCATTTTTAGTATTTATTCTCACTTTTTTTAGAAGAAATCGTCTGCCAAACTTACCTGTTTTTCAATAAATTATAAAATGGAGTACCCATTTTTCTTAGATCGGAGAAAAAGATGGTCCACATTTTTAGATTCGTGATCCTTTTTCCGCAACCCAATAATAAAACAAGCTCATATAAATAGTATTATAAATAAATAAACGAGCGATATATACCAATTAGAAGATGTCGACGGATTTAACAGGTCAACGGCTAAATTATAATAAGCTAAAAGCCAAGAATTAAACAAGTTGTTGCTTGAATGAATAACCTAAAGGTTTAATAATTATAATTTATAAACAATGTCGGACTCGAAAATACTAACGTGCGTTGATAATTAATTATCTGATCCTTCTGTTTTTGCTTGTGTAATCCTTTTCTTGCTTAAGCGTCTTACATTCTCTAATTTAGCATAACTTTTTTAGAAAATCCAAATAGCAATATCCGTTTATAGCCGCCCACAATATTGTTTTCATAAATTTTTATTGATTTTGTATGCATACATGCGCATATAGAAAGTCGAATTCACTATGGCTAAAAATATATCTATTTCACAAATAAAATCCCCTCGACGAAAAATCGTATCAAATCCTCACAATGATCTCTTGTGATATACCAGGAAATATATAAAAATCATGTTATTATATACCTCATTCTTATATGTTATATTATTTTGTTAAGATATATTTTCTTATCAAAGTTGCTAATATACCTTACTCTAATAATATTATGATACACTCGTATAATGTATTGTAATTTGATGTACTGCATCTTTCACAAAAACAAATTAAACGAAGAATTATATCACGAACTTATGGAAGACTTCTTTAGCAAAAAAAAACTTATGGAAGACTTAAAAAAAAAAAAAAAAACTATGGAAGACAGAAAGATATAAAAAGGTCACGAAGTCAATGGTGTACGTGACCAAATTATATCCGCACACGTGGCAGAAAGCAAGTGACAAAAGTACAAAGCCAAATGGAAGTGGTCATTGCGCGTCAGGGACTCAGGCGTAATGAAAAAGGTTACGTGGAAGGTGAGGATTGGGCCGTGAAGTAAAGCCCATCACCGTTGAGTGGTTGGGTGATAGCTAAATGGTCCCCACATTAACTACTTGGTAAGAGTTTTAGAACATTATGATTTCCCTCCCAGACATCGATAAAGATATACTGTACTACCATTTTATGTCAACTGTTCGATAGAAAAAAAGATAAAAAGTTGTGGGAATCTTCTAGTATAACACTTTGATGGCTTATTTCAAAAGTTTGAAACATTACAATTTTCTCAATTTGTGGGAATCTTAATATCATTACAGTTGCGTTATAATTAGGTGAACTGTGAAAAAAGCCAAATTTCTTAGCATACATAGAAACTAAAAGTAAAGACCACAAAACATAAGGGGAAAACCTTTATATAAATTAACCTTGAAGGGCTTGAGAAAAAGCTAGCTAGCTATAAAAGAATTCGCACTAGAGGATTTTTGATTGACAAATAAAAAAAGGAAATGTTATTTCTTCTTATTTGGAAGTTATAACAAAACAAATTTTAATCTTACTTTTTATATTCCGGTAAAGTGGGATTATTTTCTCATGAATTACCATTGTCGTCCATTCAAGTTAGACGCATATATTACGGAAACATGATTTTAATTATTATGGAAGTTTGATATAGGGATATGTTCCTTTGGTTTCAATACATACTTTCGATTAGGTTAAGAATTTTTCCGATTAACTACTCTACAATTTAACCTAATCTCCCCTGGTTTCTTAGACTGCAAGTCACCCATCTTCACCATCCCTTCCGCAAATGCCATGAAAAACTCTGTTTCGTTCTCACCAAACATTTTCACATACTCTCTCGTCTCCGGCGAAGTAAACAATGTTTGATCAGAGTTAAGAAAGCCTCTCCTAGAAAACAAGTCTTTGAAATATTGATTACCAAACACTTTAGAAGTTGCGTTCATGCAGCTTGTAACGTTTTCATCTCCTCCATTGGGACACAGTTTGCTCATTTTCTCTCGGTAAATCGGTTCGAAAGCCGGGTCGGATTTTCCTGAACCGGATTGGTTACAGAGTCTGAGTGTGTATTGCTATTATTTACTTTGACTACTATAGTCAAAGCACATCTTGGCTTTTGTAAACTAATGAAATTCATTTTGTTTTCATTCTTACACACACAAACACCTTGTATGGCATACTAATAAAATTGTTGATCACAATAATTTCTTCAACTTTTAGATTTTTGTTAGGTCAATTCTCTAAAATATAAACATACAATTAAAACGTGTAGCACACGCGCCTAATATTGCGCGCAAGACGTAATAATTAAAATGTTTATACAAAATTAAAATCTATTAAACCCAACAAAACCCATAGCTGCGACGCCGCCGGCTAAAACAGAGAGTAGAGACTCGTCGACGGATTCAACAAGAATGGGAAGAGGAAGACGACACAGAGGTCGTTCGCAGAGAAACCAATTAGAAGATAGCAAAGAAAATGTTCGCAAACCCCTCAAATCCGATGCTTCCTTTGATTCCAACATCCAGAACCGCACCTGGTCGAATCTTGATTTCGAGGAGTATTACAAGGTACCACTGTTTAAGAATCATTGTAATGGGATTTTACAGGGATCTGAAACTGTGTTTCTAAAATTGTATTGTCTAGGAGCAAAGGATAGTGAAGGCAGAAGAGTGGGATTCGTTCATGGATATTCTTCGTAAGCCATTGCCTGCTGCTTTCAGAGTTAATTCCAAGTATGCTAAGTTTATTTTACAGTCTTGGATCGTTTCATTTCTTGATAATAATACCTCAAAAGCAAATGTTTTTGACTAAAGTGTTAAAGATTTCATGATTCTTAGTGGCCAATTTTGCGATGAGATTCGGTCGATATTGGAGAATGACTTCGTGAAATCTCTTCAGGCTGAGGTAAATTCATGAATCCTGTTTTCTTTTGTAGTTCTCATTGCTAGTCTACACAAAGAAGATATTTTTTTCTTCTCAAATGTTGGCTTTTTTCCCCTTACTTAGGCTATAGAGAGTGGTGAATTGGAGGCTATCAAGCCCTTGCCTTGGTACCCTAAGAATCTTGCTTGGCATTCTAATTTTTCACGGAAGGAGATTAGAAAAAACCATACACTTGAGAGGTACATTTTCAAAGATACAATTTGGTTGTCTTTTTGTTTCCATGCCTGTTGTGTCAGAATAAATCTTCAGTTCTATTGTTTACTCGTGTTAGTTAATTCTCTCTTCTAGTTATAAGTCTTTTTTTCTCTATCGGGGTTTTATTCAGGTTTCATGAATTTCTAAAGTTAGAAACAGAAGTTGGGAACATGACCAGGCAGGAAGCGGTTAGCATGGTATGGTTTAACACTCTTTAAATGCGTTAATCGATTACATTTTACAGTTTTTGTGGTTGATTCAGTGATCATGTAGGTGCCTCCTCTTTTCCTTGACGTACATCCAGATCATTTTGTCCTCGACAGTGAGTGATTTTTACTCGGCATTGTTTGAGATGGCTATGGACTTGAGGAGTAATGGTCAACTGATTCACTTGTCTTCTCTTCTCTTTTGTCTGAACAGTGTGTGCTGCACCTGGTTCCAAGACATTTCAGCTGCTTGAAATAATACATGAAACATCAGAACCAGGATCTTTACCTAATGGAATGGTTTGTAATACTTTTTCTTGGTTGATAGATAATTTTCTTTTTCCCTAATGTTTTTTGTTTGAATCAGGTGGTGGCGAATGATGTTGATTATAAAAGATCTAACCTTCTTATTCACCAAACCAAAAGAACGTGTACGACCAACTTGATGGTCACTAACAATGAAGGCCAACATTTCCCTAGCTGCAACTCGAAGAGAACCTTGTCCATAGCATCTGAGATTTATCATCATACAATTGATCAGCTTCTTTTTGATCGTGTCTTATGCGATGTACCGTGTAGTGGTGATGGTACTCTACGCAAGGCTCCAGACATATGGCGAAGATGGTTTAGATCTTTACAAGCTTCCAAATTGACATTTTTGTTATAGTTCCACTTGCTTCAAGATTCTCATTCTTTTTTTTTCCTGCACAGGAATTCTGGATCGGGAAATGGACTTCATAGTCTACAGGTTGTGCTTGCCATGAGAGGTAAGCTTTTCTCCTCAGATGACCCGACTCACATAATCTTGTGTCTTGAATTTAATCTGCATTGTCTGGTTTCAGGTTTGTCTCTGCTAAAAGTTGGTGGGAGAATGATATACTCAACCTGCTCAATGAACCCGATTGAAGATGAAGCTGTTGTTGCTGAAGTAATTTATTTGTTTCTTTCTTCTTTCTCCATAAACCCGTTCTACTGCATGCTGTTTCATTGTTAGTATTGTTCAGATTCTGAGAAGGTGTGGATGCTCTGTTGAGCTTGTAGATGCCTCAGATAAGCTTCCTAGACTTATCCGAAGACCAGGTCTTAAGAAATGGAAGGTAAACGACATTTATACCACTTTGAAGCAAAGAGAAACAGTAGTGGAGTTTTTACTCTTGCTGGTATCTGTGTGGATCCAGGTGCATGATAGAGGTGGCTGGTATAGATGTTACAAAGATGTTCCGAAATCGCAGAGAGATGGAATTCTGAAAAGCATGTTTCCTTCTGGTAGAAGCGATAAAGACTCAACAAATGGCGGAAACAGCTATGAAGAAATGGCTTCTATCTCTTCTGATGAATCAGCCGAGGAAGTCTGTGATCTTCCCCTTGAACGCTGTGTGAGGATACTGCCTCATGATCAGAACACTGGGGGATTTTTCATTGCAGTCCTTCACAAAGTTTCACCTTTACCAGGTGAGATTGAAGAACATTCGAGTGCATAACCTCTCTAATTGTTTTTTTTTTCTTAATTGGTTTCGCTGTTTATTTTCTTGCAGAAATTCAGGAGAAACTAAATCAGAGAAGAAACTTGTCTACTAGAAACAGAAAGTCATCATATGAAGCAGTTTCTGACACTGTGGTTACTAAATCCGAGGAAGGTGCACAGGAAATAGTTCTAGAAGAATCATCAGCTTCAGATAATAATGGCTTGAAGCCGCCTGAGAAGGAAAGCACCAGCAAAGAAGGCATTATAGAATTAGCTCAAGAACTCGACGAAAATGGAAAGAGGAAAGTACCACCAGTGCAAGGGAAATGGAAAGGCCTTGACCCTGTTGTTTTCTTGAGAGATGAAACAGTGATCCACGGGATCAAAACATTTTACGGCATCAAAGATGAATCCTTTCCCCTGTATGGTCATCTCGTGACTAGAAACAGCGACACGAGCAGCAAAGGCAACGTGAAGAGGATTTACTATGTTTCAAGATCGGTTAAAGATGTTCTTGAGCTTAATTCTGCGGTTGGGCAGAAGATTAAGATCGCATCTGTTGGCCTCAAGATGTTTGTAAGCACCACATATTTTTCATTGCTCACTATCAAATATACTAAATCGCATGTTGTTAAATTTTTTGTTTAAACTGACCGAAACGCAGGAGAAACAGTCGGCAAGAGAATGTGAAGCCAACTCTTGCTCATTCCGGATAACGTCAGAGGGATTGCCAGTGATCCTTCCGTACATGACCAAACAAATACTTCACGCAACAATGGTGGATTTCAAGAATCTCCTGCTACACAAATCGATCAAGTTCTCAGATTTCGTCATACCACAGTTTGGCCACAAGGCAGCAGAACTAGCCTTGGGATATTGCGTGGTGGTTCTCGACGACGGTATGTGTATATATATAAGATACGTTTTGATCATATTGGGATATGGTTTTTAACAGTTTTTATTGGCTTCCTACAGGTACTCAGAAGCTCGGGTCAGAACCAGTCAAAGTGAATTCGTCAACAATAGCCATTGGATGCTGGAAGGGGAAAGCTAGCTTAACCGTTATGGTCACGACAATAGATTGCCACCAACTTAACCAGAGGCTGTCTGATACAAAAAGTCTGAACGTCTAGCTACTACCTATGGAGACAACCTCATCTTCTTCCAAATGATGACAATGTTGATTAGTTTTAATGATATTACCAAAAGTAAAAGAAGAGTGGCCTCTTTAATACTGTTGTTTCACATTTCAATTGATACAGAGAGTTTATTGATCAATTTAGAAATATCATAGATAAATAAACTCATTTTTTTTTGCTTAGAAATGCACTAATTAATTGATCATTTGTGGGATACTACTCATGATGATGATTAAACTAAATTAAATTATCTTTTTAAATGGGTTGGAAATGCTTAAGAGGCATTTGGGCTTTATAAACCAGGTCATACAAAACAAAGAGAAACGAGTTCTTGGAAATACAAAAAAGTGTATATATATATATTTTATAAAAAAACTGCACTCAAGACAGACGCTGACTAGAGGTTCTTCTCTTCCTGAGCCGTTCAGCAACAATGAAAGCCAGTTCAAGAGACTGGGACGCGTTGAGCCTTGGGTCACAGTGTGTGTGGTAGCGAGAGCTTAAGTCATCGTAGGTTACAGTACGGGACCCTCCGATGCATTCTGTCACGTTCTGACCTGTCATCTCTAGATGGATACCTCCTGCGTGGCTTCCTTCTTGCTCATGCACATCAAGGAATGCTCTTACTTCAGCCTGTAAAAAGACAGCAAGTTTTAGTAACTCTAATGCTAAACGCTATATACATGTTATGCTCATGGGAGGTGTGTACCAGGATTGAGTCGAAGGCTCGTGTTTTGAGACCGCATGGTGCTTTGATGGTGTTCCCATGCATAGGATCGCAGACCCATGTCACAATCTGGCCTGACCTGCGCACTGCTCTGATCAGGTGTGGAAGCTTAACCCTCATGTTCTCTGCCCCCATTCTCACAATCACAGTGATTCTTCCAGCCTTGTTGTGAGGATTCAGGATTTCGACTAGCTTGACCAGCTCATTTGGATCCATTTTGTTGCTCACCTGCATCAAGTGTCTTGGATATTCAGCCAGTTCCCAGTAAAAAGTTAAAAGCCAACAACTCTGGCTATTCAGTTAGGCAACTCAGATCAGCTATCACTAGAGATAAGAAGAAGAAAAATAAGTTTTCCTTCTTCACAAACCAAAGTTAATATCTACCTAATCCTTTAAGGTTGAGTATTATCTACGAGTTGATTTATGTGTTTTCTTCTAAGAGGTAAATTACCTTAATCCCGAGAGGATTAGCAATCCCCCTGAGAAACTCGACATGAGCACCATCCAACTGTCGGGTACGCTCCCCGCACCAAACCATGTGGGCAGAGCAATCATAGTAGAGACCAGAAGTTGAGTCCAACCTTGTGAGAGACTGTTCATAAGGCAGAAGCAAACACTCATGGGATGTGTAGAAATCAGTTGTAGTCATGAGTGGATGATCAGTGGTAAGTCCACATGCAGACATGAACCCCAAGGCCTCATCAACCCTGTTGGCTAGTTCCTGGTACCTGTTTAACAAAAAACAGAGTAATTACAGATCCGTCCTAGTTTCTTGGGATAAATTGAACTACAATCTATTCCTTTCAAAGTAATTTCTTTCCATTCTCAAGACTAATAACACCAAGTCAAGGCAGTCTTCAATGAATTTTAAAGCCGAAAAAAACGAACTTTGAGCAGTAGTGAAAAGTGTGATATACCTGTCAGCTTGCTCACTTTGCTCAACAAAATCAAGGTTCCATTGAGTAACTCTTTGAATCGCAGCATACCCTCCAGTGGCAAAGGCTCTAAGAAGGTTCAACGTCGCAGCAGATTGTGTGTAAGCACGAATCATCCTATTGGGATCAGGGATTCTTGATTTCTCATTAAAATCATCGCCATTGATGTTGTCTCCCTTGTAGCTTGGTAACTTCACTCCATCCTTCTCCTCGAATGGGTCAGATCTAGGCTTCGCAAATTGACCAGCCATTCTCCCAACCTAAACACGAAAATTCTCAACTTTTCCGCTCGACACAGCCACAACAACATATTCAACTGAGATCAGTAGAGAAGAAGAAAATCTGACCTTAATCACCGGAACTTGGCCGCCGAATGTAAGGACAATGCTCATCTGAAGCAGAACCCTGAAGGTGTCTCTGATATTAGTTGCATTGAACTCCTTGAAGCTCTCAGCACAATCCCCTCCCTGGAGAAGAAAAGCCTTGCCGACGGCAGCATCGGCCAACCTCTCCTCAAGGTTCCTGGCTTCTCCGGCGAAAACAATCGGAGGAAACGCCTCGATCGTCTTGAGCACAGACTCGAGCTCGTTCGCGTTGGGGTAATCAGGGAGTTGCAGAGCTTTCTTCAATTTCCAGCTCTCCGGCGTCCATTTCAATGATGACGACGGAGCAACGGATTCCTTGACTGAGACAGCGTTTCTAGCCGGCTCAGAGGCGTGGACCGCCGTAACGAGGTTAAGGGACCTAAGCTTGGTGTTGACGACGGTGAAGGAAGATTGACGGTTGCTCTGACGGTGAGAAAGACGCGCGTCGCCGCCGTAGATAGATCTGGAGGAGAGAGAGGAGGCGTTGGAAAGAGCCATGATCTCTGTCTCTCTTTCTCTCTCTGATGTCTTTTCTCTCTCTCTGTCTGAGGAGTCTTTGATTTGGTGTTTTAGGTGAGAGAGAGAGAGAGAATGACAATGGAGGCGGTTGATGAGAGGAGAGAGAAGCACATATGTGGAAGAGATAAATTTATAGGGAAGATTTGGTACGGAAAGGGTTTGGTTTAGACTTTTCAGACAAAATTCTTTTTCAAAGGGGGTTGTTGGGGAATTTCAGATGTGAAGCCGTCTAGGGGCAATTCCGTAAATTTATGATTCCAGATATTTTGAACACGTAACAAAAAACCACGTACATACATATATATCTTGCACGTATAGCTCAAAAAAAAATACAAAGTGTTAAATTGACAAATTTGTCAAAATTGAGATGATGACAACAAAATAAACACTTTAGAAAATTAAGAAGAAAAGACTGGAAATCCGGTTAATGACAATAATATCCCTTCACCAACCAAATCCACCACCTCTTCAGCAAGTTGCATATGATTATGTATAGTTCTGTCACCTAACACGCAGAATCCTTTTACAAGATATGGATTCATGGACCACGCCCTTTTAATATCTTGTATAATATTAGAATACATTTAACAGAAAATCGGATATGAACCCTACCAAAATCGTTATAATCAATGTACGTTCAGTTTGATTACTACTATTACTTCGAGTCTAGCTACAATATTTTGAAAATCAACTCCTTAAGTCTCTAGCATTTGTTTCTTACTAAATATTATTTTTTTTTTTTTTAAAAAAAGGTTTGATCCCTTCACCTCATCAACCAATACGAACAACTTAACCAATTTGTGCCAAATGTTATTTATAAATTATAAGCCTAAAGTCTATAGCATAAATATAACACATAGGCAGCTAATGAGCCAGGGCCAATACCATCGGACCCTATCAACAAATTAATTTTCCCTTCATTGCATTGTAATGGACCACAAGATTGATGAGAAACATTGCCTGATTTAAAATATTAAATGATAGAGTGACACCATGGACCGCATTTAAAATATACAGTGATGATTTTTTACTTTGATTGCTATTGATTATGTGAATTGTTCATAAACCTACCACATTTATTGATTATATGATTAAATATTTCTATGAGCATGGGATTCTATTAGAATCTATAGAAACTATAAATACATTTTCTCTTTTCCTCTGATTCAGCATTTACTCTTTGCTTTGAATCTAGAACATAATCAAAATAGACTTCCAATTTGGTTCAAGTCAAAACAAAAACAAAAGTAATTCAAGTCAAAAATTGGATCTTTACTACCATTGTGCTGACATTATAAATGTCAATTGGATGAACAAACAAATGTCGTTTTACAAGAATATTTTAACCACGAGACATTTGGAGTATGGTGGAAAAGTTAGTTAATGACCGTTGATTGCAACGAAGATTAGCTTTTGCAAATTGTAGCCACAGATTTTTATTTTATTTTATCTCACTAAGTCACAGTAGCCAAAAATCCTCATTCACACGATTTGAGCTTCATCAATGGCGGTTTCTTGCAACCACTACTCGATTATCCTTTCTTCATCAACCGCCGGTTCCTCCTCCCGTTGCTGTTCTTCTTCTTCTTCCTCGTTTCTCGGCTTTCCTCGTCTCCAAACGCTGCGTTTGAAATCCAGAAGCGTTTATCCGAGATCCAGAGTTTCCCATGTCTCGGCATCTTCACGATCTCTCGAAGCTCTGATTTTCGATTGCGACGGTGTGATACTCGAGTCGGAGAATTTGCACCGTCAAGCTTACAACGACGCTTTCTCGCATTTCGATGTTCGTTGTCCTTCTTCTTCCTTAGAGTCTCTCAATTGGAGCCTCGAGTTCTACGATAAGTTTCAGAATCTTGTCGGAGGTGGAAAACCCAAAATGCGATGGTACTTTAGAGAAAATGGATGGCCAACATCGACCCTTTTCGATTCACCTCCAGAGAATGACGATGATCGAGCCAAGTTGATCGATACTCTTCAGGTCACTCACTATATTTCTTGCAAAAACATAATAATAAAAAAAAATCTCTAATTAATTGCAACTATTGATGCTAAAAATATGATTTTTTGTTGCAGGATTGGAAAACTGAAAGGTACAAAGAAATCATAAAATCAGGAAGTGTAAGTAGAGATTATGAAAAATCTCTCTGCTTTTTTTGCTGAGAGAGAAGCTAATTAAATCTCTCTGTTTTTTTTTTTTTTTGCTTTCAGGTAGAAGCAAGACCTGGTGTAGTAAGACTAATGGATGAAGCAAGAGCTGCTGTAATAAGATCTTCTTCAAGATTTGTTAAATCAATGTCCTAATTAAAAAAAAAACTTTTTTATGATTTGGTTCTTGAAAATATGCTACAGGGGAAAAAACTAGCTGTTTGCTCTGCAGCTACAAAGAGTTCAGTTATATTATGTCTCGAGAATCTTATCGAAATCGTGAGTTGTTTCCTTTCACCAATCTCTTACCGACCATGCTTCTCTAGAAATTTTTCTTTAATCGGTTATACTTAATTATGTCTCTAGGAGCGATTTCAAGGACTCGATTGTTTCCTCGCTGGTGATTTCTCTCTGTTCTGAGTCTTAACTTACTTGGTGGCCTTTAACACTTGTATAAAGTTTCAATCCATTTGTTTGTATATTTGGATTTGCAGGGGATGATGTTAAGGAGAAAAAACCCGATCCTTCGATATATATAACAGCTGCCGAGGTAAGCATAAATCCAAGCAAAAGAAACTTCATATAGCTTAACAAGAATTGACCAGAGTTTCACATTTCTGCATTGTGTTGATTGCAGAAGCTAGGTGTTTCAGTGAAAGACTGTTTGGTTATAGAGGACAGTGTGATTGGCCTGCAGGTCAAAATCTGATTTTTTTTTTTTTGTGCTCGTCTTCGTTGTTCTAAACACTCAGACCATCTTTAAACTTGGTTTCTTCAAACACAATCTTACATTGCTTTTTTACTTTCGATATATAGGCTGCGACAAAAGCAGGGATGTCTTGTGTGATCACATACACTTCTTCAACCTCTGATCAGGTTTTTTTTTTTTTTTTTTTTTTTTTTTTGACATCAACTCTGATCAGGTTTTTTCTACAACATTTTCCTTTTCTTCCCTCTTCATTTCCTTTTCTATTCCCTTTTTCTAGGTTTTATAAAAGTCAAAAACTTGTTCTTTCAGGATTTCAAAGATGCAATCGCTGTATACCCTGATCTCAGTAATGTGAGGTAAGTAGGATTATATATCAAACTAGAAGTTTTGCACAATAGTTGTGCAAAAACGTTATCTCATTCTCCTCGCACTCATTATCTCATTCTCCTAATACTCATTTGGTAGCTTATAGTGTTTTTGTCATTATCTCATTATCTCATTCTCCTCGTACTCATTTGGTAGTTTATGGTGTTTTTGTCAGATTGAAAGACCTCGAAACTCTGCTTCAAACCATTGTCACTGCAACTTAAGACATTTGTCTCCTTTTCATTTGTCTCAGTTCTTCTGCAACTCTACATTTGTTTTTGTTTAATAAATTTTCATTAAAAAAAAAATTCAAATATAAAAATAGCAGTACAATACAAACAAGAACTACCACCCTGAATCCTGATAAATCCAGAAAATTGAGTTTTAAAAGAAAAAAAAAATTCAAATATAAAAAAACCAAAATTAAAGAGGAGAAACCAAAGAAAGAGAGTTCTTCAATTTTCCTCTCATCTAATACGTCTTTCTTCCTCCTCTTGCTTGTGCCTTCTCCATCACCATAAGAACCAATAGAAAGATCACACGCAAAAGGATGATGAATCCTATATAATACCACAATTTCACTGCTTCTGTGTTGTCTTATCTCCTGCTGTTAGCTACCTTGTTCTTGCTCATATCAGCAAGTTCTTCAACAAGTTTCTTCTCTTCTTTGCTCAATCGCTTAGGAATCTCAACTTGTACTCTAACTAACTGATCACCTCTCATCTTACTCTTATTCAAAACCGGAACTCCTTTTTTGGCCATTACCAGCGTCGTGCTCGGTTGTGTCCCCGCCGGTACTTTCAAATCCACCATCCCATCAACCGTTGGAACCTTCAAAGTCGTCCCCAAGATCGCATCTACATACGATATCTTACACGTATAAAGAATATTCGTATCATCCCGCTTCAGAATCGGATCCGGAATCACCTCAATAACCGCAAAAAGATCTCCAGGTGATCCTCCTCTCTTCCCTGCGTTCCCTTCTCCTCTTACTCTTAACCTACTACCTGAATCCACACCTGCAGGAACTTTGAGACTAATCCTTTTCGTCCTTCTCACACGTCCATCTCCTGAGCAAGCGTTGCATGGCTTTGAAGTCTCTCCTGTTCCGTTGCATGGAGAGCAAGTCATGACTTGTTGGAATACACCGAGAGGTGTCCTCGTCGACGCTACCACCTGTCCTTGTCCGCCGCATGTTTTGCATTTGGTCGGTTTGGTTCCCGCTTTTGCGCCTGAACCATTGCAAGTCCCGCAGCTCTCTAACCGTGATGTCTCAATCTCTTTCTCCACACCAAAAACGGCTTCTTTGAAATTCAAGATTAGCGAGTAATACTCGTCTTCACCGTCGACAGCTCTGCTTCTTGAACCTCTACTACCCATTCCACCTCCCATTCCTCCCATCCCACCCATTCCTTCGAATAATGACTCGAATAGATCAAATGGGTTACTGTAATCCTACAAAAAAATCAAAAAGATAACAAAAAATTCAGCAATTTTTGGATCAGATTCTGATCATGAAAATGTCTTAGAGAACAATATTATACCCCCATGCCTCCCATTCCAGCGCCTTTAACTCCTGCTTCACCATATCTGTCGTATAGGGATCTTTTCTCATCATCTGATAAGATCTGCAAACAAAACAAAAAACCAAAAAAACATCTTTTAGTCTCTTCAAGTATCTGCACAATCATTAAAAAAAATGGAGCTAAAAGCAACCAATGAAGAAGATGGGCTTTACCTCATAAGCATTACTTATTTCTTTGAATTTATCTTCTGCCCCAGAATCCCTGTAAAACAAAACGGAACCTTTTAGAAGCAGTTCCGAGGTTCTGCAGCTTCTTAGTCTATGTTGTCATAATTTTGAAGGTTGGTGGTTATATGATTATGAGGAAACTTAACCAAAAAATTGCAATAATTCTCTCTCTTTTGCGTTTTTCAAATATTGTAATCGAGTTCTAACAAGAAACACACCAATGATGCAGGAAGGTAATAACACATACAGACACCTTATATTGGATGCTAGATTAAGTAAAGTTTCCCACTTACTTGTTCACGTCCGGATGGTAACTCCTAGCGAGCTTCCGATAAGCTGAAAATAGGTGCAGAGGAAAACAATTTTCCTAGTCAAACTTTCGAAAAGCTGAACAAATGAAGCTCAAATGGAATCATTTCGATGTTGTAGTTTAATGATCACGGAATTCACATACCGCTTTTAATCTCAGCTTTGGTTGCAGTTTTTGAGACTCCAAGGACAGAATAGAAATCCTGGAAATCGAACACACACACACTCTTTAGTAAAGAACATATAAAAAAAGGCTTCATTCTGCAAAGTCTTTAGCAGCTGAAGAGCTTCATCATTCCATATCTAAAGAAAGAGAATGTGGACATACAGTATCAGCTCTAACAGTGAAACGAGCTCCTCTACGAGAATGTGTATTTCGGGATTGTCCCGTCAATGACAAGAAGGGCAAGGAGCCATGCGAAAACATAGTCGACCTTGAAGCTCCCAAACAATTTATTTGGCTGATGGAACTGCAAGAGATTACCAAAAGAGAAACAATTCGATTAGCCTATCAGATACATAAAACTCTACGAAGCGGTAAAGCTGCTAACTTTTACAACAATTATACTCTATGCATTGATAAGATAGGGTATCTGAACAAATCAAATTTTCTGTAAATTCGTACTTGTCCTGGTGAGATTCCAATCTGCTTGGATAGTAAGCTTTTACTGCAAACTGAGGACGAAGAATCCCCCATTGAGCAACACATGAACTTCCAAATTGTATAAGAGCCATTTACACTCCCTGCAACGAAAACAAGTCGACTCAGTTTTTTGTTACACCCTAGCAACAACCCAAATTTCATCAAACAAACAAACAATCCAAAAGCAAACTACACGAAAGATGAAAGCTTTTGAAACCTAAGAAGGGTATGCAAATTTCATGAAATGAAATATTGAACCGATATCATATTCCAGAAAAGAGTTTCACTTTCACCCTCAAATCTAGAAAAATACACAGCTTTCAGATGAAATTTCGAGGAAAATATTTAAAAGCACTAGCTGGGTGCCACCTACTTCGCGGGAGGAAAAATTAGCACAAGTGAAGGAACCCGTGAATTTTTTTTCGAAAAAAGGACATTGTTTGGATGATTCCAATCGAATAAGATAAAGAAAAACGGCGAAGAAGAGAGATGAAGGAGAAGATGAATCTTACCGTAATCGAATGGTGACGACTGACGACGGGAGAAGCAAGAGCAGAAGCGAGAGTTGTGCGATAGATAAGAAAATGAGTAGACTTTAATCAAATGAAAGACGACTACTCACTCCAACTTTTTTTTTTAGCCCTTATTTATTTATTTCAAAATTATATATTAATTTCGTTATTTATTATCTTTATTAGTTGTTAATAAAACTATTATCCCTACCGGATAGGTAGGTCACCGGTTTAATTACCACAATATCAACTTAATCGGTTTAATTACGAGATTAAATCTAATTAAATAAAAGTGATAATCTTAGTATGATTAGCTATGATAAGAAGAAAAAAAATGAAACAAGCTTCAAGAGAGAGAGAGAATTTTTAAAGTGTTTAAGGCTTCAAGCTTTATTAGATCTCTTCCTTTTCTCCGGATAAATAAAAAAGTATTCTTAATTCCAACAAGAAGCAATGTCTTAATATTGAGGATCATAAACCGTAATAATCACACTTAGTGACAAGCTAAACATGAGTAAGGGAGAAAACAAAGGAAATCTTTTCGTTTATCAGTTTATGAATTGGCCTTGAGTAACATCACTTGTTGATCTGATTTGGGGATATCAAGTTTGCAATCATGAGCCTCTTAGCATTGTCGTTTGGAAGTATCATCGCGTCTGTGCAAAGAAAAGATTTCATGTGTTTGTACATCTCCTTTGGTTTCTCTTCATTAATCGCATGTCCTGTCTTCTTAAGTAGCACTAATTGTGCTCTGTCTTCCCCTAAATGTCTGAAACAAGTCTTTACCAATTAAAAAACTCGTCGAGTGAGAGAACGACTGGAATCGTTATTTGTGATAGAAATAAACCTTTTCAATCTATGTGCCAGTTCCACTGGAAAAACTTGATCGTTCTCTCCCCAAATCATCAATGTGGGCTACAAATGAAGCCAAGCAAACAAATGAGAACAATTAAGAGACTTCAAACAGAGGGATGATTTGAAAGCCGCAGCGATTGATTAGAGACCTGTGAAATCTTTGGAAGATTGGCGAATCTTCTACCCTTATGCAGAGCTTCCACAAGTTCTTTCCTTTCTTGAAGATAATCTCTACACATCACCTTGCAACAAGATTCTTACACATCAGGTAAAAACCTTCAAAACCCCTTTTTGCGCCAAAACAAGATCGCAGACAAAGAAAGCTACTTTTGGTCTTGTGAACATCAAAGATGTTTGAAGCTATAAAACAAGGGTCCCCTAAAACAATAACCCATAAAACATTTCCCTGATAACTTTAAAAAGTGTGAGGTCCCATGAAATGAATATACATACAAAAGGACTAAACTTTCATCAGTTTTCTCAACCAACTATTATTGTTATTTATTGAAACTTACATGAATGTAGTCCATGGCAAAGCAAGAGGGTATCCAAATCGGAGGCTTGTAGAAAGATAACCGGAGAAGTCGCCTGAGCATCGACGGAGACTGAGGAAACAAAACGGCCGCCGCCTCCTCCGAGCTCTTCACTTTAAACATCCCTTCCTCCACGTCTCTCTCCTCCAGAGCAACCCCGGCGCATATTAGCACAACTCGCTCCACCCTCTCCTTAAACTGCGCCGCCACGGAGTACGCCACGAACCCGCCGTAGCTGATCCCGGCCACTGTCATGGTCCCAACGCCGTGAGCATCCATCGCCTTCATGACGCAACTCGCCTGGAACGACTCGGACCGGTCGGGCCGAGTCGTGTGCGAGTCGCCGAAGAAAACGAGGTCCGGTACGTAGACGTTGAACCGGGGGATAAACCGGTCGATGAAGCGGTCCCACTGCCACATGGCGTTAGCTCCGATCCCGTGGAGGAGGAGGAGCGTGGGCTTGGCGTCGATGTGGGTCTGTGGGACCCAGCAGTGGACGACTGTGCCGTCTCCGAGATCGGAGGCTGACGATCGGAGACCGGCGCGAGAGAAGCTGTATTGGTAACATTTGTTACGAGAAGAGACGTAGCTGAAGCAACTCGCCATTGATTAATGATTATTTCACTTCAACTGTCTTCTTGTGAGAGTTGCAGAGAGACAGAATCTAATTAAGGTAAGCAAGTGCAATGAAGAGGAAAAGGAAGTGGTCAATATTTTAATAATTAGATTAAAGAAATAGAATAATAGCGCTAGTGATTACGTGACATGTTTTGATTCGCTACAATCATATTGTTTTGGTGACTTCTCGGTTCTGCCTTTAAATTTATATTTTTATAAAAGAAAAAAAAGGTTATGTGATAGAGAAGTGTGTTTTTGTTTTTTTCGGCGAAAGCAAATCTCTGAGACAAATTTAAATTCTTTTTAAACGGCATATTACCACATTGGAAAAAAGAAAAGGTGTCTAGTCCCTTCTGATTCTTTTTCTTCTTTTTTTGCTTGCTAAAAAAAGCCCCTTTTTCTTATTCTTACGTGATTAATTTCTTTTTCGAATCAATCAGTGTCTGAGACTGCGAGTGTAATAATACTTCAATAAAAAAAAATGGTCATGGCCAACTCGTAAATTTAATATGTTTTTGAAACTGTTCGTATATATATATATATATATTTTTTTTTAATACAATATAGCAAAACCGGAAATAAACTCTAACCATAAAACCTGGATGTGCCGACTTGTGATTTTGATACGTTGATTATAAAAAGTTACAATTAGAAAATAATCTGCTGGCACCTGGCAGTCGCAGATGCTTTTGAAAAATTAGGTATTTCTTGGTATTGAAAGTCCAACATTTTTACTGGCCATGCAATTGAGAGAATTTTTATTTATTTTTCCATATCAATAACAATCATTGTCATGACTCATGAGTTTGAATCTACGTGGTGATACAGCAATGACATTAACATAAACGCTAAGCCACATCCTACATGTAAATTATTATTACTAGTAAATTAGTAATCCAGATATTATTGAGAACTATTTGAATAATTTATAGAATATCAATATTTTTGAATAAGGGATTGGTTTTGGTTTAATTAGTTTGGTTTAAGTGATCGGCTTTGATTTGTAATTTTGGTATGATTTTATTGGCAAACCTTAGTTTGTGGCACAAAATGCTTCTTTGACCTCTGAGGTTTATTATTGGCTTCATGTTTGTGTTCAAACTAACTTTGAAAGGCCTTTCACCACAGAAATTTCATTAAATAAACGAAAAGTGTTCACCAAGAAAAAAAAAAGACAGAGAGACTATATGTAGATGACTACACTTTGATGCTCTTACATTCGTATTCACTCTGCTAACTAAATACTTGAAAACCAGAGGAAATGAAATATCTGATATTTGTTATGTTGATTATCAGTTTATATTTTAGGTTGCATGAAGGTGCTTGCCAACTAAACGTTGTGGCAATTCAAAACCTACTCGGGGAAGGTCGTAATCTCAAAGTGAATTGCTGGTCGAAAGACGACAATCTAAGCTTCCATTATGTGGCCTATAAAAAAGCTCCATACCAAGTGAAATTTTACGAGCACACAGATGTGGCCTTTAAAAGAACAAAATGGTGGTGTAGCCTGCGGCATGGACGTAACTGGGCTTTCTCTGCTGTGAATTTTTTAGAGCATACAAAGGAGGCCGTTTGCCTCGTTGTCAACAGACACGCACTTACAATGCCAAACTTGATGGCATTTACTTGAAGAAAAATTCAGAACCAGAGGTATACAAGTATTATTGGGTTGAAAAAAAACCTTGATTTTTTTTGTTCTTGTTCGTAAAATTTGTTAATGGTGATGATGCTTTTATTTATTTTTCTGAACTAAGTCATCTTTTGATTTCGGGATTTATACAATATTTGTTGACAAAAATATAAATACGTATGAAGATGACTTACTTATCCAAAAAATCTAAGCTCTAGAGATGTTCAAGTATAATTGGTGTTAAACGAACGGCCGAGAATGAATCGAGGTTGGGTTATTAATATATATATATAGATCTAGGAGGTCTTTTCAAATCTTCAAAACCTATCTTTCTCCGATTGAGAGTTTCGTTGGGAGCCGCCATGAAGCGCAAGGACGATGAGAAGGAGAGGTTCCACAGCAGGGGAATTAAGTTAGAAGATCCGATCCCTCTCAATCTAAAGAGGATTAACATTTCTCAATTCAAAGTTCAAACTAAATTCTTTCTTAAATGTCTGATTAAATTCAGAAATCCAATGTTTTCAGACCAATTCATTGGATTTGGGCTAGCAGTTCTCTAAAATGTATTTTATTACATACATATCTATACACGTTTAACATGTATTCTTTGGGTTACGCGTGTCAATTTGATACCGAGGCTCTGTAATAAAACCATACCATTTAGTTATCAAGATAAAGAAACCGATAAAATAATCCGGTTTAAACCATCTACAAACATCATACTCAGCTTGGTTAGGTTTAACCATATTAACTACTGATTTTGGATTACAATGTAAGATACTTTTGTTCATGTCTCAGAATCAAACTCATGTTTAGTTTTCACCACTCATTCATAATTCCTTTGAAGTAAAAACTTGATCGTTCTCTACAAATGAAGCCAAGCCCCAAGGTTCCCTTCCTCTTCAGCTGGTATTTGCCCTTGGTTCCCTCCCTCTTTGTTCCCTCCCTCTTCATACCCGTCCTCTTCCTCTTCGTCTCATCCCTCTTTGTCCTCTCCCTCTTTGTCTCCTCCCTCTTTGTCTCCTCCCTCTTCGTCCCCTCCCTCTTCATCAAGTATTTTTCCTTGGTTTCCTTCCACTTCTGCAATGAAATCTCTTTCCTGGTGCTGTATTTTTCTTTGGTTTTCTTCCACTTCTGCAACGAAATCTCTTTCCTGGTGTTGAACTCCCACGTTCTGTACTTGTACTCTCTATTTTGAAGATTTGTAATGATGAAAGTTTTTTGGATTGCACAAATTTTGTATGATATTAAAAAAAAAACAAGTAAAATTTTCTAATTTATATAATATATAAATGTCTACAGTAATGGATATCAAAAAATAAAAAAATGTGTTTATAAAAATTAATATTATTATTTAATAAAATAAATAAAATATACAAACAAAAATATAGCTCTTAAGGAAGTGTGGTACTTGCGAATTTTTTAAAGAATATCTTCTTTTTTGGTATTATTATGAAATTGCATTAGCAAAAGAATCGATTTTTTTTTGTTTCTAGTTTACAACTTCTAAGGCTAAGTTTAAGTCATTGTTTCACTGGAATTTGCATAGAGAATCAGACACAAGTTCCTTCCATCTAATATATACATCCAAAAGACTCAATCTCTGTCGTTATAGTCTTGTTGCTTGCTGATCCAGAAATCTAGCTCTGGAGATGTACAAATATAATTGGTCTGAAAAGAAAATCAATTGTTGGGATATGTTTATTGAAGCTGACTTAGTACTTATTTATACTTCTTCTTATGATCATCAGCTAAGCTTTACCTCTCAGTTTTGGTTTTGAATACATAGAAGAAATTAAATTATAATAAATTATGGAAGGTCACAAGATAAAGAGTAATGCTTTATGTTGGGTTTCACGTTGTACTGATGCATCTTGAGAAATAGATTTCTGCCTTGTTCAACTAAACCAGCGTGCGTGCAAGCTGATAGAAGGGGGACAAACGTAGGCCTTGTTGGTTCAACATCAGACTCTTCCATCTTATGAAACAGTTCTAAGGCCGATTCAACATTTCTGTGCATTACATACCCTGTGATCATCACAATTAAACGGTATCCTTTCGATTTGCAGCGTTAAAAAGTTATCGTGACTTTTCAAACCGTCCACATTTCGCGTACATGTCAGAGCAGTTATAAGAAAAAGGTTAATCTTTTGTTATGTGTCAGTGATGAGATGAATCTTTTGCCCTCCCTCCAGAGATCCAGTATTGGCACGAGCCATAAGCACAGTCACCAAAGTAATTGAGCTGGGTTTAAAATCTCAGAGATCATTATCGAACAGCCCAATGGCTTTGTCGAATTGCCTTCGAAATTTCTGTTGAAGGCCCACCAAAAGAAACTCTAAGAAGACATTGCCTTCGAGATTTCTGTTGAAGGGCCACTAGGAAACTTCATACCGTGAAACGCGAGGAGGACGATGAGAAAAGGAGGTTCAATCAGTGACGATCGATGTAGCTTGAAGAAGAAGAAGAAAAAGATTGTTTCTAGAGTAACAAATCTGGGTTTGAAGAGATATGCTCCTTTCAACATCAACATTGGGCCTTTTTTCTTAATTACATGATCATGTGTTATAAAGTTTATTTACGACCCTCATCCAATTTAATTACTCCTTTCTGGGAAACAAAAAAAAAATCTAAAAAGATTCAAATAGTGAAAGAAAGAAAAAAAACAGAGTATTGAAATTTTAGAATACGCAAGTCGTAAAATTCTATTCTAATCAAAAATATGTAAATTTTTAACTTTAGAAAACTCTAATAAAAACAGGGAGATTCAAAAACCTTTATGTTGTTATTTTGATATGTAACGAATGTAACGTGATTATTACCTAATAATAACCTAATGATGGGTTTGATTTCATCAAGCAATGGGGTTGCCTTTTTCATCCTTGATCGAAATGAAAATATCTAAGAACGGGGTTGAATTCGAATAGTTAATAAAACCACGGGCGTATATTGCAAATCTATGAAAATGTGGAAGTCTCAGTTATGACAATTTCAACCCTAGTATTTTTTAGAGAGGACAGAGGATTTTGTTTCTCGCATAATCATTTAATTAAAAAAGGAAGAAACTCCGGGAAGAAAAGGAAAAGAAATCACTTTTTTTTTTCGGCAAACTATATCCAAAAAACGGTTATACAAAATCAATATACAAAACTCAAAGAATTCACTTGTTTGTTTCTTTTTATAAATAGAAAAGTGAAATCTCAAACGAACGGCCTAGATTGAATTGTTGTGGGGTTCTGGCTGAATCCCCGCCAAATCTCAATCTCTTGTGTTGGGAAAAAAAAAAGGAAACACTCAAAATTATATATTTTTCGTGGGTAAAATCCTTTTACTACGTCTTACATAGATATTAGGTCTTTGCAAATCTCCCAAAAACCTATCTTTCTCCGATTTAGAGTTTCTATGAAGCGCAAGGGCGATGAGAAGGAGAGGTTACGCAGCAGGCGAATTAAGTTAGAAGATCCGATCCCTCTCCAAAGGAAACTGCATACCGTGAAACGCGAGGAGGAGGACGATGAGAAAAGCAGCAGGTTCGAATATCAGTTGAGTCTTGATCTAGAGGAGGCTATACTGAGTAGATTGCCTGCAAAAGCTGTCTTCAAGTTCCGATGCGCTGTGCTCGCACGGGTTTCTTCATCTTCTCGTCTTCCTTCGAGCAAGAGAAATCTGACTCTTTGCAAGTCGACCTGGAGATGACAATACCTTCTCTGTGCTTATATCCCTGGGCCACCTTTGCTTCCACCCATGGCTTAATCTGGTTTAGTAAGGGTGGTCTGTTCCTTGTATGTAATCCTAGCACGAAAAAAGTCACTACCTTACCCTGTATTGGAGCACGCACACACTTGGGATACGATCCTGTTGATGCTCAGTGCAAAGCCTTGACTAAACCCAATTATCCTTACCCGCATCAGAAGTGTGTTGTGCACGAGGTTCTAGCACTTGGAGGAGGAGGAGGAGACTCAGAATCTTCTTCTTCATGGAGACGCAAGAAGGACGTTATCACCAAGCCTTATCACTCTGTAACTAAATCAGTTTGCATCAATGGTTTCATCTATTATGGTGCTGGGACCCCAACCCGAGATGAGGAGCGGGTGCTTGTGTGTTTTGATGTTAGGTATGAGAGGATTAGCTTTATCACAGCGCCTGCCCAGGCTGTGTCGTTTACTATGTTGATAGAATACAAAGGCAAGTTAGCTTCCATCGCAAGGCACCCTCTTCGTCCTTTTCTTAGTTTTGATTTATGGATACTAGAGGACGTGACCAACCACAAATGGTCCAAGCAAACATGTACGCTTCCCTTCTCTCTGGCGCAGGAGGGGAGAAGTATTTTTTCCCCTGGCACCAACAATGCTGGTGATATCATTTTTGCCCCACATAGTCTGTCCAAAGATGTTCAGCCTTACTACATTTTCTACTACAATGTCGAAAGGAAAGACATCAGAAGAGTTAGGCTCCAGGGGCTTGCAGACACCCAAGAGTTTAGGCACCGATATGGACTCGTACAAGAATCATATCTCGGAAAAGAATTGTCCGTCTACATGGCACCCCAACACGCCCAAAGCATTGCCTCTCTTTGATTGTAAGTTGTTTTTTTTTTTTTATGTATTATCTTCCTTTCTTCAAGGAACCCTAATGCAAGATGCTTTTTTTATCAAATAATATTTATGCGTTGGCTTTTCAACACTAAGAATGTGTTTTAAGTGTGTTTCTCTTTGCTTAATTTGCATAGCAAACCGTGTTCAATGAATTGTTTCAATATTCACTAGTACTGATTCATATATCCTCGACTAATTATTGTCTTAACAAACAATTGGTCCTACGAACCGATTACATTTTAAGCTTGCAGATCCCCCTTCACAACTTCTTCAACAATGTACTTATTGTGTTATTGAAATCAAAGACAGGATATACATATTCTCTGGTTGAAATCTAGGCTTCATTTCTTTCTCTCGCCTACAAACTCTTGATCCTAAGGAAGAGGTCTGTCCAACAAAGATCTCTGTTTCTCCATGGTTTGGTTTGGTTATGTTTGTTTCTTTGTTTATCCTGCCTAACTTGTGTCTCTGCATCTTTCAATATCAGATGGGTCTTACTTGTTTATGTTTGTTCGTTTCATCAACATTAACATTTGTGTGATTCTATCTAATGGGCCTTTTTTGAATGTGTTTCAACCATTATTCTAACATTTACATTTGGATGATGTGTTATATTTACGACCCACATCGAATTTAGTTATACTTCTTTCTGAAAAAAAAAAAGAAGATCCAATTACTGAAAGAAATAATTAAAATTCAAGGACATCAATGTTTTTCAAATTATTATAGTTTTTCTTTTTATTCTTATTTATAAAAAAGAACAAAATTTATTGAAAATTAAAAGTAAAAAAAAAAAAAAAAAAGAGGTGAAGGAGACACAAGTCAAGTGTCCCCAAAAGAACCAAAGACCAAACACAATAGTTTGTTCACAAAATGACCGATTATCTTTTGGTAACCGGAGGAAATCGACCAAGCTTAGCGGTTTTTATATAAGTACATAAAGTTAAATCATATATATTTACGCCGTCGGGTAAAGATGCTCCGGCAATCTTAGCTCACCGACCATAACCAACGGTTTAGCCAAAAACATATCATGACTAGACTCCATCAGCTCGACACGTGTCTCATTCTTAGGTAACTTCCAAGTAAAACCTTGAAGAAGTCTCGCGAGCATCATCGTGGTCAACGCCGTACCTAACGCCGGAGCAGCACAGCCTCTTTTGCCGGTGCTAAACGAGATAAACCGGAGATCGTTCTCCGTCAAAGTAACTTCGGAGCATTCGTTGAGGTGTCTCTCCGGTTTAAAGCTAAGTGGATCGGCCCAAACTTTTGGGTTACGGCCCAGCCCATATCGGCTAAGAAGGACTTGACTTCCTTTAGGGATGTGGTATCCGGCGACGGTTGTGTCGGAAAGTGCCACGTGTGGGAGGTTAAAGGCGGCTACGGGATGGAGACGGAAGGCTTCACGGAGAATAGCTTTGACGTAGTTTAGTTTTGGGATATCTGATTCTTGGACAAGTCTTTCTTTTCCGACGACTCTATCTATTTCTTCCATTGCTTTACGGAGAATCTCCGGTTTGTTCACCATCTCCGCCATTGCCCATTCCACGGCGTTTGATGGGTTGTCTGGCGCCGCCATTACAAGCTCCTATTGTTCATAAATAAACAAGACTACTTATTAAATACAGATCTTTATTAATGAGTAGAAAACACAGTCATTTTTTAAAACCAAAAGTTATAATTAATCTTTTGTGTGTTTTTTGGACCAAAATGTACTTTTTTTTTAAGTTTTGTAAAACTCTAACAAAAACAGAGATATTCCAAAAACATTTTCTGTTGTATAATATGTAACGTGATTATTACCTTGATGGTGGGTTTGATTTCATCGGCGGTAAGCAACGGGTTGCCTTGTTCGTCCTTGATGGAAATGAAAATATCAAGAAAATCCTCGATCTGAGTTCTCTTCCCTTCTCTCCACATCTTGATCCTTGCATCGATGATCGGATCGTGGTACTTGTCCATGATCGCACTCGAATCTCTCATGATCTTCTCGTGACCGTTAAGATCAAGACCCGTGAGCATAGGTAGATAATCAGAGATACAAAAAGCGAACGTAAAACCTAATGCTTCAAACATAGCTTCCATATGCTCGATATCCTCTGCGGTCGGTCCACCATCAGGTGCAGTGTTTTGAGAGAAAGTTCTTGTCCCGAACATGAGCTTCTTGATCGCATTTCCGCAGTAATGCCTCGTCACGAACCGGAAATCGACCGAGCCCGAGTTCTTGACCATGTTGTAGACCCAAGCGGTTAAATGATCGTTTTCTTCAGCTCTCTTCTGGTGAAGCCACCTGTGTCTCGCCGGACAAACGAGCTCCGTCATCACGACTTTCCTCATTTTCTTGAATTGTTCACCGAAGGGAGTAATCACGCAGGTTTTGTATCCGTTGGAGAGGATCTTCTGAGCGTAAGTCATAGGTCTTGAGGCGAAGAGAGCGTCTTGTTGCTTGAGTATCTCACGTGCTATCTTAGGACACGTGACGGTGATCACGTGAGTGTTTCCTAGCCTCACGCAAGCTATCTCGGTGTTTAGCTGCTTCATGATGCTATGGAGCCACCGGAAAACAGGACGGCTCTTTAACATAGCTGGAATCATTCCGATGATAGGCCATCCGCTGGGACCCGGCGGGAGAGACAATTTCTTTTTATCGGGTTTAGCGATCAGTTTCTTGAGTAGCATCATCACTAAAGTTATAGCTACAAATGCTTGAAGTGTTGTGAGGAGATACATGTTGCTGAGCGATGACGTTTCGGTTGAAGTGGAACTGAGATCCGAAGAGTTTGAGGTAAATGTGTTCATGTTTATTTATTTTTTTAGTGAGAGAGAGAGAGAGAGAGAGAGATAAAGGGAGAAAATAAGAAGAATCAAAGCTTGCTTTGTTTCTTGTTTTCTCTGCATGGATAAAGAGGCTCACCTTCCTATTTATATGATTTTACTGGTCGTTGTTTTATTTGGAAATGACCATAATACCCTTATGTGCTGGAAGGAGTGAGGAAAATGTTGGAGCCTTGGAGGGATGTGTGTGGGTCGGGTCCATCTTGAGTACTACCACCATTGTTGAACATAATTAAGTAGATAATTCAAAATATCTATATTTTATTTGTATAATAATATAAAATTTTGGATGGGAATTTTAAATATTCTAACTGTTTTTATTGGTGACCTGCCAAAATTCCTCGTGTTATATATGCACTTTGAAAACCAACCGAACAACAAATAGAGCCTCAGAGGCAATATTATTCCTATATATTTATGATTTAGAGGATCAGTTTTGGAGTTGAATATATAACAGCTGTTACTGGTGTTATAAAATATATATTTGGATGAAAACATTCATCTTCGCTGCCCAAAGTATATGTGGTCTAGTTGTACGTAGTTGGGTTTGGAGTAAGGTATATATAAACTAGCTAGTTTTGGGATTCAATAAAATTTTAAAACAAAATCGCATAATTATAATAACAAGGGTCGGGAGTGTCTGTTTTGCCGGTTGTTTGTGTTTTTCTTGTTTTCTGATAATGTGTTTGCAAAGCAATATGAACCAAAAACCTCAAATCTAATGTCGGGGCTACTTAAAAATTTGGTTGACCAATCGTTTTCTATTAGGCTCATTCACTTAATAAGACAGCTTTAATCGGTTGTGTTGGATCAAGTTCTAGGCCTATAATCTGATGTTAAACCAGATTGTTCAAGTTATACAAAAATGAAAAATATTCATTTCGTTGAGAAAATGGAACACAGAAAATTAGAGAAATATGCATAATATATAGTTTATTTAATTATGCGTTTACTATATTGATCTAAAATGTCGAGTATATTACTTAATAAAAATGGATTAACACTTTATGTCTAGCTTATCGTACTGTTAGTATTATTTGGGACAAACAAGGCCTTCGGTAAAAAAATGTTTTCTAATACTAAACTTCGAGTAATTATTGGACCGGGGAACCTATAAAACATTTTAACTATTACACAAACAGAATCAAACTGAGACCTTTTTTTTGTCAACAGGAGAATTAAACTGCGACTAAAATTTCTGATTTTCTAGTTATAAATCGTAAAAACTTTTGATGTATTCATTTTTTAATGTTGTTAACTAATCATGTTAATTTTTTTTGAAACCTCTAAATCATGTTAAATTCACATACCTTTTAGATACAGTTTCTAAAACGAAAACAAATTTCATATCTTTCTTTTCTTTTTCAAAAGAAATGACTTGTATATTTCTCCTCTCTTTATGTATGTAATGATAAAAAAACTGCTTGGAAACTGTTTTTTTTTTTTTTTGTTTTAACTGTGTTTTGAGTCTTTGAGATAGTGTAAAAAATGATTATTATTTTTCTTCTAAAGTTAAACTTTAAAATGGACGAAGATTTATTGGCAAATATGAGAAAAGGCCATAATCTAGGAAATAGTTGTTATGGGTAGAGTTCACCTGCCAAAAACCCTCGTGAAAATTGGAATTAATGTGGAAAGATTCAAAGTTGTTTACTAAGTTTTTTTATTTTTTTGTTGCTTACTAACTTAGTCAGTATAATTTCGTGATTTGTAGTCCCCACAACTTGTTTCCATGTTGCGATGCCGTTTAAGGGCCGATGTCAATTTTCCTTTTTCGATTTTACTTTTTTGATAATCTTTTTGAAGGCAAACTGCAAACAAAACGTGTTTCTTCGATTATCGATAGAACAAAAAAGATGTTACACACGTAACTACCGTCATCTATTTTACACATGTACTAGAGTGATCAAAGAAATTTGGGCCAATATCTTAAAGGCGTGACGCTTATGTTTTTATTTTGTTTTTTGGAGAAAATGTGACGCTCATTTTGGATCCGTTTTAGAACATTTAAAAATGTTCATTGAAGATCAACCACGTATCTTTACTATCAAAATGATTACTAGTACGTACAAAACTAGTAATACAATCTGTTGGGGTTTTCGTGGTTAGTAATGCTGAATCTTTAAGTAATAGAAATGTACATCGACAGTACTTGACACTGATCATGAGTGGAACCGATAATCTTTATACAGTGCTGTGCGACTAGCTTTAAAGATCTAAGATAAATTTTAAAAATACATATATATTACAATGTTTTAACAATAATGATATAAAATATATTAAAAATTATACATAAATTTTAAGTTTTTTAAAAATTTCTTACATAAATATTATATATCTTTTTCTTCTATAAACAATAAATTCTTAAAAACTTAAGAAAGAATTAAACTTATAACATTGAAAAACAAAAACAGAATGCAGCTCTTAAAAACAATTATTAAAATCATTCAAATTTTAATTAGAATATAAAATTAATTAAAAATAGCTATTGTAAGCATAAGTGAGGCTTGAATAGCTGAATTCATTGCATATCAAATTAGGAGAAGACATTAGCCACTACAACATAAAATATATTTTGTATTTAAAGGCCCTAAAATTATGTATATTATCTGGAAACTTGAGACAAATACCTTTTTCAATTCACTATAAGAGCCATGCTCTGTCTTTATAATTTATATAACAGGGGCATGAAAAAAATAATATCTACAGCGAAATCCAACACTTTTTCAAATACTAGTTTTGGACACCATATTTCCTTTGACAAGTATCACACTTATCATTAAGCAACAGCGTTTTCAAGCATCCGAAGATGTAACGAAGTTCACGTAATTCATTAATTAAATTTTTTTTAGCAAGACCAGTCCAGTAAAATTCAACGATGTATTGGTCATGTTCAATTTCAAAATATTGAATATATGCTCTATTTTTATCAATTTAAATAGCAAATTAAATTAAACTATTTTAGACCCTTAATTACACAAACAACTTGTTATTTTATCAATTCTGAGCTTTAGTCAATTTCGGCATTCAAAGCTAAATTATTGACTTTTCAGATTATATTTATGCATCAAATCCTGTATAAGATTCGCTGTATCAAACACTATCGATCGCTTGACGAAATGTTTTGTTTTTCCCACAATTTTGAAGTCTAATGTCGAGACGTACGAATTGGTGTAGTTGGAAATATACTTCGGATCCTAGCACGAATTTTAAATGGTTCGATTCAATTATTTCCATGAATAATTATTTCAGGTTATTCGATTTAAAATTTAATCCAATATCCTAATGTGATTCTTTTTTTGGTGTGGAATCTTACAGTAAAAAAATAAAAAATGAATTCCGGAGAGTACTAGTACTTTACCCCATGGATGCATGAATAAAGCTAATTTGAATTATCAGTTTTTTATATAAAAAATTATAGGGGCATATATAAACTGTATGATTGTTTATATGATTAATTATATCAAATATTTTAAAATGTTATCATAGCTAGTGATGGACCAAAAAGGTTAATCGACCTAAATCACGTGGATTAGTTTGGCCATGTGCTTGCCAACAACCAAGGTAGTTATTTGTGGACACGTACGTATATGTGTATATGCATGCTGGAGGTAAATTAAATAAAAACGTGCTCCATCGGCTAAAACTCACCTGTCAAATTTCACAAATTGCACCAAATTTTATATTAAAAAAAAGTTTCGCCGAACGCTGAAATAACACCATTCTCTCACTATGCCATATATATACTAGCTCGTTCATGAATCATGATTGTTTGGTAATATTCATGGCGTAAATCTATGTCTCTCCAAACAAGATCTGAACTCGAATCCAGAACGCTGAAATCACACCATTCTCTCACTATGCCATATATATACTACATCTCCATTTTTGAGAAAAGGGTACATCGCCATTTATTTAATTTAGAACCAAAAAATTCTGCCAATTTCTGGACTTAATAAGGAGGTATAAAAATTATTTTTCCATAAGGCAGAAATAAAACCGATTAAATAATGGGGCATAAAATGATACACCACCATAGACAACATTAAAACAATGAGAATAATTTTGAAAAGATCATAATTAAGTAGCAACTGGCAACTGCCCCCCAAACCCTAGAGGCGAAGGTAGTAATTATTTGGAGTATTATCTATATGATCATAAACACTTTAAAACAGATAAAAAAAGTCTCATGATAAATTACCTATTAGTTTAACAAATCAACTTAAGTGTACATAAAAAAATTATATGCATTTTGTTAAATACTAATTTTGTAATCTTGTTATGAATCCTACGTTTCTAATGTTAATCATATTTGCTAAACGGAGATTTTTCCACACTAGATGAGCTTAATATATATTAGTAAACAAGAATCATATTTACCAACCAGAGTAATTATACAATTGTAACCTATGATGAAACTATATGAGTATATATTAGGAGTTACTATTAAACATTAGCTGAGTAAAGCTATTTTTTTAGACTAAAGCTTGGATCAAGGAGGTTCCGAATTACCAACGTAGAACAAGCTAAGGGAGTTCGAATCACATAATATTTTAAAAGGAATTTAACTAAGACAAGTAAAATACAACGAAGTGTCAATGTGTCATAGCAAAAAAAAAAAATACAACGAAGTTCATTTTATTAAAACATATTATACAACACAATCGATAACATTGGAGCAAAAGCAACTCTTTATTAACTAACTAAGTAAATGCTATTTTTAAAAAATAAAAATATTTCCCCTTCATCTGGCTTCCGAGTTTAACACAAACCAAGAACAAATGATAGCATGACGGAGCGAGACGACGTCGTAAAGGTCTCAAGCTTCCGAGGGAATGTGAGAGAGCAATCATTTAACCATTTATAAAAATTTAATTAGATTCGACGAGTTGGGGTTTTTGTTTTTTGTCTTTAAATTTTTTTCAGACTTGACTTAGCCCTCAAGGTAACCTTTGCTCTGCAGGTAAGAGATGATGTTCTCAGCCATCTGACGTGGCGAACAAGAAACGTCGTCTCCCGTGTGTTTCAGCACTACCTGTAATTTTACATCATTTATTATATTTAGAAATTCTACGTATCTAATTCTTCGATTACATTATTACGGAGACGACATGACCAACCTCGCAATTCAACGGTGCCTCGTAAGGGTCATCGATTCCGGTGAAGCCTGTATAAAGAAAAATTCAACGATTAAATATCTTTTAATACTACTATTTTAGAATCACACCTATGTATATGTTATATTGTTACCTTGTGAAAAAATCTTTGAATAATATATTAGTAAATAAGAAATTATTTTTACAAAAATAAAATCCTAATGAAATATATATAGCTAATTATGTTATACCAGACAAATATCACTAATGAAAAACTTATGTCATTTGTAACTTTTTGAATAAGTTTTGGAAGATGTAATCAGACCTACTTCGTAATAATAAGCATGTTTACTCACAAAAATTTAGGGTTTATTTGTGTGTCTATACAAGAATATTTACCGGAACATAATATTTCAGCACATAATAGTCTTAATATTAATTATATCCAGAGCCGTGCTTAATGAACAAAAAATAAGGCATTTGCCTTAGGTCCCCTTAATATTAAACAAATTTTATAGTCCCTAATTTTTGTATTTTTATTTAGTATATTGGTTGGTGTCCAAAAAAAGGAAAATTAGTATATTGGTTAATATATATTTTTGTGTTATTTTTTGTGGTTGAAAATTTATTATAAATTAATAAAAGCATTAGTACTTTATAATATTTTATAAAATAATATTTAAATCTGATTTACAACTTATTTTTTTTAGAAATAATTAGAGCAAAATGGAAATTTTTTCTTGTCATTTGCCTTATGTCCCTAATACTCTAAGCACGACACTGATTATATCAGCTCCAAAATTATCCAACAAAAATTCAAGTAGAAGTTTCAGTGCTATAGATTGTTTTTCTGACTCAAGTCAAAGGTCAACAAGTCAGAGTCAACGTTTTTGACAAGTAAAATTTGGATATATGTATATCTAGGGCTGGAATTATTATCCGGTATCCGCTATCCGATCTGGTATCCGGTTTTATCCGATCCGTAAAAACCGGATATCCGTGTAGTTCAGATCCGGATCCGGATAGTGAAATTAAGAATTCGGTTATTTCGGATACGGATCCGGATAATAGAAAATTTAGAAATCGGATATCCGTTATCCGTTATTAAGATTTTAAAAATTTTGAAATCTTTGGATATGCATTTAATTTTTTGTTTTAATTATGTTCGAAAATTGTTTTTGGTTTAACTTTTTTACACATGATTAAAATTTATATTGCATGATAATTTTCTATTTCAGATTGTGAGAGAAGAACATGAAAATAGATAATACAAGGATATGAAGATAAATTAACTTCTCTATTACTGTTTTCTCTTTTGTTATGTAAACTTTTAAACTTTGTGTTATTTGAATGCTACTTGACTGTTTTTAAATTTTTGGTATTTGTAATTTTTGCTATGATGATACATTTTAATTATATATGTTATCTCATTATAATTTTAAAAATTGAAGATTTTTTTTTAAATCAACGAAACCGGATATCCGGTCGGATATCCGTAAATATTCGGTTCAAACCGGATATTCGGTCTCCAGATATCCGGAGTTTTCGGATCCGGATCCAGATAGTAAAATTGATTATCCGTTAAATCCGGAGCCGGATCCGGATACCTTGAAAAGTCCGGATATCCGGCTCCGTTCCAGTGCTATGTATACCTTTGATTTTGCCGGCACGTGCGAGCTTGTACAAACCCTTTGGATCTCTTGACTCGCACACAGAAAGAGGAACATCCATGAAAACCTAAAACAATTTAAACGTTCGTAATATTACTTTTTAGCATCTATATATACGTACGAATTATAAAATGAAATAAACGTAAAATCGAATCGGACTACAAAGTAAGTATAACGTTATAATAAATAAGGTACCTCAACGAAATCGCCATCCGGTAACAACGACCGGCAAGCATCCCTGTCTCTCCGGTAAGGAGAAATCAAACTTGCTATACAAATAACGCCCACGTCAGCAAACAGCTTAGCCACCTCACCTGAAAATATTCAAGATCGCTGATCATTAATCACTACTTAACCAGCTAAACATTATTAGTTACTTATTTGTAATATTTGATGGAATTTATTGTACCGATCCTGCGTATGTTTTCGGTACGGTCGTCTGCTTTGAAAGTGAGGTCGCGGTTAAGGCCGTGACGGACATTGTCGCCGTCGAGTGTGTAAGTAAGTTTGCCTCTTTCGAACAATGCTTTACTTAGAGCACAAGCAACAGTGCTTTTACCTAAATAATTAAGAAGGGAACACATAACCGTGAGTTAGTTTTACCGCAAAACACGATACACAAAGTGTTGCTTTTTTTGATTTTTGGTAAACAGAGGAAGAAGAATTGTGTTCTTTAGAAACCTGAACCGCTGAGACCAGTGATCCAAATGACACAACCCTTTTGTTGAAGAAGTTGTTGTCGATCGCATCTGCAAATGGAACTCTCGTGCCACACGATGTTATCTGGTTTCTCTTCTCCGTTGATTCTCTTCTCTTTTAGATTCAACTCTGACCACAACAGAAATAAAGATTCCAAATTTTCAGAAGCGATCAGATATTCAGATCACGGAAAAAAATGTTTTTTTTTTTTTGTTGCCTTTTGTTAATTTCACGAAAGATTGTTGAATTGTGAAGGATCAGCCATACGAAGAAACAGAGAGAAACAGGGGAAGATGGAGAACCTGAAAGGGCGGGAAAATCGGCGGTGAGGGAAGCTTGAGCAGAAACATTGACGGCGGAGATTGGATGATGAAAAGAAGCAGAATTCGACAATAGTTTTGGGTTATCCGCCACATTCGACGACGACGCCGGCAGCCTGAGGAAACCGTCGCTTAAAGGTCGTCGCTGAGAATCGCCGCCGAGACCTGGAAGAGAACAGAAAATCGACGGTCGCGATGCTCTGATCACAGCTAATCCTTCCATTGAATCTGTTGTCTGTTAAGAAAATCACAGAGCCCAGACGGTTCTTGGGGGGTTGACCAATCAAAATGTACGAATCAATCTGCTCTTACGTATATAAAACGAGATTGAATATTTGAAAATATATAGAGAGAGGAAAGGACAGAGGAAGAAAACTGGTGAGAAGACGAGTAATGGTACCAACAATATATTCCTCCACTAAAAACACATGACCATATTCCATCATCAAAACCCACCCCTCATTTTTGTAAAAAAAAAAAAAGCTCCAAAATTGACATTCAACATTTACTAATCATTTTAGCAAACGGAAAAAAATAATTGTACTAATCAGGGAAAAATTACTCGAACTAACTAATTAGTAAAAAAATAATATATATAATATTTTTTTATATAAAAAATAGTGGTTTAGGTATGTGTGCATGGGTCACTGTTGGAGGCCAATCTTTTGGGAAATGATTACATGACTTTTTTCCATCTACCAACCTACCAATGCCCATTCATAAACCATGTGATTTATATAAGCTTAAACTATTTATCATATTGCTTTTATTATTATCTTCCCCCTACTATGTTTATTATTAGAATTTTTTTTTTCTTCAAATAAATTTGCTTGACTGTATATATGAAGTTAGACTTAAGAAAATATATAGAGTACTAAAATCATATTCAACAGTGTCCAATTGCAGTACTTGTTTGTATTAGGTTTTATAATGTTGTTCTTAACAGTCAACAGTCAAAGGAGGCGGTTCCATCCTCGCTATGAGCTTTCCACATTTGGGCTCCTAATATTTATATTAGGCCTCTTCATTTTTGTAGCCAATAGTACCCAGGCCCAACTATTGCTGTAACATATCCAAAAGAGTAGAGAATTATGAGAGACTTTTGTTTCATGATGTTCTGCGGCAGAGTATGACTGTGATTCAAGTCCAGAACTATTTGAAGTTTGTGTTATTTTGCGTTGCGACACCTTGGTATAATTCGTCTTTCTCTCGATGCGAAATACATTTTTTCAAGAAACAAGTCGATTCAAAATACAAAAATCCCAATATTATTAATATATAACTTAGATTTGCATTATCGTTTTTAGGAACAAATCTATTGACATTATAATAATAAAATATTTAATTTATTTCTTTATTTTACTTACGAATTTATATCACCAATTAACTATATAACAGACCTATTAGATCTCAACAAAATCCTTCAACGCAAAAACATAAAAAAACACACAACTACTTCAGATAAAAAATGAATAAAATCAGATATTTAGATGTTGTTAGTACCATCACAATGATTTTGTTGTTGGTCATTGCAGGTTAATCTTCTGTCTTCTTTTCCCTTTTTTTTGGGAGATCTAATCATTACAGGTTGGACAAGCATTATATTTATGGGGATTTACACATTAATTTTTTTAACTAATCTTTATTATTTGCAGAACAAGCAAATGCGGTATCTGTTGATGGCCCCTGTTTTGGACCGTGCACTGACACTTGCTGGTGGACTTGCCAAATTCATGGTTTTACAGAGTATGATTGTGCAGCTTTTAGACACCAGTCGGGTTGTTGCTGCAAAACACCAAAAAAGCATATATTTGAAGAATCTGCTCAATTGAACAACTAAACCTCTTTTGACATAGCTTTCAATTTGTATGATCACTAATAAGAATTCCAAATATAATAGATTGTGTCAAGAAGCTATAAAATTATGAAGCAAGCTAAACGTGTTATGGGTAATGGATGTAGTGATCACGTAGCTCACACTGGTTAATATTACCAAATGAACTTTTGATATAAGAAAACAACCAACATTCTACTGATTCTGAGCTAATATTCTCCAATGATTCAAGCGATGATGTCAAACGCAATCAAATAAAACATAAATTAACAGGATATTTAACTTAGATTTGCAGGTACGATTTAGACAGCAAATCTATTAACATTACTATCAACAAATATAAATGATTTAGTTTCCTTTTCCTACCAATTTACCAGGTGATAAATTTCTGTCAAATTTTCAAGAAATCCTTTATTTTAATTATGAATACATATAAGATAACAAAATCCATCAACACCTGGCACATACAGCTAAAAAAAAAAATACAGACAACTACTTCAGAAAAAAATGGATAAGATCAGATCTTTTGTTGTTGTTAGTACCATCGCAATAATTTTGTTGTTGCTGCAATACACCAAAGGAGCAAATCTTTGAACAATCTGATCGGTTTAACAACCTAAACCTCTTTGTGTGACATAGTTTTCCAATTTGTATGATCACTAATAACAACTCCAACTATAATAAATTGTGTTAAGAAGTTATAACAGATCCCCGTTTCTTCATTTCACGTATCATGAAGCAAGCTAAAACGTGTTCTGAGTGAATATAATGTTTGAGGTAATAACAGGCGAGAAGAATGGAATTAGTGGCCAGTTTACGAGATGAACGTTGATTTATAAAATATATTAGACAATGCTGTTTTGGTTCTTCATCGCCATGAATGTGATACAAGAAAACAAGCAACATTCTACTGATTCTGAGCTAATATTCTCCAATGATTCCAGCGATGAAGTCAAACACAATCAAAAATCTAATCTCAATTTAATACACAGACACTTGTTCCTTTAAAAAAACTGCTTCTTTTAAGAGATAGTCTCGCATAAATGACTCAAGCTTGAAGTAGTAATTGGTACCTGATGATCTCTGATCAAGAATCTCCATCATCGCCGGATATAGAAACCGGATAAAGCCTTTCTTCTTCCGGCAAAACGGACCAGTTAGGCGACTGTACGGCTCTCAGCCACAAGAAATCATCCACATTGGCCCAGCTCTTCGTCTCCTCCTCCAAACCCGCCTTCTTCAAGTCTTCCTCGATCCCTGAGTAATCCAAGCTATAAGGCGCGAATCTGACACCATTGCTGTCTTCGATTATGGGACGGCTTCTTACCCTCAGGTAGAAATCACTCTTTTTTGCGCAATGGATCCTGATCTGATGCGAGGCCAGCACAAGAACACAATCTTCTACGTCGTCGATCAGAATCGAACCAATCACTGGACCAGTGTAGACATTGCAGCTCTTCAATCGGTGAAGGAAGAGAGCGTTGACAGTTCCGGTCAATTCTACTCGACAGGAATCGAGATCCGACAGTGTGAATTCTCCGATGGACGAGCCTTTGAAGCTTTTCACCAGAGTCTCTTTGTGTTTGTTCCTGAATCCCGGAGAATCGCGCACGGGAACTTTCGGGAGTGAGACGAAATCGGGTTTCTTGATCTCGGGGGGTTTGGATTCCGGCTTTGTAGAAGACGATTTGGTCTTGAAAGAGAATTTCTTCTTTGGGACTAACTCGCTGGAGAGGCTATCGAGACTCTGTTTGAGATCAGATACAACTTTGAGAGAGGATCGAACCTCGTAGGAGGGAAGGAAATAAGAGTTCTCGGCGAGAAGCTTCTCGAGATTGGCAATCACTAATGAGATCTCAGCGAGATCCGATTTGAGCTTGGAAGAATCTGCGGAGGAGGAGGCGAGTCGTGACTCGACGATTCGAGACTCGATGGACCGCTTGGAATCGGCGAATCGGGCGAGGAACGAGGAGGTCGATTCGAGAGTGGAAGACGAAGAAGACGAGGAAGAGTCAGGTGAATCGGATTTTCGAGCTTGGTGGCGAGCAGAGAGGCGTTCGAGCATGTCATGGTGCTTCTTCTGCAATGCCGAATCTAGGGTTCCGGTAGCGAACGCTTGGTGGCTCGGATCGTCGTCTTCCATATCGTTTACATTACAGTTACACCATTGTTGGCTTGCGACAAATCGAAATTGGGAGCAGGAGTACAACGAAACGGTGTCGTTCCTCTTAATCAATTGAAAATGATAAAAATAGAGTTTGATATTGCAATTTGTTCTGAATAATGTGAAAGTGTACTCTCAGGTCCATCTGCAAGAGTAAAATCGCCAATTTCCCCAATTAATATACAAATAACTTTTAATTGGCTTGTTTCAAGAAGAAAAAAAAAGCTTAGACAAAAAAACAGTAAACTTGAAAACTTCTTTTCTTCTGAACGTTATTATTATTTTTTTTTTAAGTGTTGCAGAGAGTTATATCCGCTTGTCGTCGTGATTGTGAATCATAATATCATTATTTGTAATAAGATATAATGTTGATGACAAAAAGTGTTTTTTTTGGTGAGTATTAGGAGTGCTCATAAGTCAAGGTTTGAGTTCTACGAAAGAAGAAAGATGTGATTTCTAAATACTTTACAAATCAATGTTCATGTCGTAATACTAACCAGTAACCACTATGAGCTAAATACGTGATATGAATATATGGTATTACTCAAAGGCTTAACCGTACATTTATTGATAACAGGTTTCGATTGCACCATGATATACGTGAAAAGAAGAAGAACAATATCTCATAACTTCTTAAATCATTTCTTATATTTGAAGTTTTTGTTTAGTGATCATACAGATTAAAAACTATGCGAAAAGCAGTTTAACTGTTCAGCTAAGCTATTTTTTTTCAAAGATTTGCTTCTGTGATGGTGTGCAGCAATAACGCGACTAATTGTTAAAAGTTCTACAAAACCAGTCCAAACCGGTCGCAACGTTCGGTGCAAGTTAGCTTGCACTTTGATACGTTAAAAGAAGAAAACGGATATATCTTTTTTTTTTCTTTTTAATTGGGAATTCTTAATAATGATCATACAAATTAAAGACTATGCTAGCCGAGATTTAGTTGTTCAATAGAGCAGAGTGTTCAAAGATTGGATGTATTGGTGGTTTGCAACAACAACCTGACTTGCCTCTAAAAGATCCACACTCCCCGTGTGTATAACCCATCGACTTGCAATACATGTCGCACTGGTTAGTGCACGGTCCAATACAGTCAGCATCAACAGAAGTCCCGTTTGCTTGTTCTTCACAATAATAAATATTAGTTAGAAAGAAATAATAAAACCAATATATATATATATATATGTGTAAATGTATACTTTTAACTAATTCGAACCTAAGAAAAAAAATAAACTCAAGGTTCAGAAGAAAAATTAAAATAAATTCAACATAGTGAAAAAATATTTAGAAAATTTGAGAATACTAATAACGAGAATGCTCAATTAACCTGCAGTGACCAACAACAAAGTTATTGCGATGATACTAAGAACATCTAAAGATCTGATCTTGTCCATCCTTTTTTCTGAAGTAATTGTTGGTATTTTTTTGTTCGTTTAACTGTTTGTGTAAGGTGTTGTAAATATTTCTTTCAAGTTTTGGCGTTGATTGTTGAGATCTAATAGGTCTTTATATAGTTACTTGGTGATATAATTTCCTAAGTAAATGATTTCTTGAAAATTTGACTAGAAATTAGCCACCCAGTAAATTGGTAGGAAAAGGAAACCAGAAAAATCTTTCATTTGGCATCTAATATTTTTTTATAGAAAAAACATTTTAGTGTAGAAAGACTTTGACTATTTGTAAGGAATAATGAACAACATTAAAGAAAAACACATGTATCTATATATGGACAAATTTCAAACAGTAAACAAAAACACATGTACAGTATACGAAACTGTGTATGCGGGGACACACAATCTGTAGCTATATAGACATATATAGCCACTGGTTCCATCTTTTGCATGTGGACCGTCGCTATCAAAGATAATAAATCGCCATGTATAACAACAAATCGGTAACCTCATTGCGACATGTGCTTAACTAGATAGTACATATCCGTTGTTTCAGAACGATGTGGTTAGCCACATAAAGCGACGAAGTTACCACCGAGATGTCATCGATTATCTAGCAATCTATGATTACCATTAAAGGTCACTTAGATTGCATGTCTAAGGTCAATGCTCGAGCATAGAGGCGTTCGAGCATGTCATGGTGCTTCTTCTGCAATCCCGAATCTTCGGTTCCGGTAGCGAACCCTTGGTGGCTGGGATCGTCGTCTTCCATCGATTGTGTCTTGTGACGGCGTTTACAAAATTCGGAGCAGTAATAAGAAAACGGTGTCGTAGAAGTATAGAAAAAAAAAACGAATACTACTAAGACTTGCAGATAGTTATATCTTATAAATTGCATCTTATTTAATGCAGATAGTTATATCTGCAACTCTTATATAACGCAGATAGTTATAATTCAGATAGTTATGTGCAGATAAAATGGTAAAAATAAGAAAAGCGACATCTTATAAATTCTTAATATTATTTCTTATATATACTTGAAGTTCTTTATTTAGTGAGCTCATACAAACTAAAATTTAACTGTTCAATTGAGCTGTTTCTTCAAAGATCTGCTTCGTTTTTGCTTGGCAGCAACAAGCCTTATAGGTTCCATAAGATTTACACTTCCCGGTTTCATAATTTTTACTCTTGCAGTCCTTCTTACATGTGGCATCGTCAATGCACCGTGTATCACACAAGCGATCTTGACCATTTGCTTGTTCTGCAAAATAATAAAATTAGTTAAAAAGCTAAAAGAGATGTAATGTGTAATATACACACACTTATAATTTCGAAACTAAGAAAAAAAGCTTCAACATAGCTAAGAAATTTGGAAAATTTGAGAAGTAATAATAATGAAAACGTTTAATCAACCTGTAATGGCCAACAACAAAATTATTGCGATAGTACTGATGACAACCAAAGATCTGATCTTGTCCATTTTCTTTTCGTTTCTAATGTATTTGTTTGTTTTTACAACTTATTGTAAAAAAATTCTTATGTTTTGGTGTTGATGAATTTTGTTTAGATATAATAGGTCTTTATAAGCTAGTTGGTAATATGAATTCCGAACTAAACTAAAATGGATACGTTGAACCAACTAATGTTTTTTTTTTGGAGATTTTGACTGAAAAGAACTCATGAACATTTGACTAAAGATTTATTAGCTAGTAAGTTTGATAGAAAATTGAATTTAGAATTGACTGTATGTAAAAACTAATTTGGTAACAAGTAAATTTGGTAGAAAAAAGGATTCGAATGTTATAACGCTTTGACTATTTGTAAAGCAGAAAATACTAAAACACATTCATAGTAAATCCATTGCTACCAGAACTTTTGATAAACCTCTATTGAGAATTGGGTTTACTATATGAATATGTATTTACGTCGTCGATCAGGATCGAACCAAATCACTGGATTATAGACATTGCAGTTCTTCAATCGGTGAAGGAAGAGAGCGTTGACGGTTCCGGTCAACATAACTTGTCCGGAATCCAGATCCGACAATGTGAATTCTCCGATGGACGAACACTCTTTGAAGCTTTTCAATGTTCATTTCGTAGTACTAACCACTGTGAGCTAAATACGTGATATCATATAGTAGCTAGTAAACTGTCACAAAATACCATTCTTCTTATCTGTCAATACCTCATACATACATTTATCTATAACACGTTTCGTTTTCACATAACTTTTCAAAAACGATATCTCATAACTTTTTAAATTATTTCTTTCATTTGAAGATTTTATTTAGTGATCATACAAATTCAAGGCTTTGCCAAAAGCGGTTTAGTTGTTCAACTGAGCTATTTGTTCACAGATTTGCTTCTATGATGGTGTGCAGCAAGCCAGCAACAACTCGACTTCCCTTAAAAAGTTCTACAAAAATTGTCTGTATACAACTTGCATAACCGGTCCCCATGGCCAGTGCAAAACAAGTAATAGCAATGACATGGACCACGCATGCAAGTAAACATTACGAGATTCTAACTATGGTAAAAAGAAGAAAGTGACATCTTATGAATTCTCAGCATATATTATTTCTTATATTTAAAGTTCTTATTTAGTGATCATACAAAATAAAAGACTATGTAAAAAACAGTTTAATTGTTCAATTGAGCTGTTTCTTCAAAGATTTGGTAATCTTGGGGGGTAATCTTTTACTACGCAGCAACAAGCTTTATAGGTTCCAACATTTATACATTCCCCGGAACTATAAGCTGGATGCGAAGTGCATTCCTTATTACATGCGTCTGTGGTAGTGCACCGACTCCCACACCAGCGATCCTCCGCGTTTGCTTGTTCTGCAAAACAAAAAAAAAGTAGTTAAAAAAAAATATAATGTGCAATATATATACACATATACGCTTGTAGTTAAGATTAAGGTCGAAACTAAGAGAAAAAAAGCTTCAACATAGCTAAGAAAAAGTATTTGGAAAAATCGAGAAGTAATAATAATGAGAACGTTTGATCAACCTGTAATGACCAACAACAAAATTATTGCGATGGTACTGATGACAACTAAAGATCTGATCTTGTCCATTTTTTTTTTGTTTCTAAAGTATTTGTTTGTTTGTTCTTATGTTTTGGTGTTAATGAATTTTGTTGAAATATAATAGGTTTTTATATAGGTAATTGGTAATTTGAATTCCGAACTAAAATGAAACGGATACGTTAAACAAATCTATTTTTCTTGATATTTTGACTGAATATGGATTCTTGAAGATTTGATTAGAGATTTATTACCTAGTAAGTTTGGTATGAATTAAATTTAAGGATTGACTATATATATTTTCTTTCTAAATGTAAGATTGACTATGTATATTTTCTTTCTAAATGTAGGATTGACTATATATATAGTCATCGTGTAAACTTGGTAGTAAAATGATTCGAATGATATAAGACTCTTGACTATCTAATTGTAACGAAAAACAAACACTAAAAACAACTACGTATAATTAATTCATCGATACCAGATAAAATCGGTCGCTCTATGATGGATATAATAGGGCCATTGGTCCCATCCTTTGCATGTAAACCATTTCGAAATAGAATATAATTAGTCGCACTGTATAGCAAATCGCGGTAACCCTGTTGCGATTTTACTTAACATTATATATATATATATATTATATACTGGTTAGTATATAGACGTGGATTAATGATCGCGGCCGAGATTTCATCGGTAATCTATCAACCGTGGTTCTTTGTGTAATGTGTAAAACTGCTGCCTTTTAAAAGTTGTCTATGCCCTTCTCAAACAAGAAAGAGTGATGTCATGGATCGCAAGTAAACATTACGAGGTAGATTTCGAACGTACGTACGTAGTACATATGGTAAAAAGACGAAAAGAGATTTCTTAAAAAAAAAAAAAAAAAAAAAGAAAAGAGTTTTCTTATTAAATTCTTAAATTATTTCTTAGATAGTGATCATACAAATTAAAAGACTATAAACAACAGTTTAATTGTTAGATGGAGTTGGTCCTTCAGGTAACGTAACATCTTTGACGCAGCAACAAGCTTTGTAGTTTCCAAAAGGTTTACAATCCCCAGTAACGTAACCCTGCTTCTTGCACTGTTCCTTACAGTTTGCAGTGCACGGACCAGCAGGTCCAGCACAATCACGAGTACCGTAGGCGTTTGCTTGTTCTATCAAAATAACCAAAACAAAAATATAAGGAAATAGTTAGAAATGTAATCAACGTCGAAACTAAGAAAAAAGCTTCAACAACATAGCTAAGAAAATATTTAGAAAAACTGAGAAATAATAAAAATGAGAACGTTTCATCAACCTGCAGTAACCAACAACAAAATGATTGCGATGGTACTAATGACGACGAAAGATCTAATCTTGTCCATTTGTTGTGTTTCTAAAGTATTTGTTTTTTTTTTTTATATATAACTTGTTGTAAATGTTTGCTTATGTTTTGGTGTTGATGAATTTTGTTAAAATGTAACAGGTCTTTATATATCTAATTAGTGATATGAATTCCAAACTAAAATGTAACGGATACGTTTGAACCATTTTATTTTTTTCTTAAGATTTTGACTAAAAATGAATTCTTGAACATATTTGACTAGAGAATTACCAAGTAAGTTCGATAGGAAATTGAATTTAGGATTGACTATATGTAAACCCTAATTTGGCTAGTAAATTTTGTAGAAATTGATTCGAATGATATATATATATATCTATTGAAATAATTTTATCAAAAAACAGTTTTACATCAAGTACATCAATTCAGACTTTAAAGAGTTTTAATTAAAAACATAGACATTAGTTCCTATTGCGAAACCAGTAACTGAGACAAATTAGTCATCGGTTGTGATTTTCCTTAACAATATAGCAGATATCTAATGTGTACATCTTAGTGAGCTTTTCTTATCTTAGTTCATTTTGTGTATTATAAAATTAACGTTTATTTGGTAAAGATTTAAAATTTGGAGGTGTTCTTTGCAATTTTGACTCGGATGTTTTTTGATTTGATCGTCAATATCTCTCTTCCTTCCTTGGCTTCGCTTTTAAGAGGAAAAATTATAAGAAAAAAAAACTTTGTGATAATAATAATAATCGATCCCTCCCTCGTTGGAAATCTGAAGAATTTATCCGATCGAATCGAACAAAAACGCAGACGCGGAAGAGGAGAATCGCTTGGAGAATCTCCCGAGTCAAATCGGATCAGAAAAAACGGTGATACGGAGGCTACTTCTAGGGCTCATGGGCGCCGCGGGCTCCAAACTCGAGAAGGCTCTCGGCGACCAGTTCCCCGAAGGAGAACGCTACTTCGGTTTCGAGAATTTCGGCAACACTTGCTACTGCAACAGCGTTTTGCAGGTCCTCTTCCTCTCTCCCTCTCTCTCTCTCGAATTTATTCTGATGTAGGGTTTTGTTGAATCTCCAAGCTTTTGGCGAATTTCCCAAGTAGAATCGTCTCGTACTTGTTCAAATTCGTATTGAGTTGGTTGCAAATTGCGATTTTCTCGAGTTACTAGCTCTTTCGAATCGGGGTTAGAAACAAGAGGCTCAAATAGGTTACGTGCGTGCTATGGGACTGGAGAGAGGCTTTGTTGATTAACATCATCGACAAGTTTGATCTCAACTAAATAGTCTTTTATGTGCTGAATCTCTCTCTCCCTCTTGTGCAGGCCCTTTATTTTTGTGTTCCCTTTCGTGAACAATTACTCGAGTACTATACCAGTAACAAAAGCGTCGCCGATGCTGAAGAGAACCTTATGACTTGCCTGGCAGACTTATTTTCCCAGGTATTTCTCATATTTGCTAATGTGCTTGATTAGTGTGTCATCATCTATTTCATTATATCGTGAGCTAGTCATTTCTGCGGATAAAAATAGTGGTACCGTGTAAAGTCTGCTCATTGTAAAATCATTCTGTAGATAAGTTCCCAGAAGAAGAAAACAGGTGTTATTGCGCCCAAGCGATTTGTACAGAGGTTGAAGAAACAGAATGAGCTCTTCCGGAGTTATATGCACCAGGTGATCTTTGCAAATTTCTTCATCTTACCGAACGTTATTTATATAGAAGATGTGTGAAAAGCAATATACTTTTGATTGAATTGGCGATACTATTCTCATGCAGGATGCGCATGAGTTCCTGAATTATTTGCTGAATGAAGTTGTTGACATACTGGAGAAAGAGGCAAAATCTACAAAAACCGAACTTGAAACTTCATCATCATCATCTCCCGAGAAGATTGCAAATGGACCGAAAGTTCCTCAGCCAAATGGTGTTCACAAAGAGCCTATTGTTACTTGGGTGCACAATATATTTCAGGTCACTTTTCTTTTGAATGAAACGATTCACTTCTTCTTAGGTGATTAGTGCAATCTTTGGCTAAATAAAATCCGGATATGTACGCAGGGCATACTTACCAACGAGACAAGGTGTCTGCGGTGTGAGACAGTGACGGCAAGAGACGAAACGTTCCTAGACCTAAGCCTTGATATCGAACAGAACAGTTCGATAACTAGCTGTTTGAAAAACTTCAGCTCGACAGAGACGCTTCACGCTGAGGATAAATTCTTCTGTGACAAATGCTGCAGGTAAAATGTTGGTTCTTAGCCGTACGCCACTGCTTTTCAAAGTTAAATTCCTTAGCTTTCCTTTGATAGCTGCAACTAAATACTAGTCTTTAAGTTCCCTTTTTTTTTCCCCCTTCAGTGGCTGTTTTGTATGATTCGGCGCTCCAAAGTGTTGTGAATTTATTACGCACAATAGATTTTCATAGCGATGACCAAATCCGGATTCTTTAATGTTTTACATTTGCAGCTTACAAGAAGCACAAAAGAGGATGAAGATCAAGAAACCTCCACACATCTTAGTCATCCATCTAAAGCGATTCAAGTACATTGAACAGCTAGGCCGCTACAAGAAGCTCTCTTATCGAGTTGTGTTCCCCTTGGAGCTAAAACTGAGCAACACGGTGGAACCATATGCTGACGTCGAGTACTCTCTCTTTGCAGTGGTGGTCCATGTGGGAAGCGGGCCCAACCATGGTCATTACGTTAGCCTTGTGAAAAGCCATAACCATTGGCTCTTCTTTGATGATGAGAACGTTGAGATGATTGAAGAATCAGCTGTGCAAACATTCTTTGGATCGTCTCAGGAGTATTCAAGCAATACTGATCATGGTTACATCTTGTTCTATGAGAGCCTTGGACGAACCAAGTAAAAGCTGAGGAAGAGAATATGAGAAAAAAGGACTTTCTTCGTTTTTTTTCTCCTTTAACTATTTAGTAATGGTATATGTTTGTGACTATAAAGTCAATTCAATTGACAGTTACTTTTTTTTTGTTTGGTTGACTTTCTCTGCGTCTCTCTCTCCCGAAGATATTTGGTGAGAGTTTAAATTGGAAAAGTTGTTAACTGAAATCTGTAAACTTTGAAAAAACATGTACAGTTAATGGCAAATAACTCCTTCTCTTTGTATCTTTTTTCAAACAAAGAAAACGAAGGAAGAAGATTTTACAATACATTATGTTGAATTACTTTGGTTACATTATCATTATGTCATGTTTTTAAGACTAATGTGTTTTCAGTTTCAGGGAAAAAAAAAACGAACACCAACAAAATGTTGTTGATATGATTGGATAAGTCTGTAACAGCCCATTAACACTATAAATTGGGCTGATAATGATGAAATTAGGCCCCGCGATAAACACTTTTGTCGTGAGAATAAAGTTATAAGCAAAAATACAAACAAATAAAATAGTCGCGGGTGCCTAGATAGAGAGACAAAAACTCAAAAAAAGAGAGTTCACGGGAGAAGCTGACGAAGAAGATACAGCCAGAAATATTGGATCACCCGTGAGCCATTCCCTTTTTGTTATGTTGGTCTATAAACATTAATACTTTCACATTATAATTTTACAAATTTATAAGATTCTAGAGTTATTAAGAACAGTGATGGTATGTGTGGGAATTCAATGCATATGATGATATTTTTTTTACGTTTCAGCAATGAAATGGAGAAAAGAAGGAATATGGAGATGGGTGGATTTGATATGGTTGGTTAATGTCTCTCGATTCTTATATACCATTTATCATATTGTTACTCAAAATAAATAAATTATTGTTTTTGTGCATTACAAAATGGTAGATTGTTATGGAATATGGACAGCTCAGAAAAAATAGTAAATTATAATAATGATTTATACTATATCACGCAGACGGAAAATTTAAAGTACAGACATGCATTTATTGTCAGAGTAATTAAAATGTCAGTATGTTGATCCCATATGGTATAAAACTAGAAAAATAAAAATAATAATGAAACCCCTAATCAAGTTAAGTATTTACCACATGATCCAGAATTTTTTTTTTAAAAAAAAAAAAAGAAGAGAAAGAAGTAAAAGGGTATTTTGGGTATTAAAAGAAAAGTGGAGGCGAAGAATGAGGAATTGTCGTTATCCTTTGTTGTTGATGTCGCAATCAGATGAAGGCATTCACAGGCGAATCGCGCCGGGCCCTGAGGAGAGCGTTCTCAACTTCTCTCTCTCTATATACTTCTTCTTCTTCTTCTTCCTTCTCTCTCTGAATCTGCCGTTACGCGGAAGTTTCTCCACATGCATTGTATACAACACAAGTCTTCAAGCTTCTTCTTCCCCGCTTAATAACCGCTTCTGATTTCTCTGTCGTTTCACGATTCTCTCTGCAATGGCCGCTACTGGTGATTTTTTCGAAGGGGTTAGTTTAGATTACTCCTTCTAGTGTCAGTTTCTGTTTGTTTCTCCATTTTTTCCAATCGATTTGGGTTTGATGCCTTTTTGTTTTGGAATCTAATCTTCGATTCGGAATATTGAGAAGGTGATGAGACTTACGCCTCTTGAGATTCGATTCTGGAAGTGTTTTTAATTTTTTTCCCTTGAATGATTCTATCTTCCTGCATTTGGCTATTTCTTTCTTTAGAGGGATCAATCAAGAGAAAGACTGAGTGTGTTACGAAGTACTAATCTAAGAAATGTTTAGTGTACTCGCTTACTTATGAGAAGAGAAATATCACTCCGATCAAATAACAACTCATTTGCTGCGTTTTTTGCTTTCTTTATTCTCCAAAATTTTGAATCTTAGAGACTCCTCAGACTTGTACTGTACAGTGTTACTGTTTGTATCTTTTTGATGGTCTTTTGGTCAACATGTTTAATATTTTGGTTGGATCTTCCATGTTGTGAGTCTTTGACGAAAGACTCTGCTATTTTCCAACAGGGGAAGCAGCAATTCGCAAGTGTTGCAGATGGGAACGATAACGGGAACACACCAGTCAAGTATCCAAGCTTCAAGGCAACTAAGCCTAGCTTCAGTGATGGTGGCAAACATAGCGCCATAGGTAAAGCTTAGGATTAACGCAGTTTAGATTCAGCATCATGAGTTAAATGACCCTTTTTTTTGCTTTTGTGATACAGATGTTTTTCCTCTTCTTGTCAAGGAGTCTGCATTTCCTTTGAATGAAGACTCTGACATCGATAATTCATTGGTAAGCCCTTTGACTCTGCTCTAAATCTACGATGTTTTTAAGAGTAGAAATTCAAGGCATCACGTTATTATCTGGTTGCATTTGATCTTTACTCAACTTCTTTACACATTTGAAAACACATTTGAAAGAGAGCCTGAACATGTTAGTTGGTAGATCACACGCAGATCTATGTAGACGTTCCCAAGTGTTGTGGGTGTTATATGGTAAAATGTGCTAAGTCCTCTAAACTCTGCATTTTCGTATAGGTCCAAGACGTGTGTACTATCTCAGTCCTACCTGATGAAGGAAGTACAATCCCGCAATGCACATCGCAGTTTACTCTCTTGAGCTTCGTCAAGGCTCTGCTTCCATCTAAAAATCAGATGTTGATGGATGCGCAGCTGAATTGTCAGAAAACGCAGAATCGCATCAATGTGCTACTGGGAGGCACAGATTCCTACCAGTCATGCGTTGTGGATATAAATGTCGAGAAAGGGAATGGTGGTGAGACGGTGACATCCCATGACGAAGTTGCTGGAAGTGTGAAATCTGAGAGTGTAGTAAGTTGTTTCTATCTCTGTGTTAACAATTATATATGTACTAGTTTTGCTTGGTCCAGAGATGATATCCAAATGTCTCACTCTTATGTTTTTACATCTCTTACAGCATATGCAAAAGGTATTGCAGAGACAAGCAAGCTTGAGCACTGGTAAGATATAACAATAATATCGGTAAAGTTGCATAATATAGGATTGATCTGATGTGTTTATTAACTGAGTCTTGGGGAAGTTTTTGTTGCAGATAAAGCTATCTCCGAGAGATGCCATGATGTACCAACGAATAGGTGGAGAAGATACAAGCGTGCTGCTTCATTTGATTCAAGGAAAATCGTCATCCTATTCTCCATCTTGTAAGTATATATACACCTCTACCTAATTTCTTGGATATATGCGTGTGTATTCACTATGAATGTATTGGATCGCAGATCAAGCGTGGGAACATTGATATTGATCTACCTGACACTGAGAGTGAGGCAAAACGGAGATAGCAGCTTCAATCATATGTAAAACTGTAACATCTATTTTGGCATCTTTCTCCTTCGTTGTCTCTCTTTTGAAAATCTCTGTCCCTAAACTCGTCTTTTGTTCCGAGTTTCATAATGTTGATAAAGTGGATACTTTCTTTGTGAATAGCACTTGCGAATGCTTGCTTATTGCTTAATTCCTACTTAACGTGTAACTAAACAAGGAATTCAAAAGAATCAAGTATTCATAACCTTGAATAGTTTTTTTATGACAACATTTTTGTTTTTTTGATTAAGTAATTCTATGTAGAAAACAGAAAACTATTATGGAGATAGAAGTTGACACAGACAACAGCAAAAGACACTTACTCACGTCCTTGACTTGATCAGACAATAGTTGAAAATTTCTTCCGCGCACGTAAAAAGACAGAATAATTATAAGAGAACCCATCAAAGCTGATTTAGCTTTATCAAAGAGATGTCCAATTCCGCCGCCAAAGAGCCTCCGACGAAGGAGGAAACGTCACCGTCGTTATCTTCATTGCCAGACGCGGTGGCTCATAGCTTCCTGGCTCGAGTCCCGAGATCGGACCACAAGGCCATATCTCTGGTCTCCAAGAAATACCGGTCTCTCGTACTATCCCCTGAGCTATACAAGACGCGATCACTAATGGGTCGCAGGGAAGAGTGCCTCTACGTATGCTTAAGCTCCAGGCCTTACTCAACACCTCTCTGGTTCATCCTCCGCCGTGAAAATGTCAAAACCACAGAACCCGCCGCGGAGTTGATTCCGATCTCTTCTTTCCCTTCTCAGCCTCAAAAATTTTCCTCTTTCGTATCGCTGGATTGTGGGATTTATGTGATGGGCGGATTCATAAACGACGATCGCACCTCCGATGTCTGGTTCCTGGATTGTCGGTCTAACAAGTGGCGTCAGGTCTCTTCCATGGGAGTGGCTCGAGCCGCCGCAGCCGCTGGAGTGGTAAGCGGGAAGATTTACGTGTTCGGAGGCTGCGAGGACACGACCTCCTCCAAATGGGCAGAGGTATTCGATCCAAAGTCACAAACTTGGGACACTTTGGTGCCAATGGACGATCGGAACGAAGGTGATAATTCGATCCGCGAGACCCTTGTGATGGAAGACAAGGTTTACGCAGTGGATATATGGAACGGATGCTTCTATTATTGGCCGAGTCAAGGTCAATGGGGAAGAAGGAAACCAGAAACCCAAAGTTTTTATTGCGATAGCTTCGGGAATATGTTTTGGCGTGAGTCAGAGGAACTGGAGTGGAAGAAAGTTAAGGGTTTGGAGTCTCTACGGAAGTTTTTTCCTAGGTCGTCCGTACGGACGTGTGCGTTGGAGAAGCGTGTCAGGAAGCTGAGCAATTTCGGTAACAACATTGTCGTCTTCTGGGTTGGACCTTGGTGTGATGTTTGGTGTGCTGAGATTTCATTGGAAAGAAGCCAAGAGGAAGGTGAGATTTGGGGCACCATTGAATGGTCGGAAGCTGTCACCATACTTGATCATGTTGCAGTTTGAGGTTTTGTATTCTGCTACTGTCTATCTCTAATCGAAATCATATCACAAGACACAAAATGTATTTGTTTCACTTGTGCTGTTTGTTCCAAGAGCTATAATCATTCTTGTTGTATATGATTTACATGTTTTATATTCTGTTTCTGGCAATGTCTAGTCTAATAAGATGAAAATCACAAAAAAACTTTCTTGATTCCCTTTTTTTTTTTTTTGGTTCTTTGGTTCACAGAATATGTTTCTTAAACAGAAAATGTTTATTTTTGAATCAACAAGAACAGCCTCCTCCACCACCTCCTCCTTGTTGCTCACCTTGCGATGAATTTGAAGTGGTCTTTAGGTTCACATCGACCATGTCCTCTGATTTTGTCGCCGATGAATATGAATCCATCCCAGGTAATGCTGCAGCAATCTTCCGGAACAAAGCCTGCAATGATATGACACTCGTCAATGTTTGTGAGAGAAATCAGAAAACAAAACAACTCGCTCAAGTCCTTATATAATTCTAGCTCCTGTTTTTGTATACCTTAATGTTGAAATTTTCTTTCGCGCTGGTTTCGATGAACATCACTCCATGCTCTTTACCCTTGTCTTCCCCTTCACTGATCGATACTTGCCTGTTTTCATTATGAAAAGCCTGTTATGATTGACTCATAGAATCATTTACCCATGGAAGCTGATATTGCTCTTTTTTTTTACCTTTTCTCAACAAGATCAGTTTTGTTTCCAACAAGAACAATAATAACGTCCCCTGAACCTCTTTCTCTGTGTACATCATCGATCCATTTCGATATATTCAGAAACGTTTGCCTATCTGCAAAACGAACCACAATGTATTGAACACATAACACACACAATAGTGTACTAAATAGTGAAAAAGAGGTAGATAACAAAGCTCACTCACTGGCTACATCATATACAACTATGGCAACAGAAGAATCTCTGATGTAACTTGGGATTAGACTCCTGAATCTTTCTTGCCCAGCCGTATCCCTTCAATCAAAAACCAATTTTTCTTAATCTTTGGGGTTACCCTTTATTTAACTAGCACATAACACATATGTGATTCTTTGACAAGGAATGTTCTCCCAAATCTAACGTGGTTTGTTTCAAGTAAAAAAACTTATAATTCTCACCATAGCTGCAAACGAACTGTTCGATCTTCGAGGTACATTGTTTTCGACAGAAAATCAATCCCAATGGTAGGCTGCAGAGAGAATACGATTAAGGAAGGCTTAATGACTAATTAAAACGTAATTAACACGTCAATAACAAGAGGTTACACGCAAAAAAAAAAAACAAGCAACAGTACTTAATATCGATCGTCATCATTGTCAGGAGACAAATTAGACCATCACACAGAACAGATTGATCATAGGGGAAAAACTAAGTGATCAACGACGGAGAATCGACCAATTCGAGATGTAATTTCTAACAAATCGTAACACAGACAAAAAAACCGATCTTCGAATCAAATAAAACAAAAAAACGAGAACCAGAATTAACGCAAAGAATTTCAAGAAAATCAACAAAAGAAGCTGAAGGAATAACAATCAAAATCAAAGATGGGAAGGGAAGGTGTTTGATTTTGAGTACTACCTGGTAAGTGGTATCGAATTTATCATACATGAAACGGGTGATGATGCTGGTTTTTCCGACAGATTGATCACCTAAGAACACCAGCTTAAACTTGGCCAAAGCAGAAACCGCCGCCATTTGAAGGAGAAAGGACAAGGAAATGGAAAAGAGAAAGAAAGTGGTAGAGATCCGAAATTAGAGCAGATTTCTTCTTCTTAGCTTTCGAAAAGAAAGAAAGAGAAGGCGAGCACGACGACGACGAAGACGCGGTCGCACACAAAGCTGATATCTCCTTTCGCCACGCGCCAAGAGTTTGCAACACCGATCAAATTTCAACGATTTCAACGATTTCAACGGACTACTTATAATATGGCGCGTGTATAACACTTTATATTATGATGATGAGATATGTTTTCTATTATCTCTCTCTCTAGTTTCTGTATCTAACATGTTTGCAGTAAATCTCTTTTTATTTTGTGTAATGCGTACAGTCTAAAATCATCTTCACCTTCTCAGATTCTGACATATTCTATTATCAAATCTTAATGATATTTTGCATCATATATTCAAAAAAAACACAAACAAAATTAATATCATACCAAATAAGAAATTACTAATAATTCTTTAAAATCTTTATTTAATTATTATTATTATTATTATTATTTATTTGTTTTGAAACAAGGGATTTATTTGATTAGTTACTAGTATATAAGATACATAGATAGCCAACGATTTTCTCATTTGATAGCATACCTTTCCCTGTTTTTTCTTTTGGGCATCAATTGCAAACATTGCCTCACCATTTCTTTTGGTAATTAGAGGTTTTGGACTCTTTTAAGATTTCTAAGAAAAAAACAAAACACTAAACTAGTAGCCCACAAATGGTGGATTTTTTTGGAGGATGATTAGAGATGGCAACAATGGCTGACGTAGTGAATTGTTATAATTTACAAAACGTTTTGGCATATCTACTTTTACATTCTTATGTGACTGAACATAAACCCATCTCCACAGAGGCATAGACAAATATAATACACCATGACTAGTAGGAGTTATACGCTTATGCATTCTTGCAGATTGTAAAAAATGGAAAAGGCTTTAAATTCTTGCGAGCTCATAGCTAATGTCTTCCATAATCATAAGTAGAGAAAGATTAAAGATTTATTCGCCAAAATAACAGACAATCTCTGAGAGCTTATACGATTCAGATTCACGATCAAGCTCGTCTCTTTTTAACAGCAACTTCAATCGAACAGAAACAAAATCCGATTAGCTATAAGAAACACAAACCCATGTTGGGATCAGAAAAAAGGCCCTACTTACCGCCAAATCTCATGTTGCTCCATGGAAACTTCGCCCCCGCCACAGCAGCAGCCCTCGCCGGCGAATTCGACCTCTCACCGCCGCGACGACCTTTACCTTTCCCATAACCGCCGATTTCCCTCTTCTCCTTCTGCTCAAGCCAGTGACTCTTTTTGTCGTCTTCTTCCTCCACAAAGCTGGATCCTTTCGCTTTACTCTTTCTATCTTCTTCGATAAACTTCACCGGGAACAAATCCCTAGAAATGGATAAAGGGTTTTTGAGAGTGACGTAAGCCTTCTTGTAATCCGCCTTTGCAATCAATAATCCCCCACGCTTCTTCTTCTTCCCATCCATGTTTAAAGTATTCACCTTTTCGACCTCGAATCCGTAGAGAGACTCGAGGACTCGCTTGATCTCAATCTTGGTCGCGGAAGGGATCGTTTTGAGCGCGAATTCGTGGATGTTCGTGAGCTTTGTAGGCATCAGAAGCTTTATCGGAAGATTCGCGAAATGAACCACTCGTCCTCCCAATCTACTCCCCATTTCTCGACAGACTGGAGATTTGAATCGGCGAGTCCGTTTTCTTCTCAGATAGGTTAAAAAATGTAAGAGAGGGTTTATGTTTATTTGCTTTGTTCTTCCCTGAAAACTTCTTTCCATACGCTTTATTGGGCCGAAATAAAGTTTAATGGGCTGAATGTGCCTAATATAAAGATGCTTGAGAATTCTTTATTTTGAATTTCAGTCCAAAATCATTACAAGATTTCCGAGTTACAAAGTGAGGAGTATTTGAGATGTGACTTAGCCGCTTACAAGATCAGAAAACAACATTACATCATTATACTACACATTTACAAAAGAGAGCCTCACTTTTTTTATATTCATTTCATAAATTTTTCATCGTGATTATCACCATCTGCAAATACCAGGCTCCATTGTTTTGCTGAGAGCTAGAATCTCATCATACTTTGAGCCATACACAAATCCCCATAGCTGCAACAATCAAAGGTATTTTTTGTTTGTTTCAGTAAGAGGTTGAAACAAAAAATTGAATTTTTTTTTATAGGTTTTTATTCGCCCTTTCTAGAGGAGAGGGTTGAAGGTAACTACCTCTACTTCCTTAACATCAAAGTCCTGAGAGTTTGCGAGACAAGAGTTCCCATATGTCTCTGAGTAAGCACTTGATCCGCTTAGCCTAAAAAGAACACGATGAGTCAAACGAATTGAGGGATCATGGCTTTGATGTTTGCCGAGGAAATAGGATTTTTAAGAGTGTGGTATGAAATCTTACAGCTCACTGTCTAGATAGAGAGCAAAATGTCCACCACCGCCTAGAGCTAGAAAGTCCTTGGAGCATAAAGTGTAGAACCGATTTGCGCCTGCTCAATTGCAAACCACAATTACAAGTGAATACGAAATAGACTCCAAAAAGCTCTACGTTGCTGAGCAATGCATATTAATATTACCCGTGGGACGGTATATTGCAGGTTGTCCAGACTTATTCGTAAAAACAAATGTACTGTTGGTTCCCTGACACCAAAACAAGACAAAGAAAGAATCTCAATTAGAGAGAAATGAAAGAAAATTTGATAGACGGAATCTAATAAAGATTGGATCTTTGGAACCAAACCTGATACTTTTTATCAGTTGGTATCAAAGGTGCCTCCACAAGCCCACCAAAAACCGAACCTTTTCTGTCTCCAACAACCTGAAACAGTGGTGATTTTCCTCAAAGAGGTCTACGAAAAGGTCCAAACTTCTTTATCAAATGAAACCAAGTATTTGCGCCAGTAAGTGAATTTTCATTTTTACCAGTAAACTGAGACCAGGCCAGAGGAGGCTTTTCCTGTACAGCGTTGACAGTGATATACCGTGCCTCCATGTACTAAAAACCGCAGCAGATTAAAATTAAATGATCACCCACACCGATAAAATTAGAAACCAAACTCTAAAATGCTTTGAATGTAGTTCTCTCACCTATAAAGCAATATCCATTTCCTCCCTTGAACTAGCGCAGGAAGTGAAGTATAAAGGGAACGTCTTGACTGGTCCGATAAAAGTAAAGAGGGCTCCGAAATTTCAGGTATAATTGCTTGTACTATTGTTGCTTCCTCTTTAGCATTATTATTCTGCACCGGCTTCATCTCCAAGCCATCATATTCTGTCTCTTCATCATCTGGTTTCACGTCAGAGTTTCCCTTCCGCTCCTTAACCCCGGGAAACTTAACAGCCTGATAAAAGTTCCTCAAATGCTGTTTATACTTGGACAACAAGCTCTTCTTTGCACCACTACTAGTAGTAGTCTCCTTCATTGTTCTAGAATTCACCGAAGATGATGACGTATCGCTTGTTTCTGCCTCTGAATCTTCTTCTTCTTCTTCTTCTTCTTCTTCTTCTTCTTCTTCTTCTTCTTCTTCTTCTTCTTTATCGTCCTTATCCTGATCTGTTTTCTTGTCTTTGGGATCTGAGGATAACAATGAACCAAGGAATGCAGAGAAAGAAGAAGTGTCTGGTTCGTCTACCAAATCCTTAGGCTGCTCTTCAGTGATAGACTCTAGTTGATTTCTCTTTGACTCATCTTCCTCATCCTAATTAAGCAAAACTTGAAACTTTACAAGAGTGTAAACAGGAAAACAGAAAGGAGCTCATTAAATGATACACACAAATTAAAATTCCCCTAGAAACACTCAATTCTCAAGCAACTAAAGCATTAACGCATTTCCGATTTCACACCAAAGCCAAAAGCCAGAAACATATTACAAAAAATTCCAAAAAAATACCAAGCAATCGTCAAGAACAAAGATAGAATCTAATGTCAAAACCCCAAGAACCCTTTTTTAGAAAAACAAATTGTCGGACTGAGTCAACAACAGAGAAAAAAAAAAGATGAAAAATTTGGGTACCGGAAGAGGACGAGCGGAGGAGGGTTTATCAGAGATCGGATTAAGAAGACCGGCGGTGAGATCGGTTACGAAGTGCACTGCTTTGCTTCTGAAAGATTTGTGTTTCCCCATTATTTGTCTCCTTGTCCTTTAAACTATCCTATTTTTAGTGAAAAATTAAGACTTTCAGATTCCACACGATCCTTTTGACGAATCTACACCACAAAATGAGTCAGCTCTCTCTCTTTCCTTCTGGTCTTTCTGTATTAGCTGTAGATCATTTACCTAATAAGCCATAGATAGAAAATTAGAAACAACAAATTCTAAAGAAGAAAGAAGAAAACCACCTATCTCTCTGTCTGTCTCTCTTTGCCTTTCTTATCCAGTTTACTTTCCCTCTGCTAAAATTTCCTGAGAAGCTATTTTTTCAAGAGGGTTTTCGATATTGAACGTTTTTGAGACAGCTTAACTAAAAGAGAAAGATCATTTGGTAGACTGCGGGTGAGAGAAGATGACGAGGAAAGGAAAAAAAGTAGACTTCACGCTTTTCATTATATCATATAGTTATTATATTTTTGTTTATAAATGAAGATAAACAAAAAGACTCCATGGCCCAATGGATAAGGCGCTGGTCTACGAAACCAGAGATTCTGGGTTCGATCCCCAGTGGAGTCGTATTTTTTTGATTCTACTTTTTTTAACATATAGTACTAGTCCGTTTTCAATCACGAAGAGCAAGCAAAAAAGCAGAAACAATGGCCACGAAGATCAGATAACAAGCTGAGAAAATTTAAAGAGGGACAACAACTCAGAAGGTAAAAAACGATCCATACAAAGAGATCTCTTGACATATCCTAAGAAAAACCTGAAAATAGCTTTCAAGCGTTTTCGACATTGGCGAAACGAAACGAAACAAAGACATCTAAGAAACTAGAATCTAAAGAAGCTGAAACGTGAGAGCTTTTAGTTGAAAATGGCAAGTAGCCAGGCCCGAGTCTTAGACCAATGAAATGCTGCTCTCACCGCCAGGAGGCTTCCTCACACCGCCAAAATAGTCTCGAGACTCTGACTTCCCGTCTGCGAAAATATTGTTTCCGCTCATTTCCCGGAGTTTAGCAGAGCTTAACTGCTTATCAGCAGATCCAGGGGATTCATCGCCTTTGAAGATGCCGTTGCCAGTGAGCTCCTGAAACTTCTGGTTATGTATCTTTTTTGATGTCTTCACAACCGGTTCTTCACTGAATAGTATGTTGCTTTGTCCTCCTGCAGGCTGTTCAAATTATGAAGTAAGAAAAATCACATTTTTTAGTTGATGAAATTTCATTGGTAACATTTTGATTCCTGTCACATTCCTATATTTCATAAACCAGAAAACAAAAAACAGATTTGGGCACCAAGTTTTCAGCTTCCTATAAGAGCAATGCCAAAATAAGTTTACTTACATTGGAAACTTTGACAGAAGTGCGCAAGTTCCTCGGTGCAGGCTCTCCCATGTCTCTGTTTCCTCTAGCTTCTTGTTGTGCAGCAGCCAAGGATCGAGGCTGAATCTCAGGTGGAGGTCCAAAGATGTCATGGCCGCTAATCTCTTCGATCTTGGCACTTGATATCTGCTTCTTGCTCTTTAGATCTGCCTCCGTTAGCAAGTTTCCGCTCAGCTCTCTTTGCTTTGCAACCTCAGTTAAAGTGGTTGGTTTCTTCGGGGAAACATTCCCGTCTGCGCTGAAAGATATCTGACTCACTCCGTTGAGAGTTTGCTGCAAAATTCAGGATAATGACTTTCTCCATTTCGAAAAAAAAAAAGACTTTTCTGTATCTGTTGAAACATAAGACAAGCAAGTTACCTGATAGTAACGAAGTCCCGTCTTTGGATCAGTAGCATCGGCTTCATTTCCGCCTTTTGCCTCATCAGTAAATATGCCACTACCAGTCATCTCTTTTAACTTGTAACCTGAGCAATTCTTCCTGTAAGGATAAAAAAAACGAACTTTTAAACACTTGAAGATCTTGAAATCAACATAGATTATTGACCAAAGTAGGTAAGAAATGAAGTAACTAGCTATTAAAAGATTTCACTTTGTGAATAAATAATAATCAAAGAACAGACAAAGAAAGATCTGCACATCAGAAAATGAAATAAACAATATCACTATACAGAACAACAGTAGTAGTTCGACATGTAATGGTGGGGCTTGATGAACAAAGAATGTTATTAGTAAATTAAAATAAAGATTCTCAGAAAAGCCAAAAGCATTGACCAATCCCTTTCATTAGTTCATGGGATCAATCAAATGATAATTACAAAGAGAAAAAGAACTGACTTGATACGAAGAAACCATTTTCTGAAAAAAAAAAAGGCAATCACTTTCAAGAGCTGCAAGATCAAGCGTTTAAAACTTTTGTTTTCATCTATAAATACAAGTATCAAAGTCAGGCCTTTAAAGCAAACAAATCCAGATAATAGATCTGCTAAGGAAATCAAGCTTGAAGACGCGATTTCATGAGAGAAGAAGAGACTAATGGATCTTTACAGCTTATTGAGCGACTGAGCTTCCTCATCTGTGATCTGACCGCCGCCGAGAACCTTGCTGATTCCATCAGACGGCTGAAAAATGAAAGAAAGAAGAAAACATCAGCTTCTCAATGGGAAGATATAAGCGACATTTCTCGAAGCGAGACGCACCTGGTGAGAACGAGCGGCGGAAGCGGTTGAGTGTTCAGGAGGAGGAGTTTCCGACCAAGAAAGCAGATCGGCGGTGGAAGTGTGCGGGTTCCTCACTGGCGTGCTTCTCTCCATTTTTCTCTGTCTTTTTTTTTTTTCTTTCACTTTCTTCCGATAGAAACTTTTGAGCTAAAGGTTTATTACTTCAACGGATGATATTTTGTTTTTTCTTAAAAGCTTTGCAAGTTTAGTCTTTTATCAAGAAAATATAATTATATTTTTCTTATTTTCATTGCAGAAATCGAACTTTTTTTTAGTCTTATTAAGCTCAACGATCTAATCCAAATTGAGTAAAGAATTTTATCAAAAAGATACAATTCATCTCTTACCCAAAAAAAATGGTATAGTGTCTAGGGAAAACTACAATTTCATTTGAACCCATAGTAATCTAATTAGTATTTCAAAAAAAAAAAAAATAAATCGTTGAATATGATTTTGCTACATTTGTATATTAATTTATTTTAAAATTCACATAAAAAAAAAACAAATTCCAAACCATTACAAATTTGAATTTTTCCAAACCAAGTTTGAGTTCTGAACACATCTTTCTTTGTTTCACAATTTGAACACATCTTATCACTCCAAATTCTTTTTATTTATTTACAAATATAATTAAAAGATGAAGTAATCCGAACAAAAACAAGATCAATCTCCATGGAAATGGAAACAAACTGTACATTATTTAATGCCTAGATTTATTTAAATAATGAGTAATCACTATGATCTTTTGTTTCTTCAAGCTAAAACACATGACTCCATGGGAGAACTCAAAATGCTCCACCAATTCAATCATACCTACACTTATATATATCTAGAATCAAACCTATCGAAAGCAGTAACATCGACGCATTCTCTCCCGCTCCTTGGATCGAGGAGCAAGAATCGAGAAACTACATACCATATGCTTGGTGGTAAATATTTGCTTGCATGTGCATATGCTCTAATGGCTTAAGCTTTTATTATAGTTTTTAACTATGTTGACCTTCGTAAGTGTCTTTCTCAGTTTATTTTGTCGTCTGTTCGATCGAACGGAGCTCCCAGTTTCCTTCTCCATCAATCAGCCTTAGCTCCAAGGAATGGAACGGGATCAGAGCCGGACGCTGCGGAGGTTTTGTGAGAGAGTGATGAGATTTTGGTAAGAGTTTTTTTATGTGGTTTCATGGTAAAGAGTGAAAGGAAAAAGCTTACTTGTGATGAGGTTACGAAAGTGACTCCCATGTCTTTTGCAACCCTATAGAGCTGTTCCTCAACATCAACACTCGTCGCACTGCAAACCAAAGAGCGGGTACATATAAATAAAAGGGAAAAGGAATTGCAAACTACAGGAAAAATAGAGAAGAAGAGGCTTGATCATTTACTTGGTGCATTCATCAAGGATTCCAAACTTTGGTCTGTGAAAGAATAAACGTGCCTACAATACAGGAAAAAAGGCCGCAACAACTCAGATGATTCACGTGAATAATAAAAAACTATGCCTCTGGTTGTTGCTCTCCGAAGAGACTTACCATGCCTAGTCTCTGTTGCTCTCCAAGAGATAATATGTCTTCCCAGTTGGTAGTAGCATCCCAACCACTTTCATCTCTTTCCAAAAGATAAACTAACCGAACATTCTCCAGGATGGTTTTCAAATGACCGTCCAGGATGCCTCCAGCTTCAGTTGAGCTTTCTCCTGGTACTTACAACAATAAAGTATGAGAGATAAGATCATCAATTAACTTCTACATCAGTTCTTGTATGGTAGTAAGCGATAAGTTTCTCCATAAAATCAGTTATATTTGTGTGCGGAGAGAATTGATTTGATAATCAAATCGCCCTTTTAAAGTAAATGAATTTCTGGACTTACCAGTGGTGTACAACTTTGCTGCCCTTTTCACTGCTTCTTCTTTAGATAGAGGGTATATAATTTGATCTCTCAGCGTCCCTAAACATGTATAAGGTCTCTGTGGGACAAAAAAGATGCCATTCCCTGACCCAAGTTCTTTGATATCCAATGATGGTTTGGCAAGTCTTCCACATACAGTGGGCCAGATATCTCTAAGGACTCTAAATACAGAAGTCTTCCCACTACCATTTGGACCTGAAAATTTTGCTAGTGTTAGCTCTGAGCTCATTCAATAAGCTCAATGATGGAGATTATTTCACCAACCTGTGACGAGTAAGCTTTTCCCTGGAACTATTTCGCATGACAACTTGCTAGCCATCAATTTCTGAGCAGGGGTAATGATATCCACCGCCGAAAAGGAAATTCGATCTTGCGAATCCAAACGTCTTGAGTGGTTTGCTGAGGTAACACCTGAAAATTGTACATGAAAAATCACGAATAAAATTATCTCGAAGAACATCATTCTCTATAGCAAATGTCTAAGCCTAATAATTCCGAAGCATATAAGAACACATCCAGCGGAATTAGTGCATGAAAAATTACGGTCAACATTATGAATTTATGACTACATATACGTATGTACATAAAGCACCAAGATTTCGTAGCGCCTTGCCAAAGCGTGAACGTATATATGCTGTAGTACCTGACTGAGAAGCATCCAAAAACTCATCGAGCTCAAAAATTCTGTTAATACCACCAGAGAGCTCAAGGAACTTCTTGTGTAATTCAAGAATATCACCAAACGCCATAAAGCTTTGAGAGACAACAGAAGCTAGATACCGCAATGCATGTGCCAATTCACCTGGTATCAAAGACATCATGCAAGAAAGCGTTACATAGAGAACATGTACATACTTAGTTGGCTCACGTCGAAAAGTACTGTTTGGTAAAGGTGGTGACAGATATTTTTACTATAACTAAGTGTGACAGATGTTCACCTTGAGTGGAGACAAGTGCTCTGTCTCCTTTGTGTTCTAGGGCATACAACAAACTCAATCCCCAAGTCACATTATTGGGAAGTTGCTTTGTCACAAAATCATCAAGTATGCCATATAGCCATTTCTTCCTCAAGAGCATGAGCGAGTGGTCCAGTAGTGCCCTGAATTTTGTGTCAACCATCTGCTCCAATAAAAAACAAAAACACTTAAGGCAGATTCGCCAGTAAAATATGTCGTGTTAAAGCTTTATGCACACAAGTCAAGCCGTATCTGGCAAAAGGCCATAATTAATCCGTAAAGCAGTTTTTGTAGCTCTGCTTCACAATTAGATAGCCCATAATCCAACAGCTATAACTAAGGAAGTTGAGGCACTTACAGCTTTTTCTCGAGCTCCACCTCCAAAGAAAGCAATTGATTCAGCATGAGTATTCAGCCTCTCGTGCATAAACCTGCGTAAGCAGCAAGAAGTTGGTCCAGATAGTAGCTCTAAAGAAATCGATCATCTACAAACTGAAGGACACGTACAAAATTTACCTAAAGTTCCCCTCAAGCTGCTGTTCTTCACCGGCTAGATCACCGAAATCGGGAGCAACATGTCTCAAAAAACCCAAACCAAGTAACATATACGTGTAAAGTATCGCAACTCCCCTCTGACCAGTCAATAGCTTCATCCTCCAGGTGAACCTTCAATTTTTTTTTTCCGTAATTTATAATTCAAATCAAGATCCACAAACCATGAAACAAATATCAGGAAATCAATCCAACAAAATGTACTTACCAGAGAATGTCAACCGATGGCTTTACCATTCCAGTAAGAAGTCCAGACAAGTCAGTGGTTAACTTTTCCAGGTCACGAGTGAGTCTCTGGTCCGCATCAATACTATTGCCTGACATGTGGAAAACCTGGATAGATATGAACCCAATGAGATCTTTAGTGTCTCTAAACTTGCGATATCAACTTACAAGAAAATAACAAACAAACAGCCTCTATGAAGTATAGACCAACCACAAATCAATATCCATTTAAAATAGGAATGGTCAGCATACTTCTTACATAAGTATAAATAAGACATCATGCTTTCTTTTTAGCGTTTAGGTCACATTGCACTGAATAAGTTGAAAGTCATGATTCACAATACATGAATACGGCATGTTAGCAAAGTATCTTCGAGTGTTATAGATTTAAATTGACCTTGTAAAACGCATTATTTCTCAAGTAATTCCGCAGCAGATGTTGAGTCAAACGAATCCTCCACCCTAAAGCTAGCCTTTGCGTTAGATGCCTGAAAAAAATGTAACAAAAAAGGTTAGGTGAAACCACATCAGCAAGGGGTTTCCTAAATGTTAACTAATAATCTAACAAAAACTAATTTCATCAGACAAGAAAAGCAAAAACAACAAATAGAGGTTTTTTCATTCAGCAATTTAATAAGTCGTGGCAAGGAGATAGTAGGTGGGCTTTCGAGACATTTAAACAGGCATAAACAGGAAAGCTTACCTTAATGACGGAGCAATAACAGCAGATGCACCACTTTGGAGAACACTCAAACCAATCAGACGAACAAATGCTGCCTTATCTTGCTCCAAGACATACTTCACAGTAGTCCCTGCAAAAACCAGATGTGGTTGTTAGAAAAGGAGCCCTATCAATAAAACTAGTCCGGTAACAGACCAGGGTATGTGTACCATTTAAAGAGGCTATTCGATCAGAGATCAGTGTTCTTGAGACGACAAGGCAAGCAACCAAAAGCAGTTGTCCTCCTTGTTTGTCAAGTAGAGTGGGTATCTGAAACATAAAAATGAAGTAATGCGGCACGTATAAGTTAGCCAAGTGGAACAAATAGTTGGCCTTCCAAGGAAGCCAAAGTAATGCACTGAAATAGATAGCTGAGGGAATGGAAGTAAAAAAAAAAGCGTATATAATGTACTCATGTGAGGAATGCCTAAGTATTTTTTATCTAGGTTACCAAAATTTGGTACAAGTTTTATCAATAAAATTGACACTAGTAATTCAAGCTCACCAATGTGTTTAACATTGCAGCTACTCTTGATGGCAACCCCCTTGGAGATGTTTGAGGTTGAGGAAAACGAGGCAACACAACATTTTTATCAACAACTGGTGATTTTGCAATTAGTTGTGTCAAGTACGACTCAGCCTTTGAATTAGTAGTGGCAGATTCCTACAATAGCACCAAGTAACAAGGTTATAACCACCCAAAAAGCACCTCTCAATGAAGATTTTTTTTTTTTAAATGGTTTCATAAGCTTCTGAAGACCTTTCTAGCTGCAGCAAACGCTCGTTGAACAACCATCGCATCATTTTGCCGATCTGTATCTGAACTTTTCACTGACTCCATTCCAGCGTCCGTCAGAAGTCCAGCGTCGTCCCTGAAGGTTTAGTCATTTTAAATAAGTAAATGCATATCAAAAAACTTGATAATCCTCACAAACATGGTTAAGAAACAATTCCAACCTCTTGTAGTGAACACTCCATCCCCCTTCTCCGTCTAATGACAGAACAACATCATGGAATGCAACAAGGGCAGGACGATGGGAGATTGTTATGCAAGAAGTTCCCATAGCTCGAACCTTTGCAGCAAAACGTTCTTCCATATCAGTTGTCACAGCACTTGTGCATTCATCGAGAATAGCAAATTTGGGTTTGTGGTAGAATAGTCTGGCCATTCCCAATCTCTGTTGCTCTCCAAGAGATAATTCATCACCCCAGTTAACCTCTTTGTCCGGTTCGTAGCGATCCAATAAATATTCGAGGTCAACCTACAAAAGCAAGTCCACAAAAATAAGCAAAACATACAAAGCTTGATAGAAAAGGAACTATCCAGCGATAAAATAGAGAAACTAGGATACCAACATTTTCCAATAGCTCCACCATTCCAGTCTCAGTGAGTGGTACAGTCTCGTGTTCAGAAGTAAGAGGATATATTAACTGGTCACGAAGTGTTCCTACTGCCATATATGGGCGTTGAGGCACGTAGAAGATCTCCTTGTTAAGATCAGAACCAACTCCTGGCTTCACAATATGCCCAGAAACCAGGGGCCATAGACCTCCTAATACTCGGAAAAGAGAACTCTTGCCACTTCCATTAGGACCTACGATACATATTGTTTTCGAAATAGTGAAATGGGATCAGGCAAGCAAATCTGAATGTTATTGCATAAATTAAAACGATAAAAAAAAATGAATACCAGTAAATCAATTCCATGTGTAGCTACACCATTTCACTAGCACCTTAATCGTTATATTGGACAAGAATGATTCGTCTAAAACTAGGCATAGCAAATCTAATTTTGGCAAGGGTTATATTGTTATCCCTTTCAGAATACAAGAACAAGTACTTCTTCCACGAAACGGTACTCCAAATTCACATTCCCATTTTTTTTTTTTCTTTATAAGGACAACAAAGGGTACTAAACTTTCCATCTTTGCTACTCATCGCAAGGATCACAGAACAATATAGTAGCAGCATAAGCTATTTTATCAATCATTTTTGCCATGAAAAGGGAAATTGATAGTAATATTATGTCACTCTTTAGATATAAAGCGTGCACCTGTAATCAGAAGATTAGACCCTTGCTCAACTCGAAGGGTGAGATCCTCCACCAAAACATTTCCCGTTGGAGTAACAACCTGAAGTGTATTTAGTAACATTAAAACACACAACATTTTGGAAAAGGATTACAGTAAAATGAATCTGTGTTCCAACTACCTTGACACCGGAAAACTCAACATAGTTAGCTTCACTTAGGTAATTTCTGCTTCTATTTCTCTGGAAAGATGTTTTATCATCACCACTAAGTTCTCTCGAAACAGCCATCAACTCATGGATTCGGTCAGCATAACCACTGTTGGAAGCAAAAACATTTCAATAATTAGAAAGCATAGCCATCACGTGTGTAAAAGTAAGTTTAATTCATCGTCTCCCTCGTCTATTATATCACCAGTATCTCAAAATTCAAACGCCCAGGAAGAATGTTTCTAGAATTAGAAAAAAAATAATAATAATCCTTTGCCAATGTGCTGTAGGGACTACCAACTGAACTCGTACGCTTTTGCTTATGGTAAAAACGATCAATTCTTCTTAGTAGAGTATTTAACCGCAAACAAAAACATATGTCTACAGATTTTCAGACGAACAGGTACACAATGTTTACGATTTAAGCATTACCTGAGTCGATTGAGCCGCCTGGAACTTATAGAAAGTGTTCCCAACGCCTGAAAGAGAGAAATAATAACACTGGTGTGATATCTTATATTGCTTAGCATCTCGGCTCTTCCTAAGGTCGAGTCATCAGGTCTTAGATGCCCAGAGAAGAACGGTTCGATAATCAGAATAACAGCAACTGTGGCACCAAGATACTTCAGCAGGAAATCTTGGATCATACCAAACCACCAGTGATCATGAAGCACGTCACTCATATGGCTAACAAGATTCTTGAACTTTTGTTGTATATGAGATTCTTCCCTGGTTTCCCCACCATAGAATGCTATGCTTTCCGAATGAGTCCTTAAGCGTGAATGAAGTTGCCGGTACTCCCCTTCCAACTGCTGTTCTTTTGACATCAATTTCCCAAAAGAAGGAGAAAAGTTCCTTATCGCAGTACCGGCTCCCAGTACATATGCCTACCCAAAAATTGTTCAGATTAGTTCAGCAGATCGAAAGAATTATACTGTGAACGGATACAAGGCAAAGCAGCATAAATGGCCCAACGTAAAGTCAATCTTGCAAACGAAGAAGATAAAACAATAATTACCAGTATCCAGAAGATGTATTTTGGACTAGCATATGAACACAAGCGCCATGCATACAATATTCCATCAGTAACTGCCGTCAAATCATCCTGTATAAGTTCGCTCAACTCAGACGAGAATCTTGGTACATCGCTGGCAATTCGTTGCTCGGGGTGTGTTATCCGACCATCTACATGTGATATTTTATAGTATACCATATTCTGAAACAGTAATAAAGGATGATTAGAGTGATATCCAGCAGTGTGAAGTATACTCGATATGCTCACTTGTCAAAAACATACTAGCATAACGACATGGTAAATAATTGAATTGCCTCCATTCAGAAAAGACGACAATAGCTACCTCAAAATAATGTGAATGGATAAGTTTCGTCAATATCTTCCTGAATCGTAAACTCAAGGCCCCAGTTATGTACTTTGATGTAGAGTGCATCGTCGATAGCATGAAACACAGCATAATATTCTCGGAGATAAGACGTAGAAACAGTGGCGCACGCCTTAAGAAAGCAGCACGGAATAGGAACCCTTGTACTTTCGCCAATCTATTGCTCAAAGCAGTTCTAAAAACCTGCAATTTGTTTTAAAAAAAAAAAAAAAACAGATTGGAAAGAGTACTAGGCTCGCACAAATAAGAAAAATAAGCAGACTTTTCCCAGCTCTTGGCCACAAAGTAAGGTTGGTGTTTCTTTCAGCTAGAAAATTGAGACATTTGAAATTATATAACATGAGTTGGGCATTACCATGATTATCAAAACATCTACAGGATTTGCAACAACAAAGAGAACAAAACATCTCAGTAGCCACCGTACAGAAAATTTTATATGAGCAAAAACAGAAAGAAAAAATAACAATGTGTTTTAACGCAATGAGAGGAAATGCATACCACTGTGGCCACTAGTGCCAAAAGATCCCTGGCACCCATTTTTCCCATTTGAGACAGAAGAATAGCAGTCAGAACCTGAAGAGACTTTAATCCTCCTCCTTTCTTCTTTTTTGTGGCTTTTTTTGCATTTTTATCATTTCCTGTCATCTTTTCCAATGCCTCATCATCATCACTCTGACCATTGCAATGACGCGAAGAATCAAGCCTTCGGGAGCTGATCCTTGATTTCAAGTAAACAGCAGCTCCGCCGGCAGCTACGATTCCAGCAGCAAGCAGTATAGATTTCCTATAGAATTTTTAAAGAGGATGAGAGAAATGAAACAAAATAACTAATGAAAAATAGCAGATAAAAAATAATGAAAGCTCAGCCATAGAAGCATCAAAAGAGGCAAAAGGAGACACGAGAAGAAGCAGAGCAAAGCAAGTATTACCGTCTTGAAGCTACAAGACCTCGACCCCGCTCAGTTAACTGCAAAAGCTGGAGAGAAGGCATGGCTGGAAATGTATTTTCCAAACCAAAACTAGGTTCTTTTTTATAACAAGTGTCCAAAACACCTGAAATGATACCAAACTAAAGGGTTATAGAAAAAACTAGGACAAACAAATTGTTTAAACAAAAATATCGAAACTGTGACCATTGAGATTAATGCATTAGAAGGTTTTTCACACGTTCGTATAGTAGCGAAAACTAGGAACAGGAACGAAAAAAATAATCAAAATGATATTCTGTGTATTAACACGCGTAATTAGAAGACCAACAAAGACAGAATTGTTTTAAGAACCCAGAAAAGGCGTTCCTGAATACATATGAAAAAGCTAGCAATGCTTCCCACTTATCAAATCTGGATTCTTAGTATTCTTTTAAAACCACAAACAAAAAATGTCAACTTGAATCAACTTGATAAAGCGAGATTTTCTGATCAAAAAATCTTATAAACAGCTTATTTCTAATCAAACAAAGCTGAAGCTGAAGAACAAATATAAACGTTTCAATGAACGGATTCAATCTTTTTTCGTTATTGATGATTAACAGCTAACGATCGGGACCAATTAGCAAATCCATGAATAATAATTACCTCAGCATGAGAGATTCAAGCCAACGAATCTATTCAGAAAAACAAACAAAAATAGAAGCGAAATCGCTCTCCCCTCTCTCACTCGTTTCTTCGTAAGTTTGCAAAAATCGGAAATCGTAACACCCACTAGCTTGTCCTCCTTTTTAAAATTCTACACCATCTGAATCTCTCTACTCCGTAGATTATACTCCGGCACCAACGGCAACGATACGTACCAGTCCACCGCAACGGAAATCACCAAATCGAGAGAAGGAGAGAGAGAGAGAGAGAGAGAGCCGAAACTTGGGAAGAGAAGAAGATGATGACGCTGATTTTACACGTGCGAATAGAATAACTTGTGCCATTTTTATTTTTCTCTCTTTTATCGATTTTACGGATACAGCAAGATATTTTTACATTGGTGACTTCAAAAATAATAACCTTTTTTTTAATTCATCTACCCATTAGTCTGATGTACAACTCTGTATAACAACAAATTTCAAAGTTTACTAGAAAACATAAATTCGGTATTTATTATAGTGTTTATTCGGAGATTTAATTTTTATTATAATAATGCAATGCAGGACTATGCATGTATGGAACTGTTGAATCCTAGGGACCGATTCGATTGGTAAGTTTGTCTTTCCTTTTAAGGAAAATGTGATTGGAGTGTAATCTTAAATATGATAGACATATTAACTGACAAAATCCTATTTGCTACTTAATTTTTGGAAAAAAAAAAATTATAGCTCCACTGTTCCACAGTAATAAGGTCAGAACATCTGAAATTTGCTCGAATTCATTGAATCATTAAGAACAGGGATTTGCAATATTTGATTCTTTTTTAGTTCTGATATGGATACACTGTTATTTTGTAAGTTTAACACAATTAAAAAATTGCTTATGAGATGTGACCAGAAAAATAAAATAAAAAAGGCTCAATTTGTGAAGTGGGAGAAGTGCAAATTGTACACAGCATGATTGAAGCACACAAATCAATGTGTGATGTCTTTCTTACCTCTTTCTGACAATATTACATCACCCTTAAACGAACCTACAAAATTAGAAATATAAGATAACAAACATACACAATGTGTGAGAGTGCTTTACAAAACAAGTGGGGCTTAAATTGATATAAAGCCTGATTCAAAATGTTGTGGGCTTTTTTGTTCACGAGTCTTTTAAATCATCATGCACTAGCCTAACAACTCACACTTGGACCAATATTGAATATTTTTATGGTGCACCTGTCTTTAATGTCAGTGGCAAAACAAGAAGAGGATCAAAAAAACAAAACTAGTATTGCTCTTTTTTGGTCTGAACTGGTCTGAAAACATTGGATTTTCGAATTTAATAGGACATTTGAAAAATGAGTTTAATTTGAATTGAATTGAAGCGTTGTTTACTATGCTTTCAAGTAAAATTATGTTTTCTTTTATAATTTTTTTGGTAGCTTCTCCTTTTTTTTGTAACACATTGATAGTTTCTCCATACGCTTTATTGAACGTACACTCATATTGGATGAAAACCGTAATAAAAAATGATATAAAAATAAATAAAAATCTATACGCATACGTAATAGTGGGCATGGGCTTGAAACGGATGGCCCAGACGATAACACGTTTAGGAGCGAAAGGCCCTTTTGCTCACCACACATCGACACTCAATCGTCTATCCACCGACACAAGTCACACTACAGCACCCAGCTCTGTCGGTAACTTTCTAGATGACGGAAATACCCTCCTTTCTCACAAAAGTCTTCGACTCTACGATTCTGTGGAGCCCACATACATTAATTTTGACTTTCTGATTACTGAGAAACATTTTTTTATTTCTTTCGCCGTCCAAAAACAATATTTTACGAACGAGTTGTTTAGTACCAGACTACCAGTTTCACAACAGCAACATAAAATAAAAGGAAATCAAACCCAAGGACAAAAATAGAAAATTAAATGAAATTTTATTCCACATTCATCGATTGAATTATAAATACAATTGAAGTAAAATTCTCCAACCCCTCCCCCACTGTAGTAATTGTTCTTCTATTGCATTCTCAGCGAATATTTGCCGAAATTATCGAAATTAAGTAGAAAATTACAAAGAAAATAAAAAGATGTAAATAAAATGAAAATTTCAATTTTTCTTCCCTTCGTCACCGCCTTCTTCCAAGTACTCTTTCTTCCTCCGCTCGGCACTAGATAACAGACAAATCAGAAGAAAACACGTGGCATAAACACCGTGCACCTTCCAGTTAGTCTTCGGAGGCTGACGAAGCACCACCCTATGAAACACCGCCACGTAATAATGCAAACCCACGGCAAACCCGACGAATGTTTGGGCTAGGCCCAATACTTTGAGGCCCAAACCACATTCCGTCGAGAAGACGAGAACGAGGTACATGAGAAGAAGCAAGAGGTAGAAGACGTAGCCGAGTGTTTGCAGGATCTGCAAGCAAACGTATGTGGAGCTCGATGTGGCGTAGAGGAACTTGAGCGGTTCGATGCCCGTGACGAGTGATGAGAGACATAGGATTGAGAAGTAGATCGAGAGGTAGATTTGGATGAAGATTAGGATTTTCTGGAGTGAGAAATAGGCTTTGAATCGGTTGAAAATGAGGGAGACTAAGAGTAGAGGGACGAGGATGAAGACGAAGGAGACCACTGAGGCTATGGTTGGTGCGTATTTGTTGCCGAAATAGGGTTTGAAGTTTTTGGTGATCTCTTTGTTGGCTTTGTTGATGTAGTTTTTGGATGTGGTCGAGATTCGCTCCAGGTCTGGGATCAGGGATCTTTGGAATCTCGTTGGTAGATCTCTGAATTCGCTGACGAAATCGTCGTCTTCCTCGTCGTCGAGCCAGAAAGGTTTGATTTCTTTCTCCGGCTGTTTCGATTTGGTGACGGTCTTTGAGGATTTCTCCGAGGACGGTGCTTTCTTCTTCTCTGGAGGAGGAGAAAGTTTTGAACTTGGGGATTTCGTGGTGATTTTGTTTTTGGATGAGCTCGATTTGGACAGATCCGTTGGTTTTTTTATCGAGGAAGTAGTGGGTTTTGTAGAATTTGAGGATTTGGTTCCGGAAGTGAGCTTCTTGAGCTCTAAGCTGCTCTTGGTCGTGTTAGAGGAAGATTTGGTGGAGTTGAGTTTGGATGACGTACCCATGGAAGTCTTAGCGAGTTTAGTCTGGTTCTTGCTGGAAGACGAAGAAGAAGAGGAAGAAGAGATCGGTTTAATGAGCTTGGTTTGATTCTTCTTAGTACCTGATGTTGATGATGATGAAGAAGAAGAAACAGAACCAGTAAGCTTCTTTTTCTTAGGAGGAGGAGGATTTGTTTCATCGTCATCATCACCAATATCCAGATCTTTCACCAACAATCTTCTCACTCGAAAATGGGGAACTAGGATAGATTGTGTTTGTACCTCATCATCAACTGAAGTTTCTGATGAGGCAAAAGTGACAAAGAAAGAAGAACAAGAGAAGAGGAAGAGAATGAAATAGAGCAACAACACTACCTTTCTAAAACACAAGTAGTTGAGTGGAGCCATTATTTTGCTCTGAAACCTAGGAATCCCCTCACTGTTCAGACAGATCTTGCGAAAAGAGATCGCAAGCTTGTCAATATATAGGAAAAGAGGAGAGATAAGAGAAAGAAAGGAGAGAGAGAAGCATTAGTGACAGTGTGCGTTATGTGTATATATATGAGTGTTTCTATGTGTGAACGAGAGAGAGAAGATGGAGACCAGAGAATTTACTAAATTCAATCGTTTTGATAATGTCGATGTACATTACTGTTTAACCTCACCGTCATGTTGCAGACTCTCTGCTACTTGTCTAATCCCTTTTTTTTTATATGATTCGTCATTTTCTTGTATTTATGTGATTGTTCGTATTCGGTCAAGTAAAAAATCATTAGTTTTGAAAAATTATTGTGCGTGGGTGAGTGAAAACAATTGCAATCATTTGGGAGATCTAAAATTAGAACGGTCGCTTTCTTATAGCTTTGATGAAACATTTTGTGTATATATATAACCTAATATTGATGCACTCTTATATAAAAAACAAAAGGTATCTAATCGTAACTACTCCCACAACTCCTATCTGATTTTCAATCAATTGTGATGCCATTGTCAAGAGGCTATCTTGCCACTTAAAATATATTTTTAGTTTGATTCTAGATTAATATCGGGTCTAATTTTGAATGTTCAGTACTCTGTTTGATCGAATTTTCATTTTTCATACTATCAAGAGTTATTTATTTGTTGAAAATTATGATAACTACAAAATTAACAAGGCAACAAAATGGTCTTGTTAATTTGGTTTAATAATTTATCTTATTTTTACGTTAGCGAATTTATAGTTTGATGCAGAGACTGTTTACAAAAGAAAATACAAATAATGTAAGCTACTCGTTAAAAACAAACATGAAAAGGATATAAAGAAAAGGATAACAATTTAATGCGAAAGTGAGAAAGTTGAGATCACTCACATGGAGGACCAAAAACGACACTTTTTTATCTGTTTTTCTCAACGCGCTTTCATTTTAGTTTTTGTTCATGTGCTTGACTAATTAAAATAAAATAGATTTGTTTCCTCGTGTATATGTTTTATTAATAAGTGACTACTTGCAAATTTATAATAATTGACTTGCTCATTGTAAGTTTGTAAACTATAGACTCCTAAATGTTAATATATGTGTATTAATTGTATGATTATTATGTACTTACACATATTCTGTAACTTGAGTGTAGAGATAATCACATGTCATGTATTCTTAAGGTTTAATTAAGTTTGAACTCTAGGACAGATGGTATTTCAAGTATTCGAGCTTATGAATATACACAGAATTAGGGAGACTCAGTTGATTATCCAAAATTTCTTCTAACTAATCTTATTACCTATGAATCAGTATGGTCATTAACTATTCATAAATTTTTGCATGAATATTAACTAATCACCATTATGGGTTAATGTACAGATGATGTGGCGTTGAAATCAAAATTTTTGTACATGAGATTAAAACTATCTTTCACATAAGTGACGAACGAAAAAAAACCAAGTCAATGCTTTCGGAAAAAAAGTTAAGCAAATGTTTACAATTAGAAAAAAAAAAAGTTGTTTACAATTCCAGTCTTCGGCGATATAATTGGCAAATTATGTTAAACCAAAAATATACTATTAAAATATACTTCGGCGATATAATTCCAGTCTAACACTATTTTAGAAAATTATGTTAAACCAAAAATATACTATTAAAATTCATTTTCGATCCGTATATGTGTAGAAAACGATCCGACTGTTCAGTTAAAACCCCATAATGCTAACACTCCAAATTTCAGGATATTAAAACACTTAATTTCTCTACAACTATTACAAACACGCTTTAAAAAATAACTAAATGATGTAATGAGTTGCTGTCTTTTTGTTTGGGCTCATAACACTGACTCGCCCCTTTTTCCCAAGTCAATGATCAACGACTTTTGACTCCACAACGCTTTGACTAGTGAGTTAATAAAAAGTGAAATCATGAAAACATGATTGGATGCATTAAAGTGCGATAAAAACTAACAAGTTAGGAGTTAATATATAGAGATTCCGAAAGTCGAATCAAATGGCATAGAGTGAAACTATGAAACAGTTAAACCGAAAATAACACGAAACGAAAGTACTAATATTGATTCGTTGACCAAGGTCTTTGATGTAGAATATGGTGTGTGCTAAAACTCAGGAACAAATCCCAAAATGTGAATGTATTTAATTGACATTTGGAAAATAATTGACATTTTTTTGGCACACTGTATTTAATGTAACCTGTAATTACGTAATGCGCCTAAAATATTTATTCATGAGAGCCATATCCTATATGGTTTAATATCCTGACATTAAGTAACTGTTCATTTACTCTGCATGACATTAATGTTTTTGTCCGCTAAATCACTGGATCCTATGTAAATAATGGCATAAAGCCAAAAATTTCTATACGTGTAAATATAATGCTAATCTTTTTTTTATCTATTCCTAAAATAAAATTTACATTTGTAAATATAAATATATCCTATACTACTTTTCTGAAAATTTGTAAAGGAGTACTTGTTGAAAAGCTAAAGGAATTTTGTTCACATATGCTCAAATGAGTGAGGAGGACCATGTGCTAAAGCATGTGCCCGGACCTGAAATGCGCCTTGATTGGGCCCATTTATAAGAGCATATAAAACCCATCAAACAAACAGTCCAATCACAATAACTCTGGCCCATTTATGATTCTTCCCCTTCATTACTAGCGTTTCTACTTTCGCCCCAGGAGTTTCTAAATAATAAGAATTTTCCCTAAACGTTCCAATTTCTTGAAGTTATACCCTTCAAAGAAGAATCAAAGATAGTTACGAACTTCGAATTGAGAAAAATAAAATTTCAGTCGAAGCTGCTTTGACATTTCCAGTTTTCAAAGCTCGTATAAACCACAATGTTCTCGGACTCATCTCCAGCAATGGATCCGGATTCATCCGAATCCGAAATCCGACCCGAATATGATCGCTCCTCCGCTGATTCCACCGCCGCTACCAGTCCCGGCACCGTACAATTCGCCAACGGGGCAGGGGAAGCTAGACCTGAAGCGACGATATTCGAATCAGCCGCATCACAAGTCACATCCGTCTCCGATCTACCACCGGAACGATTCAATTCGCTCGACGAATTGGCCCACGATCTCGGCTCTCTCCACGAGCTTTCTACCCGTGGCTCGTGGCAAGCGATCCTCGAAAAAATAGCTCAAGCCAGAGCCCTCTTTGTCCTCACCAAGCCTCACGAGCATCTCACCTATCTGACTTACCAGGTTATGGCTCTCGCGAAGCTACGTCGCTCCGATGAAGCTGCTCATGAGCTTAATTCCTTGCACGATTTCGACGGGACGCATTACAGGTACGAATCGTTCCCTGATATCTACCCGAATCGGAAAGGATCTATGGTCCCTTTCTCTCTACGCTGGCTATACGCTTTGATCCCGACTAAGCTCGGCAATCGCCAGGAAGGGATAGATCGGCTATACACTCTGCTTGATTTCGTTCGCGATAGAATCAGAGACAAAGAATCTCAAAGCTTAGATGATTCTGTGGAATTGTGGAAGAAAAGGGAGAGTTTTGTGATGAATTGCTTGCTTGGGTTTCACTTAGGCCACAAGGAATTTGGGATATCTATGGATTTGATGAAGGAAATGATAAGTCGTGATCCTTTAGACCCGGTTTTGATATCGAAGCTAGGCTCTGTTCAAATGCAGTTTGGTGATATAGAAGGAGCAAAAACCACGTTTAATCGAGTCGAGAAGATGTTGAATGAAGGAAAGAGCAATGGGTTACTGAACGAAACACAGTTCAAGAATCTTGTGGGTAGGAATAAGGCTTTGGTTCATGTTGTGGCAAAGGACTATGTCTCTGCTGTGAGAGAGTATGAAGAATGCATTGAAAGAGATAACTCGGATATTATCGCGGTCAACAACAAGGCTCTTTGTTTGATGTACTTGAGAGATCTATCTGATGCGATTAAGGTGATGGAGAATGCATTGGAGAGAGTACCAACTGCGGCTTTAAACGAGAGCTTGGTGGTGAACTTGTGTAGTATGTATGAGTTGGCATATGTTAATCACACTGATGTCAAGCGGACGTTGAACAATTGGATTGCACGTGTTGCTCCCGATGACTTTGATTCATCTTGTACCAGAGTTTGAGGTATGTATATGTTCTTCCATTCTTGAATTCTCCCCTTTTATAGGCTTTGACATGACAAAGAACTGATTGGTAATGTTATGATAACTTGGATAAAGTTGAGGAGTCGTAAGAATCATGAAGAAATCTAGTTTAGGTAGATAAGAGAGACGATGATCCATGTGAATCACCTATAGGCTGAATCTTTTTTTCTTTCCGCTTTGCATCCAAAAGTATGTTTCGGTATATGTTTTCCAATGCGAGAAGCAGTAGTTGGCTCAAGACTTAATGCCGTGTTCTTCCTAGTCTGTGAAACAATATCGAGGTATGTGAATTGATCACTGAGCATTCAAAAATGCAGGTTTTTCAGCTAATGAAGAGGTAATTAGCCAAAGAGTCTCTGTCTTCTATTACGAAACAAATCAAGGATTATGACTTTGCTGGGTTTGGCCTCAGCTCGAGTCTCTGTTGATGCGAGTACCGGCTGCAAATTTCTTATAGTTGGCTATTGTAAGTTAGGAAATGGTTGTTTTGCCCCAAACACTTGTTCGCTCTCTTGCATGCTTCGCCATATTCATTACCTTATACAGTTTTTTGTTACACTAGCAGTTAAACACTAACGAGTTTGTTATTTCAACTCTTCCTATGCAGAGAGATTTTGGTATTTAAAGGCATGCATCTTTGAGTAATTCGAGTTGACTATTTTCCGTTTAGAGAATTAGGTCAATAATTTGAAGTTTGTACTATTTGTTACCAAGGTCAACTATGAAAAAAGTATCCAGTTTTCTTGAGTGATTTTCCTTTACGTTTTCAGATTCTACTTTTCACTTCCATATAATTCGAACAATAACATGTATTACAGGCAGCAAAGTTTTTATCGCTGCTTGAAACTGATATCCCACCACCCACCATCTAATCTTCTAGTAACATAAAAGTCTTCAAATATATAAAAGATATAAATAGAAAAAATTTGTACCTGATAATAAAAGCGTTCATTAGACAATTCTATTCAAAATTATACAAGTTATATATATATACGAAGTAATCCCATAAAGGCCAATCATGTTTATACAGAAAGGCTAATAATCACATTGAATTGGACGCTGGTTTGGCGATTTTGTACCTCTTGTTCATTATCCTCAATATGATTTATTTAGTAGAAGTTTGGAATTGAAGATCCCTTGTCTTATACAAACAAACTAGCTTAATTTGTGGGGCAACATTATTACATATCCTTGATAAAAAAATCAAAGGAATAAATGCTCTTACAATATGAATCTACCAACGAACTCTTTCATAACAACCCTTTTTTATTGGTTTTGATCAACGAAAAGTAAAGATTCTTACTTACCCTACACAGCACAATTTTCTCCGTGAAGCTAAATAACCCCCAAAGTAACCCTCCAACACAAACCTACAGCTGGCTTGTATCACAAGTAAAATAACCCATATCCACAATATGAATACATATAGGAGTTAGGTTCTACAAATCGATAAAGAAAACAAAATTGATATGGAGATCCAAACTTTTCCCAACGAAATCGTCTTCTTCGATCTGGAAACAACCGTACCAAACAAACCGGGACAACATTTTCACATCCTAGAGTTCGGTGCAATCATTGTATGTCCAAGAAAACTAGAGGAGCTAGAGAGCTTCACAACGCTTATACAACCCAAAGACTTGTCGGTGGTCTCGTTAAGATCGTCTAGGTCAGATGGGATCACGAGGGCTAAGGTCACGGACGCACCAAGCTTCAAAGATGTGGCTGATAAGATCTATGGTTTGTTGAACGGTCGGATTTGGGCAGGTCATAACATTAGGAGATTCGATTGCGTTAGGATCAAAGAGGCTTTCGCTGAGATCGGTAAAGCTGCGCCTGAACCCTCAGGGATCATTGATTCTTTGGGGTTATTAAGCGACAAGTTTGGCAAAAGAGCTGGTAACATGAAGGTACCATATCCAAGATTCTTCGTAGTAGAATATTTCTTATTTTGGTAAAAGTAATAATCTAATATTTACCCCAATTTAAATGATTTATATGTTACTACATATATTAAATAAATTAGAATAATCAATACTAGAAGTGGACGTGGAAAAACGTGATTTGATTAAAAGTTACAATAATTCTCCCTATCCATAAGACCCCTTCTGTTTATCACAAGTTTTTTTGGAATTTTTCTCAATTATTGATAAAATATTGAAAAATTGCATAAAATATCACAACACTCCTACAAATGGAATTTAATTATGAAAACGTAGAAAATATTAAAGATGTATATTGGAGGTCGACTTTGTGAAACTCAGAAGGATAAATTTAACAAGCTTATAATTCATATATATTATATTGTAACAGATGGCAAGTTTGGCTGCCTATTTTGGTCTTGGTGTGCAAAAACACAGGTACCTTAATTCTATTTTGAGTGTTTATTAATTTTACGTTTTTCGTAAGATAAAAATGACTTACATATGTCAATAATTGCAGGAGTCTCGATGATGTTCGAATGAATTTAGAGGTCCTCAAGCACTGTGCAACAGTGCTTTTCTTTGTATGTCATATTCTCATAATTTATTTTCTTTTATTTATTCTTTTTCATTATTTCTTGGCATGTCGTATTCATTTATATGGATGTATGTAAATACAGGAATCTACACTTCCCAATCAACTGGAAGGAAAATGGCAAAGTTCTTCCAAGATCATGACAAGAAGTCGAAGTAATTACCAAATAGCCCAAAGGGCAATGCCTTACTCGAAGGGCAGTCTCGGAAAGGTAATAAGTTTTCTCTTCATGCTATTACGAATATATTATGTTAAGGTGTTATTAATTATGTTTTAGTTTTAAATGTTATTGCTCTTGAACCAACATTACAGATGACACAGAATGTGAAGAATCTCTTAAGCAAAGCTCAAGGCAATCAAGCTCTCCAAAGCTTGATTAAACATTCTCATTCTTTACTTAGATGATTTATGTATCCCTCGTTTATATTTATTTATTATTTTTTTTCTATATCGGGAAATGAATTTAACTGTATATAATGCCAAAAGGTTCAATAGAAAACTATTTATACTCTGATTCACATTACATGGTGTTTCTATGTGAACTTAACCTCCATATTTCTATGAATAGTCATATTTATATGGATAGTGGTAGAAGAAACTTATGAACAGCTTGTCACTTGTCAATGTGAAGCGAGATTCAACATAACAAAAGATGTCTATGTCAATTTTTATTTATTTCTACAGGAACAAAAGAATTGTAAATGGTTGAAATTATAACCATCAAAATCATCACTGACAAAAAAAACCTCAAATCAAATCGGATTAACCGCTAAATTTGTTTGTCCATTGCCGTATCGTTTACGTTTAGTACTGCTTTTGATAAGTTCCTGCTTAAGAGTCAAAACTTAAAGTTTAGTAATTCAGAATGATTTATTTTGTACATGCGTAAATTCAATTCCGAAAGTATTTTAGATCTTTTTGACAAAAATGTATTTTAGGTTTACGATATGACTTCAGTTTACGTCTAAAGAGCTAGTAAAATCACGTATTTCATAGTAATGCGAGAAACTTCCTATGCACATCATGACATCAACATCATTTATATAGTCGAAAAAATCAACTTCATTTATATAGAGTTATTGAAGAGTAAACAAAAATAAAGTAAAATAAGGGAAATATTCCAGACGACTAAAAAAAGAGGGAAATATGTCGCGTGGAGAAATATAGAAAAATGAGGACAAATTGTTTATTTACAAGCGTACGTATGGCCACAACAATACCTATCAAACTTTACAAAGCCATTCAAAGATATGCATCCAAAACAACTATTAGAGTAATGAAAATCCTTTATCAAAAAAAAGTATCATATGACCACTCTGTTGATAAAAAAAATAAACTTATATATGATCACTCACTCATGTGCCTCAATCTCGAAACTCAATTTTGGCTTTGTTTAAGGACAACCCACGTTGGTCCCTCTGCTTCTTCAGTTGTGTTTAGCGTAGCGTTATTTTTAGCAGGAATTTTTTATAGGCTAGTTGTATTTTTTTAGGCTAGTTGTTTATCAGCACAATATTGTAGTCTTTTTCCTAATACTAAATGTACAACTTGTAATGATTAAATAAAAGGTAAAATTTGTTCAAATAGATCAACACAAATATACTTAAACTTTGCATTTTGTGAAGAATCATAAACTTATTATCCAAAATCGATTCACAATTAAAGAAAAAAAGTTCCTTCCTTAAGGTGTTTTAGTTTTCTTAATACCTGTTAGAAAATCGAAAACATAAATCTTTGGAAAATGAAAGGACGAAAGCATAATCTTTAAGATTCTATAACTTGATAACTCAAGAATCCATATCAATTAAAAAAATTTACGTAGAAATTCTCGAAAACTTTACTTATAAATTTATACATAGTGTAAATTAAGTATGGTAAGTACTGTCCTCCGATCTACCCAGTATCTCCAAAAAATGCATAGAAACGTCCTTAAACTGAAAATATAAAACGTTAATTATGAAAGCTGTTATGTGACATATGTGCGCTTCTTGCTTCGTAATTCACGTGTCAAAGCAAGTCAACAAGATTCCATGGGACCCATTTAAACGGAGACAAAATTAGACTTAAAAACGGTCGTACTTTGCTTTCAAACGACCGTTACTAGAGTCGTTAAATAGTTCACGCGCCGTCACAGAAAGTGAAATCTACCCAAGCAACGTGGCGATTAGGTGTGGTGCGTCTTACTCACTATCCATCTTCCGTATGTGATGAACGCCTTTCGTTAACTAACAGTAACGGAACTAACGGTCCCATCCGTGAGGAAACACTGTCGTTTTGACAAATTAAGAGTAACGGAAGTAACTAACGTCCCCAACATGTGGGACCCTTGAAAACTTTGGTAATTAGCAAACCACTCCACGTGTATGGACCAGGGTTCCGACGTGTCACACTTTTTCTCTTCCGCACCTCTCACGTGTGAGACCCACACGAGTGGCTCACTATTAACCATCCACGAGCTCTCACTCGCATCACATGCATTGGGTAGGAGGGACGACCAACCACTGAAACGACGCCACGTTACTATCTCTCCCTTTGCTCTCTCTTCTCTTCTATATATACTTCCACTCTCAGAGAAGCTCAAACCCACACAAAACCGATTAAAACAGAGAAACAGAAGTTAATCATCATCATTTCCTCAGATTTTATTATCTGCTTAAGATTTTCTAAAATGTTCATCGAGAGCTTTAAAGTAGAGAGTCCGAACCGTCAAGTACACAGAGAATGAGATTCAGTCCGTGTACGATTACGAGACGACGGAGGTTGTTCACGAGAACGTTAACGGTACTTTCCAATGGATTGTGAAGCCAAAGACTGTCAAATACGATTTCAAAACCGATACTCGTGTCCCCAAATTAGGGTATAAACAAAAGTTTCGATTTTTTTTTTTGTATCCTCGATATCTCCGCCGTGAGTTCATTTGATTTTGTCTGTTTCCAAAGGGTTATGCTTGTGGGTTGGGGAGGAAACAACGGATCAACACTCACCGCCGGTGTAATTGCGAATAAAGAGTGAGTCTTTTTGATCGAATCCGTCAAGTAATATTTTTGATTTTGTTTGTAAGATTTAATCTGAAACTGAAAAAAACAAAAACAGAGGAATCTCGTGGGCAACGAAGGACAAAGTGCAACAAGCGAATTACTTCGGATCACTAACTCAAGCATCATCTATTCGGGTCGGATCCTACAACGGTGAAGAGATCTATGCTCCTTTCAAGAGCCTCCTTCCAATGGTACCTTCTAAATAATAAAAATCATAATTAAAAACCTTTAAACAAAAATCCTGAATTGTGTGATCGTTGATTTGTTGGTGGAAAAAACAGGTGAATCCTGATGATGTTGTGTTTGGAGGATGGGACATAAGTGATATGAACTTAGCAGACGCCATGGGAAGAGCCAAGGTCCTTGACATTGATTTGCAGAAACAGCTCAGGCCTTACATGGAGAACATTGTGCCACTCCCTGGGATCTACGATCCTGATTTCATCGCTGCAAATCAAGGTTCACGTGCTAACAACGTCATCAAAGGTACCAAGAAGGAACAAGTCGACCGCATCATCAAGGACATGAGGTATAAACAAACACTCTTGTCTGGTTAAAACAGAGTTTCTTTCTCATCGTATCTCCTCTGGTTGTGTGATGTTGTTGAATCTTCTTAGGGAGTTTAAGGAGAAGAATAAGGTGGATAAGGTTGTGGTTCTATGGACGGCTAACACAGAGCGTTACAGCAATGTGATCGTCGGGCTAAACGACACAATGGAGAATCTTATGAACTCTGTGGATAGAGACGAGTCTGAGATCTCTCCTTCGACGCTTTATGCTATTGCTTGTGTTCTTGAAGGCATCCCCTTCATCAATGGAAGTCCTCAGAACACCTTTGTTCCAGGTTTCAATTGAGTGAAATTCTTCAACTGTCGATTTCTCTGAAACTGTGATTGTTTTGATCGATTTTCTTAGGGATTTTTTCTTTTTATGCGTAGGTCTTATTGATTTGGCTATCAAGAACAATGTTTTGATTGGTGGAGATGATTTCAAGAGTGGTCAAACCAAGATGAAATCTGTCTTGGTTGATTTCCTTGTTGGTGCAGGAATCAAGGTTTGTTTAACTTGTGTATCAAGCAACTCTTTCTTGCATAGTGAAGAAATCATTGATCGTGTATGTTTTTGTTTATTGTTGAATTATTGTTTACAGCCTACTTCAATAGTGAGCTACAATCACTTGGGGAACAACGATGGAATGAACCTCTCGGTTCCACAAACATTCCGATCTAAGGAGATCTCGAAAAGTAATGTCGTGGACGATATGGTTGCTAGCAACGGTATCCTCTTTGAGCCCGGTGAACACCCAGACCATGTAGTTGTCATCAAGGTCAGCTACAAATCACTGTCTAAATACTCAAAACCTTTCCTTTTGCAAACTACAATGCCCATTGATCCAATTTGTATGTGTGTGTGTTTTGTAGTATGTACCATATGTGGCGGATAGCAAGCGAGCAATGGATGAGTATACATCAGAGATATTCATGGGAGGGAAGAACACAATTGTGATGCACAATACCTGCGAGGACTCTCTCTTAGCTGCTCCAATTATTTTGGATCTTGTTCTCCTCGCGGAACTCAGCACCAGGATTCAGTTCAAATCCGAAGGAGAGGTTTGTCACTTCACAAAACCAGTACATTTTGGGTTAATTTTCATTGAACCGAGTTTTTGAAGGGTTATTTTTTTTTTGTGTGTGTAGGGGAAGTTTCATTCTTTCCATCCTGTGGCCACCATACTCAGCTACCTCACCAAGGCACCGCTCGTGCCGCCAGGAACACCGGTGGTTAATGCGTTGTCGAAGCAGCGGGCGATGCTTGAAAACATTATGAGGGCGTGCGTTGGGCTGGCGCCGGAAAACAACATGATCTTGGAATACAAGTGAAACAAGAAGCATTTAAGAACCTTTCATTTGCTCATAATATAAGACTTTTGTGTTCCTTTGTTTGGTTTTTAAATTATATGTTTTAAATTATGAAGGCTTGTGTGTTTCAGAGATCAAAGAGCTTTTAGTTTGATCTTTGTAGGGTGTGAAGTATCTTGTAATTGTAGTAGTCCGAATGTGCTGCAAGTGTTTCAAGCTAGGTTGGACCATAGTTTCATATTTATGATTCGGTTTCATGTGTGTAAACACCTTATATTAATCTGAGATATTCAATCATGGTTCCGGTCCTCTGAAATTTGTCAATTCTAGTTTCGTATTATTATCTTATTGTAAATGAGAAAATTCTGTCAAGTTATCTAGAAACTTGCAAGGAACTTTTTTCAAAAGCTATTGGTCTTTTTCATAATAATTCTATTTTAAATATACTTATTTTTAAGTGTATAATTTGGACCGCTTCTTGATCAAAAATCATTAAAAAGAAGATTAAATATTTCCATTCAATCATGGCATCATCAATGACCTCAATGAGTTCTTATTATAGGAAAAAAGAGAGTGATTGATAGCACAAATAATTTAAATTAATTATATGTGGGAGCCTGGGAGGAGTAATTTATTTGAAGATACCCTAATATACTAAATGAATCTAGTTTTTTCCCTTTGATTTTATTATTGTTGATGATTAATTAATCAGAAATTGGTCATGAAGACAAACTGTGATGACTCCCGAAGATCCAACAACTAAACCTCGAAGTTTGGAGCTCAGAAGACGAGTAAAGAAAAAACAAAACTACTAAACTATAGACTAATTATAAACCTAACCCTATGTCCCTATCTATAAGCTACTGATAACAATCCATTTCCATAAAACCATTAATACTATTTAACATCATTTAGTCTTCAATTATTGAGCAACGCGTTATAAATTACTTTATTTCTTAAAATTTAAGTGTCGTGTTAACAAATTTTATTTGTTTAGAAATAAACATCGTTTTATTAAGGGATTTTTTTATCAAATAAAAAACAAAATAAAGTAGTAACAACAGCATGTATAAAAATATCTACAAAACGAATAAACGCATTTCCAGTATGTATAAATACTATTCAATCATCTTTATAAGATTTTCTTTTAGTAACATAAAAAATGGTTGCATCACCAAAAGCTTTGATCGGGTGTGACGTGCATTCGCACTAATTTACACACCTCATTATTAATTATCAGACGCTTTCATCGTCACGAGACGGTGACCTAGCTCCATTTTTAATTCCGCTATTTAAAACCTTTGTTTGTAAATGTCTATCAAGTTTACTATTCATATACTATTCATACTGTTTACTATTCATATACTAGCCATAAGATACGGAAAAGATGTGACTTTAAAAAGAAAAAAGAGATTACTAACTAATATCTTAATTACCGTGAGTTGCTTATGGTGTTGAGGTTTATTTGATTATATTAAAACGGTGTTCGTGGTGCGTTTACTTCAACATTCACTAGCTCTTTCTTTAAAAATACAAAAAGAAAAGTAATAGAAAAGCATCTCCGCAAACTAATTAATAAATTCAGATTTATAAAAGAGACAAATAGTAATGTGAAACTAAAATAAGATGCAGGACATGAAGATTGTTTCATTTCGAATTTTTTGTTTAGAATTAATTTTTACATAATGATACTAATTCATAATTAACAGCAGCAATAATCTCAAGTTACATAATGACTTATAAACTTAATAGTAAGATGCATATATCTAGTTTGATGGTGATAGTACGACGCTGTTTCGGGTTTTGCCTTCGTCATGCTCCATTTGCTGTTCTCTACATTCCACGCGACAAAACGCTATATCTCCTCTACAATTTTTAATTTGAATATCAGCTTTATAATCGTCAGAAAAAAATCTATAAACACAGTATACAGGAAGATTTTCCGACTAGCCAATAGTTTAAGTAACTCTTTTCTCAAAAGTTTTTTTTTCTATCAATAACTTTCTTATAAGGACTAAATTCATTTCTTCACTCAAAATTTTCAGCAAATAAATCGACTTTACCAATAAAATATCTTCATCAAAGAACTTCTCTTTTTATAGTAGTGATGTATATATGTGCAGTCAGAGGTTTAAAAATATAGAAATAAAAAATGAAAAATAGTTAAGAATGGAGCAATTATTAATATGTAAACTACATACTTGTACATGTAAATATCACGACCCGGAGCTAATCGGCGTTTGCAAAAGCCACAGTTTCCAAGAAAAGTAGACGACGACGATGACGACAACGATGATTTCCTGTCGTCTTTTCTCTCGCTTTGGTTATTTCCCGGCGAAAACATCCCCGAGAACCGCTGATTGTAGTTTCCTCCGCCGTCTACCATCGCCATAGCCATGTCAGAATCTTGGCCGGCGGTCTGATCATCTTCAACCTCGACGGTGATCCTCGTTATGCTTGTCGTTCTCTGCATTTGTGGCTTTCGTCGATTGCCAATCAACATACTATTCTTTTCTTGATATTCTTACGAAGAAAGAAAGAGAGATTTTTTTTATAACGTAATTAGATTGTTGCTTGAAGGGGGGAATTGTGTGTTACCATGCCACTCGACTTAAATATACAAGCAATCATACGGTGTATGATTATTCATTATTCTAAGTCATGCCTACGTATTTCATATGATAGATACGCGATCAAAGATTCAATTATTAATAATAGCATTCAATTATAATTATATATGATACAATACGATTAAATATTGGGTGCTAGGTTTTTATTGGTAGGCCAATAATTTCAGATACATATTTGGTCTGTGGACACCAAACATCGCGCTCCCTAGTGATTTTTTAATCTCCAAGGAGAAGAAACTATTAATCCTTAGGTTTCTTCCTACATATATATTATATACCACATTATGTTTCTTAATTTACGATCTTTTGAACCATCCCCATATTTAGCTGACATGATATCCATAACGAATCAGTCATCACTTATCAGACTCCTCCTAGTCAATTTGTGACATTATTTTGACATAGAAACCCAATATTGCAAAATCAGCCTCATCGTTGCTTATTATTTGTCTGCTTTGAGTACATTAGGCATTAGAATTCCAAGTGTTAAGATTCAAGTAGTGATCAAAGAGTGTATATATGTTTGTTATATCATGTCTAAGCTTCTTTTTTTTTAGGTCATCGTTACATTGGGCTTCAATAGTTTGTTACTAGGCTCGGTACGGCTCTTTGTTAAGCCCAGTCTTAATATAGTTGCCACCTTTTTTTTCTTTTTTCTTTTTTAAATCTAATGTCACCTTTAGTTCAATATGAGTTCTGGTCTCCGACACAATCTCCTGAGCTTATTATTTCTCATAACAAAATTAGTTGTACAAAAATAATCTCTCTATGGAAAGAGATTCACGTAACAAAGAAATATAAAGCAAGTCCTTCTACTCCATTACACTTGCAATCTTCCTCTTCATGTAAGATTCAGAAATCTTCCTCTGATCCGTTTGATTGATGGATCCAGCCATCTCCTCTGGTTCAAACGTGAAGTTCCTTTTATAAGGATTTTAATGATCTTCGAGTCCTATACTAAACATGGGAATTACTTTCTTCTTTTCATACTTTTTTCCCCTTGTATTTTTTTTTCTTGTTGTTTCAGTCATATTCATGATTTGTTTTATTTGGCCCATCTCATATTTTAAAAATGCAAAATTATATGACTGTTTGAAATCTCCATACCTTATTGTCCCTCGTAGATGTCATATAAATGGAAAAAGTTATTAACTTGAGATTATTTTAATATACCTGACTAATCTGAGTGTTAGACCCAAAGAAAAAAGTGATGACAAGACGCATGAAGGCTGAAGCCCAGGTTTCAAGGAGCCGTTAGACAATAAAAATAAACGATTCTCCCATACAGAAGACTTCTTTCCCTTGACGAGCTACTCAATTCGATTAAAGCGACTGAACCGACCTTGAACCGAACCAATCAATTATTTAATTAGTATCCGCTATTTATCTACCATTACCACTTTTTATGTTTTTCACTTTTTGAATCCAATCTTGACGAAGATGACTTTTGATGAATATGCGTTTTTAGCCAGTAGAGAGTAGATTATAGAGGTTTATGAACCAACGGTACGATTCAAATTGGTTATATAAACTAACATGGTTTAGTTAGACTTGGTTTTCCCTCCCTCTTTTCCCTGGCTCAGTCCATTTCACAACGATAACCAAAATAAATAAAAAAGTAATGGGATTCACATTCTACTCTCGTTTTCAATCCGATTACCGAAGTTAACAAATGAATAAAAAGCAGAATTTTCCAAAAACCGTAGCTTCTTCTATCTTTATATTTCAAATAAAAATAGATTTGTACTAGAAGCTAAAGAGAGAGAGAGAATATGAAAACACTCGCTTAGATTTTCTCGTCACCACTTTAACTTTTTCTCTAGCTCAGCTTTTTGGAGTAATGATCTTGTATTGAAATGAACTAAAATCCCTGCAAAATTTTTCTTGAGTACTATTAATAATAGTTACATTATTTTCATCTCGGAAAACGATGCCCGAAGACAAAATTTCTTCATACCCTCTTCCTATTTCTTCTCTCTCTCCTCTCTCACTCACCATTTGCGCAAAATCTTATTATTTCTCTCTCAGATTTGTCTGACCGAAGCTCCTTTTTCAGGTTTCTCCTTCAATAAGCATTTTGGATTCTTCCCTTTTCATATTTTTGCCATTAAGTGATTCCCCAACTACCTTCAATAAGCGTGCTGAAAGCTACTGCTCACTCTGTTTCTTCTTAATTCTCACAACCGCCATTAGAGGAAAAAACAAAACCTCAAAATTTGTCTTCCTCTTATCGTTTTTCGTCTAAATCAATCTCCTTTTTTAACATGGGTTCTTTAATTCCTTTTGTTTCGTAACCACTCTGAGAGATTTCAGGGTAGAACAAACCCAAAGTTACGATTTTTTCTTTTCAAATTGAAGAAATGGTTCCTTCGATTTTGGAGAAAATGGGATGTTCAAACTCCAAAACATCAATGAAGAAGAAGAACGAGCCGCTTCCTCTCTGTAAAGAAAGAAAGAGATTTGTCAAACAAGCCATGGATTCGAGATGTGCTCTAGCCGCCGCACACGTGTCCTACACTCGTTCGCTCCGAAACATCGGAGCTCGTCTCCGTCAATACGCAGAGGCGGAGACGGTGGCTGAAGAGTCTTCTCCGTCGTTAACCGCCACAGAGCCTGAGAAATCCCCTTCCCATAACTCCTCTTACCCTGACGATTCGCCGCTGAGTCACAACTCGAATTCAAACCCTAACCCCAAACCCCTTTTCAGTGTAAGCTACACGAAGACGGAGACGGCTAATTCTACAGTGACTTTCACGATTAACCCTCTGAGCGACGGTGACAACGATTTGGAGGAGGCAATGCCGACGTTATCTCCTCCTCCGCCGCGTCCTCGCCGGCCAGAGACGTCTTCTTGGGACTATTTCGACACTTGTGACGATTTCGATAGCTTTAGATTTGTTGGGCTAAGTGAACAAACCGAGATTGATTGTGATGCATCAGATGTAGGATTAGAGAAGTTTAGACAGGGCAATGTAGCAAAAAGTGGTCCCGAGACAACAACAATGGCGTTACATGTAGGTTTAAAACCAGAGCTTAGGAAACAGAGCTGTGAAGGTGTTGATGATGAAGAAGATGGAAATGGTGAAAGAGAAGATCCATCAGAGTTTATCACACACAGAGCTAAAGACTTTGTGTCTAGCATGAAAGACATAGAGCATAAGTTCTTTAGAGCTTCTGAATCTGGAAAAGAGGTTTCAAGAATGCTCGAAGCTAACAAAATCAGAGTCGGGTTCGCAGATATGACAGGTCTGTTTTCATTGTGAAAAATGGATGTTGATTTGAAAACTGAAATTGAATCCTGCTGAATTCGTGAGTGTTTATGTTTACAGGAAAGGGAAGTTCAATAGCGTTTCTTGCACCTTTGAAGCGAGCTTGTTGTAGAGGGAAGAGTTATTCACCAGTTTCTCAAGGTCTGTTTTTTATTTTGATTCTAAAAGATTATATCATTATCTCTGTCTTTGTTATGGATTTTAGTGTCTGATTTAAGGTTTAATGTAGAGCCATTAAATCATCAAGTTACTAAGGTGATTGTATGGAAGAGAACGTCGTCTTCAAGGTCCTCGACTTCTAGAAATCCGTTGATCCAAACATCAAAAGAAGAACACGATGAAGAAAGTGGAAGTGATTTCATGGAAGATTTCTGTATGATCTCAGGAAGTCACTCTTCTTCGCTTGATCGATTATACGCTTGGGAGAGAAAACTCTATGATGAAGTCAAGGTAACAAAAAAAAAACCGAGGTCATGACTCTTTCTCGGTGCATGAAAGTTCACATTTCATTTGTTTGGTTTTTCTGCAGGCAAGTGAGATGATTAGGAAAGAGTATGATCGAAAATGTGAGCAGCTAAGGAACCAATTCGCAAAGGATCACAGTGCTAAATCAATGGATAAAACAAGAGCAGCTGCTAAAGACCTTCATTCAAGAATCAGAGTGGCGATTCAATCCGTTGATTCGATTTCAAAGCGGATTGAGAGAATCAGAGACGAAGAGCTTCAGCCACAGCTCCTAGAGTTTCTCCAAGGGTATGTATAGGGTAGTGACTAATAACTGAAAAAAAAAGTCTCTAACTTTTCTAATTAGCTAGACTCATTTAAAACTTCTCTGATCTCTTTAGGTTGATAAGGATGTGGAAAGCAATGCTCGAGTGTCATCATTCGCAGTACATAACGATTTCGTTGGCTTACCATTGTCGGAACTCTTCAAAACCGGCGTCGGAAAACGCTCTAAAGAGACGGATTTTGACGGAGCTTGTGGAAGAAACAGAGTGTTTTGGTCTAAGCTTTGTAGATATGGTAAACAGTATGACTTGTTATGTGGAAGCTCTGAATGGTTGGCTTCACAACTGTGTTTTACTCCCTCAAGAACGGTCTACAAGAAACCGGAGACCGTGGTCCCCACGCCGTGTCCTGGCCCCACCGATATTCGTCCTGTGTCGGGATTGGTTGGCTGGGATAAAATCGCTGCCGTCAGATGAACTCAGTGGGTCGATCAAAGGGTTCTCGATGGATATGGAGATGTTGGGCGAGGAAAAGGGTGGTTCGGTGTTGGTTTCGGATTTGGCGAGTGTGCATTCGAGTTTGGCGAAGCTTCTTGAGAGATTGAAGAAGTTTTCGGAAGTTTCTTTGAAAATGTATGAAGATGTAAAGGTGAAAAGTGAAGCAGCTAAAGTTGCTTACACTAGTAGTAATTCTAACTGTGGACCACTGAGGTAATTGAAAGATGAGTACTAATGAGACTTAATGATGAAATTGCTCGTCTCACTTAATTTTCCTTATAAGCTCCCGGAGTATTAATAGACTAAAAAATCATGAGAATTCATAGCGCAAACAATCGAACAAAATTACTACATAGCTGATAATATTAAGTTTTTAGAAATAAATTAAATTTTTATTCTTAAAAATCGATAATCGAAACACTGAAAATTATTGGTCGAAAGAATAATTCTAGACCAAGTAACTTTGCCACACAATTTGGAACAAAAAAACTAGTTAAATTTCGTTGATCTTTGTTTCCATCTCCCATAATCGCGTTACTGTTCATAAAATCCATTTATCACTGATTGAATACAGGCAAAGTAAATAATAGGTACAGCTTACAACAAATGATTTTTCGTTGGATACATCTTTTATGTAACCAAAATAATTTAAATAACTGTTATAATATATGTTCAAAGAGTTAGTTTGGGTTATTGAAAAACAAACTGACAAACAAAAAAAGAGTTATTGAAAAAAGTGGCTCGCTAGGTCACCAAGGAAAGTAGTCACAAATTTGGGTCACGGTCAGGGAATAATAATATAGCTTTAATTTGAGGTTATCTTGACCTCCAATGGTGGAGGAAGAGTTGACATTTATAAAAGTCAACTAGCTTAGTTGAATTTTAACAATATCCAAATCTCATAAAATTATTCATCAATGTATCGTGTATGTTAAGTGGCCACTATATCATCATGATCTTATCGATATATAATTACAAGTAAATTAGTTGCAGTTCGTGGATTGACTTGGAGATTAACTATTGTCCATGACAAAATTAGGTTGTCATGCTGAAATGATTATGTATGGCTTCTTCGGTTTAACGGATACTAACAATGATATTATGATAAAATATACTTTTAACAAAAAGTTAATTCAATTTGGTCATATAACCTCAATTTACAGCGAGAATCCAAAAATCACTTGCATGTTTGTTTATAATATATCTGTTCAAATAACTATTTCGGTGAGAGCCCCTATGTAGGATTGAGGAATTACGTGTCGTTGCCATATTTCAGATCATTTACTAGTTGATATGTTTAATATTCAACATTATCGAGGGGCTGGTCTCGTCTGCTCATCTCATGTAGCGAATATGAACGTACACATATGACATATAGATGAAAAGAAATGTAAATATCGAATATTCTTCCGACAATTTAAGAAAAATCTTTGGTATCACAATTGTTATAAAACAAAATGTAGAAAGTTTGACAACCTAACGGTTGCTTTATGTAAGACGTGTGTAATCGAGTTTATCTCGAAAACTTTAGAATTATTCCCTGATTAACGATGAGATCGAAAGCAAGTTTCCAAAGATAGCATCTGTCAGGTTAAGAACCGAGAGATAGTGATTTCCACGTAGGATCCTACGTGTGAACACGCCGAAGTGGGTCCCCTATATTTTCTATTCTCTAATTAATTGGCCCACATTGCCGTTTTCGCGGAATATCGTCGTTTGAAGGAATTGTTTTTTTTTTTTTTAAGTAGGACAATTTTAAGGGAATAAAATACGTGGGAGACTAGTCGTAATTGTTACCAATTTTACTGATAAATTCCTAAAATTTGGAATTTAATGTTCTTTGGGGGGTAAACGTGGAGGGAAAACAATCATACAAGTGAGGAAGTGTTACTTTATCACTGTAAAGCATTGTGCAAATTACAAGTTTACAATACCTGAATTTCGATTTTCAAAAGATTTTAGTAAAATTTTAAACTAATTTTAACTTAATATATTTTATGATGTTATTCATCAATGAAGAAAAATAACCAAATATTATGGAATGAAAGTAAGCGCGCAATTTAAATGATTGCAATCCTTAAAATCATTATACCATTTCTCTCCTACCTACAAAATTCAAACAAAAATTATCATTTATTATTTTATTTTTTTTCAATTGTCAAAAGGAACTTAAAAAAGGTGAAGAAGATACATTAGCTTCCTTGTGACGCAAACTTTAACCGCCTTGAGTTCTCACTTCTTTCCATCCTCCCCCCCAATAGCTTTCTCTCACTATTTTTTTTGTTCACAAACTAACCCTTTAGGCTTTAATTTCTTTATTTACTTTTTTAAGATCAAATAGTATATTAAATTTCCCTATTTCGTACGTTTACATGTATCTATGCATACCAATGTTAGTTGAAGAGTTCCACTTCTATGCGTTATACTCGATACAATTATAATACCAATGTTAGTTGGACCACATAAACTACTATACATTTTGAATTAGGGAATAATATTATGTCCACCAAATATTCTCATGATTGACATTACTGCAATTTCTTCATTTTTTTGCATGGATGAAATATGGTACTTCATTTAATTGTTCCATGCTTTTTCCCTTTCTAACTCACTTGGGTAAAATATATATAATATAAGAAAAAAGTCATGTTATTTTGGTGTTACAGTTTGAAATAATAAAAGAACAGATATTTTTGGCATAGAAGGCAAACTGGCCCTTCAACTTGCCGTAGAATCAACCGTCTCACTTTTGGCTCTTGTGATTTTCGTGTATCTATTCCTGAAAAGATTCTACTTCAGCAAATTTATCGAAAATAACTTCCAACACAGGAGTCAAAGATAATATGGGAAGCTATAATAGTATTGTTTTTTGTTGTTGTTGTTGTAAAAGCTAAGTCATGCTCTTCTTATATAGGATTAAATAATATCCAAGGGATCCTTAACAATCACTATTAAAGATTAAACTTATGTCCAAATTATTACGAGCTAAATAATTATCGTTTTTTATTTTAGCTTGTAACGGTATAAATTTTGAAACTATGATTTCTGTGTGTGTGCGTGTGTGAAATTTAGATGGTATTTATCTGTTGAGAATTAGAGAACACAACTGGAGAAACTTTTTTAATGGTTTTGATTAAAAGTACATTAATAATGTTATGATATATGGAGAGTGTAAAATGGCATTTATTAAATTTATATAATAAAGAAATCATGTTGGAATAAAATTCATTAGTCTTATTTTTTCTTTCAATTTGGAAATTAAAATTTAATTTAAAATTTTGCAAAATTTAATAACTATGAGACTATGATTGATAATGCTTTTATCATACACACCATAAAATCGTATTTTAATTCCAAATATTCCCTGGGAACGGCTTAGATCCAAAGAATATGTGAACGTCGTTTTCCTATTGTTCTAGCCTCCATGGAATAAAAGATATCGTCGAGCTGACGAGAAATGAACAAATGGTGAAAACTGAATAGAACAAAAGCATCAGACAAATGTAGACAAAATATATTAAAGTAAGAATTCAACTAATTAATCTATATAATTAAAAGAAAATTAAGAATTCAATGGGCGGCTTAATTTCTCGTATTATATAAGGAAAGAACATCGCATCCAGCGAAACCAAGAGCGACAAAAAAAAAATATTTAGAGAGAGCCCCAAAAATAAAACTAATATCAAATTTCATATTCCAGCCCCAAAGTTTTCATTCAGATCTATTTCACCCTCGTTTCTGTACAATCTCTCCTCGATTTGCCTTTTCCCTCGTTCTTTCCAATTTCGACTCGATTAACAACGAGGGTTTGTTTTTAATCCCTATCTGTTACTCTTTTTCTTTTGTTTTTCCAATCTGAATTTCATGGCAGCCATAGATACGTTCAATAGCAGCACAGATCTCTCAGATCCTTTCAAAGAAGAGCTCATGGAAGTACTTAAACCTTTTACCAACACTGTTTCTTCTCTTGCTCCGATTTCAAACACGATCTTCGGTTACAATCAAACCACACCTCTCGGTCTAAACCAGCTCACACCTTACCAAATCCACCAGATCCAAAACCAGCTTAACCAGAGACGCAACAGCAACATCTCAAATCTCTCTCCAAAGCCAGTCCCAATGAAGAACATGGCCACTCAGAAACTCTACAGAGGAGTTAGACAAAGGCACTGGGGGAAATGGGTTGCTGAGATACGTTTACCCAAGAACCGGACCCGACTCTGGCTTGGAACTTTCGACACAGCTGAAGAAGCAGCCATGGCTTATGATCAAGCTGCTTACAAGCTTAGAGGCGAACTAGCGAGGCTTAATTTCCCACACATCAGTCACGAGTATGGATATGGAGGTGGTGATAGCAGCTTCAAGCCTCTTCATCCCTCTGTGGAGGCAAAGCTCGAAGCGATTTGTCAGAGCTTGAGAAAAACAGAGGATGATGATCTCCCCTGTTCTGAAACAGAGCTTTTCCTGCCGAAAACAGAGTATCAAGAAAGTGAATTTGGGTTTTTGAGATCTGATGAGAAATCTTTTTCGGATGAGTCTCAGGTGGGATCTTCGTCACCGGAATCTGGTATTACTACTACATTCTTCGACTTTTCGGATTCTGGGTTTGATGAGATTGGGAGTTTCGGGCTGGAGAAGTTTCCTTCTCTGGAGATTGATTGGGATGCGATTAGCAAATTGTCCGAATCTTAAACCAAGAAAAAAGAAGAAGACTTTTTCTACTTTTCTTTTATGGAATCTGTCTTCATATTCAGTGTCTGATGATGTTTACATTATTAGTTAGTTAATCTCTGCAACTGAAATTTTTAACAGTTGGAGAGAACCGTTTACGCTTTGTTTCTGTTGAAATCTTCCTCCATGTTTTGGTCTGGCTGGTTTCTGTTTTTTTTTCTTTCAGAAACCTTATCATTGACCAATTGGAGAAATTTCAGAAACCTTATCATCTAGTATAAGTTTCTAATGAATGTAAACTGTTCGTCTTTTTCCTGTAACAAAGTAATGTAAATTGTTGTTAGTCTTTCTTATTTTACGATATTATGTTCCGGTTTCTTTTTTGCTATTTCGTTGACTTTCATATCAGTTTGACATGCATTGCATGCTGATATAGTTTACGTGTATTATCATCTATTAGTTTCTAAAAATTGTTCCAAACCACGATTCATTCAATCGAGGTTGAAAGAAAACGACGCAAACATAGAGAACCACCATCGCTGACGGAGGAATTCATTTGAATAATTGACAAAAACATTGAAAGATTGCTTAAGCTTCCAGTAGCAGAAGACAAACGCTTCTAAAGCGGATCGATGTTCAGGTTCACAGCGAGAAACACATCTTAAATATATATATATATATATATATATATTGGTTAAAAACACATCTTTAAAGTTTTAAAATCACTTTTTACGTTTAAGCATTTTTAAACTTAAAAACAGAGATATTTAACGTAGCAAATAATTTATTTTTTGGTTAATTGAAATTTTACATTCGTTCAAAAAAAAAAAAACAAAATAACTGTTTTATTATTAGAATAAAATAAAAAATTACAGTTCCAACCAAGCAACTTCGACATCATTCCGATGACTTTTAAAAAAATCTAAGTTGTATTTGGTGTGTCTATTGTGGAAGTCAGAGGGCCAGATAGGGGGGTCAATTCTTGGGTTCACCAGATAGGGATCCCTAATTGACATATGGAAACACACAAGCCATAAAGTTTGATTCTTTAAGGTAAAGAATCTCACAATAACCAACAAATGTAAAAAAGAAGATTAAAAATTATGTATATAACTAATTTAAAAGTAATTTAAAAGTATGTACGTTGCCAGAATTATATATATACAGAAAAAATGAACAAAAAGCCTTATCCAATATTCTTATTCTTTTTTTTCAGCACATCAAAACAATGTTCATCCGGCCAAAAATTGAAATGGATGTTTGTGGAATTACTTAAAAAAGCATTTTTCAACTTTGAATAAAGTAACGGCGCATAGACATATTGATCTATCTTTTCTGGAATTTCAGTTTGGAATCATTCAAAAAGAATACCATTACTATAGATTAAGTGGAACAAAAATACAGGAAACTAATATAAGCAAAACTTTCCCATGCGCATATTCATGACTAAATCAATCTTCTTTCAATTTTATCCCTAAAAAATCAATGGGTTAAAATGGTTACTTTCAGATAAAAACTAGTCTAGCAAACCATTTGGAGAGAATTTTGGTGCGGAGAAACTTTGTTTTTTGTTTTCGGGAAAAATCAAACAATATACAGAAACTGTATATAGAGTTTCAGAAAAAAATACACGAGAGTTTTTCAGAGCCCATGATAACACACGGACTAGGTTATCATTTTATTTTAATACATCAATCAATATAACTATCATAAACAAGCTTAATAAATTGATTATAGGCCTTTTAATCATTCTATAAGGTATACATTGAGCTATTGGACCGAAATTTGGATGATTGATTGAAATATGACCCGAAAAGAGGTGGACTTGGCACTTAACATGGGTAAGCACTCAAACCGGGTTAGGTGTTGTGCCTCGCTGATCCAAACCCGAGTTGAGATGTGATATACTCTGATTCGCTTGTAAAACCAGGCCCGATAAGCTTTCAGAAAACAAAGAAAAAGATGGAACGAAAATTTCAAGAAACAAATATTGATCGTTGTGTTTGCGCTCTTTAAAACAAGATAGTGGCACGAACATCAGAGTTATTTTGTAAATTAAGCTAAATTCTTCAAAACAAACTCTACCGGTACAAAAGAATGAATTCTAGATCCGAGTAAAAGGAAGGTCAGTCCAAAAAAAAATTCACAATTGTTTTTATCAAGTCCAACCAATCCATCTCGAAATAATCGATAATAATTGTTTCTCTCTTAAGTATGACATATATTATTCGTTTATATCAAAAATTCATTTATCGATGTCTATGTATCCGCGAACCCATGCCAAGTACATACTTATATATATATTATCGCTACATTGATACATATATGCATATTAATTGAAAGCTTAATTACCTTAAAAGTAACTGGCGAAATTTTGAATAAAAAAGAGTATATGGCAAAAATATACTATACATCACTCAACAAAAGTAGTTATGTATAGATATAACATATATATATATATATATGAATATTTTTTTGCTTTTATTCATATAAATAACATATCCAATTGGGAGTAGATATATGATGATATAAGTGTTTTTAGTGTAGATTTATAGAGATATTAGACGTATGCATAGTAATATACACGTCAAACTTTAAACATATGTGTTGATAATATATTCATGTGATAGAGAAGGGCACGTGCTTGGTCGAATAGGGAAAAGAGAAAATTAGAGGATACATCAACTTTTTATGGTCGAATTTAGATAAAGAATAATGTTTTATTTTCTTCTATATATAATCCTAAAAGATAAATATTAGATGGCTTAGGGTTAATTAATTGTTAATGCAAGACACGTCGAAAGTGAAAAACTCCAACGCGAAGCTTACTATGATACATTCTAATTGTTTACAAATGTCACAATCGATCCAACTAGTTCAAATCCGTCGGTGATTTCATTTTATATACACGATCTAGAAAATATTGTATTTTCATCTTAGTAAAATAGGTAAACAGATGGAATTGACAAAAAAATAAAGCTAAACAGTTGATCATCTTCGAAAATCATTTTCTAAAACAAAAATAATTCCGAGATCGACATCACTACATGCACCGTGTGGTCCGTGTGGAATAGTTAACTATATACTGTAGTTATTATTTTGCAATGACATGCAGATGAATTAATACATACGCATGCTTTATTTACTTATTACAGTATTTTGTTTGCGCGTTTAACAATATTATATGAATTTAATGTAGCATATACATAAGTACACACCGCGACAATAAATTTAATTTCATTTACCGATTTTCATAATTACCAGTATATGTTGAACTACATCGCATAAAAACAAGCTGCGATGATTAATGTATAGGAATTTCAGATACTTTAAAAAAAGAAGATCATATCAATCTCGTAGCTTTAATTATCGAAAAAGTGTCGGTCTATTAAAGGTTCGAAGGCCTTGGAGATATAAAGAGAAGCCACCGAAATTGTGAATTGGCGGCTCTTGGAGATTATAAAGAGTAACCTAAGACATTCTACCTTTAACACATAACTCATAGATATCGATGATTGAAAAGAAGAATGTGCTTCTTTTTCTCTCTAAAGATGATTTTTTTGGCACTACATATTTAGCCCCAACATTTCTGAAAGGTTCTCGATAAACCGTTATAGAACTCTGTTTTTCTTTTATGTGGTGATGGTTGAATTTGATAGTACATATTTGATTTAAGAAAACGAAAACAATATATTTTGTTTTGTTTTTACATTTCTTCAATAGTTTTACTTAGATACATTGTATATTGGTGGACCATACTAACTATATTTTTCATTATTTGCACTATAATCTACTAATAGATTTCTTATTTTGAGTTATCTGTTTTATTGTTGTGACATGGGTGCGATACAAGGAAATCAAATCCAAATCTTTAAACTATGAAGATGTTGGACTATTAGGTTTTATATATACTCGTTTGAATCTAAAATTTTATTTGATTATGAGAAAATGTAGAAATGAAATACTTTTGGGATTAACGCTTGCTGTAATTAAATATCGTGTAATTTTTTGGTTTTTCAGATACGCTGTTTTTTTTTTGTTAATGTATATATATGTATTTCAGCGTTTCTATGTTTTGTAATTTTTATCCAAATATTTTTTTTTAAGTTATATTTGAGGTTTTTTTATCTCTAAAAGAATTGATAATCAAATGTGACATAGAAATAAGCTATATGCGTTTGTTGTGATGCATAATGTACATATTGATTCTTATCTACTGAACATTAGCAAATTGATTCTTTTTTTGTTTCCAAACATGTTAGGTATTATAACTGAGCTACTATATAATTTAAAAACTAATTAAACATTTTATGTAGCTTAATAGCTTGCTTTATTGAAATCGTGGAAAAGTTCTCAATGATTGGGTTCATTTAGGCCTTAAATTTAGAACCCAACATTTAAACCAGTCATTTCTCAGAAAAACAAACCAAAAAAACATCTAAGCCAGTCGTGGCATATATATAGTATCTGTCACTGACTATAATATTCTCCATATCACATATATGCTAAACTACTTTGTTTACTGTAGATTCATTCATATAATCTAGGCGTGGATCAACTCTACAAAAAGAAAACGATTTAAAAGGTAATACTGAGTATCAAGTTCGAGTAATTTGTTGGTTGGGATGAGAGATAATTTGGTATCTGCAATTAATGTATGGAGCCCTATAAGGCTATTTTATTCATTCAGAAATGAGAGCAACTTGATCGAATAGTGAAATATATTTTGACAGAAAGAATCGTTACCTTTTCTTCTTTCATAGACGACGTCCATATATTGATCTATTAATATTCATTTTTTGGGGTCGAATCGAATAATATTCTCAAATTTAAAGGCTATCAACTTTTTTCTTTTCATTAAAATAAAATCGAAGAGAGGAAAAAAAAAAACGCCTTTCGTGTTAACAGAAAAACAGGTGATGATGACATGGCAGGACCTGTGAACACCATGGATTATTCCACGTGACCAGATTGCACGCTTGGGACCCACCAATGACCATTTGTGCCGAAGAGTTCGGAGAAGCGGTTGCTGTTAGCAGTTTAGTCAAAGCCATTGAGTCAAGGGACAAAGATTTTTCTTTTTTCTTTTTAATGTTGGCCAAAAGGAAAAAAAATGCAAGATTTTTGATAATAGGAATTTCATTCTGTTCTTTTTTTTCTAGGGGTTATAATTATACTGTCTTCTTTTATTTGCATAAAAAGTGCACAGTCCTGGAATTTACTCGTTTGGTGGTTTACAGTAAGAGCTTGTCGCATCCAAAATGTCATGTGATATGATAAGGGAATGCTTAATTCGACAAAAGAAAAGGTCTTCTTTTCACGAGGTACGACTATCAATTTGAATGGTCAAAGGATATTAAAATGTCCCATGCGTACGACACTACGACATTATGCTTAATTTTCTTAGATTTCTAACATATTGACAAAGGGATCGATGATAATTGAGGATAATGTCAATCGTTAGCATGAAACTCAGTTCTTATATGTCGATGTTTAATTTTCATTAGATTGTTTCTAATTACTTAACTCGGAACTTTCTCGAGTATAAATGAATTCATAATCTTGCCAAAAAATTTCTTTTTTTTTATCAGACTCTGGTCAAGATAGCGTAATTACCCCATCAGACCGCTTAATTTAATCAAACATCCGATTTTATGTAATCAAGGACTCAATAAGAGGGGATTAACATAACTGGGACAATTATTTGCCTCTGATACTATTATGCCTCGTAGGGATCCACATGTTTGGTGGAGACACTCTCTATTCGTCACACGTGAGGTGTCGGTTCGAAATTTTGCTTTGAATCCTTTTTTGCATGAAATTTCAATTTCATTACGAATATATAAAGTTATTTACAAAAATAATTGAAACTAATAGAGGAAATATAAAACATTTGTAACAAAAATATCAGATCTCTATGAAAAGACTTATAAATACCAGAGCTTTTATAGCGAACCGCTTGAGATATGGTCTCACTGCAAACCACTGGCTGAAGAGACACTCGAATTTTGTCTAAATATCACGCAATTTGACGCATGTATAACCTTCATGCATGCAAATTAACTTATGTATAACATGTAGCACATATAAATATGTATTCCCTTCTTGGCGCGAAATTTATTATACCATGATTACGTTTGGTTCAAGAAGTATAGAGACCGAAGAAAACACTATATATGTTATGCACGCATGTGCATCAGAGTTAGTTCAGCCAGATATGAAAATGTTGTTTTAGAGTCATTAGAGCTTTTAGGTGCTCCTTTTGGAGGATGATGATTTATGTTTTGCGGACCAGCCACAAGTAATATCAAATTATGCATGGTCCAATCAAATGTAAATCGAACTGTCTGATGAAACTAGTGGTCATAAGAATATTTTCAGACTACTTTAGCCCCAAAATCACGATTTTTGTGTCATTAATTTAAGTTCCAATCAAATGTAAATCGAACTGTCTGAAACAAGTGGTCATAAGAATATATTTCAGACTACTTTAGACCCAAAATCACGAGTTTTGTTTTTCTTCAAGAGGTTTCCTTCTCTTAGAAGTCACTAAGAACCCTATTCAGATTCTTCTTAATTTCATAATTAAATCCTGATGCATGAAACAAAACAAATGAATCATGATTCATGCTTGCGCGCCGGGGGCATATACATAAATCATTAATCAGAAGTGGACAAACAACAAAAAGAATATGAAGTATGAAATATGAAATATCATAACTGGTAATTATTTGATCCAACTGGACATGGTACATATGATCCATAATATCTGTAATGATGGGTGAATATGTTTCTTGGTAAATAGTTTTCTGCGAATCATTCTTGGATTAACTTATGACGGAATAAACCCGAATGAACTTCACACCAAGTCTGAGGAATATCTCTGTTAGTGATGTACTACTTACCCACGTGGCATTTAATAAATTTTAACAGCTATAGACTACGGGTAAAAGAAAATTAAGTAATGGAAATGTTCGATGCAGTTACGGGACACTTTTGCCGTATTTTAAAATTACATGTTAGGGACTATTAGGGAGCATGAATTGGCTGATGCATTACTAAAGTCGCAATTCGTAACCGTTAAAGTAATGAGCTAACGTTATCTTAGTTAACAACATAACATGGTAACAATACTAATAACAATAAGCTAACGTGATGATTTTCTTAAGAAATGCAAAACTCCTTCAAATCGTTTTGAAACTTAAGGAGAAAAATATAGAACGATTGTTATCTCCATAATCTCCAAGAGACTAAGCTCTTTTTATTGAGGCCTCACGAACAAGATCATAATCAAAGAACCTTGAGATATGCGTATAGTATATATGTACTTCAAGTACCTTAATTCTATAGGACAAACTATATTTCGTTACTGAACCTAGGTTTTTCTATTATATGGATACATTAATTATTTATTCAAACCGTAGAAAAAAAATCTTGGCACTTAACAACCAGACTAACAAAATAGCATTTATAACTAAGTATCTAATAAACACTACACTCATTATAAAAATTATTGTTAATTGATTTTGAATTAGAATTCATGATTTTAAAAACAGAAAACTAACAGAATATCCACTAGACTAGCAAATGTTGAAATCTTATGTTTCTTGTAACTTACATAAACGAAAAAAAAGGTACACTAGACTAGCAAATGTTGAAATTTCATACATGATATAACTGCAGCCAAACTGTTTTGGTTTTTACAACATAAAACTATAAGAAAAATTGAAAGAAAAACTATATGTTGCCAAAATTAAATAATTATATATAGGTTATTCACTGTACATTTGATTGATAGGAAATAATTGATTTTTGGTTCTTCTTAAATTTATTTGAGTTTCGTAAGATTTATTAATAAAAACAAATTAGGACCAACAACCAAGAGGGCAAAAAGAGGAGAAGAAAGAAAGAAAAAGAGAGGGAGCATATGGTGTTAATGGGAGGGGACCACGTGGCGGTTGCTGAGAACGCTGCAACGCTAAATTAACTTAACGATCGGTGAGAGCGGGAAAGCCGCTTTGTAGGTCCCACTAACCATATATAATGGGACCCCCTCCCAAATGGGTTCCAGCGTTCACACACACCACAATATCTGATTTTCCTTTTTTCTTTTTTAGTTAAGTTAAACTGTTGCCCGAAAAATAAAGTGTTTTTTTTTTCCTATAATAATTTGTAACTATAAATTCAGACCATAACCACGCTTCAGCCTCTGTCTCTCTCAAGCGCACACACTTTCTCACTCTTCTCACTCTGTTTTCACAAACTCAAATCTCTTTTTCCTCTTTCGGCTCAAATTTACAAACATAAAATGGGTAAATTCTTGAGTTTGTTAGATTAATATACACACACGCGCAGAACGTTAATATAGTCTACATATACTTATCTGTTTTTTTTTGTTCCTTGTGTTATTTTCAGTAAGATTCATTGAAGAAATCACAAAAACGGTGGAAAAAGAAACAGGAAACAAATCAAACACGGATGTAGCAACGGCGAAGAAAAAAGTTCTTCAAGATCTTATTATCAACGATGGAGGAGGATTAATCAATTCTTGGGTTGATTCCATGAGAGCATGTTCTCCTACTCATCTCAAATCTTTGATGAAACAAAGCTCTTGGCTCGTATGTATATCTTTCGTTGATCGTCAAGCTCTAATTTCTACTTATAAAAAACTTCTAACATAAACTTATTTTTTATTTACTCGTATGACTTTCACAGACAGAACATCCATCAGCATTAGATATGTTTGAAGAGATTCTTCATGTTTCTGAAGGAAAACAAATCGTTATGTTCTTGGATTATGATGGCACTTTATCTCCCATTGTTGATGATCCAGATCGAGCTTTCATGTCTAAGAAGGTTCATTTCTAAAACCCAAATATAAGAAAAATAAAAATAAAAGAAATCTACTTATTCAAATAATGTTTTAAATTTTGGTATAATTTTTAGATGAGAAGAACCGTAAGGAAACTAGCAAATTGTTTTCCCACAGCCATAGTTAGTGGGAGATGCAGAGAAAAGGTATATTAAATTTTAGACTAACATATGATTTATTTAGTAGTGAATAGATATTGAAGCTAAATATGGCAATTTTGGCAATTTTCAGGTTTATAATTTTGTGAAACTGACTGAGTTGTATTATGCTGGAAGTCATGGAATGGACATCAAAGGACCAGAGCAAGGAGGGTCCAAGTATAAGGAAGTAAGAAAGTCCTATTCTTTTTACACTGAAAAATAAATAAATTTCAATTTTTTGTGATTTTTAAACGGTTATTATAAAAATTACAGGATCAATCCCTTCTCTGCCAACCAGCTACAGAGTTCCTCCCCATGGTCGACGAGGTCACATTCTTCTTCTAGATTCAATCTCATATATTTAATAATAAGAAAAAACTGCATTTATTGTTGCTTACATTTATTTTTAATGTTTCTGTTCATCAGGTTTATCAGAAATTAATTGAGAAAACAAGATTAACTCCCGGAGCCAAAGTAGAGAACAATAAATTTTGTGTATCTGTTCACTTCCGACGCGTCGATGAAAAAGTACTATAATTTTTTATTTTGATATTCCATTACTAGTGTAATGAAATAAAAGTAACTAACCAGGTAGTTTATTTATTTATTTATATATTGACAGAACTGGAGTGATTTGGCTGATCAAGTTCGATCAGTAATGAAGGACTACCCTAAGCTCCGTCTTACCCAAGGAAGAAAAGTAAGATACTATTAATTAATTAAATTTCTAATTTTAACTTGACTATAGCTTACTTTCTTAATTAACGGGTTAATGCTTTGGTATGATCGTTTCAGGTTTTGGAAGTTCGTCCAATCATTAAATGGGATAAAGGCAAAGCACTCGAGTTTTTATTAGAGTCACTTGGTAAAATCTTTATCAACTAATAATTAATTACGAGCAACATGATATTAGTCGGGATCAATAGTATTAATCAAAATGATTATTGGCTTCTGTAGGATACGCTAACTGTACTGACGTTTTTCCCCTTTATATCGGAGATGATCGCACAGACGAAGATGCATTTAAGGTATGTACAGCCTCGTAATTGATGTAAGATTAAATTAAATAGGTAAAGTTCAATACATTATCTAAGTAAATTTTATTTAAATGATGTTACAGATATTGAGGGAGAGAAGACAAGGTCTTGGCATTCTTGTATCCAAATTTCCAAAGGAGACTAACGCGTCTTATTCTCTACAAGAGCCTGATGAGGTAAATTGATTTATATAATTCGATGTATATTGTGAAGCTCCTACCAAGCGTTTTACAATTCCTTAATTTTTTTATTGGATTAAACAATTCCTTAAACTGTTGTATATTCTGCATATATCATTAAGCTGATTACACTATATTTTTTTCTCCATTATTCAGGTTATGGATTTCTTGCAACGTTTAGTGGAATGGAAACAATTGAGATCTGGAGCATGATGAGAGCCTATAAGTACAGAAGAATCTCTTTTTTTTTTTTAATAATCTGTTAAGCTAGTTTCTTGGTTTTTCTGCTCTTATTGTACTCAACGCATCTTTGACAAAAAATTGTACTAAACGCATATGTAAAAAAAATTATTAAAAATTGTAGATCTTCACGTTCTCAAAGAAAATATCGATCATATATGGTAAATACTTGACATATGTCTGTTATCATGATTCTCAAAATGAAATGGAACTATTCATTAATGGTATATGTATCTATTTACATTTCGTGCATTATCCTTTTGTTAACAAAAAAGTAATTTTCTCACTTCATGTTTCAAATTAAACAGTTCAATCCACATTTCAATTTTTTAAATTATTTTTTCTTGGGATTTTAATTTCAAAATAATGGCAATGAATCAAGCGAAAACAAATCTACTACATATTGATTCATGAAGTATGGTTCAATGTTGTTAATAAGCAATCAAATAAATCATTTATTTGAAAAACATATCAACTTTTGTGTCTTTATGCTTTAGTAGTCTGGTTTCGATTTCATATATTCGGATATAAAACTAGAGACGTTTGAACTATATAAAAAAATTATAAATACGGTTTTATTTTTGTATATATTTTTCACGTTCTGTTTAAATAGAATCATTTCAGTTTTGATGGATTAAACATCACTCGATTTAGTTGAATTTGTTTTGGCATTCTTTGTTTATTGTATTAAAAAGGTGGTTTCTCAAATAATACAACCTTAACATAAGCTAAGCTCATCGCATGAATCTATTTTCAAAGAAGAAGGAATCCTTCTAGTTTATTTTCGCCATAAGAAAGAAATGGAATATTCTATGAGGCAAAACTTGGATGGAAAGATAGCGTCAAAGTGACACGACCTATGATCGGATCTTTGCTGCTAAGCTTAATTAATAAAGACTTATTTACATTGTTTAGCTCGAGAGATATTAATTCCTAAGTATAGGTAACCAATTGCTTAACTAAGGAGATAAATAAACCCTTTCTCAAAAAAAAAACTAAGGAGATAAATAATTCCTAATTATACGTAACCAATTATCTGTGGATGGAATCTTATATGACATAATTTGTCTAAGTCTTAGGAATCCCAAGAAAAAAAGCACGAAAAAGAGAATCTCTCTGACAGAACAATAATATATACTTTCAAGTCAAATGCTCAACAATTTGTGTATACCGAGACCTCGTTCAATTATATTTCTCAAGTCACTATAGACGTACACAATGTGTATGCCGTCATTTTCATTCTACTTATAGGCAATTATTTAGTAACTTTACTGTTATAAATATTCCTTCTGTTTTATGAATTGGTTTTCTAGGTTATCTATATAGTTTATTTTAATCAAGAGCAAGAAAATATAATTTTTTAAAAATACTAATGGAGATAAATGTTCGGTTGTTCTGGTTTTCATTTTGTAACCATTTGACGTTTTCTTTTCATTTTTTTGTTCTTTTTGAAAACTCAGATGATAGCTTGTAATCAACTTTATCCTTTTTTACAATGTTATAATGTCAAGAAAAACAGTAACGGTTTGACGGCTAGGAGCTTGTTAGGCATGTTACAATGTTTACGAAAATCATTAATGGATGAACCCAAGTTGGACAAGCCTATGCTTGCGGCTATTATTTTATAATATAATTTCAGTCTTAAAATTATAAGAAGTTCATTTGGTTAAATGATAAAATTTTATAGAAATTCTTTTAAAAGGTCATGAGTTATAACTTTAATATGGCGAGAGAGTCTAATTTTTCTTGAGATAGCAGCCTTCTAAAACTCTAAAACGATTCTGGGTATGAGAAAAGTAAATTAAAAATTAAAAATAAGATCATACTATACAAATACATATCACAAAAAAATATACTGGAAATATGTTCCTATATTTGATTAAATCATATAAGTCAACCTTTTTTCTTTGGGCTTTTTTAATTTGTTATTATTCTTTCAATTAGCTATATAGTATACAACCAGTAAGTTATAAATTCAACTATATACACATTAGTTCTTCCAAAATATATATTACTAAAAAAGCTTCCTCTACAAAAAATTATATTTTATTCAATTCCTGAATTTATTGTTAGTCAACTTTTGATACATTTTCAAATTTTAGCATCTAGACCATCTTGAATATTTAAATTGCTAGGGTCACAATCGCATGTGGTCAATTCAATATTTTGATTCATAGAGAAGATGAAAATAAGACTTTTTCACTCTTTTCCTTTTAACTACTGAAAAACAACAACAACAACTAGGTCTAATAAAAAAATATGTTTCAAGGACCAACTTGATTGACTTCTTAAATCCTAGACGTGGACTTATTTATAAGTGTGTACTGCGTATGTAGCCATGATAGACAACGAAGAAAATATTTTGTTAATGATTAAAAGGTAATTAGATAAATCATTATCGTTAGGCTTTGATTAGGTTATGTAAAAAGGTTCGATTGGGGTTTTGGTCTCACGTATAGGCTGTCTACTTTTGAACAAACTATTAGTGTTACTTCACCCATTTCTCCCGACATGCCACAAGAAGATCATTGTGAAATTTGGTGGCGTATTAATTTAAAGCTCTAATTATTAACTATTTAAATGTCAATGCTCCAAAATTGCTATTGCTGTAATATTAATTTATAGTAAGTGCGTATATATTTTCAACAACCCTAAGTTCTTAGGCATGTCTCCTATGCTATTAGAAAAACAATGGACCTTCTTAAGCCAATTGACCCTTGAACTGTAAAGCTTGTATTGTAAAGATTGTACAATATTTTCTAATCACAGCATTATAGACACGTGTTAATCACTAGATTCAAGTAACTAATCTATTTTCTACCAAATATTTTCTTCTTATTCAAATTATTCAATGAACCTCAGAGAAAGATAGATTACACTTACACGCCTTTATTAATGAGGAAATCAGCTCTAGACATGCGAATCTTTCATAGAATCATAGGCCTCATAATGCATCTAAAAATTGAGTCGTTTAAAAATATTAAATCGTAGTTACCATAAATTTTGGAATATTGCCAACCATTTTACCAAATAATTCAGATTTAACAAGGAAGCATGTGCATATCTAATGAGTATGTTTTTCTGCCAAACCTCACCAAATTGACTTTTTTTCTACTACTATGACATACTACTAAACTTTGGCGTGAAATATACAACATAATTCTTTTCAACGCAAAATAGTTTCAATATATAAAGGACAATTTTTCAAATTAATTGAATTGCTGAATCACAGCTTTTTTTCTCTACAATTGCTAGTTTCACTGTGCTCCGAAGAGGCTGGATTAGTAATAACATTCTCAATCGTGGCTTGCATTGTAGTTTCACTTGAGACATATAGAGAAGTTTTAGCGAGAGGTACAAAATCTATGATAGTGGGAAAAGTCTTGGGAGTGGCTGTAATAAATGGAGCAGCCTCATTCGTCACTACAATTATAGGTATAGTATAGTCTCTGTTGTTGCTGCAATGATAGGTGCAACTTTTTTTTTTCTTTAAATAATTTTTTCATTCATCTAGATTCTAGACTTCTAGTATTGTTTTAATTTCCAGCAATCGGCTTTGTAATAGTTCTTCGAAAGATTAATTGAGATTTGGGATTTGAAATATCAAAAAGAACTGCAAAACTAAAGATCTTTGAGATTTTGACCTTATATTTTATTATAAAATAAATTTTGATGTGTTTATTTTGAAATTAATTGATAATAACATATGTTAATCCGTCGATCAGAATTCAATTCATGTAAAAATCTGTTGGAAACAAAAAAAGTTACGAGTGTAGAGTTGGAATCCACCAGAAAAGGTGAGAGAGATTCTCTATCATTTCATTTTTCTAACTTTAATTTCTCCAACTGTGTCCTTGTAAAGAAAAAATAGTTCAGCCTCCAATTATTGGCCGGCTTTAAATTATAAATCCTAGAAGCACAATAATAGTAGCATTCCACCAATTATCGTTCGCCTTAGGTTTTCAAGTTTGTAGACCTCTTTTTATACAAATAGGTCAATTTAAGAAAGTCCTTCCAGAGAAAGTATGAAAATAGTAACAAAAGTATTACTAATAATGCATGTGTTTTTGGAGATTTTAGTTTGGCATCAAGTGAATGCAAACGTTCCACTTTCTCGTATGAAACTAAATTTCGGGCTTCCTTTTCCTTATGAAAATAATAATTGTTTGCACATCTATAGCCGAGATTAAGCACTTTCACACAAAAAAACCCGAGATTAAGTTTCTAAGGACCCAAGTCAAATTGCTTTCAAATAGGATTCACAACAATGCTGAAAGTCGCAACTTCATACTAGTAAAATTTTAGTATTCCAAAACAATGCTTAAAAAATAAAACTACCTTAACAAAAAAAAATCCTGAAAATGATATGTGAATACTAAACTGAAGTTATAAGTAAAACAAGAAGCAACTAATTAAAGCAAGAAAATTAGATAATTGAAGCCTTCAATAAATTTCAAGACAAGCAAGACTAGACTACAACATAAAACCTATAATCAATTTCTACTTGTTTCGTTTATCTCTATTTTTTAAGAAAAAAAAATTAGTTATTCATATATGTCAAGTAAAAATGCCCAGGAACAGTTCACATGACCAAAAGATCCCCTTTTTCGTGGATCATTTTGTTTTATGAATGACTTTCTAACACGTGTTCTCTGAATGATGTGTTCATCATTTCCGCATGACACATCTACTATAAATATATATATATATATATATATATATATATATATATGTGTGTGTGTTTGAGAAGTTCCAAACTCTTTGGTGGCATGTGGAAGCATGTGACTCAGATGCGCTCATTATAGGGAGCAAAACTTGTGTGTCGATCTTCTACTTGAACAATCCTCTCTGACACCTTCTTTAAGATAGGACATTTTGTTGTTGTGTCAAAATTATTTTTCTACAAAGTCTAAATGATCTTAGTGATGATGATGGTCATTAAACTAACTAACTAAATCAAAATAAGAAATTAATATCTTTTATTTAAGGAGATACTGCTAGAGGAAGTGCAATGGGAACCAATTAAAGAAACACAATTTAAGATATTATTAACAGAGGCATGGTTCCACCGAGACCATGTGGAATTATGGGAGAAGCAAGACTACAACATAACATCCCCACGCAACATAACGAGACCATTTATTGGTTCTTTCACCAACCACTGGTCTCCAGTTGGGTTTGGAAAAATTGATTGACGAATATAATAATATGGAATAATAAGAAACGTGAAGTAAACAGTTAAAAAAAAAAAATTAAAAGGATTTTTGCGAATAAGATGATTATGAATCTGTGGATTTGTACCACATAAAATTCCCCACGCAAGAAGCATCTAGGAAATTATTATATGAATTTTTTTTTTGTTTACTTTCTTTTCTATCAGCTAGTTAGTGTTTCCAAGTAATAGACTTGCATTCTGCAGTAAGTGGGCTGAGCCGGCTGACCTTTATGGACCTTTGCTTCTAGGATCTTCCATTACTTATATATAAAATGGGCTTATCTATTTTTCTCTGTAAAGCTACAAAATCGGAAATAAGTGTAAATATAAAATATTAGTAAAATTTATTAAATTCAAAATCCAAAATGTGCAGCATATTACCATATTTTTTAAAGATAAAAATCACCAAAACGTGTGTGTTCTCTTTTTCTTTTTTGTAACATTGATCGGTGTAAATGGCCAATTTGCCTGACCAGTTGAGTTTATTTTGGAATTAATTATTCACTAAGCTATATGATGTTCAATAATACACCATAACTGTATATGGCTAATTGGCGTATTATGGGTTCTCAAATCCATTGCAGTCCTTTGCCAAGAATTTATTTTAAACAAAATCGTTTATTTTAAACAACTGCTTTTCTAAAGAATAATTTTTTTTTTTTGGGGACATCTCTAAAGAATTAAATCTAAAAGCAACAATACACAACAATATTAAAAAAAAAAGGCATTGGTGATGGAAAAATTAGCTGACTAAAAACGAAGCAAGATCCTAAACCCGTATCAAACCGGTTTCACTTCACAACGCAAGAAAACATATGAGTTAGGAACAGTAAGCACAGAACTAGCCCACTCAACCTTTCCCCAAACTTCATCACCGTTGCTGCGCCTTTCAAGCGCAACCACCGCGCACCAAATATTCTTGTTTTGGCGACGAGGCGGCGCAAACTTTTCCCACAAGATCAAGAGTTTCCCACCGTAATTAGCTATTTCAACAAAATCACAACGACGATTCCCATTCAAAGCAGCCAAACCTTTGACCACTTTCCATTCATCATGATTTGTGTCATACCACAAGCAACTTTGTCTACCACATTCGTACCATACATTCTCTATCGCACACTTACTCTTAATCACAAACACTTTTTTCGGAACGTCCCATTTACTTTCTTTTGGATCGTAAACATATTCCATCACCCCAATGACCTTTACGTAAATCTTTTCTTGGATCACTTCCACTTTCGTAATTGAAGATACACGTAGCTCGGCTCCAGGGTCAGTTAATGGTTCCCAAGTTTGAGTCTTTGGATCGAAAACCTCAGCCCAATTCGTGGATTCATCTGCAGAACAACCTCCCATTATATATATTTTGTCATCAAAGACGCACGCAAAGGCATTTGCTCGAGCTACCATCATGCTAGGTGCTTTACGCCACGCGTAATCACTCTTAGAACGGACCCACATGACGGAAGATGGAGTAGCATTACATTTGCTGATAGCGTATAACTCTGAACCGACCACACATGTGAACATTGGCACACGAGGAGAATAGGAAGAAGGTATTGGTACCAACAAAGTGTTTCCGCTAGACTTCTTCTTCTTCCCGATGTCGTTGGTTAGGGTTTGATCAGGTTTTAACCAGAGAGCAAACCAAGAGGGAACGCGGCTAATGGGCAACTTTAAGCAGACATGAAGGACGTTTTCGTGGGTTCCAAGGTGAAATCGCGCCACGTAGAGGTCCATGGATAAGAGCAGAGAGCACAAGGTCTTGCAGACTAGGGAGAGTTTCGGGTAGTACGACTTTGATATTCGTGCTAAGCAGTTTACGATGATTTCTTGTGGAAGCGACAAAAGCGACGGTGGAGGAGTTGGATTCGTTTTCTTCTTGTTCTGCGGTGGCTTGACATCGGAATTCATAGCGGCAGAGGCTGAGATTGTAGCAAAAGTATGAGGAGACGCTTTGTAGATTAGGGTAAAATTAAACACGAATTAGCATATAGTGATTTTATGTAAAGATACCTTTTTGCTTTCTTGAGAACAAACCAGCCTCGAGACGGAGAGCTTGTTTGCGTTGGTTCTCCTGTGGGCTTCATAGTTAAGAAAACACGATTAGGTCTTTCTAAAACCTGCACATATAGAGTATATATATACCTTTTGTCTTAACTAATTGCAAACCTGACCCCTTGATTTAACTAAAATATCTAATCGTCCCCGTTTGTAAAAATAATAGTCAAAGACTCAAAGAGTGAGAAGACAAAAGGCTCTGCTCCAAGAGGAAGGTTTCAAACAAGGCCTATTCTAGAAACTCATGCGACTAATGTGACAGGGTTTAGCCGATCCTGTTTAGCCGGAAATTAACAATCCAAGAGAATCCCATAAGCCAGTGGAAATTGAGCTCAGACGTAAATGTATTGTGTACAAGTTTCTAATTTTTAAAGATTCTAAATTACTTGGTTAACTTGAAACAATTTGATAATTTTTTTTTGGTAATTTCCCCTGTTTGATTAATTAAACGTCAAACTTTAATAGATCATATCATATTGTCTCAACTAAGAATTAAGGATTTAGTCATTTTGGACGTTTTTGATATCCTAATGATACAATCTCTCCAAATTAATTAAAGCAAACTTTTAAAAAAATTCAACATAGTGTAAATGGAACCATTTTTCAAAAAAAATTGTATTGTAGTTTTCATACTTTATATCAGTATAAAAAAACCTAGAGCATATATCAAAAAAAATTCCCACCCTCTGATTTGTGTTCTTCTTCACTTCCTCAACAACACTCATTTATTGAAATGCAAAAAAAAAAAAAATAAGAAAAACAACAAACAACAAAGGAAAATCAGAGGGAAATACGAGAAGTAATAACGCACGTTAATTTACCTCTTCTAGACACAAATTTTTTTTTCTGAGGATATATATATATTTCTTTAGTGAACCTCCTTAGCATCTAAATCATTTTACCGTAACAACGCATGTCACCGCCACTTCCTTGTTCCGTTTAACCAAGCCCGTACCAAACCCCGCATTGAGGTCCATCGTCAATACAAAACTAATATGGCTTCAGGCGGCCGCATGGCCGTGTTCTTGGACAGTCTTGATTCAAATTGACAGTATCGAATCCATACATGGCTTGTGACAGCTTGGGGGAAATTCCCTTGCCCGAGGTTCTTGTTCTTGTAGGTGAGAGAGACGAGACCTCCGTTGGTCACCCGTACATGTTGTAGGTTAACGTCGGGTTCTTGGATGTCAACATGATCCTGCCATTCGCGAGTTTCTTAACGTCGAAAACGTGAGGTTTGGGCTTGAATAGAAAACGGATGATTATTGCGATCGCGCATATGATGAATCCGATGACGATCACTGCGATGAAGATCCACATGAGTCTTTTAGAGCAAAATATTTTGTGCTTTTTCCCTGGCTGATGATCACCATTCATGCGTCTTTCGACAATCCTTGCATTTTCTTGGGGAGGGATCCAGTAGACCTGATCCCTCGGAACCTGCACTACATAGGTCTCGATCTCTGGGATCGGATCAGGAGGAGGAGAAGATGATGGTAGGATTGGGAAGAGACTCAAGGAATTTTTACGGAAATGGGGTGGAGGTGAAGAAACTTGAGAGGTAGATGAAGGGAGATGATCAGGGAGACTGTTGGTGGGACGGTGCCACGTGGAAGAAGAATCACCGGGCTTGTCTTGATTGTTGGTGACCGTAGAGGTGGAGGCGGAGGTCGAAGGTAGCCGTGACCCCTCCATCGGAAAAGTGTGAGAAGGGAATGTGTGGTGGAGCCGTGGAGGTCCTGGAGGAGGAGGAGGTGTAAAGAGAGATGAGAGGAAGAGAGAAAAGAATAGACGAAATGCGAAATTAGGGTTTTGCATGGAGGAGCTATAAGTGGTTGTCGTTGCTTTGCGTAACTTTAGCAAGTTTTTGGACCGGATCTTTATGGCATTTAGCCATTGTATTTTGTATTGTCTTTTCTTTTTGTATTTTGTATTGTTTCCCTAATTGTTATTTATATATTTGTAAAAAAACATTTCAGTAAATTGGTAAATAGCAGTCCCAAGAGATGCCGATAATGATGGTAATGAAAACAAAATTGCTCTAAATTAATCAAGAAATGTAATGTTAAACAGAAAAAATTAATCAAGAAATGCTATGAGATTAGCCTAGTATTCATTTTTTTTTTAATTCATAGACAGTAAACACAGATCTGGCCATCAGATGCTGGATTGATGAAGATGGTGGATTCTTTTTTTGGTTATATTAATTATCTAACCTATAGTCAAATATTTGACTGTATCTAAAGCCCAATATTTTTTAACAATTATAAAGCCCAATCTTTCGTATTAAACAAAAAGAGTAATATTGAGTCAACCCAAAAATAGTTACATTACACAAGTACATTAAAAGAAACACGAAAACGAGCTTGGGCACCAAGAAAATATAATTTTTCTTTTGGCTCCTCACCAAGAAAAAGATTCTACCGGAGGAAAGTACCGGATTTTTTAGACGAATTCAGAAAATGGGTCTACCCTTTGGAATGAATTAATATTTTTTTCCCCCAAGAAACAGAGAAGAACTTCAAGATTTCAATGTTTTCTTATCGGCGTCTTCTTCTTTCCTGCAAACATGCTGCGAATCAGGCCGCCAATTTTCTCCGAGGGTTAGTCATATTCTTTAAAACCCCTCATAAACCCTTATCTCAACTCTTTTGTCTGGATTTTGAATTCGTAGGGGATTTGACTGATCTTGGGTTCATCTAGAACAATTGTTACTTTATCTGTGAAAAAAAAAACCGGGAACTTTGGAAATTATACTGAGAAATTTGGGAACTTTGTTGCTGATGCGAAATGTTTCTTGTTGGGTTTTCTTCTGGTGTATCGTTATTGTGCTGAAGAAACATTAGATTGACTCGAAGCACTGATTTATCTTCAATTACAAAATCTGTAGGTCTGGGCCATCTAGACGAATTCAATCATTCAATTACAGCAAATCAACAAGACAGGGCGGCCATGGAAGGACGGATCTTAACCCTCAACTGCCTATAGGAACTCAAACTTCTTATCGCTCACGTGCTCGTTATGCTGCTGTAAGACTCTTCCTTGCTTTCACTTGTTTTCTAATTGGATCTTTTATTTGGGAAAATTGGTAAAAAAAAAAAAAACCAATTCGATGCTATGTTTTGTTGTTGCCTCAATTTCAGCCAGCACTTGTGTTTGGATTTGCTGGATTCGTGGCGTTTCTTCATTACAACGATGAAAGGAGAGCAGTTCCAAAAGGTATATAGGATTTGATCGCAGTGCTTCTACTTTTGATCGATAAGATCATTGAAAGTTGAGATCTTTTCTGCTTCTACTTTTTGCAGGTCAACCAAGCAGCAATAGCGGTTGTGGCTGCGGTTCTAATACAACCGTTAAAGGTCCAATTATCGGAGGTCCATTCACGCTTTTGAGTACACAAAACACGATAGTCACTGAGCAAGACTTTTGTGGTAAATGGGTTCTACTCTACTTTGGTTACTCGTTTTCCCCTGATGTTGGACCCGACCAATTGAAGATGATGTCCAAAGCAGTTGATAAACTAGGTTTGAGTCACTTAAACGGAGCTCGAGCACTTTTCATCAGTTTTGTAATGTGATCTTTTACTAATCATGTCTTGTCTTGATGGAAACAGAGTCTAGTGATAACCAGAAGATTCTGCCTGTCTTTGTCACTCTTGACCCTTTGCGAGATACACCTTCTCATCTTCACGCATACTTGAAAGGTCTCGGTTTTACTTGTGTGCCCGTGCTCCAGCTGATTTCTAAGCTCTCTGACGTTGCGTTGCTCATAATTGTTTTTGCAGAATTTGATAGTAGAATACTTGGATTGACCGGATCTGCAAGTGCAATGAGACAAATGGCACAAGAGTATCGTGTTTATTTCAAGAAAGTTCAAGAAGATGGAGACGATTATCTTGTTGATACTTCTCACAACATGTATGGAATCTTATTCGAATCCCAAATCATATTCTTTTTTGTTCATTAGAGAAAGAGAGCTAAATGTTCGGATGTTTTGTTGTGTGTGTGTGTATAGGTACTTGTTGAATCCGAAGATGGAGGTTGTGAGATGCTTTGGTGTTGAGTATAATCCAGATGAGCTCTCACAAGAGGTTCTTAAAGAAGTTACTTCTGTTTCACAATAACTCATTTTGACCAAACACTAAGAGAGATGTTCACAAAATGAACCGCTAAGATGCTTTTGACTGTTTTCATCCAGTGGTGAATTTCTTCTTAGATTCTTCTATTGTTATTGAAAAAAATGAAAATTACGGTGTAGATCCAACAAACTGAACAAAGTCGATAAAGTGGCATGGAAATTTTCCAATCTATAAATTTTTTGCATGGAGCAGTAATATTTAATCCTTCAGTGTTCTTTCTGTTTAAGAGTTTTTATAATTTGAACAGTCATTGAAAACTATAAGTTCGTAAGTTCACTAGATAAATAAAACATAGAACTTTATCAGAAAATAATAGGTTTATAAAAACGTAACCTGCTTAATTTAAAAAAAAACACACATGAGTTATCAAAAAAAAAAAAAAACAAACAAAAAAACACACATTACATTCTCTTAAATCTTGATAAGCGAAATATCAATGAGAAGTGACTATTCGACCCCACAGAAAAATATAGATACGTTGTTGACAACAAGTTATAAATATCATCATAGAGTTAGCTAGTTATCAATGAACATAAACGTGGCATATGGGGATTACTGGTCCAACCAAATTTCTATTAATATCGACATCTATATGCATACAACTAATTTTGTATTTATTGTTTGATGTCTTAGTCCTAAAATTATAACATTGATTGGTTTTATATAAGACCGACAAATCATATAATGATCTGATTATAATCTGGATTTAATCTGGCAAATAATTCTAAAAAAGTTTTATTTATCGAATCATATCATCAAAGGCCACATTACACTCACAAGACGATGGACACAATTACACAAACAAACAATACAATAAGAGAGCTCATGAATCACACAAACATCACTCAGACGACCCAAGAAAGCCCTTTCCGGATCTCCGACCCGACCCGACTAACGGTATCCCTTAGCGACACCGGACAGTTGTTCCGCACGGCGGTGAGCTCGTAAGGAGATGTATCGGTGGCGAGCCATTGCTCGATCTCGAAATTATTCGTCGAGCACTGTGCGTGAACACCAGTCATCGTAACCTCGACGTAGTTGACGTACCAGCCATGGTGATCGCCGGAGCCATCGGAGGTTAGGTTTAGAGCGCAGATCGGACTTGGTAAGCACGGTGCTCTTCCGCTGAAAATGTCGAGATTACCCCTCTCGAAGTAGTTGTAATCAGGCCCCATTAATCCACCCCAGGCTTCTAGGTTTCGGATCCCGATATAGTCACCGTACTTGTCGTAGATCCTGGCGCTTGCGATCGAATCGGTTCCGGCTTTCCAGATCGATCCGGTTCGGAGGTAGAATGTGTAGACGCAGTCTGGTTCATCGTCCTGGGGAAAAAATATCAGAGAGAATTTAAAAAGTCAAAAAATCAAATCCATCTGATGAGAATCAGAAGAGGTTAGAGAACTGAGAAACTTACGGCGAAGGCCACGGCGGATACGGTGACTAGCAGGAGGAGGAAAGGGAGGAGAACGTCGCGACGAGCCATCGGTGACTTTTTTTCCCGGTGAGCGGATTGTTTTCTTTTCTGATTTTTTGTTTTCTTTTCAGGAGAGAGGTATTAATAGATGCGAATATTAAGGAGAGGGTCATTACTGGGAATTAACACGTGGGGTTGTTATCTCGTGTTTCCGGAGTAGCGTGTATTGTTCACGTGGCGGATTCTTCACCGTGATGATGTGAGCAATTGTGCGTATACTCGGCGAGTCGGTCAGCATGGATTTTGGAGATTACGAAACTACCCCTTACACTGTACCTCTATCTTGCCAGCATACGGACCAGAAGCAAAATAAGAATTATATTTGTTTTTTCCTTATATATATGAGTCTATATGACTATGGAAATTTTGATGGCTATTCATCCAGCTTTTATTTCTATATATATTTTAGATTTTTCCAACATATTGCTGTTAGATTTTGATTAGTTTATGTCCAGGCATAATAAATACCCAATTAGCATTTGATATAAATCTTATATATAAAAGTTCTTCAACTCTTTCCATTTGAGTGACACATCAGCATTTAAGAATTGATATAAGAATGACATGTATCATTTTAAAAAAAATTAATTAATAAATTTTAAATGTTAAACCACTCAAAAAAAATGAAAAGTTTTTTTAATTGATTCTTAAATAACATTTATGTAAATATTAAACAAGAATTTATGTTATAATTAATTAAACATTGATGTTTTAATAATTTCTTGATTTTTAATGATATTATATTTTTAATTAATTGATTTATAATAAAATATTAACAAATGATGATCATATATTTTTTTTTAAATTACAAAAATAAATAAATTTGAAATAGTTGAAGAAAAAATCTATTTAAAATTACAGTTTTTAAAAAAGAAAATTAATTAATAAATTTTAATTTTAAATTTTAAACTACTCAAAAAAAAATCTATTAATTGATTTTTAAATAACATTTATTTATTAAACAAGTATGTTATAATTAATTAATTAAACATCCCTCATCTTTTTGGAACGATTTAATCTCATTTTGGGCAAATTATATAGGAAATATATGTATATATATTGTTATAAGGGCCAAATCTCTATTTTATCTTGTTAATTGTTACATATCAAACTCAAAAGATGTCGATGAAAACTCAAGAAATCGCCGAACATTAATCTCAAGAGATCACCGATAGAGATTTTGCCTCTATCGGCTATAACTTAACCCGTATCCGTATGTATTTGTTTTCTGGATCGGGTCAATGCGATCTCTAGAACATGTTGTTATTAGGTTAAAAGCTACATATTGTTCGTCACCATATTAAAGAATTTTAAAATTTATTGTGTATTTACCAAAATCAATACATATAATTTTCTGACAACATGACATTGTTAGACTAACATAATCCGGTGCTGACAGCCAAAAACACAATCTGGTTAATATGATGATCACTCATACAATAGACTGACCCAGACAACATATATAATTAGATGATAATTAATGGTTTAATCGTAGTCATTACGCTGATCGAAGTTAATTAACTGATTTTTACTATACGTCTTTTCCTTATATGCTATACAATGATTACAATTTTCAGAGTTTAGATTTCAGCTAAAATTTTCGATTGTTTAGAAATAAAGTAAAAGGCGACAACATTTTTAAAGAAGTGTGGGTAACCAAACAAAATTAAGCCGTATGGGTAAAGTGAAAATAGGGTTATGGCCCCTTTTATATATATATATATATGTGTGTGTGTATTTCCTTTAAGAGTTACTAAAATTTAGTATTTTTGTTCTAATTTTCCGACCAAACGTAGCATCGATCCAAATCTACACTCAAAACCATTATTGTATAACCAATCTGTAATTTTCACTCGTTATTCATTTAAGGTATATCAAATATATGGAAAAGGTACTTATATACATATAGATCATGTAGCTAGGGCAAAAACAGTAAACGAATAACATATTGCTATTCATTTGTTTTTCACCTGATTAGTTTGCAAGCAAGAATACAATTACAGATTGATTACACGCACAGATAATTAGTTAATCTTTACCTTTATAATTAAAATTTTCACCTTTATTTTTATATATCTACATGTAACGAAGAAAAGTAATTAACTACACTTAGCAAGAACTAAAAGCAAAGGTATTTATATATATATATATAAACAAATTGATCATTTCTCGAATTTTACGTGTTTTTTTTAATGCAGAACAACGTTAATATTCCATGTATCGTTTTAATTTATCAGATCTCCTTGAAAAAAAACAAAGTTACATACCATCATAAGATGAATAGACATATTCTCCCATAATGGTAAAAAAAAAAAAAATACAAATCATTATCCAAAGCTCCAAACCAAATATCTACAATCAAATTGAATTTGACTATTACCAAAACGAATAAATTTTATATAAACCAAACCTTAGATACATGTATATAATATATAGGGTAGACAATAGTGGATGGTGGTAGTGGAACCACTTAATGCGATTTCACCTTCCCTGTTTTTCTCCCTTTCACACAAAAATAGGATAATAATTAAAAAATCATGTCACACCAAATGTCTTATTTACCATAATACCTATCTCTTACACTCCTTAACGCGAGTCTATATTCTCATCTGAATCACTTCTTACGTTTTCTCTCATCCCATCAAATCATACAATTTTTTTTTTCTTCTTGTTTGGTCAGAAGAAGATGGAGTCCGGTAATAGTAGTAGCATGCAATCTTCAAGCGGCGGCGGAGGAGTAGGAGGAGATGAAGAGTACGATTCACGCGCCGCCGATCAATCCATCTCCGCTTTCTTCGACCACCACAACCACCACGTGCCATCTCTTCCTCCGCCGCAACAAAACCACCTCAACCTCCTTCACTTCGACCACAACAACAACAATTCTCTAATACCACCAAACTACTTCAACAACAACACGTTCTTACCCGTAAACCAACAACCCGACCCGATTTCTCAACCCGACCTGCGAACGTTCTCCGCCACGTCATCACTCCCTCCTCCTAACAACATAGGAGTAATCAAGAAAACCAAGAAAAGATCTCGAGCATCAAGGAGAGCACCAACGACGGTTCTAACGACGGACACTTCGAATTTCCGAGCGATGGTTCAAGAGTTCACCGGAATCCCATCTCCGCCGTTATTCAGCAACAATTCCGTCGTGAACACCACGCGCCTCAACACTTTTCTCGGCTTGTCTTCTTCTTCACCGAACTCATATAACAACAACAATCTCTTGTTACGACCTTTCGCTCAAAAAATCCTCCCAACGTCTCCTCTCCTACCCGGATCACAGATTCAGCAATATCAAAACCCTAGTAACAGTTTCGAGAATATGAATCTACAGTCTCTTCTTCAAGCTCAGATGTCAAACCCTAGGAGTAATGATCACGATCAGTTTGGTCTTGCCATGTTGCAGAGTTCATCTACAACTCCTCCTATGACGACGACGGCAGTGGATAAAGGGACCATAACCACTGGTGAAAATGGAAGTTACGGTGGTTCCGATCATGATCATAATAATGACGGTACTTGGTTATGTTCATCTTCCGACCAAAGAACATAAAAGTATATATATATATATATATATTTCTATTTATATATTTTGTTCGAAATCAAAGATAATATCTTGATCTGACTATTCAACAAATTAAACATAGTACATAGAGGATCGATGATGAAGTTACTCATTTATAATGTTTATTTTCGTAAAAACACTTCTACGTTTTTTTGTAGGGTGTGTTCTTAAAAAATTAATTAAACTATGCTTTGTTAGTTGTTTTATCTAAGTTTTTTCTATATGTGTTGGCGAGTATTTGTTAGTAGTTGGATCTCATTTAAATCAGATTTCTATGTATATTCTGGAAATAGATAGCACCTAATCTATATGTGGTTTTGGGATCCGTACAATCAATATTTCTCCTTTATAATACTGGAGTGAATGGTGGCGAGATTTGTGGAATCTTCGACGGCCGCCGGAGTCTGGAAATATAGTTTCGGGACTATAGTGTATTAATTAAATAGTTGTGTATACCTTTTTATAATAGTGGCGATGATTTGAAACTTGATAAATTACTGTTCTCCCATGTGCTTAGTCTTTCTTGGTGTCTTCTTCCGCATCATTAATTTGCATTAAGAGTCATGTTCCCATTATGATATTTACTTCCATTTGTTATTTTTTACTGGCTTCACTCTCAGTTTTACCACACCAATCGATTTGAAATTTAAAGTAAAAGAATCAGAATGCAAAAGGGAATATATGAAGATAACCAATAGTGATTAAAATGCGATGCGTTCGTGTCAAAGAAACTTTTAGAATGCGATACGTTCAAAAAGTTCGTAGTTTTTTCTTCCATCTCTCTAGTTAATTTTTGCTTGATAATTTTCAACTCTCTACTCTATATATAGTCAGGATGTCATTTACTTTGCTAGATGAGTTTTCAGAAATGTCATTAGCTACTGTATATAACTCTTTGAAAAATACCCTTCTTTTCCACCATGAGAGTTGCTGGTCGTAAAACAAATCATGAGATTTGATGAAAATATCTTTTGCTTGTTCATGTGTACAAAAGTTCAAATGATTTTGATTTTTTCTGTCCACGGACCAGTTACACTAAGTCACCAATGCACGACATAACCTATACACATCACTTACATATATACTGACCACGGTATGCTTATATCTGTATCTCTATCAAAAGGAATATATGATGATGATGATTGATGATGATGGTTATTATTATGTGGTGGTTATGGTGGACCATGATAATAGCTATTGTCGCACTCATGGATTTTCTACATATTTTGAACGGATCATGCCAATACTCGGTGTCATAGTTCAGTGATAAGCCACTGGTATGGCCATTATGTTACTATCCAAATGATTCGATTCGGGATCTCTATATTTTGTGGGCCGACTGGTTCCAAAACTTAAAAGAGTTAGTGCAAAAGGATATTGATACATGAACATCAAATGGGGTGTGAAATAGGGAATCAAATTTAATATTGTTGCTAATACCTATCGCAAAATGAGAAGGATATATAAAAGACATAAACTAAGTCAACTGTTTTCAGTCAAAAGTCTATAGAACTTTAAAATGGTATAGCATAGAGTCTAATTAACACGATATAGATTTGATTTTGATAATAATATGGAATTGTCAAAAAAAATTTGGACGTGTTATTGTCAATTAAATAGTTGAGTTCATGTTAAATACCAATAAGAATGATCATTTTCGAAAGAATGTTAATTGATTTTGAGTGAAAAACCCATAAAACTAATCAAATTTTGATTTAGGGTTGCGCTGACACTTAAGTAGTCTACAATTTTAGAGGTCATTCACTTCTTCTGAAAAGATGAAGTTTTAGAGAACGTTCAAAACGCAAACTATTTCTGAAAAATAAATGATTGGTCGTAAATTGTTATAATAGTAATTTTTTTGAAAATTTTGTTGGTAGCTACAAATTTCAAAGTATACTTCATATGGTTGTGAATAAAATACAGTAGTATTATTATTTAAGTTTGTATACAAAATTACTGTTTATTTTAACCAAGAATTCATAGTTTAAATTTACAAAACGTGATATACTTATATATATATATTCTTAATAATATCGTATATACTGCTGCAGCACATTTGATATATTATGTAAAATATAATTATTATTAATAGCTATACATTATGAAAAGTTTAGAGGTGGTAAACTTTTAGCAATCTTATACACTTAGAATGAAAAATCTTGGTGTTCTCAAATTGCAGATGAGGCAGCTGGGAGTTAGTGAATGGATTTGGTTTTATTTTAATACCTTTTCTTAGCTGTGAACTGTGATTATTTTCAGCTTACCCCTTTCTCAAGAAAAAAATACGGAGTATATATATTTTCAGCTTTCAATATCTTCCTTTTAATGGTCCGTTTGGTCTAATATTAATTGACAATTACCATTCTCTACCAACTATTAACATCGAAATTAGGTTCCACCAATTATGTCAAAGGATATGACCAAACACCGAACAATAAAATAAGCTTTCAGAATTTAATTGGTTTAGAGGGTCGAATAGTTTTCTCTTACTTATTCCTACTCAAGTGTTGACAAATTCGCTACGCAAGTAACAACTAACAACAATAAACTTTTCGGAGGGGAAGTGTAACGTGTTTAGCCAATTAACGTGTTTAGCCAATTAATCACAGATTAATCAAAAAATGTTTATTGTTTTCATAATATTTTGTTTGACCATCTACACAAACGTCAAGACGTCTACTTTTAGAACGATTCTAGGTGACCATTTGCTACATACCAGTTGATAATCAACAAACTAAAAAAAAAATTGTACTCTAAACTATATGTATATCACATAGCAGTGGGTCCTACACTCATATATCCATTTTGTCTTTTTTTCCCGTTACACTCTCAAAAGACTCAGACCAAACGCTTGTGCTTCCCGCAGATAAGGAAGAAGAGAGGAAGAAGAATCAAAGAACCAAACAATGGCGATTTCTACTTTAACTCTCACATCATCTCTATATACACGTTCCTTCATACCAAACTCCTCCTCTTCTTCTATGTCCTCCTCATTCTCGTGTCTCTGTTCTTCTTCCACCGATTGCGAGCCCAAAATCACGAGCCTCGCCGCGAGAAAGCGCGTTTTCGGAATGGGTTTAGGGTTTTTAGCCGCTTCGATTCTCTCTCTGACGCCTCTGGACGCAGACGCCACGAGGATCGAGTACTACGCCACTGTTGGAGATCCTCTCTGCGAATACAGCTACGCAAAATCGGGACTTGGATTTTGCGATATCGATGTTGGATTCGGTGACGAAGCTCCTCGTGGCGTACTCGTCAATGTAATTTGTCTGCCTCTCTAATTTCCCATGAATCGATTTTGATTTCGCTATTTTAAGGGTTTGTCTTTATTACACATTTGGATACAATGTCAGGTTTATAGCAAGTGATTAGTTGAATACATCGTCTTTCTCCTCATGTTAAACTAAATTGCTATAGCTTCTCTGTTTATGCGTTTTGTCAAAATACATATTTTTCCGTCTTATGCTACACATCTGGATTAAAGTTCCCGATTCATGGGAGGTGATTGTGTTGAATCCATACGAAAGTCTGGTAATTTTCATTCAAAGTTTGGGAATTTGGTGTTGGGCAGATCCATTACACGGCGAGGTTTGCAGATGGAACGTTGTTTGACAGTAGCTATAAGCGTGCCAGACCACTTACTATGCGAATTGGTGTCGGCAAGGTACTGCAAAAGCCAATTCGTTTTTTAGTTAGATTCCACAAATGAACACTCTATTTCAAAGTTTATAGGAGTTCTAAGCTGGATTTCATTATTTTCAATTTGATGTACTGACTAAAGGTGGGTGAATTAGTTGATTGTTTAACCGAGCAATGCAAATTTTATCTGACTAGGAAACTATGTTGTAGAAGAAAAATTTTGATCTTTTGGGTAGCACTGTAGTGAATTTACAGTTTACTTAATTGATGTTAGTTCTTTCTTTACTCTTTGTGACTACTGATTAGTGTGAGCAGAGAAGCGGTCCCTAACTTATTAATGTCGAAAAATGATCAGGTTATTAGGGGTCTAGATCAGGGGATTCTTGGAGGTGAAGGAGTACCTCCTATGCGAGTAGGCAAGTAACTGTCATCTTCTTCGTTGTTCGATGTCTTTATCAGACTGAAAACGTAACTCTTGGTGCGGTTTTATTTGCAGGGGGAAAGCGTAAACTTCAGATTCCACCTCGGTTAGCTTATGGACCAGAGCCTGCAGGATGCTTTTCTGGTACTTCCCACCATTCCTTGCAACACTTCACTTGTATATATATGTTTTTTTGCTCTATCACATGGAAATGTTAAGAAAAGATATATCTTTTGGGAATAATGAGACTGTCGTATTGGTTTCTGCAGGTGACTGTAACATACCTGGCAATGCAACTTTGCTCTATGATATCAATTTCGTTGAGATCTTCCCTGGAAGTAATACAAGATGAAGCCAGCTCCAATTTCGTTCGGTTAGACAACTATGTATATGATGTATCAACAGGTGACTCCTTGTGACCTTCTTCAGATGACATCCATTATAATTTTTATGATCTAAAACATCGATAATTCCAGCTAACACACTCCTCTACGTAAATCTGTCTAAAAGTCATGCACTTTAGCTTAGGTGGATATATGTGTGTTAGGTTAGATTTACTCTAGGTATGTGATGCAGCTTGTGTCACAAAGATGTACAGAGTCTAGGATAAAGTTGTGCGATGTGATTGTTCATCATCGTAATATCTCTCTGTTTGGTCCCCCCCACAACTACTCATGAATCTGAAGGCCAAAAACGTGTGTAGAACTTGGGTTCTATGTATGCAAAAAACTGGTCGGAGCAATCTTTTCCTGTGAAAAATAAAGTGCAGGAACTGATTCTGGGTTCCATTTACAGAGCAATGAAGTTTTCTTATAGGCTGGTGTTACTTTGAAGAGCAAGATTCATACCAGTATAATTTGTTGAATCAGTCCTAAGAATTGTATGGTAGGATGTATGTATAGAAAAAATATATGAACAGTATATGTTGCGTAGTCGAATTTTTCTCTCTCTGAGAGTTAGCTTTATGTGATATTTTACGACCCATTGTTTTGGATTTTTCTTTTAATAACATAGTTGGTGAAAAGTAGAGTTTTGAGTTCCCAAAAAACTACCAAAAAGAGCTAAAACAGCAAAAGCAAAAGCCTCGAAAATAAAATATCCCTAATGTGACCAAATGACCCCAAAAAGAATTTCATGATCAAATGAGATTCAAATGATCCAAGAGAGATAGTTGGCTTTCGCTTTAAAATTCTTAGTTTCATACTCTTCAACGAGTATTACGCAAAGTGAGAACTTGACTTCTTCAAAGTCCAAAGCTAACAATAATCCCTTCTTGTTTTGTTTTGTAAGTTTTTAATTAGCATAACAAAATCGAACCTAAAATGTGAACTTGTTTCCATTATTGATAGTTCTTTTTTAGTATATGCCAATGGTAGAAAGATAAATAAAAATGATCACTTATTATATCCAACTGATTAGGCTATAGGCAAGACATTTATTAGCATTATTTTACATTCACTTGTAACACCAACAAAAAGCACATGAAAAAGAAGACAAAATCATGAACAAAAAAGAACAAACAGTAAAATTTCTAACCCATATTTATACATATATATATGATATCCCCACAGGATATAAATCTCTCTATGAATGATCTAATAACTACATGATAGAGCAAGCATTGGGATTATCATCACTAAACATAGAAGCGTAAGAAGGGTCATCGTAGTAAACGCCCATCGTCCCGGTGGTGACGTGTGGGTCCACTTTTCTGACGTAACCGGCCGGTGCCTTCTTGTCGTAAGCCTGAGCTATGTACGGCTGAGCCACCAAGTTGTACGGCACGTACGGCCATATCTCAGCTTTCTTCCCGGTCGCCTTCGCCTTCTTCAGCACCTTGCTCGCTTCCGCGTAACCACTCACTGTCACTTTCTGCTGCTTCTTGTTAATCTCCACTGTTTTCACTCCTGAAAAGATATACAAACAAGATTTTGAATATGTTAATATAAACGGAGCTATATTTATGTATGTATACATGCATAGGATTGAACAAACGGGTTTTAAGATGACACAGTGCAAAATGTGATGAGAACGGACGAGAGTTTTGACATCCTTAGGTTTATATTAGAAAAGAAGAAGTTAGTTACCTTTTAGAGAAGAAAGAGAGTTTTTGATTTTGAGGACACAACCATCACAATCCATTCTAACTTTGAGTTCTACAGTCTGAAACTGCTTCTTCTTCTTCCTCTTGCCATAGCTATGGCTTCCTCCATTTCCTATTAGCGCTGATATATACTCTATTGTTCCTCCAACTCCCATCTTCTTGATGTGATCTTTGACTCGTTTTTTTCAAGAAATTAATAGATAAAAAAAACTACTACTGGGTTCTTCTTTCTCCCTCAATGTTTTCAATATGTGCTGTATTTGTATGGATGTTCGTTTTTGGTTTCAATTTGCAATGAGTTGTTAGCTAGCTTGTCTCGAGTTATATAGGCCTTTGATCTTTTAATACAAGAATTTGCTTTAATATATTATTGTATTGGTACGAAAGAAATTTTTTTTTTTCTGTGTTTAAAAGTTAAAACTGAGACAAGAAAAATAAGCTTGGCCCACTTTATTAAAATATAGAAAAGATGTCCTTATAAGAACTTAAGCTGTAAGCAATATATATGCAAAAAGACCTTGTGGTTTAGGTAAGATATATATTTGATGAGAAATGTTTGGAACTAAAGGTTACGCTCTGATTTAGATTAGAGAAACGCAAGACCTAAGATTATAAATGCGAATTTCAGATTAACCGAACTGATAATCTGATCTAAATTGAACAAATTAAATTAATATTAAAGGTGCTTAGCTTTTTTTATTTATTATAGGAAGACCGAAAGAAGGTGAGAGCCATGCATTTCTTAACGAATTCATACTAGTAGCTTAACAATTAACAGTTTATTTAAACAATTAAAAAGACGGTTCACTATTACATAAATAGGGATATAGGATAAATGATAGAATTAGCAAAATTATAAAGGTGGTTTTTGCTAATTGGGTTAACTTACTACTACACTTAATTCGAGACAGCTTCACACGTTTGAGGAGAGATCGTGAGCGTTCGATATGTATACAGTGAGAAACATTTGACGGCGCCGGCTGGAATACGCGTGTGAAGCTGTCTCCTGATTGGAAGAGCTGTGCCACCTCACCTCTCTCAACTCTAGCTGTTTCATATTTAAGGTTCGCTGGGTCTGCTCAGCTGGTGAATAAAATTTGCAATATTTCAATTATTTGGAATTATTAATGATGGTGGGGAATAAGATTTCAGCTTCTCAAATTAATTTTTGTATATTTCATATCGTCCAAAGACTCTATTAGGTATACTAAAGTGTACTTAATTAAGTACTTTCCTGTGCTCTTCTTTAGGTAAAAATTATTATTATTTCAGTAAGGCTTTAGAAACTCTCAAACGAGGCGCAGAACAGATTATATATATACCCGATTTAATGCTTATGCTTGTTATTATTATTATTAAATATCCACATTATTAGTTGTAGTTATAACTTATAAATAAGAATAGGAAGGTGATCCACTGAAACATTTAGTGGTAAGTTAGCTGACAAAATTTTATAATGTTTTGGAGTTGTCGAGCAAACCTTCAACGTTTGGTACATTTAGTAACATAATTTAAGCAAAACCGACGAGAAGAAGTTTCCCGCAATCGATAAATTTAATTTATATCCATGTCCTAATTATGTTTGTATATGGTAATCTTGATTTTTTTTAGTGTCTACATTAATATTCTTTATATCAACGTATTACAAACAGCCATAATATATATGGTTTTGCTTTTTAGAAACCAGAGTCCAAAAAAGTTTAAAGTTTATAATGTGGACAGGACAAGGTTCCAATTATATATGTATGCTTTTAATTAAATAGATTTTTTAAAAAGATACATGCATGACCATTGTGTTCGTTGGGTTTGGTGTGTTATCTTTCTTAGATTCTTAATTTGGATACACAACAATAATGCAGAGGGTACTCACCGAAAGTAATTACGGTGTCAACTTCAAAATTTATCAACAACAATCATTTATCATTTATTTGTTATCCGTGAATTATGATTTTTTTTTTTTCTAAACTTTATCATTTCTTAACATAATTCTATTGTTAAGCATTTCTTAACATAGATAACCAACCATCTTTTTCTTTTCTCATTGTTGGCCGGAGTAAAAATACTGTATTATATTATTGTTCTTTCAAGCCGGAAAAAACAATTGTGGAAATAATGTCGGGAAAGCAGAAGCACATGGCCTCATGGGCTTTATTGGGCTTTATAGCAGTTTCCTCTTTTCTCAACGCATGTTTTCTCCATCGACAAACATCCTCGTAAGTATCGAACAAAAAAGAACTTTTAATGAGATTATGAGAGGGATGATCTGATCAAGTGAGACTGGCACAGGTTGCATAAGATTGGAGAAGAGTTAAAGCTTGTTCTGTAATGGCTCTGTTTCTTGCACGTGTCACCCAATCACCGACTATTTCCTCTGCTTTACTTCCTTTAACACCTTCTTCAAGTGCAGCTGCTGCTTCTGCTATTTTTCCCTCGGCCAAGTAATCATCAACCTTTCTAATTACAGATTCAATGCCTCCATTAGCTTGATCCACTTCCTTGAACTGTAACCCAAAAAAAAGAAAAAATACAAGGAAGCCATTAATACTCAGAGTTTTGGAGTGCAGACTTTTGTTCCGTAAGTAGCATACCTTGAGCCAAGATGCAACATGTGCTAGTGAATGTGCTAAGATTCCTCCGCCACCAGGTGGAATGAGACTGAAGTGTCTAAGTGTTCCTTTCAAGGTATTGAACTGAAAATAGTAAAGAGAAGAGAGTAAGAAATAAGTTGAACTGTCTTACATCCTTTGACATCTCTTAAATTGATAATAAGCTCACTTTCTGGTTCAGCTGCAGTATTGTATCTGTTCCATTGGATCGTGCTTCTTCTGGAAGAGATGATAACACCAAGTCTAACATTGAGTTCTTATGAATTCCTTCAAGATAAGTCTGAAGCATATCGATTTCTCTTTGGACTGGTAGTCCTTTTGAAAGTGTATCATCAAGCGCAAGTGCACCCTTCAATAACCAGAATGTATTTTTTTAAAAAAAAAATCATATATAAACTTAGAAGGTGGTATAGAATAGCAAAGTTACATGACATTAACATCAACCCATGAAAAAAAAATCAGAAATTGGATTCTTACCAATGCAAGCTTGTGAACTGAATGACTTTGGCGAGCCTCTTCAGAGCGCGCATAGAATGCCATACACAGCGCTTTTATCTACGAAAATTAGAAGGCAAAAAAGAGACATGACTACAATTTCAGGAATTCACTTAGTTACAAAGAGAAAGGTAACACAAATTTGTGTGAGTTGGATAGTTATAATTTGGGTTCGAGAGCTCGTTAGAACAGAGATTACGCTTTCAACATCTTTACAATATGCGCATTTCTCATCATTTCTCATCACAATACCTTCACTTTCTTTGTCTTGATGAAATGTTTTCAACAGAGTGCAGTAATAACTTTCGTTTATGGTTTAGTACTTTAGTCATATTCAGAACCTATCTGATTTCAACGTGCAACTGGATTCCTACACCTTCTTCCTAATTATGATTACGAAACAGTCTGTGCAACATTCTATACCATGAGGTTGGAACCTTTAGGTAACACCGTTTTTGTCTTTACTTACATTAAGATCTGCTTCTGCCATCTTCTCAGTTTGTGCTGCCTTTTCTTTTACAATTGCCGAAATCAACTCAGCTTTTGCCATTTCTTCAGCTTTACTCAAAGCCAACTGCGCTTCAGTTTCCTGCAGTAAATACAAATTGTCAGTTATGACTATCCAAATCGCCATAGGCCATACACTTTTATTCTCATCTCCCTGCGAATGACCAGACCTTTTGTTCAATTTCCGTTTTGAGCTTATCTTCCATTCTCTCTTGGATTGCCTTGATAGCAGCTGCAGCTTTTGTTTTTTCTCTTTTTAGCTCCTGGATAAAGCAACAGTGGCGCTTAAATTATAGCCGTATGTTTTCTTTCTACCCGGGAACATGAAACCGAGATTAGATGGATTTAAACAATTATCGCATCAGATGTCCAATTTTTTAAAGCTGAACATCATCATGTTAGTCTGATGCATATGAGCAGTGCGACTTTGAGTGTTTAATAATCTAGCAGAGGTAAAGAGATAGAAGTACCTTATCCAATATTGCCGCCTCCTCTATCCGCATTAATTCACGTGCTCTAAGATCTCTCAACTCATTTTCGTACTTCTCCTGAGGATAGTCAGGCCAATTGGCAGGGGTAAATAAATTAAACCTCACAGATAACGCAAAGGCAGTACAGAGATGAAAACATTATTATGAGATATTTCATCCTATTATCAACCTTCATGGCTCGTATTTTTTCAGCATAAAACTGGTCATCTGAATGTGCCTGTCTCTTCTCAGCTTCATGGATGGCATCGAGAAAATCAAGTACCAACTTTCTATCTTCAGTCATGTAACCATCTTTCAGCCCCTCAATTGAGTTAGGAAGAGCCTAATTCACAAAGTAGGGCGGATTAAGAATATTTTCTCGGTAATTATCAATCAATACAAAGCACTGAAGGAACAGAGAGAGGAAAATCAAGTTTGAAACCTCAGTTTCTTTAGTCAGCTGCTCCCCAGTTGATAGGGATCTAGTGCTTTCAGTACTACTGCCTTCTAGATTGTATTCCTTAAGGAGAGAACCTGGCATTTCTACTTCCCGCTCAATGTCATCCTGTAAGAGAACGGCTAATTAGAGATGTAGATCATTCCTGCGTAGTTCATCTTCTGCGTTTTAATCTGTAAGCTTTTATCTTCATTACGTGTAGTTCTTTTTCAAGTTCACCTAAAAGGAAAAAAATATTTGTACCTGAGGTGCCTTTTCAGTAGCAGGATCCTTTGGTGAGGCAGATTCCATATCACTTTCTCTATCAACCGTAGTAGGCTGGGCACTAACAACAGTACTATCCCCAGGTTGTGGTACAGCTTCCAACCTCACATTTTCTGCCTCTGTGGACGTGTCAGACTTACTCGAATCTTCAGATGCAGAGTTATCATCTGAAGAAATAGGCGAGCTTTTCTCTGTTCTATCAGTAGCAATTTCTTGAGGCGTCTCTTCTTGGTTAGAAGAAACATATGTATAACGATCAGGTGTTACATCAGACTCGGGCTGCACTAATATGTCACTCTGCACTCCCGCAGAAGCTTCAGAATGAGGAACTTCAGGTTGCGTTTCAGCTTTACTATCCATTGACGAGCTAATTCCAGTAGAATCTTCAACACCTGGAGCTACATTAAGATGATCAGCCTCCTCCAGATTTTCAGTAACTGGTTCGCTTATGGTCTGCTTTTCTTTCCCCAGATATTGATCCAAATACCCAGTCTGATATGCTACCAGAAAGGCACCAACGACCGCGACGCCTCCTATGACAACTTTTGAAGAACTACCTTTAGAGCCATCTGGTTTCCCCACAGGAGGAGGAGGAGGAGGAGACGCTTTTGGTGGATCACCGTTTGGTTTTCCAACGGGATTAGCTCCATTTTTGCCAGATGTAGAAGCCTTTCTCGAAGAACTCAAATGAAACCTCTGCTGCAATGCAAACATAGCATACAACAATCAGAAACAAGAGTATAGTTACAAGATGCTAAACTAGAATCACCACTAAATGCGTACTCACCTGAGCTCCCAAATTCCTTGGGAATCTCTTTATTGACAAACGCGAAGACAGCTCGAGAACAGACCTAAGCAAAGAGCAGCGACAATAATCACATTCGGTAAGATTCACAACGAAACAATAGCTCTCAATCTCGAGAGATCAACAACGAACAGACCCTAAACCTACGGAAATATGATTTTGCCACAACAAGAGAATCGGTAACAATTGTACAGCACGGATTGTCTCCGTCAAAAACCAAAAAATCATCAAAAGCAATCAGATTTATAAGGGTTGAGGAAACATACTTCCGCAGCATTATCGCGTTGCTGTGAAGAACGGAGAAAAAGTTGCGACGGACGGAGAAGACTTTGGAGAAGCCTCCGGTGGGTAACTAATATGATATGCTCTCTCCTCTGGTAACCCCAAAAGCGTTTTGACGTTAAAACGACGCCGTATGGGAGCGTTTGATTATCAAGGGGTAATTTCGACATTTCTGTTGGCGATTGGTGGTACTTATTAGAGTATCATACAACTCCTTCACTTGAAGTCCTCGACATTTTTCCCATTATCAAACACCCGACGAACAAGAACCCTAGAATTCGCCTCCTCTTTCAATTTCCTCAAATTTTGTTTCGTTTTGTTTTTTAATCAAAGACAATGTCGGGTTAGAAAATCCCCAATGTTCGCTCTATCTGTTCATCTCTTCTTGAATTACTGACGCAGGTCTCTCTTTTCTCCGTTTCTTATCTTCGAGATTTCGTTTTTCAGGTTCGTGTTCTTTTTCTTCGGTTTGAGCTTAGAAGTTGATTTCTTTTTTCTGATTTGCGTTGGAACTGTGGAAATTTGTAATCTTCCGTGGTGGATTTTGATCATTGTCTTTTGTTTGGGAATCTCTCTAATTGCCGCTCTTCTTCTACTGCGAATTTAGGGTTTTACATTATCCCGGCGTTCGTTCACGCAATTCGAAAAGCTTCAGGCCAATTTACTGTAAGTCATCGTAAAAGTTTATCTCTTTTGCTTTGGGTTTGTTGGAGAACTAGATTTAATGCGTTGCAATGCTATTTGTCTCATTTGTTTTCGTTGGCTAATTTGGATTTTAGAGAAATCTATTCCCCTACAATAGATTTCTTTTGAAGATTATTTTATTGATTTTTTCTTTTTTTCTTTTTCAGAATCAGCTCATAGGCTAAGATGTCGTCATCACCCTTTCCAATCTTGGACAATCGACCAATCGATAAGTGGAAGGTTACGGAATTGAAGGAAGAGCTTAAAAGACGCAGATTAACAACAAGAGGCTTGAAGGAGGAATTGGTTAGGCGTCTAGATGACGCCCTTCGTGCTGAGCAAGAAGAGTCTGAAAGACTCCGTAGTGCTGCTCTTGCTGCTGCTGTGGCAGCCAATCAAGAAGCTGAGATTACTCGACGCCAAGTTACACCAGATCAAAGGCAAACCACTCCTGTTGAGACAACTCTAGTTGCAGCTGAGACAACTCCAGAACCAGCTGATGCGACGACAACGACAGCTGCGGTAGAGATAATACCACCCCCGGTGTATTCTAAACCAGAGGTTAATGCTAGTGGCCAGGATGAAAAGGTTGATGATGTTAGAGACATAGCTGGTCTTGATACTTCAGTGGTTGATGTGAAGCTAGATGGAGTTGAATCTGGTGTGGTTGCAACTGATGCAGTAGTTTCCGAAGACGCTACTAATGAGCACATTATTCAGAAATCTGATGTAGAGAATAAGGAAACATTTAGCGGGTTGGATGCTGGGGATTCTAAGGCCCAACCTACAGACGCAGTGCTTGAAAAATCTGCTATTTACAACCAGGTATCTGAGGTCATCCCCGTTACAGGGTTTGAGGTAAAATCTGATTGTATTACTACTGATTCTGTGTCAAATAATGAAAAAATAGAACTAAAGGATAACGAAATTGCTGATAATGTCAAATTAGAACAAAATGTTAATAAGTCCCAAGAGCCATCAACAGTCATTGGCGAATCGCATCCAATGGATGTCGAGGAGCCACTTGCGCAGAAGATATCTGTTGGAGGTGGAGATGACAGCGATGCTGCTAATGCAGATATCACCAAAGGAAATAGTATTATCGATGCAGGCGACTCAGAAAAGTTGAATTTAGATAGAAGTTCTGGTGATGAGTCTATGGAGGATGAGCCAGAGACGAAGCAAACCGAATCAGTTACATCTCATGAAGCGGTGGATAAGAGTGATAAAAATGACATTGTTACTGATAAGGAGGAAAGTCGTGCTGATATTATGGATGTTGGGAAAGGGGAAGTCCCTGAAAATAAAAGTCATCCACTGGTGGCTTCTGACAAAAGAAAGCTTCCTGCCAATGGTAAGGCTTCTCAATTTCATTTCGCTCATTAGTCATGTTAGTCTTCTGTGTTTGATCTTGTCAAGTCGGCTATTGATGCATATGTTGCTAGTGTTTAATAGTTGTTTCATATTTGTGTTTATGGCTACTTCGTGTCTCTGTTGGCTCTTGAAGCATGTGTTGCTAAATAGTTGTTTCATCTTTGTGTTTATGGCTACTTTTTGTTTCTGTTGGCTTTTTAACAATTTCATGAATTCCAAGCCACCTATGATGAAATCTTTCAACTTTTACCTCTTTTTAGATCAAGAAGCTGTTGGAAACAATGAGCCTGCAAAAAGGCAACGGCGATGGAACTCTGGGAGTGTTAAAGTTCATGAAGCACAGGCCACTAATAGCGCCACACCCACCACAACTCCGAGGTCAACTGGTCAGAAGCGTGACTATTCAAGATCCGACTCTTCGGTTAGTGAGGATGGACCCAAGGAACGTGTGGGTAAGTAAAATATCACCCGTATATGTATGTTACCATCTCTTATCCGTTGTTTAAAATATTGTTTTATAATATTTTGTGTTTAATATATCTATTGGCAGTGCCTCCATCGCCAAAGGAGCCTACGAATTCCCTCAGGATTGATCATTTCCTTAGGCCGTTCACACTGAAAGCTGTTCAAGAGCTTCTGGGTAAAACCGGAAACGTCGTTAGTTTCTGGATGGACCATATTAAGACCCACTGCTATGTATCAGTAAGACCGCTTCTTCAATCCTTTTGGTTTACAAAAATGTTGATTCCAGTTTTGTTCTTCTGACTTTTACTTATATATCCAAAGAGTTTTTCCTTATCTGAATCTTGTTGTGATGTACATGTAGTATTCATCTGTTGAAGAAGCTGCAGCAACAAGAGAAGCAGTGTATAACCTCCAGTGGCCACCTAACGGAGGTCGCCTTCTGACAGCTGAATTTGTTGGACCAGAAGAAGTAAAAGCGAAACTGGAAGCACCTCTGCCTCCTCCTCCTCAGCCACAGGCTCAGGCAATTTCGCGGCCACCTCCAACTGCTCTTCCACCACCGCCGCCTCTGGCTAAAGCACCTCCAGTCATAGAACGTCTTCCTCCTCCGCCCCCTCCTCCTCCTCTAGTCCCTGAGGAACAAGAACCTCCCATAGTCACGCTTGATGATCTCTTCAAGAAGACCAAAGCAATCCCCAGGATATATTACTTGCCCTTGTCAGAAGAGCAAGTTGCAGCTAAACTTGCAGCTAAGAACAAGAAGTGACGTTGTTTCTTGGGGGGTTTCAGGTCATTATTTTCATAGCAGACTCTTAGGAATTTAGCTCAGTGCGGACAAAAGTTGAGGACTTTGTTGAGTTTGGTTTGGTATTTCTAATGTAGAACGCAGGAGAAGACTCTTATGTTTACTAGACTTTGGTTTGAATCTTTGATGAACGAACAGAGTTGCTTGGACCTTTACTCCCATTTTTTTTTCCCCTTTTTTATGAAGTTATGAACAATTGTTGGTTCAAAAACAAGTACAAGCAAACCAATATTATCAGTCGTACGTACGAATCGAATATCACGCGTGTGAGGTTATATAGAACTCTGATTATCTTTTTCAGATCGGTCGGAATTTGACTTCCGAGTTTTGGTGCCAGCAAAATGTTTTCCGAAAAATAAAAATCGATAACTAAACTTGCTTACAACAACCTTTTAACACTCGACAAGGAAACACCAAGTAACAGACAGAATATAAGATATGTTACATATACAAGGACAAATTACATAGAGAGAACTTTCTGAACCAGAAATTCCTTACTTTAGATTTCACTCTTGCGATTTGATCGCTATTTTTTCACTATAAGATAAGCAAGAAGGGTAGATTTTGTTAGAATCCCTTCCAGTGGCAAAAGAGTTTTCGACAGCGAGGCTTTGAGCTTTTTCTTCTCTCTTCTTTTCTTTCTCATTTTCTCTCTTTATCTTCTCCTTCAGCTTCTTCTGCATAAGATGTACGGGTGCGTAACTTGCTCCAATGGATGACATTTTTAATTCTGTTTATAGTGTTTATATATATTGGCGGATAAATGTTGTAAGAATAGCATGTAGTTAAGAGTTTCCAACTGAATGCTGAGTTTGTTGACGAGTGCCTATTTATAGAGGTTTCTATGACTTCATTGCCCCTTATTATATTTTGTTTTTTCTCTTTTACCTTTATATATGAGAAATTTTGGCTTTTCTGGTCTATAGTTCTCATGGTTTTTTCTTTTGTTTTGTTGATCATAATGTGTAGTTTTCATGATGTTGCATGTAACAATTTCATAAAGTGTAGATCAACCTTGCCTCCGTTAGATCAATGGCCTTACCTCCGAATCTGGTTAATTGGCACCAGAATTTGATTTTCTATTCTTATTTTGAAGTTTTCTTTTGACCTCTTTCAAACTCCAAAAGCAGAGGCTTGTAAGATAATAGTGTTGTTGTTGATGAATGACAATAAGACAAAACAAGTGTAGATCATTTACAAAAAGTACGATGGAAACTTTTCCTTTTTAATTGATCAACTATAATCGATTAGATAGGAAGATTATCGTGAAAAATGAAATATCAAATCTAGAATGGATTCTAGATGACCTCAAAGTAAATAGCTATAAATCCCCAAGAAATTCTTTTTTTTTTTACAGAGCTTCTCTTAAACTATGAATTAAGATGATAACGTATTTAATAGTGAGTGAAACTATGCATCAACTGTTTTGTAAAATTATAATAGCTTGATGTATTAAACAATCGTGATTAAGTGGCTTATACCATGGGAAGCCGGAAGTGGGTTCTTCCACTAGTTACCATATACTTACTAATCACTCATTAAAAATAATAAATTAGAAGGGAGGTTTCATCTAATATGTGGCTTTTGCTTTAAGGGCGGCTCTTATGTCAATGACTTAAGTTAAAGTTATGGTCCATAATATTATCTTCGTCATATATAATTTGATTAATCTTTGCATGGTTCTCTTCTCAAAGTAATTTGTAATAATTTATCGACTAAAACTATAATTACTATAGTTTTTTCTGCTCTATTGTTTTATTCACTTAACTCGGTTAGACGTTTTCTAATTCGGAGCTTTTCCTTATTCAAACTTTACATCGGTTACACATTTTCTTTATTTGGACTTTACCTCGGTTAGATATTTTCCCTATTTGTATCTTATATTTTTTTGAGTTTTTTTCTTATTTAGATCTTACACTGGTTGTTTTGTTTTCTTCTCATTGAGATCTTAAAATCAGTTTAGTTTATTTCACATTGAACTTTTGCAGTTTGTCCTACTGCTGAGTTTATTTTACACCTACCAATTCAAAAACAATTGAATAAGTCAAAACTTTAGAATTTATGAATGAGTAAATAATCTAGTAAGTCAAAATATGGGCGTGGATGGGAGATTAATGGCCAACTAGTCGGAGTCCAGTTTATTTGTATTCTTTTATGTGAAATTTCTAAACACATAGGCTTTGTAAAAGATACCAAGAATTAGGATGTTACTAATTACAATAACATGTTACTAATTACAATGACATGTTAAAATAGTAAGTTTGGATGTTGTTCTCAATCATATTTTAAAACTTTACAGAAAAAGATCTTTTAAGACTTTCATACTTATAGGCCCGTTTCAAAAAAAAAAAAAAAGACTTTCATGCTTATAACTGAAAAATATAAATCCTAGAACCTTTTTTATTATAGCTGAACTGATAATAAAAAAATATGGTTCGTACTAATTAATATACTTTTTGAATAATTCATTCATTTTTGCCGTTATACTGAATAATTACTATGTATACATTTTTTAGAAATGATTTTTTTTTAGGGTTTTGTTAAATGGTTTGTAAAGAAACGAATTAGACATGTAGTGGACCGACTTTAGTTATTTGTTCATGATTACTGATTACTTTTGACTTTTTAAATGAAAAATGTCTGAGCCCGGGTTCGAACCGGGGACCTCTAGTGTGTGAGACTAGCGTGATAACCGACTACACCACCCAGACTTTGATGTGGGTGATAATCAGAATACTATATATCACCTGTTATAATGAAAACCGGAGACACTGATACAAAACCTAATGGCATGAATAACTGAATACCACCAAACAAGCAAGGACCTATGGTTTGGTAAATGATTGTTTTCAAAAATTAGTTGGTAGTCGAAAAGAGCTAAATAGTGATTTAAAAATTAAACTATATTTTTAGAAAGTGGTTTCAATAGAAAAATATATGAAAAGGGATAAAACCAATCCGAAACATAATTAAACAATATCAAACTGTAAATGTGTTTTTTTTTTGTAAATTATATTGTTGCCAGTCGTATTAATTAGTGTTATAGAAGGATGAAAGTAATTACTAGAACACATGCTTTACTGATTGTGTAAATCAACGAATAAGTGTTATGCATAAATAAATCCGTGCCGTTAAAAAGAAAAGAGTATGGCCGTATCGGGTCTCTCTGTGTTGTTTTTTAGCTATGTATCCAGAAATAACGAACATGAAACTACTGGTGGTTTGATCAAAAAAAAAAAGAAGGAACTACTGGTGCTAATCAAAAGTAGAAGAAAGGAAGATGATCTCTTCCTCTCCCTTTACCGTTTCGAGAACGTTTTAATTTGCTCAATGCATTACATAACTCTTTTTTTTTTTTTTAGGCCTTCAGAATTTAGACAAAAGCTCCAACTAAATTACTAGGATACAACAAAAAATAAAAAATAATAATTTACAACGACAAAATTGACGTCGAACAAAATTGTTAGCATGTATGAAACGGCCAGTTTTTGTCATTTAAAAGTTAATGAGTTTGTTTAGCAAAAAATTCAAAAAAAAAAAACCCTTGGGGTCTCTCTTTTTTAATTTACTTTTAAGTATTATATTCAAGACCAATCTGGGGACAGCAGAAGAAACATTGGCCTCTAACCCCTTTTTCTGAGATTATACATGAACATTTTGGTTCCCAAATTATAAATTTTTATTAATATTACTCTTAAATTGTTTATAACCCTCAAATTCTTAAATCCAACTCTGGTTACACTTCGTTGATTTTCTCGCAGCAACATACCATACAAGTTCCAGTCTTGTTACGTACGCAAAAAGCGGATTCATATTCATATCCGTATTTTCCGGTTACGCAATCCGTAAAGCATGACTCCGTATACGGTCCGACCGGATGTTTACATTTTGCATCGACTGATATTGGTCCTGAAAATTCAATAAACAGAAGAGTAGAGAGAGAGAGAGAGACATTCAGTAAGTAGTCTTGGGCAAATAAATATGTGTTTATTCGACAAGAAAGTGAATTTCAATCCTGGACACGAGTCAAGTACCATTAACCTCGCTTTCAAAAAAAAAAAAACTAATAATCTAAATTTCTTACAAAAAAATGTACAACAGATACACAAAGATGTGGGATAAGTATCCCTTTCAGCTAAATTTCCCTAATAGTAATATTTAGTCAAATTTTAATGCTGAAACAAGTCTTTTAGTCAGCTAAAATATGCTATTACGGAAACTTTAGTTAGCTAAATTTCCCTTTCGTCTTCAAAACCAATGAAAAGGACTAACCAGAAATGATGATCATGATCATGATGGTAACCAAAAGTAGAGGAGAGGTAGATGATCTCTTGACTTCCATTTTTCGTATTCAGAGATTATGTTTGGAGTTTTTATATTTCACTTGTTATATATAGTTCAAGAAATAAATAGTGAGATTATAAAAATTTAAAAATCGATCATTTTACTAAAATATTACAATTAGGGAAGTAATATTAATTACACATCTTTGACTAAAATATTAATATTAGGGAAGTAATATTACACATCTTTGACTAAAAATTTACACATCTTTGTGTATCTACAAGTTTTTAAGTAATACTCCCTCTGTTCAGAATTATTTGATGTTTAAGGTTTTTGCACACAGTTTAAGGATTCATTTAATTTTTATTTTTTCTATACTAAAAATATTATTTATAATTCATTTAAATATCATTCAGCCAATAATAAGACAATCTGCAGAATATAAAAGATCAAAAACTATAAAAATTCATTAAATTTTGCATTGAAAAGTGAGAACATCAAATAATTCTGAATAAAAAAAACCTTCTAAAACATCAAATAATTCTGAACAGAGGGAGTATTACACATCTGTCATTTGTAGGTCCAATCTTCAATGATTTTATTGCTTTGGCAGTCTTCTACTGAAATTCAAGTCTGATATTGAAAAAAACGTATGAGTGTATTAATATTTCGACCTACTAAATGTATAGACTAATATATATGTTAGTGGGGAATCCTGGTGTATGTGGTGTGGACTGTAAGTGTTAATACCTTATTTATTATAATAAATCGCTTTTTACAGGAATTAATAAAGATTTTTGCAAATATCGGAAAATTTTAAACATCTGTCAGGTTAAAACTTAACGTAAAAAGTCTAAAGATTTGATGGAATTTAGTTGAATCTAGACATTTAATTGAATCTGAAAGAATTCAATTGAAGAGATAGCAATAGAAGTTCTCGTGTTTAAAAGGATTTGATGGAATTTTGTTAACTTTTATGTTTAAGAATGCAAAAGAGTTTTTCCAAGATTTGACCAGAATGCAAAAGAATTTTAATAGGGACAAATTTCTCTAAAATCTATGCATTTTGAATTGGTTATTTTTTTGTGTACATAGATATAATTATTAAAAAAAAATATATATATTATTAAATTTCCATAAATTCAAGACAAAACCAGTTTTGAGTTCTTATAAAAGTTTATTTTTCAGAAGAGGTTTTAGAAAAGTTTAAAAGCAAATAATATTTAATGATATAGAATGAACAACATTTGAAATTCAATTTCTCAAAAAAGACATCAAATATGAAAGGATTGAATAACAGTAAAATTGATCGAATAACAGTAAAAAAAACTAATAGATTGAATAACAGTAAATTGTATTTTGAAAGAATGACTAAACATACTGAATCTAATAACACATCTATATTATATTATATTAAAACATAAGCACATTTAGTATTTGCTTCCAAACACTCCAAATTTTTTTTAAGTATTTAAAATAATTTTAAAAATAATTTATATTTAATTTCGAAAATTAGTTATTAATTTAAATATTTTTAGAGTTCTTTAAATATAGATAATTTAGATTTGATTTGATTTGATTAAAAATAATAAATCAGATATTAATTTAGATTTGATTTAAAGATTCTAATTTAAATAATTTCTATACTATTAAACATTTTTATCCAAAATATCTAGAATTTTTGAAAAAAAAAATTCACATATGAAAAATAATGGTCATATTTGAAATATAAAATATTTATAATGATGTAAATGATATGATATTTATGTTGTTTATATAATATATTTACGATTATGAATTGTTTACAAATTAATAATAAAATAATTGTTAAAATTCAAACGTATAATTTAAATATTAAAAATATATTTTTTAAAATTCATAGAACTAAAAAATATATATAAAAAACCGGGTTAAAAATATTTTGGTAACTAATATCACTAATTTTGAATTATACATGTATATCAAAAATATATTTTTCATACAAAATTAAAACATAAAAAATTAAAAATTATTGCATACACTATAATGTGGTTTGAAAAACCAGTTGTACACTCTCTTCGTTGATTAAATTTTAGAAAACTATAATGCTAAATAATATTGTTAATACATCTCAAACTTTTAACAAATATTTATATTATACGGTAATATGAACGGAAAAATTAGAATTATGTTTTTATAATAATTCATTTTGAATTAATATTAGCGGACGGGTTAAAATTATATTTTATAATCATAATTAATTTTAATACTATAAAAATATATTTAAAAAATCAATATTTTCGCTTATTAAAAAATATATTTATAAAAAATAATTATATCTAAACTCAAAAACACAAATTATATTACAAAATTCGTTAAACAATAAAAAATATTCTCGTGCGGATACACGGGTTAGAATTTAGTTACATTTAAAAGAATGGATGGAATACTTCATTAAATAACACAAGAATTTCATCGAAATCTTAATTCCTTCAATCAAACTTCTGGATTCAATACCTAAGTGATATTGAAAAATGACGCTGACTAAGCCAGAAATCACGACACATGAAACTGATGGTAATCAAAAGTAGATGAAAGGAATATAATTTCTTTTTTTTTTTGTTTTTCATTTATTTTGAGGACGTTTTAATTTGCTTAACACATTACATAATAGTTACAAACATTTCTTTGCTTGGCCTCTGACAAAAGTTCCAATTAAAATTTACAAGGGAAAAAGAAAACTATTTACAAGGACAACTGAAAAAAACAAATTAAAATTGTTACCAGTCCAATTTAATATCCCTTTCAATGTAAAGTTTATCAATATACTCTATGATCGGACGTGACGCTTCCATGTACCTCCTCATGTTCTTCTCAACAGATTGATCCGTTTCGTTAAGCCGTAACAGAAGTTGATCCCTCGTCGGAAGTGTATACATTCCGGCGTAAACAGCGGTTCTAACGGCCCATGTATGAAACGGTGCGCAGACTTCTGTGTAAGCTGTTGTCGCAGCGTCTTTCAAAGAATATTCATCTGTCATCAAGAACTGTTCGAAGATTGCTCGGATTAGATCTAAGCCTTGTCTCACGCGTCTTAGGTTACGCGAATGGCTTCCTGGTGTTTTGACCGTGTCTTTCTCCACGTCTAGATCCAATATGTTCTGTAACGTGTCGAACGTTTTCGAGGCTTCCACCAAATCCTTAACCTTGGAGACGTACTCCATTTCAGCGAATTTGAAGGCGAATCCGAGGCAGCTGAAGAGAACAGAGACGTGAGTGCACGCATTGCAGAAAGCATCAAGCCTTAATCCGTCCTCTTGAATTATTGATCCGGCTGGTTTCAGCAGATCCGCTAGATCTTCGAACGCCTCGGTGATAACCGACAAAGGCGTGTTGTTCACTCTGGCGGGTGTCGTGGTGCACACGGCATCCTCGAACGTGTCTTCTTCTTCTTCCTCCTCTTCCTCCATTACTTTCTTTCTCTCCTCCTCCTCCTCCTCCTCCTTTTTATATAGCTTCGCCACGATTGCTTGAAATGTTGAAAACTTTTTCTGATCGTGATGGTTTGTTTACACTTGCGAAAAAATGGTTCTGCGCTTATGTTTTTGGGACGTGACTTTTCGCAACACTTACGGGTTCACCAATCAATCACAGGTGAGAACCATTTTTTTTATAATGGAAAATTTAACTATATAAAGAATGGCTATAAATGCTTGCAGCTATTTTGGTGAGAGAAAGAGGATATAGAATAAATGTAATTGGAGGTGATTGCACTCAATTAAGAATTTGCCTTGTTAATTCAGTGTTGTATATGTTATAGTCACGGATCTACGGGGCATCATCATCTAGTATACTTACTCAGGGGAAGAAATTTTATTTATTTATTCTCAAATCAAAGGAAGAGAGAGTTGGATTGGTTCATAACAAAGAACAGAGAAACATTAAAACAGATCATACGTTTAAGAATTCACTTTCTTTCGTCCTTCACAACCTCGACATGGAATAGTCCAATGCATCTACCAAGAAATCTGTGGATACAAAACAAAACTCATTACATAACATACACATCTCGTTTGAAAAAAAAAAAATCAAAAAAATTATCATGAATTTACCTGCATCGTCTTTGGTGAAACACATTGGTGGCTTTATCCTGAAAACATTACCATGCAGTCCTCCTTTTCCAACGAGAATCCCAAGTTCTTCATTAAGAGAAAATAGCAAGATTTTCGTTAGGCAGTCGATGCATTGGCTTTCAAATGTTGTTTAATGTTGGTTACCTCTAAGTTGCTCAAATAAGACAGCTGTTTCAGCCTTGGCTGGTGTCTTGTCCTTCCGGTCAGTCACAAGCTCGATCCCAACCATTAATCCCCTTCCTCTCACATCCCCAATGACTGAATCCCACAAACAGACGAGGTTAAGTAAAAACAGAGTAATGATCTGATAAAAAGCTCAAAGATTGTTCTGTTTACTTACTATCATGTCTTTTCTGCAGATCTTTCAAACGTGGAATAAGGTGTGAACCAACTTCAGCACAATGTGCTTGACGTTTCTCCTTGTCGATAACGTTTAAAACAGCAAGTCCACCAGCTGAACAAACCGGGTTTCCCCCAAAAGTGTTGAACTGAATCTTCGTGGCTAAAACGCTCGCGATTTCTGGTGTAGTCACTACAGCTCCTAATGGCAATCCATTTCCAATTCCCTGTGAATACAACAGGTACCAATGGTCAGTAAGATTACACACCACCTTTTTGTGAAGTAAATAACAGTCAATGTAGTCGTATGATTCTCAAATGGTAAGAACTTCTTTTGACAAACCTTTGCCATTGTGACAATGTCAGGAACTACATCCTGAGTCTGGAAACCCCAATAGTGACTTCCTGTCCGGCCAAATCCAGTTTGGACTTCATCGGCAATGCATACACCACCAGCGTTGCGTACAATTTCATAAACCGACTTTAAGTAACCAGGAGCCAATTCTACAGCTCCTCCGACCCCCTGCAGTGGAAAAGATTCTGGCGAGGTGAAGATGATGCTCGAGAGAGCGGTAAATCAAAAGACAATAGTTTAAAGTAATCTGATGGTTCTTTCAGATAAAAACCTGGATGGTCTCCGCGATGAAACCAGCCACTTTTCCAGAAGTACCATATTGAATATGGTCTTCCACATCTTTTGCATAAAGAGAAGCATCAGACCCAAATACTCCACGGTATGGATCTGGATTTACGACGTGGTGGATTTCACCCTGCACAATAACAGAGTTGGCAAACACGCTATCGTAGAGAAATATATTGCAGAGACTTTTATTCTGAAGGTTCTAAAACGTGGGTAAAGGTGAAGTAAAAGACTATGCCTTAAATTTCAGAAATATATATGGTCACCCAAGCGCGAAGAGGCAGAAACCGAAGCTAAAGACGATATCTCTATTTTAGTGCATATGAATATCAGGAATCAAGTCGATTTTCCGGGAAATGAAAGTCTTGGGGACAAACCTGTGGTAATGGGTATTTCCATGTGTTAAGAGCTGTTAGTCCAATAGTATTAGAACTTCCACCATGATAAGCATTTCTCAATGAAATCATCTCAAGGCTACCGGTGTAAAGCCTAGCCATCATCATTGCTAGCTCATTAGCTTCTGAGCCAGAATTTACAAAGTACACAACCTGCACCCAAATAGTGAAGCTTGCTGATTCCTCGACAAAGCAAATACAGAAACCTAACCTAACTACATCATTCTTCACGAGCTCTTTCCTTAAATCTCAAGTACCTTTAGATTTCTAGGCATCTTAGCAGCTAATGCTTCAGCGAAATCGCCAATGGCATGATGCAGGTATATGGTGGTCGCATGCTGAAGAAGCTTGCTCTGTTCGTTAATAGCATTTAGAATGTCGGGATGGCAGTGACCGCATGAGACTGTGACTATTCCAGCAAAGGCATCCAGATATCGCCTACCAGTCTCATCAAACAAGTACTGCATCTTCCCTTCAACGATGTTAAGCTGCAAAACAAATACAGGAGGATAGAACATTAACCACAAAACCAGTATCAAATCAGATCCAAGTGTCATCACATGGATCGAGCTGACGATAAAAATAAATGCAATCAGGACCAAGCGAACACTTACGAATTCACAAGCAGAGTTAAATTGATCAAACGCAAGCTAATTTACTTCACAGTTCACACAAATCGATTTGTGGGCTCCTACGGTTAGAACAAGCGGAACCCTAACAATTGATCATAAATATGCAAAAATCCGGAGATTCACGAATCCAAAGACGCTTATTAGTCCCTGAACAAATGCGATAGACACAACCAACATATAGAATTTCAATCCTAGTATTTGATTTCAGCAGAATACGACAAATCACGAAGAGAAAATTGGGAAAGAAAAAAACGGACGTACAGGCTTTTGGTAGAAATGGAAAAGAGAGGGTCCGAGAAACTTCTTCCGTTTCTGGAAAACTTCATCGGCGGAAGGACCTTTATACGGCCGCGGCTGGTAATCGAACGGCGGAAGCTGCGGCGGAGCATCGGCAAAAGAATGAGACGTGGAGAACTCAGAGCGGAGGAGTGAGATCGCAGGGAGATGATGATGGATATTTGAAGCTCTATCGACGACTCTCTTGAGAAGTTGCCTCCGTAAAGCCATAACTTAAAAACTAAAGAGAGAGAGATAATTGACAAGTTAGGTAGCAAAATCACAGTGTATTTATACGACTGTCAGTAAGATTAATACTGGAGTTAATCACAATATTTTATAAACGACGACGTATCGATACGATTCTCAAAAAGAGATTCCTACCTAACAACGTCAATTAAATAAGATTCCATGCTGACACATCACCGCCGATTATCCTCTGCTTTATTGATTGATGACGTGTCACTGACTAGAGGCGGAGTATCCGACGAGATATCTATCTATCCTCGAATTGATTAATTAATTAAAATATTATTGAAAAATAACAAAGAAAAAGATAACGCAACTCTTTAGTCAGATGAGTAAAAGCCTCAAAAACAAAGGGCATGGGACATTTTTCACACAATACAGTATAAATGTTGTGTGGTAGAGTCATTCAATGATCCAGCGCTTGTACTTAAACCAGCGAATGATAACAGCGTAGAGGAATAGCCAACCAAAAATAGATCCAAGCGAAATACAAAGGAATATCATTGGACCATTTTTCTCATCTTTGAACAGCTCTATGCTTATATTCATACCGAACACTCCGGCAACGACTATAAAGGCATTAAGCAACAGAGTAGCTGTTGTTGCCTTCACATTACTTTGCAAAAGACGATTCTGTTCGCCATCTTGCTTTATCTTGATGTAGTCCTCTGTGTCATCCACATGTTCCTTTAGCTTTCATCAAAACAACACAACACCACAATGGATAAGAACAAGTTCTTGAATCACCGACAAGATCAAGTGACCACTCTCTGTGTTTGAATTACTTACTGTTGATAGTTTGTTCAGTGTTCCATCGATCTGCACGAAATATGGTTCCAAAAGCATTTCAAGCTCTTTAATATTGAATTTGTAGCTCATGGCACTCCGGGTTGGGCTTGCATGAGTCCCACGGCTGTTTCCGTTGAGTTCACTCGTGAGAAGATCGTGAGCATCATTTGCTTTAAGATAGCTTTCATCTCTGTTAGCCTCCGATGCAAGCCTGACATGTTGTGGTTAAAAATTAAGCAGATATGTTATACTTATATCAGAATAATCGAAAGAAAGTACGTTCAGAAAGTTGGTACATGCCTGTCCTCCTCGTCTCCTTCAAGAAGATCTGAATTCTCAACTTCTTGTGCTAGCTTCTCCGTAAGATACATCTGAGCCATATTTTCATCATTGTCTAGAAGATGTTCTAGTTCGTCCCTAACCTAGAACATGCAGGTAGGTAGGTTATATACACGTGAAGAGAAAGAAGGTGTTAAGTAATAGGCAAACATGCATGGTTTAGAATATGGCCACCTCTTAGGTTCACAACTTAGAAAGAACAAAAATTTGTATTAATCATAAAAATCAAAGAAGCTATGGGAAAGTCTGAATTAGAATACCTTCTGAACACGTCCGGTTATATTAACCAGCCTGGTTTTAATCTGTAGAACCTGCTCCAAGTTGAAGGTACTGATCTTGGAAGTAAGTTTGTCCAAGGCTAGATGAGCCTCTAACTCCAATCTCAAGGCCTACATTAGAATAAGATATGGCTGAAAATACCTCTGTGATAATTAGTCTTAACACAAGTATATATAGATTTACCTCTTGTTCCAGACTGCTGGATGCAGATTCAAGACAGACTTCCAAAGCAACGAACTCAAACGGAAGAACCTTTGATCCATCTTGATTCTCAAGACTTTGCTTCGCATCTTTCTTGGCTACATCACTCCCTTGGTTTCCAAACAATTGTGGCGTTCCAGCTTCTCCTTGGGAAGGATCTATTCTCGTATATATATGAGCCTCTCCCTCAGAGTTCTCTTCCTCCTTTACACAAGGCATACAAAGAAAGAAAGATTATTATTTATGAAAAAAAAGCCAGCAAGAAGAGAGAATATAACTTTGAAAAACTAAGCATTATATACTGGACACGTAAGAAGAGCGAGAATGAGGTTTTGGATTTGTTAGAAAAAATGTTAAGTTTTTCTAAAAATAAAATTAAAAAAGGATAAAAAAAATGAACCAAATAAGGATGAGATACACTTATAAATTCATCATGGTAGTGAGGTCAATTATTAGTATTTTAACCAATTTTGTAGAAGTTAACTAACAACTTAAAACTTGCAAAAGTTATGTATCATATCTAATTAAGGGTATCAGATGAACCCTCTCTCCTCTCTCTATTGCAAATATTAACAAGCCAATGATATATTCCACAAGGAGAAAATATAGGAAAGCAAAAACCAAAAAGAGACTTCCAAATATTTCCTCCGAACGAAGAGTGAAAAAACATAAACCCTAAAGTCACCTGAGGTTTAGAGACATGATGGTGGCAGAGAATCCGCCTCTGTAACTCGTATTTAAAGGGTGACACCAAAGGATCACCGGAGTTAAGCAGGAAAACCTCTTGCGGGGTGATGATTGTCTTAATATGCTCGAGGTTGACGACGATCGCTTTCTCTCTACCCAAAACAGATGATGGATACGACAACAGTGGATCTAGAATCCGAAGATCTCGCGCCGGTAAACCCGTTCGTCGCATGATGTCGTGTTTCCCAATCAACTTCGGCTCGTCCCCTGATGAGTAAAGCACCAACCACGGCCTCACGCACACGCCTTTCTTCCGTCCGCCGCCACCGGTGGAGTACGTCGGTGTCGGCTGGCCAGCGTTTGGCTTTGCTTGAATCATACCTCTCATGGCGTACGATGCAATCAGAGAAGAGCATGTGTGTCGAGTTTTTTTTAGGTTTTCAATATGAAAGGAACCTACAAAGTAAAAAGTAAAGGAACAAAATACTGTATTCTTTTTATACCGTTAATGAGTTTTTTTTTTTTTAAATTCATATTTTTCTGGTTCAATATTTATCGGACTTACACTTATCCTTTCTTTTTGTTTTAGTTATTGTTACGATGGAAGAAAAAAAATATCTGGATCAATATTCTGGCTAACCAAATAAATTTTATTATGTATTTATTAAAGGTTAATGATGCAATAAAAAATGGAACAGAGTTAACTCCAAACTCAATATCCTGAAGGGAAACCTCCTTTTCTAGGATCACTAACTGCCACGAGCTTATTCAATTCGCCGGAATTTCCATCGGTTTCTTGAACTATGAACTGAGAAATCGTTCCTCCGGATAACGGCGTTAGGACATGACCTTTCTTCTCCAACACAACTCTTGTCTCTTTAGGAATCTCGAAATGATCATTGTAAACCGTAGTCCAGTTCTCATACGAAATCATGTTTGGTATCAGCTGCAGAGTAAAATCATAATAACAGATTTTTTAGTTATGAACAATAAATAACAAATTATATTTTGGGTTAAAAAAAAAAAAAGGGAAGAAGCAAAAACCTGGTGGTAGATTCTTGGAGCCGTGACGGAAGAGAGAGGATCCATGTTGAGGAAAAAATGATTCAAGAAAACTTCCGTCGTTCCAGCGATGATATACATTCCTCCGCTCGCACCCACCACAGCTTTCACTTTACCGTCCTGTGGAAACCAAAGCAGAAAAAAAAACTGTCGTTTAGAGTTACAACCCTAATGCAGAGTTTTCTTATAGCACAAGTAACACGTTTTTACTTTAACCTTGAGCACAATGGTGGGAGTCATTGAGGACAAAGGTCGTTTCCCGGGACGGATGAAGTTAGCCGGTGCCGGTGGCGGCACATCTTGGCCACCGCTAGATTTCATTGGGATCGAGAAATCGTCCATTTCGTTATTCAGAACAATTCCGGTGCTCGGAGAGAGCATTATTGCCCCAAAGTAACCGTTTATTGTACTAGTCATCGAAACAGCGTTCCTCTCGCTATCTATGATCGATAAATGGCTCGTCCCGTGATCGTTAATCTCATTCCATCTACGAGTTGGAGAAAGGATTGATGATTAAATCAAGAATGGAAGAAGCTGAAAATCGGTGGATTTTAAATTTTTAATAGATCGAAAAAAAAACTTACTTGCCACCGTAATATTTGGGATCAAATGTTTTCTCGTCGTTTATCTTTCTCTTCACGTCTTGCGCAAACGTTGGAGACAGCATATCGGAAACAACCTTCGTAACATCAACGAAATCTGGATCCCCAAGGTTCATTCTAACCGCGAAAGCATGTTTCAGAGCCTCAATTAGTCGATGAACACCGAGAGTGCCAGAAACACCCGATGGAATCCCATATTGAGAAAGAATATTCAAAACCTGCAACACAAGAAACTCCGTAAAATCCTTTAGTAAACTTAGGTTTGATAGGATGTGGTTATTTTTCACAAAAGACTGAAACTTTACAAGCATCATTGCAGCGCCACCAGATGAAGGAGGAGGCATCCCGAGTAGTCTGTATCCGAGAATGTCTGTGGACAACGGTTCTTTAACCTTAACTCTGTAACTTTGTAGATCTTTCAAAGTTATTATCCCTCCAGACTTACGGATGTCTCTCGCTAGGTTAATACCAACCGTACCATTGTAAAATGCTTTTGGACCGTATTCTGCGATTTGCTTAAGCGTTAAAGCCAATTTTGGGTTTCGGCAAATCATCCCTGGTTTCTTGAGCTCTCCATTTGAAACAAATAGCTCAGAGAGACCTTTGTCTGCTAAGATATCGCCTCTAGTCACGTTCATCTGCATATGCAGGTACTTTGAAATCCTGAACCCTTTCGCAAGTTTCTCTGCGGGCTTCACTAACCGCTTCCATGGTAGCTTTCCATGTTGTGTCCAGGCCGTGAATAGACCCGCCACTTCTCCGGGAACTCCTACTGATAGGGCTCCTTTCTTCTTAAGATCGAGATTGCCTCCATACATATCCTACATCAAGATAAAAAAACGAAAAACCAAAAAAGGCCTATGGTTGAAAATCGTCTATGAAAACGCTATATAACCTCAATTTCCGTGTTCAAAATGAGTATTTTATCAGAAGAAAAGAAAACAATTAAGAAACCCTATCACGTACTCAATATCAAAAGAAAAAACAAGACTGTCAATGACTTCTAAACAGTAAGGAAAACGCTATCAAAGCTCAGTTCATATTTAATCAGGGGAAATAAATGTTTCTTAACACTATTACATGCATACATTTCTACATCGAGAGTAATTATTAAGAACGATCTATGATTGAAACTTTTTTCGGAACCGATATTTTATTTAAAGATACCGTTCAAAACACTTATTTAAAAGGAAGAAATGTTAAGAAACACTATATTGGCATAAGCTCAAAATCGCGTTCAAAATACTTAGTTACCTCAGTGGCGCGGAGAGGAGCGGTCTCTCGAGAATCATAAGCTATTTCCTTCCCACCAGTTATCTTAACCACTGTAAACGCTCCACCGCCTATACCGCTAGACGCTGGACTCACAACGCCCAAACAGAGAGCAGCGGCGACCGACGCATCAATCGCGTTTCCTCCTTGGCGAAGAGCTTTCATACCGATTTTAGAACACCGTCCATCGTCCGTTGCGACCGCACCGTGATACTTTACAATACTATGCTGTCTTTTCTTAGCCGCAGAATTTTGAAGACATCCGATTATGAGAAGAGCGATCGTCGCTGTTCGAACCAGCGTCATTGCTACGATCAGTGGAGAATTCGAAAAGAGATGAATCAGAAGGGACACATAGATACAGATGATCTTTAACGTTTAAGCGACAACTTTACAGATTCGCTTTTGTAAAGAGAGATTTATTAGAATTGGAAAAGCTTTTTTCTTGTATTCACAAACGATACAACTTACAAGGTATTTAACATTAAACCTCTCTCAACTAAAATCAGGGGTTATCTATACTATTCTGTACTTATAACAACAATAAATCCTTATCCCAATAGGCTTCCCGAGAAATTGAAAAGAGGTTAGTCAAATTACTGAAAACGTTTAACAAAATCTTGAAAACGTATATTGGTCTAAAAAAGCTCAAAACCAGCAAAGACTTTTTATATTACTGCCTTGAACACACCAAACTAAAAAAACACACTCAAAACTTAGATTTGATTTCCAAATTCCAAGAGATGAAGATTTTTTTTCATTTTCTTGTATCTTGAGTCATATCCGCCCAAAAAACTAACCTGTGTTCTAAAGTTCGGTTGTCTAAACGTCTAGGCCCCTTTCTAAACAACCAAATCATGAACTCTTCGTTTTGGCCAAATCACATGAAAAAGGTCATGCCCTAATTTTTTTAAAAAAAAAAAAGACTATGTGGTATCAAAAGTCTCATTTTAGCTTTTTTGGAAGGAAGAAATATGAATTTTACACTTTTCAAAAGCTGCAAGTCTTTTAAAAATATCATTTTCTAGTCATGTTAAAAATGTTCTTTAGAGTACGTTAAGTCTTTTTTTTTTTTGATAATAGAGTACGCTAAGTCTTAATAATTAATAATGTTTCTCTTTGGCTCTTCTCTTTAAAATAATAAAATGGGTAAATCTGTCTATAGTTTTTCACTTAGTTTTGAGTTAAAAAAATTATGAAATTTAACATAAGCTCATATTTCAAACCGATCTTAGAGTGAGATTGGGTTCAAGATGGATTGAAAGAAAGTACTACTATATATAGTATTGTCTTAATTTTTTCTTTGAGTTAAAATATAACTCCATATTACGGTTGATGTTAAAAGAACGATGCCAATAATGTTTGATTAAGAATATTGAGTTTTTAAAAAATCATCTGGATCAATTATTATCGCAGAAAAAAAAAAAATAGATTTTAATATTCATCACAAGTAGTTTACAAAAAAAAAAATATTCATCACAAGTTCGATGCAAGAAACAGTGGAAAAAATCAAATCCGATATCAATATCCTGAAGGGAACCCTCCTTTTCTTGGATCACTTACCGCCACAAGCTCACTTCTTCCGCCAGAATTTTCACCGGATTCTTCAACTATGAACTGAGCAATCGTCCCTCCTGCAATCGGCGTTAGGACATGACCTTTCTTCTCCAACACGACTCTTGTCTCTTTAGGAACCTCGAAATGATCACTGAATACTGTCGTCCAATTTTCAAACGTAACTCGGTTTGGTATCAGCTGAAAATGAAATTACAAAAAGACATTCTTAGTTATGAGTAAAGAACAAGATAGCTTCTACTTTCGAGTAGAGGAAACAAAAAGCCAAAAACCTGATGGTAGATTCTTGGAGCCAAGACGGAAGAAAGAGGATCCATCTTGAGGAAAAAATGATTCAAGAAAACTTCCGTTGTCCCGGCGATGATGTTCGCTCCTCCGCTCGCACCAACAGCGGCTTTCACTTTACCGTCCTGCGTACGTAAGCAAGTGCATAAACACAGTCGTTTGGAGCCTAAACAAGAATTTCTTGTATCACAAGTAATAGGGTTTTTTTCTAACCTTGAGTACAATGGTGGGTGTCATTGAGGACAAGGGTCGTTTCCCGGGACGGATGAAGTTAGCCGGTGCCGGTGGCGGAACATTTATATTACCGCTGGTTTTCATCGGGATCGAGAAATCGTCCATTTCATTGTTCAGAACGATTCCGGTGCTCGGAGAGAGCATCAATGCCCCAAAGTAACCGTTTATTGTACTAGTCATCGAAACAGCGTTCCTCTCGTGATCTATGATCGATAAATGGCTTGTCCCGTGATCATCAATTTGATTCCACCTACGATTGGAGAAAGAAAGATTGATAAATCAAGAATCATAAATGAAATCAGCGGGTTTCAAGTGATGAAAAACCTTACATGCCGCCATAATATTTTGGATCAAAGGTTTTCTCATCGTTTATCTTTCTTTTCAAGTCTTTTGCAAACTTTGAAGACAGCATATCCGAAACAACCTTAGTAACATTGACGAAATCCGGATCTGCAAGGTTCATTCTGATCGCGAAAGCGTGTTTCAGAGCCTCGATTAGTCGATGAACACCGAGAGAGCCCGAAACACCTGTTGGAATCCCATATTGAGAAATAATGTTCAATACCTGCAACACAAGAAACTCTGTAAAAACCTTAATTAGATTAAAAAAGCCTGAAATTTTCGCCAAAGAAAATGGAATTACAAGCATCATTGCAGCGCCGCCGGATGAAGGAGGAGGCATCCCGAGTAGTCTGTATCCGAGAATGTCTGTGGACAACGGTTCTTTAACCTTAACTCTGTAACTTTGTAGATCTTTCAAAGTTATTATCCCTCCAGACTTAAGGATATCTCTCGCTAGGTTTACCCCAACCGTGCCATTGTAAAACGCTTTTGGACCATACTCTGCGATTTGCCTCAGTGTTAAAGCCAGTTTTGGGTTACAGATAATCGTCCCAGGTTTCTTGAGCTCTCCATTTGAAACAAATAGCGCAGAGAGACCTTTGTCTGCTAAGATATCACTTCTAGTCGTGTTCATCTGCATATACAGATACTTTGAAATCCTGAACCCTTTCGCAAGTTTCTCTGCAGGTCTCACTAACCGCTTCCACGGGAGCTTTCCGTGCTGTTTCCAAGCTATGAAAAGACCCGCCACTTCCCCGGGAACTCCTACTGATAAGGCTCCTTTCTTCTTTAGATCAAGATTTCCTCCATACATATCCTACAAAAAGATAAGAGAAAACATTTTAAAAAAACGTTATATATTCAAGAGGAAGAAACGTTAAGATACCATATATTACATATTTAATATAACCAAGACTGTCGATGATATATAAACGTTAAGGAAAACGCTATCTAAGCTCAAATGCCATATTTAATCAGAGGAAAAATTGTACATTTCTACATCAAGAGTAACAAGTATAGAACAATCTATGATTCAAAAACGTTATGGAGACGCTATTTAAGCTAAAAAATAATAGCGTTAAAAACGCTTATATCAGAGGAAGAGATGTTATAAACGCTGATGTAAGCTCTTAAAAACACGTTCAAACACTTATTTATCAGGAAAAAACGTTAAGAAAAGCTGTCTAGGCTCAAGATTGCATTAAAACGCTTATTTAAAAAGAAATTATGTTTTAAAACGCTATTCTGGCTCAAGACCGCGTTCAAAATAAATTTTTAAGAAAGCTAAGAAACGCTATTACCCCCATAAACGTTCCACACTAGAGCAAGAACAAAGATTGCCATTGATTCAAAAACGTTAGCCAAAACTCATATCTTGACAGATGAAAAAAAGAAAGAAAGGCACTAATACTAAAATGAGTTACCTCTGAGGCGTGGAGAGGAGCTGTTTCTCTGGAATCATAAGCAATTGCCTTCCCGCCTGCTATTTTAACCACTGTAAACGCTCCACCGCCTATACCGCTGGACGCTGGACTCACAACGCCCAAACAGAGAGCAGCGGCCACCGACGCATCAATTGCGTTTCCTCCTTGACGAAGAACACTCATCCCGATTTCAGAACACCGTCCATCGTCCGTCGCAACCGCACCGCGATACTTAACAATACTTTGCGGTCTTTTCTGAGCCGCAGCGTTTTGCAGAAACGCGATTAGAATAAGAGCGATCGTCGCTGTTCGGACCAGCGACATTGCTGCGATTAATGGAGAATCAAACAAGAGATTACTCACAGATGTCTTTGACGTTGAAACGACTATAGATTCGTTGAACAAATAAAATTGAATATTTGAACTTCTCCAGATATCGAAAAGAGATAAGTCAAATATTGAAATAAGTTTAAACCAGTCATCACGCGTATACGCAAAAGCTCAAAACCCACCAAAGACTCTTTTTTTTTTTTTGTATTGACCACAAAATATAGCTAAAAAGCTTTTGATTTGATTCCCAACACAAAAAAAAAGACTTTTTCTTGTGTTTTGAGCTCAGAATTTATTTAGTCCGAGTGGAAATTCGTAAAAATGAAAACTCAACAGCCACTTTTAAACTAACTTCTCACTCGTTTTTTTGCTTAACATATTTAGTGGAATGTTGAAGAAGCAATTCACAAAATTGAGGAACTGAAAAATCTCCATTATCAGTTGAGCTTGTAAATAGATACCGTAGCAACCAGTCAACTTTTAGGTGAGAAAATCAATTGGCTTGATAAAATAAACCAGCTTCTCTTTTCTGTTTGTCAAACAAAAAAATAAACCAACTAATAAGTGAATAGGGATCGGGAAAAGAAGAACAAAAACTTACCACTCATCGGACGTCTTTTTCTCAGAAGTTGTCGTCCTTGGCGTCAAGAGATTGTTCAGACGAACTTTTGTAGTCTGTGGCCGAAAGTCTCATTTGAGTTCCTTTATATCCATTTAACAAAAGTTGCGAAGTCTTTTAAAAAACTCTTTTATCTCGTTTATAAAGTTTTTTTAATGATGTCAAGTCTTTAATTATAAATTTTTTAGGGAGAATATTCAACCTGTTATATTCAACGATGTCATCAATCAAGTTGGTCCAACACTCCACATGGCTATACGTGGTGCGGATTTATATTAATACGACTCTCTATCAAAATGTAAACAAGAAATCTTACAAAAATAGTTTACAGCAAGATCTGAATCCAAATCCAAGTTAATAATTTGACTAATTTTTACAGATTTTTTATTCAACTACGAAAAAGGACTTTGTTATGGTTATTTGAAGGCTTGAAGCAAATCCTGTAAGGATTTAAGTGCTATTTGGTCGTGCCAAAAAAAAATTAAAATCCTAATTTTGCTAATTGGTCATCCGTCATAAAACCAAGTGCTCGTCTTCATCATGGTTGTCTTTTACAGCCTCGTGGATCGTGGAATAAAAACACCTTTTTTTTTTGAGAAAATTCGACGACTTTTTTTAGTTTTTTGGTTTTTTTCTGTCACCCCCTTTTTAAAAAAGCGAATGTATGGGCCTTACATAACTGTTTTTTTTTTTTTAAAAAAAAATCGTCTAAATATCACAGTCCGGCCTTTTATATGAGATGATATTTGATTTGATGAGCTATATAAATGGTACTATGTTACTAGATGATGTCAAAAAAAAATGGTATGTTACTAGATACAACCAGAATATTTGTTCTTCCTATGTGATAATTGATTTTGCAAAGGTTCAACAGACACGTGCTTGATTTCTTCACATGTTTGGAACGTGTGATGGTGTACCTTGTACGCATCTAGTCTATTCATATTCCAAAAAGCGAGGTCTATTTTTTTGTCTGTTCTTTTCCGCATGCTATGGAAATTTAAGCCTCTAAAATGACACACAGCAATGAAGTTTTGTTTTTTTATTGTATGTAAAACTTTTAGTGTACAAATTACCAATTGATCACATGACCATATAGTGAATAGTTCTTTCTTCTCTTTGATCTTCCCTTTTCGTACATCTTGATCTGAAGAAAATAGTGGCTGCTGCTTATTCTTGAATCTTGACTAAGCTTTCTTGATTCAGCTCTGGAAAATTTATCATATCCACGCGAGTTCTCCAAATACTTCTTTCTGCCGTTTTCCTTTCCAATCTTGAACAAGTCTAAGAAATCGTGTCCCAAACATGCTAATGCTGCTTCTGAATTCATATGACAAAAATGTCGATTAGTCTAAAGCATACAAAATTCAACAGAATCTGGAACTTTAGTAAAGTTGTGACAGAGAAGTCACCATCTGTATAAGAACATAAATTATCAGTTCCAGATGTGTATTGAAAAGAAGAAGAAGAAGAAGAAGAAGAAGAAGAAGAAGAAGAAAACTAACCATGATTCAGGGGAATGACTGGATAAAACCGTCCGTTGGAGTGTATGAAGTCATATTCACATCCACCAAAGTTTCTTCAGTTTCACATCTTTATTAGTTTATTCAGTCAATTGCTTTCCAGTAAGTCTTTAGCACTGTCTTGTAGCCTGGTAGAGCCAGTTGATTTCCTCCTTCCTGAATCCGATCCAGGTAGTCTTGACCCGAAAACTTCAAGGGCTTCCAAGAAAAATCTCTTATTAGGTACAATTCCATCTTTCTCCATTTTCTTCATCAGCATCTGCACACGCTCCTTCATATCTGCCTTAGTATACGCCTTGTATAGAAGCTTATACGTGGATGCATCTGGATGAACCCGGAAAGCACTTGCGCTATGGAATAGCTTATCTGCTTCCATGTGAAGACCATTAAGACAGTAAACATCAAGCATTGCATTGAGCGTTGATGGCTTCAACACTCTTTCAGATTCAACAACCTCCTCAAACATTTCCCTTGCTCTGGAAACAGAGCCACAGTAACCGTACATCATGATCATGCACTCATACGTGATAAAGCTTGGCATGTAGTTCATATCATTCATCTTCTCGAAAACCCATTCGGCCTTATCTCTCCGGCGAGCTTTCCCATAGTTTATAATCATTGAATTGAACGTAGGCAGAGTCGGCTTCTCCTTGGACCGCAATAAACTCTTGAAAGTCTGCTCCATCTTCTCAAACTCTTGCTTCTTACCATAGGAATCAATAAGCAGATTAAAGGTGATGATATCTGGCTTACACTCGTTACTCCTCATACGAGTAAGCACAGATTCCATCTCTTTGATCATCCCGTTTTTCCCATACGCATCCATAACACCGTTGAAGGTGTAGACGTCTGGAGAAACAGCGCTAATATCCAATTCTTTAAACAGAGCATTAACTTGGTCCACTTTACCCGATTGAGCAAAGGCCCTCAAAAGGATATTGTAAGTCACAACATTGGGCTGACACCGTTCCATCCCTTTCATTTTGTCGAAATATCCACGAACTTTCTCCAAGGCCTTTGCCTTGTCCCGTGTATGAAGATGAGCTGTAATGAGGGCATTGTAAACAGAGGCATCAGGACGACAACCACTGTTTTTCATCTCGGAAAACAGCCACATTGCCATCCGGGTTTGACCCTTTTTCCCCATCACGGATATCAATTTCGAGTACACTCCATTATCTGCGATATACCAACGCTGTTTCTGCATCCACCTGAACACCTACACAAGAATCACAGCAAGTTAAGCAATTAGCAGCATAATGGTTGCTTCGCTCTAATGAAGGCACCTAATCACAGAACCGTTCATGGCAATCCATTGAGCTAAAGAGGTTAAAAAATCAATCTTCTCAATGATACAGAATTGTAAAAAACACAGTCTATGAACCTACCACTGAGCTAAAAAAAAAAAAATCCAATCTTTTAGCTGAAACTCCAGAATAAGGAATACCCAGAATCTAAAATCCACAGAATGTAAGCGGAGAAGAAGCAGAAACCTCGAGGCATTGAAGCCACTTATCGCTCTTCCCAAGCTCTTCAAAGAGCAAGAAACAATGCTCACACCTTACGACCTTGACGTACTTGTCAAGCGTCTTCACCAATGGCTCTCTGTCACTGATTCTCGACATCAGACTCCGTACGAGCACTCTGTTCTCTCTCTCCGCGCTCTCTCTCTCAGCAAGTTTTCTCCTTGACGAAATCGCACCGCAGGTTATCGTCGTCGTCGACATCTTCCTCGCACCGCCGGGTTTAGGTGAACTGCGAAGCCATTTGTGGTCCGTCTCTTGGGAAAACGAAGATATGAAATCGGAGAATCTCAGCGACGAAGGCGATGTCAACAAGTAGTCTATAGTCATTTTCTGGTTGAGAGAAGAGGGGAATTTTTTTTCCCCTAATCCTTTAATGTGATATTGGATAAGGATTTTACAGATCTAACAAAAAAATTGAGGGCTTATTCAGAAAAGCCAGAGAATAATGGGGGTCCTGTTTTTGTAAATAGAGTACAAAAAGTTAAGGATCAAATTTTCGGGATTTTTGAACCAGACGTGCTTCTGATCTGGAGTCAGACGCGCTACCATTGCGCCACGGATCCTGATGACTTATGCCCTTCATTACATTAATTTGTACCTAAATAAATTCATAACAATTTAAATCCTACTATGTCACCGATATGCAAACAATATCAACCACGGTCCACTATGTACTTAAAACCTAGAGCCAAGCTTTGAAAATGAAAAACTAACATAAAACATTTCCTTAAAAAAGAGAAATAAATTTTGTTTTTGCAAATATAGCTTCGTTCAACTAATCACGACCACCATTCAAAAATCCCCAATTAACTTGTCTTAAAAAAGAAGGAAACAAAATAAGATTAGAAATTAAATTCAAGGATAAGGATTGATAGGAGAAAGAAAAAAAACAATTCAAAACGGAGGAGGAAGAGAGCTTAAAAAAACAAAAGAAGACTAACATTTCTACGTACAAGGGTCGAGGTTTGTTAGTTAGTCGTGGTCGGTCGTCGAAGGAAGAAGTGTTTCTGTCCTTCTTTCTTCGCCGTACGATCGATCGCCCGCGTCTAATATGGAAGCATCATCAAATCCAACGGCTACAAGTTCTTCTTCCTCCTCCGCCTCCTCAGTTCCTCCTTCGTCTCCATCACCTTCTCCGGCGGCTACAACGACCACGCCGCCACGTCAGCATGTTCTCCTTGAGCCACCATCTTCCAAAAAGAAGAAAAACAGATCAAACGTCTTCCGAGTCTTACGCACCGTGTTTCGCTCTTTCCCAATCTTCACAACGCCAGCCGTAGCATGCAAAATCCCGGTTATCCATCCCGGTTTAGGGTTACCGGACCCGCATCACAACACGTCAAGAGTCACCGGAACATTGTTCGGGTACCGCAAAGGTCGCGTAAGTCTCTCGATTCAAGAAACCCCTAAATGTCTACCTTCTCTAGTCGTAGAGCTCGCCATGCTAACCACAACGCTTCAAAAAGAGCTTAGCACTGGAATGGTGAGAATCGCTCTCGAGACGGAGAAACCGCCTCGAGTAGATCATAATCACAATAATCATCATAATAATAAAGCAGAAAAGAAGACGGACATCTTGGAGGAACCCTTGTGGACAATGTATTGTAAAGGAGAGAAAACGGGCTACGGTGTGAAACGAGAAGCCAACGAAGAGGATCTAAACGTGATGGAATTGTTACGTCCGGTGTCTATGGGAGCCGGAGTTTTGCCCGGAAACTCGGAGTTGGAAGGACCCGACGGCGAAATGGCGTATATGAGAGCTTATTTTGAGAGAGTTATTGGGTCTAAAGATTCAGAGACTTTTTATATGTTGAGTCCTGAGGGAAATAATGGACCGGAGCTTAATTTTTTCTTTGTGAGGGTTTAATAATTTACTATACTGTATATCGTTTAAACTAAATTAACGTGCATGTAAAGGCCGGAGACGGTAGATGACGTTATATACATATTGTTTAGGATGATTAATGATATTTTTTGTCCTTCTTCTTCTTCGTTTATTTAATTATTCTAGTCTTATTTGGCTAGTTGTGAAATGATATATTAGAGACCACACATCAATCTTGGTCTACATTAATCTACATCTTGGCGCCTGGACTTGGTTTATTTTTTTGACGTGTTGGTCTTGAATTACTGCCTCCTACGTCAATTTTGATCTCTCCAATCATCCTTTGATCCCAAGCCCTTTCTCCATTTTCTTTCCAAACAATCGATGCAGAAATATGTGAATTTGGATATATGAAGTGTTCGGTTCAAAATTGATAAATAAAATAAAATAAATCATACTCATATATGAAGTCTCAGTCACGATGGCGAACAATTAATATACCATCTTTACAAGGAACATACACCCTTTTCAAATATGAAAAGATGATTCGGAGGGAGGTGAAGCAAGTGAATAAGATGAAAGTTAAAATATATATTATATATATATATATATAATATATATATATAACACACAAAAAAAAGATGATTCGGTTTGTTGAGAATTGAATAAAGTTTATTACAATTACTAGCTAGAAACTTACTTGTCATGGAGGACTGGTGTGGTATCCGAGCGAAAGTTGTGTTTGATGATCCAATGAACAATAGAATAATTAAAGTAATTAACCAAACCAAGCGGTGATACATTATTAATTAGTTGTTGTAAATGTAGGAAGTTTACGCCTACACTTTCTCTGGCGACGAAAACGATGAAAACATTTGTTTATTTATAGAGTTGTTTTCCTGACTTTTTTTCTTTGACTAAGAAAGAGGCGTCCCCGAACTTTCGTTTTCTTATATTATGGCTGAGAATGATAATATATAATCGGATGAATTGGCTAAAAATATAAACGAAACATCAACTGGCTTAATATATCATATATGTATAATGTAACATCTCTGTCAATTTTCGAAGAATTGACTAATGGTCCAAGTTCTCGGCTAAGACTGCCAAGCGAGAAAGATGCGTCTTAAGCTTTGTCTGGGAGAAAAAATTATCGTAATAAGGCGGTCAACTAACTACTAAATTGAAGTAACTGAAATCTTGAAATATATTTGGAAGCAACCCAAAAATTCGATTCCATAGAATTTTGTTTTTCTTTGGAACAACACAATCATCTCACTATCCCCATGGGCCATGAGCACATTCCGATTGTCACGACGGTTTGAGACCGATTTTGTCCTACCTTAATCCGAACTTTTAAAACATTTTTGGATTTCACTTATAGTTACAATATATGCTGTTTAAATCATGCTCTCATTTGAACTTAGAATCTGGACATTGTTCTCCACAATTGTATTTTTTTTCTTATCTAACTTATGCTGGACTAATTCAGAGAAGACTTGATACATTTTCAAGAGTCAACGACGCATTTTCTTTTTTGGCAGTACATTTTCAACAAATGTCAAAGAAAAATGTTTATAGAAAAATCATAGGTCCATCGCACCAATCCGCGTGACCTGACTTCGTTTATAAAAATAAATTCTTGAAATAAACACCGTACATAACTTGAGTTGATCTCTCCCTATATAAATGCGAACTAGTTTGCACTATGAAATTCACACTTTTACGTTTTAACTAAACCAACGAAAAAATGTATAACGTCGTTGTTTGCTTATTAACTTTGACTTTTCTCTTGCTCTCTGGATTTTCAAACACAGCATTCGCCCGAGTACAATACGAATCTCCAAAGCTAAGTAAGTTTTTGCAATATTATAAATATCCAATCTCCAACGTTGTAATTATAATTTCCGGCTTTGTAAAATAGAAAAATTGAATGATAACAGAATATTAATCAGGTTAATTATTTATGAAGAGATTAAATTTTAGTTATCTTCTCATTTAGCTAGGGCTTCTCCGATCCTCGTATATGAAAAATAAACTGAAATATTATATTTCTTCTGCCTTAAAGTTTTTGAACCGTTTTTTTTTTATTTGAATTATCATTATTATTTTTCAATTTTAATCATGCCAGTACGAAGAATATAAGAATCAAAATTGATTGGTGTTGTTCTCTTTGTTCGAAAACAAAGTAGGAGAACGGGTTTGGGATCAAAAGGTGATAAAAGAGATCAAGGCTGAAGTAGATGGTAGTTGTTCCGGGCGTGCAGGAGGAAAAGGACCACCAAATAGTCCAGGCTCACGAAATATACCAGGCTCACGAAAACGATGTACCAAACCCTAGCGTAATTTGCTGGTCACAAAAATAGAAACTATTTCCGTAGATTTTGTATCAAGATTAAAAACAAGTCGTAGAACGTACGGTTTTTTGTTGTTGTTGTTATTAATCTACTCCAAACATAAGTGGTAGACATATCGATGGTCCTAGGTTTGGAATCTTACAAGACTAATTAGGGAACCGCGCGTGATTAACATGTTTTGCTAATGCTTTTAATTTGATGGACAAATATGCATGCACCAGTAGTATTTTGTTATCGATCGGACAAGGCACAAGATGTTAGTTCAAAAATTTATATCGTGAAACCATGGAAGAATACATATGTAATTTCCTAAAATATATATAATTGAACGGTTTTTGATGCTATACATCGAAATATTATGAATTTAAAGAAGTTTTTGAGTATTTACTAAAACTTACAAACCTATTTGACAATTTATGAAAAAATGCCACTGCTCAGAATGTTCTTACAAGTTTTCCATATCAGTAATTTTGAAAAATTTATCGTATTAACTACTTGTTTATATTATATATGAGGCTACAAAATATATATATATATATATATAAATAATAAAGTTGCAAAATAACATATAAAACTAGTTTAGTTAATATTAATCTAGTGTTAGAATGATGTTAGGTCTTTTAGAAATAAAGTGAGGAGAATTAGTTTTTTTTAAGTTAATGCATTTATTCATAAAATTGAATTTTCACAGGGGTTAATTCACTGATTTTGTGGTATTTTTTAAAAAATTTAGTTATCCGGTTTAATACATAAATACATCATATATGAATATAGGATCCAAAACCGCAGAGGTTTAGGTTCATAGTTGTCCTTACTTATCTAAAATAAGTTAAGTTATATAAAGTTAGAATGTGGTTAAGTGTTTTAGGATAAAATGCCAAATAACATTCAAAAATATACAAATTTAAGGATTTAGGGTTAGGGCTTAGGGCTTAGGGTTTAGGGTTAGGGTTTAGGGTTTTAGGTATTTTATGTAGTTCAATTAGTTTTATTAATCTAGAGCTAGACTGTAATATACTTTAGAAATAGAGTGATGAGAATTATTTTATTTATTTATTGTATTTATCAAAAATATTAAAATTTTCATAGAATTTAATTCACTAATTTTGATATATTTTTAAATATTTTAGTTAGGTTGTTCTCTAATACATAAATGTGGGAACTAGCATGTGAAGGTTTGAATTCTTATTTTTTTTTATTATCTATGCAATTCAGGGTTAGTCATGGTGTTTGTAAAATTAATTTATAAAAAATAATAAAATTAGAACATGACATCAAAACTAGTTTAGTTAATATTAATCTTGTGTTACAGTGTTAGAATGATGTTAGATCTTTTAGAAATAATGTGAGGAGGATTTGTTTTTTTTAAGTTACTGAATTTATTCATAAAATTTAATTTTCATTGGGGTTAAAGTTCACTGATCTTGAGGTATTTTAAAAATTTGAGTTATTCTATTTTAATACATAAATACATCATATATGGATATAGGATTCAGACCATAGATGTTTAGGTTCCTTTTTTTTTTGTCAAGAGATGTTTAGGTTCCTATTTATTCTAAATTATCTAAAAATTTGAAATCTCATCAAAGTTATCTAACTAATTAGTAATTAATAATGAATACAAATTTTTAAAATTGATGGTTAAAAAGTAATTAATTTACCTAATAACATTTAAATAAGTTTAGTTATACAAAGTTAGAATGTTGTTAAGTGTTTTAGGATAAAATGCCAAGTAACATTCAAAAATATACAAAATTAAAGATTTAGGGTTAGAGCTTAGGGTTTAGGGTTTTAGGTATTTTACGTAGTAGTTAAGTTAGTTTCATATATATAGGGCTAGAATGTAATGAGGTACTTTGGAAATGGAGTGATGATGATTATTTTCTTATTTATTGTATTTATTAAAAAATGTATTTATTAAAAAAATTTAAATTTTCATAGAATTTAATTTACTAATTTTGATATATTTTAAAATATTTTAGTTAAGTTGTTCTCTAATACATAAATGCATTCTACATAAATTGGGAACTAGCATGCGAATGTTTGAATTCCTATTTGTCTTTGATTATCCATACAAATCAGGATTAGTCATGATGTATTTAAAATTAATTTATAAAAAAATAATAAAATTAGAACATGACATCAAAACTAGTTTAGTTAATATTAAGCTTATGTTAGAGTTAATGATGTTAGGTCTTTTAGAAATAATGTGAGGAGAATTAGTGTTTTTTAAGTTATTGTATTTATTCATAAAATTGAATTTTCATTGGGGTTAGTTCACTGATTTTGAAGTATTTTTAAAAATTTTAGTTATCATGTTTTAATACATAAATACATCATTAATGGATATAAGATCCAGACCGTGGAGGCTTCGGTTCCTATTTGTCCTAAATTATCTAAAAATTTGAGATCTCATCAAAGTTATCTAAGTAATTAATGATGAATACAAATTTTAAAAATTACTGGTTAAAAAGTAATTAATTTACCTAATAATATTCAAAATAAGTTTAGTTATACAAAGTTAGAATGTGTTTAAGTGTTTTAGGATTAAGATACCAACAAATAACATTCAAAAATATACAAATTTTAGGGTTTAGGGTTAGGGTTTTAGGGCTTTTTTGTGGTTAAGTTAGTTTTATTAATCTTAAAGCTAGAATGTAATGAGGATTGTTTTTATTTATTTATTTTATTTATTAAAAATGTTAATTTCTACATAGAATTTAATTCACTTATTTCGAGATATTTTAAAAAATTTTACCTAGCTAACTCTAATACATAAATGCATTCTACATAAATTTGGAAATTAGAATGTGAATGTTCGAATTTGTATTTGTTTTTGATTATCCATGCAAATCAGGATTAGCTATGATGTATTTAAAATTAATTGATAAAAAATAAACATAACACCCAAAACTAGTTTAGTTAATATTAATCTAGTGTTAGAATGATGTTAGGTATTTTAGAAATAATGTGAGGTGAATTAGTTTTTTTTTAAGTTATTGCATTTATTCATAAAGTTGCATTTTCATAGGGGTTAGTTCATTGATTTTAAGGTATTTTTGAAAAATTTTAGTTATCCTGTTTTAATACATATATACATCTTATATGGATATAGGATATAGGATCCAGATCCAGATGCTTAGTTTTTTACTTGTCCTTAATTATTCAAAAAGTTGAGATCTCATAAAAATTATCCAACTAACTAATGATAAATATAGAGTTTATTAAATTACTGGTTAAAAAGTAATTAGTTTTCAAAATAAGTTTAGTTATACAAAGTTTATGGTTTAAGATTAGAGATATAGAATATAGTTAAATTAGTTAATATTAATCAAGAGTTAGAATGCGTTTTAGAATTAAGATACCAAATAACATTAAAAAATATACGAATTTAAGGATTATGGTTTAGGATTAAGGGTTAGGGCTTAGGGTTAGGGCATAGGGTTAGGGCATAGGTATGAAATATGGTTAAGTTAGTTTATTAATCTAGAGCTAGAATATAATAATAAGGTACTTTAGAAATAGAGTGATGAGGAGTATTTTCTTTATTTATTGTCTTTATAAAAGTATTTATTTTTTATGTAGTAATTTACTAATTTTGAGATGTTTTTAAATATCTTAGTTAGCTTGTTCTAATACATAAATTTATTTTACATAAATTTGGGAACTAGAATGCAAAGGTTCGAATTTTTATTTCACTTTGATTATCAATGCAAATCAGAGTTAGACATGATATTTTTAAAATTAATTGTTAGAAAATAATAGAGTGACAAAATAACATTCAAAACTAGTTTAGTTAATATTATTCTAGTGTTAGAATGATGTTAGGTCTTTTAAAAATACAGTGAGGAGAATTAGTTTTTTTTTAAGTTACTGCATTTACTCATAAAATTGAATTTCTTAGAATATGTATATAATTGAACGATTTTTGATGGTATACATAGAAAAATTATGAATTTAAAGAAGTTTTTGAGTATTTACTAAATCTTACAAAATTATTTGAAAAATTTATGAAAACATGGCACTGTTCAAAATTTTCTTACAAGTTTTCCATTTCAGTAATTTTGAATTTTTTTGTAGTATTAATCAAATATTGGTTATATTTATGAGGCTAAATATGGGAAAAATGGTGGCGTTTACATGCTCATTCAATTCAGCGGAGTTAGAAGTTAGAACAGCTGCCAACATCCGTGAAAGTAACTCCCAACGGTCACAAAACTCACAATACATACCGATGATCAATTGCCGCCAAGGCTTGAAGACATCTATATGTCAATGATGTCCTTGACCCGCAGGCGGCTGAAGATATTGGTCTAAACTCTAAGTTTTATATAGTATGGTAATAGCATGTATGTATATGTGAGAAAATGCAGTAAGATTACGTGGAATTGAGAATTTAAACGAAGGAAAACGTTATTTAAACACGTTTAACTTTGCTTGATTACGACGCGTTGATGAAGGGAGTTTTTTTTTTTTTTATGAAGGGACTTTTTATTAACACTCAAATTTGATTTCTTTCTAATAATGTAGACTAAGAAAATTCTAAATAGGAAGATTGTTTGTGATAATGAAAATCTTACGTTTCCGATATCTCCGCGATTCGGGAAACGTTTCTTGATTTCTAATATAAAAACCCTAAAAAGATTCTTCTCCAAGCGGTTTTTCTTTTCTATAGAAAACTTTGTCTCTAAATAAAATGTCTTCCGGTGCCGGATCTTCAGATCCACCGAGTAATAAAAAGGAGAAGAAGCCATCGCCATCGCCGGCGTCGATATCGATCTTGTCACTTCCTCACGAAGTGCTTTTGAATTGCTTAGCCCGCGTCTCTAGATTGAACTATCCGACTCTTTTTCTCGTCTCCAAAACATTCCAATCCATCATTTCTTCATCGGAGCTTTACGAGACCCGAATACGCTTAAACCTTACGGAGAAGTGTCTCTATCTCTGCCTACGCTTCCCTTTGGACCCTCAGACACATTGGGCCGCTCTCTACCTTCAACCTAACTGAACCGTATCCAACGAGTCGTCAAGTGGCTATCGCTATATTGCGGTCCGAATCCCATCTCCCAAGCATATGCTTCCTGCGCAGTCGTCGACTCTCTTAGCCGTTGGATCTAATATCTACAAGATCGACAGCTCTGATCATGCTCACCAAGTCAAAGTATGGAAGAGGTCCTATTCTTCACATGTCTCTGTCCTTGATTGTCGCTCTCACACGTGGCACCCGGCTCCAAGCATGCGGATGAAGCGGAACGGCTCCTCCACAGCAACTTTACTTGATGGGAAGATGTACGTGGCAGGAGGCTGCGACGACAACTATGTATACACGTCTTCCCCCGACTGGATCGAAGCGTTTGACCTAGAGACCCAAACTTGGGGCTCTGTGAAGAACCCTCGTATCTTTGAACTCCACGATGAGTTTAGGACCAAGGGCTAGCCAAGAGCTTACGACTCGATGGAAAACTGTACCTGTTTGGGGACGAGAAGGTGGTTTACAATCCAGAGGAAGATCAATGGAACCAGATAGGGATGGATCATTGCCGTATGTTTTGGGCAGTGAACAAGAGTCATTGCGTGATAGACGATGTCTTGTTCTATTGGGACAGAGAAGTTTTCAAATGGTATGACCCCAAGGGAGATTTGTGGAAGGAAGTGAAAGGTGTTGAAGGGTTGCCTGATCTTCGAGACCACAAGGACTACTGTAAAATGGTGGATCTTGGTGGGAAGATGGGGTTTTTGTGGCCTGAATATGTGTACGGTATTCATGGAGATTCGCAATGTAGGATTTGGTGCGCTGAGATTACGCTTGAAAGACGTGATCATGGAGATGAGATTTGGGGAAAGCTGGAGTGGTCTGATTTTGTTCTTAGTACCGACGGGTCTTGTTCATCCTTCGATGTTGTTTCTGCTTCTGTTTGATGCCTTGATGGGATTACAAACCATGATTGAGAACAGGTTTGAAGGGTTAATTGCTCTGGTGATTTACTTTCGTCTACTTTTGTTTTGAATATTTGTGTTTTCTTTATGGGTGTTCTTTCTTTTCTCTTTTCGTATATGACTACGACAATGATGAATGGTTATTTCATGTTTTTAGCCGAATGCAGTTGCTTACTTTGAAGCAGTGTTCAAAAAATCGGCCTAGTCGGCGACTAGACCGCCGCCTAGACGGCCGGGGTTAGCAGACCCGATTTTCATAAAATCAGTGAAATAAATCCAGTTTAGTAAAAAATCGGACTAAGTAGGAGAAAATCGGAAAAATCAGACCAAATCAGTAAAATCGGCCAAATCAAACTAATTATTTTTATCATTTTTTCAGTCAATTTTTACAGTTTTGGATAATAAACCAACATCAGTTTACAGAAAAGAGAAAAAAAAAAGATTTGAAATGTGGATTAGGGTTAATAACTTAATATAATCATCCTCGTTCCTCCCCACTATTTCACCTTTATAAACTACAAGAGGCGATCATTATTCTCTATTGCTGAACTCTACAAGTTTGTTTAATCGTCTCTTTATCTATCTGTATATATTATATAACTAAATTGTATTATCTTAATTTATCTTTTCATCTTTGTTTACTTTGTTTGTGCTCTGTTTTAAGTTTCAACTTTCAATTTTAACGATGAGCCTATAAGAGATATCGATTCCGACGATGAAAATGATATAGCTATTGATTTTGAATTTGAGTCTGAAAATGAGCAGATGGTGGATATGGATGTGTTTGAAGAATAAGTTAGATATATTTCTCTTTGCTTTACTTTTTAAAATTTTTAGATTAAAACTTATTTTAGTTTGAAGAATTTGATGATTTTTAGTTTGATTTCTTTGTTGAATTTTATTCTATAATTTTATTTATTAATTTTCTTACTTTGTATTCAAACATAAATTTTGATAAAATAATTTAAAAAAAACAATTAAAACTTTTTTAAAAATATAATATATAGATAGAAAATTTATAAAAATTAACAAAAATTTTGCTAATGCCTAGGCTCCGCCTAGTCTCCGACTAATCCGCCTAGACGCTAGTCTCCTATCATCCGCTTAGCCACCGCCTAACGATTTTTTTAACATTGCTTTGAAGTTATAGTTTGTATGCCCACTAAATTATGATCCATGAATTAGATTCGTTTAACGTTATCCAATGAAACCACATAGCATGACAATTAGGAAATTTCTGATTATATTCGAAAAGTTCTTAATTATCCCATCTATACATATCATGTTGACCGAATTGAGGATATATAATATTGGGATTTCTCATTATTGTAATGATCAAGTTGAGGATATATAATATTGGCTTCTTTTATATTCATGCATTGTAGCGATCAAACAAAGATTTTCCACTGAAACAATGAGGGTGCTATTTGACTCTTGAATCTCTTCTTAGTAGTACATTTTTCTTGTATAAATATTATTTTTGGTGTTTAAAGAAATGTGTCACAAGTAAAGATAATGAATTGAAAAAGGCCAAAATTTGTTGTTAAAAAAAGGGGCCAAAAACTTGATAAAACACTATACTGGGCTGCTGATAAAACACTATACTGGGCTGCTGATAAAACACTATAGGTGGGCTGGACTTCTAACATGTTTTTTCTCATACAGTCCATATATACCAAAAAAAAAATAATGTTACATTTGCAAGATCCCACATCGGCTAGCCAAAAGGAAAAAAGTAACTAAAGTGATCTATAAATACTCACACTTGCTTATGTAAGTCAATTGTTAGTAAGTTTCCAAATAGCCCAAGTATTCGTTGTTGTGACAAATTAATATTATTAATTGATTAAAATCGGAATTAAATCGTATAATCGGAACTAAAGCGTTTTCGAACACGGATCTCATATACTTAAAGGTATACTTATTATTTATGTTATTTTTTTCAGTTAAACGAAAAAATATATAAGCGGGTTGTTGATAAGTTCTCTCTTAATCAATTAATTGATTGGTTATAAATCGATGCGTATTTGTTGTATAAGTCCAAATAAAATGTTAGTGGAAAAAGTATAACGTGTTTAGAAAATAATTATGTTACCTCCGATCCGTGACATTTATCCCTATCAGGAGTCTCTCAAATCTACTCGATTTCGTACGTGTATAACAGAATATTATACGTATTACTTTCCAATGTTTATACCTAAAAAAAGATAGAATTTCTGAATTGTCTTTTTTAGAAAACTTAATCAGAAAATCTAGATATATGTAGAACATGTTCTGTTGAATGCAAGATATTAATTTAATTTTAAATAATAAGAATATATGGAAAAATGTAATTTGGTAGGTGAATTAAATTTCTATCCGATGAAAAATATGGCGAATAAAATATATTTTACAACGTCGATAAAAAAAGATGTTCCACTAAATAATCAGGTAGGACCATCAAAATCTACGGTTCTGGTTTTGCGACCAACCAACCAAGCCTAACTCATCCTATATTTTTTATTTTATTATTTTGAATAAAAATTTAATGGTCGTTAGACTCATGTCTTTTCCATGTTTGGTAGTATAACTGTATGGCGTTTATAGTTGTCATATCCACCATCCTTTCTTCGCCTACAACATAATAACGACAGGATGTTTAATCATATAATTTGTTTCTTAAAATTTGTTTCTCAGTAGGATGAGAAGCCATGGCAGTTGGCGTAAAGTGCAAGAAGCTATACGTTTCTACTCTTCGTCTTCTTCTTCAGGTCTTCTTGAATTTCTGAACACAGATTTTCCTTCTACAATAAAAATTCGAGGAAGGCGCGAATTTGCCCGTCTCTTGCAGCTTCGTGCGTCAGATGATCCGTTGCTCTATCACAATGTTGTTCATGGTCAGATTATCGTTTCGGGTTTTGAGTCAGATACGTATCTTAGCAATATTTTGATGAACTTGTATTCAAAAGCTGGTGGTATAGTTTACGTACGTAAGGTGTTCGAGAAAATATCTGACAGAAACCTGGTAACTTGGTCTACCATGGTTTCAGCTTGTAACCGTCATGGGTTTTATGAGGAGTCTTTGGTGGTTTTCTTAGAATTCTGGAGAACCAGAAAAAATAGTCCGAACGAGTATATTTTGTCGAGTTTTATCCAAGCTTGCTCAAAATTAGATAGTGGTGGGCGTTCGATGGTGTTCCAATTGCATTGTTTTCTTTTCAAGAGTGGGTTTGATGGAGATGTTTATGTCGGTACTTCATTGATTGATTTTTATCTGAAGAAAAGCGATATCGATAATGCAAGGCTTGTGTTTGATGCTTTACCAGAGAAATCTACAGTGACTTGGACAACAATGATCAATGGGTATGCAAAAATGGGAAGAAGCTATGTGTCATTGCAGTTATTCTACCAGTTACTAGAGGGTAACGTTGTTCCTGATGGTTACATCCTTTCGACGGTTCTAAGTGCGTGTTCAATACTTTCATTTATCGAAGGTGGGAAGCAGATTCACGCACACATCTTTAGACATGGACATGAGATGGATGCCTCACTGATGAATGTACTTATAGATTCTTATATGAAGTGTGGCAGAGTTACCTCTGCTCGTAAGCTATTCAATGGAATGTGGAATAAAAACATCATTTCGTGGACCACAATAATGTCTGGTTATACGCAGAACTCTCATCACAAAGAAGCCATGGAATTGTTTTCCGGAATTTCAAAGTTTGGGTTGAAGCCAGATATGTATGCTTGCTCTAGCATACTCACATCTTGTGCCTCACTTCTTGCACTAGAATATGGAAAACATGTTCATGCTTACGTTGTCAAAGCCAATCTTGGCAATGATAGCTATGTGACTAACAGCTTGATCGACATGTACTCGAAATCTGATTGTTTGAACGATGCCAGAAAAGTTTTTGACCTTTTCGCCGCTGATGATGTGGTTTTATATAATGCAATGATCGAAGGTTACTCGCGACTTGGGACACAATGTGAGCTACATGAAGCATTGGACATCTTTCGTGATATGAGGTCCCAATTGATTCGACCTAGCCTATTGACTTTTGTTAGCCTTCTACGTGCATCTGCTTCATTAAAAAGCTTGGAACTTAGCCAGCAAATCCATGGATTGATGTTCAAATATGGGGTCAACTTAGATATTTATGCTGGAAGTGCTTTGATTGATGTTTACTCAAATTGCTACTGTCTCGAGGATTCTAGGCTCGTGTTTGACGAAATGAAAGAGAAGGACCTTGTTGTGTGGAACTCAATGTTTTCACGGTATGTTCAACAATCAGATAATGAAGAAGCTCTCATTTTGTTTTCGGAACTACAGTTATCAAGAGAAAGACCTGACGAATTCACTTTTGCCGACATGGTTACAGCAGCTGGTAACTTGGCAAGCCTTCAACTGGGTCAAGAATTCCACTGCCAGATTATAAAAAGAGGCTTGGAATGTTATTCGTATATTACAAATTCTCTAGTAGATATGTATTCCAAATGTGGAATCCCCGAAGATGCTTATAAGGCTTTTAATTCAGCAGCTTCAAGAGATGTGGTTTGTTGGAATTCTGTTATCTCATCTTATGCGCATCACGGAGAAGGCAGAAAAGCTCTTCGGATGCTGGAAAGAATGATGAATGAAGGAATAGAGCCTAACTACATCACCTTTGTGGGAGTTTTATCAGCGTGTAGTCATGCTGGTCTCGTAGAAGATGGAGTTGGGCAATTTGAGATTATGCTCCGACTTGGAATTGAACCAGAAACTGAACACTATGTTTGTATGGTATCTCTTTTAAGCCGTGCTGGTAGATTAAACGAAGCAAGGGAGTTAATTGAGAAAATGCAGACAAAACCACCTGCTATAGTATGGAGGAGCTTGCTGAGTGGATGCGAAAAGACCGGTAACATCGAGTTAGCTGAACATGCTGCTGAAATGGCTATCTCGTCTGATCCAATGGACAGTGGATCGTTTATTTTGCTTTCTAATGTTTATGCGTCAAAGGGTATGTGGGCTGAGGCAAAGAGGGTAAGAGAAATAATGAAGTTTGATGGTGTGGTGAAAGAACCTGGACGTAGTTGGATCGAGATTAACAAAGAGCTTCACATCTTTGTGTCCAAGGATAAATCCCACCGCAAGACGAATCAGATCTATGAAGTATTAGACGATTTGCTCGTGCAGACCAAGGGGTTTAGTTAGCTAACCATACAAGAAATCATTTTGTATTGAGTGATTGACTCTGTTTGGGTAAAAGACTAATGCAGCTAGAATTGTCGGGAATTCAGATGGGTTGATCACGTAAAGATCCGCTTTGATCAAATTAAGGATGCCGAGCAACCAGGAAAACATAAAGAGGTATCAAGTTTTATTGGATCATTGAATAAAGAGTTGATTTCTATGTTAATGAAGTTGTAGAGAAAGGATGATAAAAGAAGTAAGACCACACTGTGATGTTCTAAATTATTCTTTTATCTTGAAGTGAAAAGCAGAAGTGGAGAAGCCTAAAAAGCAAGTGAAACAGTAAAAGTAAGACTAAGCTGAGAAAGAAAGAAGCAGCAATGGCTAATATCGAGAAGAAGCTGAAGGATATAGTAGGAGAGAGCAAAGAGGCAGGTTTCTGTTTTTTTTTTGCAATCAAGGGAGAATTCGGTTCAGGGGGACTCAAAATTGGCCCCGGTTCGGTTCCGAGTTTCTTCTTATAATCTAAACTTAGAAATCGGTTTAAGAGAGAAATTGTAAATTTTTGTAATGGTGAACGGTATATTGTAGTATAAATTAATTTCCTCTTGGTTTTACCGATCAGCCAAACCCAAAACAAATTCAAAGATATAAAAACCGTGGGTAACCAAACAATAAGTCTCAGTCTGTTCCAATTTCTCGTAAACCGGAAACCAAATTGGAAGTCTAGTTATTATTTGGGCCGGGCCTTATTAACTTGTTGGATCAAGCAGAGTTCTAGACACTTACGGTTCTAATTTTCTCTTTGTCGAAAAAAAATCAGGTGAAACGAAAACCCTCAGATTCCTCTGGTTCTTCCTCGTCCGTCGTCACTTTCGACCTCTGATTCCGGTCTTCATCCTTTTAACTTCTTTCCTTAAGGCTGTAGCTGTGAGCTCTTTAATTTGACTGCAACCATGTCGACTATTATGCAGAAGATCAAAGAAATCGAAGATGAGGTAATTTTCTCAAAAAAAAATTCTTTCGATACTCTGATTTGTCATATGTGCTCTTCATGTTTGGATGCATACATATATGTTATTTTCAATCAGTTCTGAACAATGAAATGATTGGGAGACTCACAAGTACGAGGTTTTTTTCTTCAATTTCGCAGATGGCTAGGACACAGAAGAATAAAGCTACTGCGCATCATCTGGGTTTGTTAAAGGTTAATTATTCTCCTCGAATGCAATTTAACAGCTAGTTGAGAATTTTGTTGATGCTTAGTTCGTGGAATCTTTTTCTGTAGCTTTGAGAGTGAGGTTGAATGGTTTAGGTGCTTTTATACTGATCATATGTAAATTTTGCACATTGCTTTGTATCTGCTGTGTTTGATATCCCAGCCACTAAACTCTAAGTAAGGACATGAAGAAATGTTTTGTAATTTCTGGTCGAAATCGTTTGTTTTTAGATGGACTAAGTGGAAGGATGGATTTTAATTTACGGCGTGATCTCTTGTGAAGTTCCTTGGATCAAAAAAATTAATATCAAATAACGCAGTGCAATTTATCATTTCATTAGCTTCTCGCTAAATGCCAATGGTTCATTTTGCAGGCCAAACTTGCTAAGCTACGAAGGGACCTTCTTGCACCACCTACCAAAGGTGGTGGTGGTGCTGGTGAAGGTTTTGATGTGACGAAAAGTGGAGATTCTAGAGTTGGACTTGTTGGGTTTCCTTCGGTTGGAAAATCCACGCTCTTGAACAAGCTTACTGGAACATTCTCCGAGGTTTGTAATTATTCTTAAGAATCTCGCTATTCCTTTTTATTTGGTTGTCAATTTTATTGCATGTAATTGGAGATTTCTAACTTACTATGTATCCAAGTCATCTGTTTTCTAGGTTCTTTGGCCCACTTCTTGTGCCATATAAGCTATTCTTGTCTTGGATAGACCAACATAAATATTGGTATTAGAATTGTGTTTTGACTGATGCACTAGTTTCTGAAGGTACACACTATATTTTCAGGTTGCTTCTTATGAGTTCACAACATTGACATGCATTCCCGGAGTTATTACATACCGTGGAGCTAAAATCCAGGTACAGTAGCTACATCTATGCCTCTTTCGTTAGTCTGTTATTTGTGGAGAGAGATGATATGCGTGCATCTTCTTAAGTTCTCAAGTTGTCTCCTATGTCTTCTAAGTTTTGAAGGACAATGAAACACCTGGATATCACTCCTATCTCTAACAGATACTCCGATGTTGCTTGATCTTTTAATAACTTGTAGCTGTTCACTCTTTTATGAGCTTGCAGTTATTAGATCTTCCTGGTATTATTGAGGGTGCTAAGGACGGAAAGGGTAGAGGGCGACAGGTAAACCTCTGAACTTTCAAAATGTATATAGTAATTTTACCCTCATTGGTTGTACTGACGCTTTACTAATTCCAGGTTATAAGTACTGCTAGGACTTGCAACTGCATCTTGATTGTTCTTGATGCCATAAAACCAATAACTCACAAGCGTCTCATCGAAAAAGAGCTCGAAGGATTCGGAATAAGGTATTGGTTGCTGATATAAAACCCTTGGTACACCCCGAACTTTATCATTTCTGGTACATATTTCTTACTCGGTCTTCGACTTGTGCTATATAGGTTGAACAAGGAGCCACCTAATCTTACATTCAGGAAAAAAGACAAAGGTGGTATCAATCTAACTTCTACAGTCACTTCCACACACCTTGACCTCGACACTGTCAAGGCGATTTGCAGTGAGTACAGGATTCACAACGCTGACATCACTCTGCGCTACGATGCAACTGCTGATGACCTCATCGATGTCATCGAGGGCAGCCGGATCTATATGCCCTGTATCTACGCTGTCAACAAGATTGATCAAATCACACTCGAGGAACTTGAAATTTTGGACAAACTTCCTCATTACTGTCCTATCAGGTAAATATTGTTCAATTACCAGGCGGGACTTTCGATCACTGGTCTTCCTTTCTCTCATTAAGAAAAAAATAATCCTTCAGTGCACATTTGGAGTGGAATCTTGACGGTCTTCTGGATAAGATATGGGAATACTTGGATCTAACTCGAATCTACACGAAACCAAAGGCAATGAATCCGGACTATGATGACCCCGTTATCTTATCTTCCAAGAAGAGAACAGTTGAGGACTTCTGCATCCGGATTCACAAAGACATGCTTAAACAGTTCAAGTAGTAAGTAATTAAAGCTTAATCGGTGTGCTGTTTCTCTGTTTAATAGTTTCTTGATTGAGAGCATCGTTATGAGTAATAATGATTTTCCTATGCAGCGCTCTGGTTTGGGGTTCGAGTGCCAAACACAAGCCACAAAGAGTTGGAAGGGTCAGTATACTTGCAAATTCAGTAATTTTTTTAATCAAAGTTGCCAATATAGTTTGCTATCTCTTTAGAGCTGTCGGGATGAGCCAAAACTGGACCGAGTTAGCCTTGCCTTGTTTAAGTCGGGCCGGGTAATTTAGGTTTTCAAAACAAAGATCAGGTCCGATCAGTCATTTTCGGCTTTGTTTTTGACGGTTAACACTGGCTGGTCTGGTGAACCATGGACCAGAGGTCTCGATCCTAAAAAAATCTGAATCATTTTTTTCTTTTGGGGTGGGGTATATATTTATTTATTTATATTTTTTATATAAAACCCATTGCACTATCCCTAACCAACTATCGCCGTCGTCTTTTTTCTTTTTTTGTTATGCATGGAAACACCTCTCAGGAACACGAGCTTGAGGACGAGGATGTTGTTCAGATCGTTAAAAAGATATGATTTTTGTTCCAGTTCGTAGAGAAGTCAAAAGACCAAAATGAGATAGCTATATAGAAGAAGGTTATGTATCTTCGTCTGGTTTATCGAGCTTATCCTTTGTACTGTAATAGTATATTCAGAGAAAATTTGTGTCTGCAACCCTTTTTTTAATGTTATCTTTTTTCCGGTAATAGCATGCATGTGATTGATGTTTTGTCGGACCACCGTAGATTTTTTTTTGGGATATATGGTTATGCCTAGATATTCTTCTTGTTTTTATGTATGCAACTTGACTATTTTTTTTTTTTGAATTTAAAAGCTGAAATTTATCGATTTGATTTTGTTTTAAAATTACTCATTTCAAATAAAAACTGTACTTTATAGTGTGTATATAAAGAAAAACACTGGGTTCTATTTGCAGAACCCAATGTTTAATCTTGTTAATCTTCAAAGAAGTCTTTGATGCATTCTGAGATTCGCTACTCACAATGAACTCAGAGGTATGAAAGAATCTGAGGAAAGCTTCTCAGGGCATGATCTACCATCAAGGGTTTCAAAAGTTGTCAATGGTGTACCACGATGAGTAAACTCTGGGACGGGCTTTTTCCTCTGTTTAATCATTTTAATCCTATTATCATAGATGATCTATTACATTTAATTTTCAAAATATTAGATTAGATCATTATTTATTTTTAGTTTTTATTTGTTTACATATGCAGATATAATATCCTGATTTTTTGGGTAGATGTTCAAAATCACGGATATAGATCATAATAGTTGTAACTCGGTTCTGACATAACCCCTTACATTTTGACATTTTAGAATTCCTCTACAAGTTCTTTACACCCATTAGTGATCAGTAATTATCAGTGGACCACTGCCAGTGGTTGGTGGGCTGCAGTATATTTACAACGAAAATGGGACTATATATTTATAATATGTATTTACCTAGACCTGGTAGCTAGGTCTAGACATTTAAAATTTTGATTTGATTCGGTTTGGCTAGTTCAAAATTTTGGTTTTTATTTTTTTGGTTGAGAAAATGGTAAAAAAATTTTTGGTAAAATTTTGGTTATGTGGGGGACCTTATTTGGGTTAGGATAATAAGATGATAGCTTAAACTGAGCTAATTTTTCTTTGATATAATCTGGTACCGTAAAATTTTGATTCGGATTGGTCCTTTCTAATTAATGATTTACATTCAGTTTGGTCTGGGTTAAAAAATAACGAAAAATGTAACTAAAACACTATCCTAATTGATTTAAAAAATAAGGGTTCGTTTCGGTTTGTTCCGTATAACTGAAGGTACCTATCGGGTTATTGGGGTTTGTTACTCATTAGAAAGGAATTAAAAAAAAAAAAAAAAAAATCAAATTCCTTCAGAGCTCATAGAATCCATCAGAAGTGTGTGTGAATCCAGCTCGTCCTTGGACAATAATGACTAATTTCAACATAGTAAAAAAGTTAGGTGTATTATCACAAAAATAAAAGGTTAGTTGTATTGGCAATTTATTACAACTTTGCTAAGTTTATGATTAAAGCATTAATCGTGCCATGCATATTGTGCATTTAACAAAATTTAGTGTATTTAAAAAACAATTTCTTTATTGTGCCTTGAAGTGAGTGTGTGTTGCTGTAGTACTGTGCATATAAAAATCCGTTCCTTCCGCCAGCAAAGTGACCATCACAGAGGTGTGTGTTAGTTAAGCGCCTTACTTTGCTTTTTTCATCCAACATGGCTTCAATTAGCTTACTTGAAGCTTCCGTAACCATCCTTTGCTTTCTCATCCTCTTTTACTTACGCTTCAAGAAACATCGTGGCCGGTTCCTTAGGAACTGGCCGGTTCTCCGGATGCTCCCTGGTCTGCTCGTGGCGCTCCAGTACCGGATCTATGACTACAGCGTTAAGATTCTTGAAATCTTTGATTTAACGTTTCTATTCAAAGGACCGCCGTTTGCTGGGATGGATATGTTGGTCACGGTTGATCCTGCTAACATTCATCATATAATGAGCTCCAACTTCTCCAACTACATCAAAGGATCAGACTTCCAAGATGTTTTTGATGTGTTTGGAGACGGGATAATCACCACGGACTCGGAGCTATGGAAGAATCTGAGGAAGTCTTATCAAGCCATGCTCCATCATCAAGACTTTCAAAGGTTTTCCATGAGTACCATGACAAGTAAACTCAAGGACGGGCTTCTTCCTCTTCTTAATCATTTTGCAGAGGAAGGAACAATTGTGGACTTGCAAGATGTGTTTGGGAGGCTCACTTTCGATACAATCTTAATCCTCATAACCGGTTCTGATCCTAAATCTCTCTCCATCGAAATGCATGAGGATGAATTAGCTAAAGCTCTTAACGATGTTGGAGAAGGGGTTTTTTATAGGCATGTTAAGCCGAAGTTCTTGTGGAAGCTGCAAAACTGGATGGGATTGGGACAAGAGAAAAAGATGATTGAAGCCAGTGCAACTTTTGACCGTGTGTGTGCGAAATACATATCAGCCAAGAGAGAAGAGATAAACAGTTCACAAGGGATTCTTGATACTTCTGATGGAGTAACAGAGGATCTTTTAACTTCCTTCATGAAGCTAGATACTACTAAGTACAAGCTCTTGAATCCGAGTGATGATAAGTTCCTCAGAGACACTATCTTAGCCTTCATTCTTGCGGGAAGAGATACAACCGCCTCTGCTCTCTCTTGGTTCTTCTGGCTTCTCTCTGAAAATCCACACGTGGTAGCCAAGATTCGTCAAGAGATCATCAGCACGGATCTACCAAGAACTGGAAATGGCCAAGAAAATTTGGACAAGATGGTGTATTTGCATGGTGCGTTGTGTGAAGCAATGAGACTCTATCCACCAGTTGCCTTTGAGCGCAAGTCTTCTATCGAACCAGATGTGCTTCCAAGTGGGCATAAAGTCGATGCAAACTCTAAGATTATAATCTGTCTCTATGCGTTGGGGAGGATGAGAGCGGTTTGGGGAGAAGACGCATTGCAATTCAAGCCAGAGAGATGGATTACTGAAAATGGAGGCTTGAAACATGAGCCTTCCTTCAAGTTTTTAGCATTTAATGCCGGTCCAAGAACTTGTCTAGGTAAGCAACTTGCTATGACTCAAATGAAGATAGTGGTCGTGGAGATATTACAAAACTATGACATCAAGGTTATCAAAGGGCAGAAGATTGAGCCAGTTCTTGGTTTTATACTGTCAATGAAGCATGGACTCAGAGTGACAATAACACAGAGATGCTCAGTTTGAAATTATTGATGTACTACTAATATATTCTTCAAATTTGTCTTACAAATCTTTTGAAAAATTGCGGTATCAAGCTTATTAATAAACCTTAATATATCGTGATTTGATGAATAAAAATCATAATGTATTCTGTATCGATATGAGTTTTGTTTTCTTTGTACATGCTTCCGGTCAGTGTGATGTCTTATTATGTAACCATGCTTAGGTGTCAAATGTCAACATACATTACGGAATGATCAAGCATAAATAAAAAGCTCACTTAATATGATATAAATTGAGGGAAAAAATGGTTCCTATATTTGAAGATATATATACATATATATATATGATACATTTTGGTTTTTGTTACGACTTATAGTGATTCTAATTTAGATATATTTTTGACAAAAAAAACCATATGGTAGTTTTATTCCTTTTATTTAATGTAATTTTTTATAATATAAATAAATTTTAAATGCATGTAAATAATGTTTTAGTATTAAATTAATTAATTAAAAAAATAAAGTGGGCGAAATATTAGAAAATTATATTAAAGTTTTTTGAATATTTATTTTATTGGATAAACCGCTTTCAAACTGACATGAAATTTCCATACTCCTTAGAGAGTCAGAGGACAAATGAAGCATCTACAGTAACTAACATCTCTTAGAAACGGTGACTTTAAAACCATGCTTCATGTGAAGTATAACAGAAGGAGCTGGCTCGATTGTTTGCCCTTCAACGATCTTCATCTCATAGTTTTGTATGATTTTCACAGCCACACTCTTCATTTGCATCAAAGCCACTTCTTTTCCCAAACATGTTCTTGGACCGGCGTTAAATGATAAGAACTTATAAGACGGCTCATGTACCGGCTTCCCACTCTCAGAGATCCATCTCTCCGGTTTAAATTCCAATGCATCTTCTCCCCAAACCGATTTCATTCTCCCTAATGAGTAGAGACAGAACAAAATCTTCGAGTTGGCATCGACTTTGTGGCCGCTTGGAAGAACGTCAGTTTTAGTAGGAGACTTGTGTTGGAAGGGAACAGGTGGATAGAGTCTGAGGGCCTCACAAATCGCACCATGTAGAAACACCAACTTCTTTAACTCTTGGGGATTGAATGAATCAGAAACCTCATCAGAGTTAGAAGCATGCTCAGTCTTGGTTTCTGCAAACAGATTTGCGTTGATTTCTTGACGAATCTTGGCTATGGCATCTTGGTTCTTACATAGAAGCCAGAGGAACCAAGTGAGTGCTGAGCCTGTCGTGTCTCTACCCGCCAACATGAAGGTCAAGATCGTGTCTCTGAGGAATCTTTCATCACTTGGATTCAACAACCTGTACTTGGTCGTGTCCAAATTCATGTAAGACGTTAGCAAATCTTGAGAAGGAGAATCAACATTGCTAATCCCACGGCTTATCTCATCTCTCTTTGAAGCAATGTACTTGGAGCAAACACGATCAAAAGTCGCGCGAGCTTTCGTCATCTTCTTCTCATCTCCTAAACCAATCAAGCTTTGCATCTTCCACAAGATCTCCGGCTTGATATGTCTGAAGAATATCGCTTCCTCTGCGTCGTCTAAAGCTCTTGCAAACTCGATTTCTGGCATTTCAACCGAGAGACAACCTGGATCATACCCGGTCGCTAGAACACACGTGGTGTCGAACGTGAATCTTGAGAAAACATCTTCCAAGTCCACAACGAGTTTCTCGTTAGCAACATGGTCAAGAAGTGGGACAAGCCCTTTCTCTAGCTTACTCAAGCTTGTAGCTAATGAAAACCTTTGAAACTCGGGATTCATCATCATGCTTTGAGCTGATTTCCTGAGATCCTTCCACAACTCCGAATCCGCGTTGAAAATCCCATCTCCCAAAACGTCGAAAAGCTTCTTGAATTCGGGTCCTTTCGGGTAATTTGAGAAATTTGAGCTCATGATGTGGTGGATGTTAGCAGGATCAACCGTGACCAACATGTCGAGGCCCGCAAAACACGGGCCTATGCAAGGATAAGTTAAGTTCGTGACCTCGAGAATATCGGTTACGAAGTCGTAAACACGATGGATTTCGACGAGCAAACCTGGAATCATACCGAGGAACGGCCAGTTTGTGGGACACAAACGGTGAGGTTTCTTGATGATCAAAAAATATCGAAAGAGGAAAAAGCAAAAGAAAGCAATGGAGATTTCAAACAAGCTTATCAAAGCCATTAGAGAGAAAATTAAAAGTTCTTTTTCTACTTTTGAGATACACCAAATGGCAGCTTGGTTCTTAATTTTGTACTCGTATATATGATATATATATATATATATATAGATAAAGCATTTCCTTTGTGCGTCTTTGAACTTGGTGATGTGTCTATATCCTTTGAATAATTATAGAATGGAATAAAATCTTGCTTACCTTGATAATTATGTCCTCTTTTGTTTGATTGGTATTTGTAGATTTGTGTGGTAAGTCAAAACATATTTTGAAACCAGTGCATGTGATATATTATTACCCAATTAGTTATTTACTTATTTATCTTAATATACCAAAAATACTTGGTTCATGCATTTTAAAATACTTTTAAATTTACACTAATTCATAATTTTAAAATACATATAGAGATGTTTTATTTTTATACACATTTCCGAATATTTACATCTAAAACTACTTTTATTTTGACTAAACATCCAAAAAAAGTATATGCTAAAATCCATATATTATGTTTCGAAATTGTAAATGAAACTGGTAAAATTATGTATTGAATAACACAAAATTCCGAGTGCAGTTTTAAATTTATTATTACTCGATAAGCCAAATCATCATATAATGATTTTATCAAAAAATATGTCATTGCCTAACTAAGAAATTTTTTTAATAAAAACGGAAAGAAAAAAAAAGACTGTTTTTATCATTTTTGAAGAAAAAATTGAATAATAGTTATTGATTTGATTTGGAATTTGATTTGGCTATTAATAGACACATATGCTTAATCACTTTAAGGAGTTAAGAAATTTGACTAAATCATATGCATGTATCTCGTTACAGATTATTTTAGAAAGATGCAATTAATTTTTTTTTTTAATATGACTTTCAGGCTGGCCTGAGATTTCCTCACTCCATGTAATGTAAGGATAAGGATATCATCTACAACAACTGCCATAAGTTTCTAGATATAAAATTTAGACCATACATCTCTTAGAAACCGTGACTTTTAGACCATGCTTCATGTGGAGAATAACAGAAGGAGCTGGCTTGATCTTGTGCTCTTCGACGACCTTAATCTCATAATTTTGTATGTTTCATGCGAAGAATAAGAAGGATTGGTTCGATCCTGTGACCTTACACGATTTTAATTAATCCACTAGAGATTTAGGTAATTTTTTGCTACTTAAAACAATATAGAAACGTGGTGGATGAAATTCCGTTCTGACCTCGACCAAAGTAGCAAATTACAAACCAGTTGGTTACATAATATATATTATTTTATGTTGCTGTTGGCTAGAATTGTATTTAATACACGAAAACTTACATATATGTGTACATTTTTCCAAACGGAGAGAAAAGATGCTCGGACAAGATTAGTGGATCTTCGGATATACATGAGGCCACCGATTCTGGTAAAATGACGCATTTTGAACGTAAATGTTTTCTTCCGGAACCAATGCAAAGTGATATGTAACCTAATGACTAGATCATGAAAAATTAGTGAAAACTTAATTAGTATCTTTGGATATTAACATGACAACCACTCGAAGCCTTTACTATGGTTCATATGGGTTTACTGGATTTAGCATTTGTGCTGGTTTTAAAATTTAAATAAACGAAAAAGAAAAAAATCTAAATAAACGTGATCACGAGGTAGTAAAAATCTTGAAAGTTTTTTTTTTTTGGACAGCAAATCTCGTAAGGTTAAATTGTACTTAAATATAGTATATGATTATCAACTCAAATTGAATACATCCATACTTATAGATTGAAACCTCATGACTCATGAGGCTATTATGAAATCCTAAGCAATAAATGATAAAAAGACGTTTTTGGAAACTATTGGTAAGCATGTGCATACATGCAACTTATATTGAAATTTTAACAGCTATTGTACCTTAATAACCAGAGAAATCAAACCCTAGTAACACTAACTTTGAGACCATGTTGCATGCGAAGAAGAACAGAAGGAACTGTCTCGGTTTTGTGCCCTTCAACGACCTTAAAGTCATAGTTCCGTATGACTTCCACAGCCATTGTTTTCATCTGCAAGAACGTCAACTTTTGCCCTAAGCAAGTTCTTGGACCAGCGTTAAATGCCAAGAACTTATACGAAGGTTCATGTCTCAGCCTTCCACTGGCTGAAATCCATCTCTCCGGTTTGAAATCTTCTGCGTCATCTCCCCTAACAGATCTCATCCTCCCCAATGCATAAGTAGAGATGACTATCTTCCAATTCTCATCGACTTTGTGCCCACTTGGAACTTTGGAAGCACGTCTGGCTTAGCCGGTGACTTGTGGTTAAATGGGACTGGTGGATATAGCCTTAGCGTCTCACACACGGCACCATGTAGATATACTAGCTTGTCTAAATCCGCCGGATTAAACTTTGTCATCTTCTTGTTAATCTCTTGTCGGATCTTGGTCATTGCTTCAGGGTTTTTGGAGAGAAGCCAGAAAAACCAAGTGGGAGCGGAGCTTGTTGTGTCTCTTCCCGCGATCAGGAAACCCAAAATAATGTCACTGATGAATTTATCATTCCTCGGTTTCAAGTGCTTATATTTTGTCGTGTCCAGAGTCATGTAATATGTTAAAACATCCGTGGCCTCTCCTCAATGCTAAAATATACAACAAAAATGATATTGATTGTGTATGTATTTTACTTAGATGTTATAGCGTGTATGATATTAACAAGCCCATTAAATATCAGAGGCGATCTTCAATTTTTATGCTACTGATCTCTTGGTGAAAATATTCAGTTTCTAGAGGAATCTGAAATAAGCTTTTTTGTGAAATAATCGATAAATCCCATTTTTTTAATTTAACTTATTTAGACAAAGGCCAATGGCTCGATTAAATGGCTAAAATGCCATAAATTGAAAAAAGTTAATATGCTGTGCCATAAACAAGTCTGTGTGCCATAATACACATGTAATTCCTATTTTACCCTTAATGAAATTTTTTGTGGCATTCTTGAATTTAATAAAAAAGTGATTAATTTTATTTAAATTGAAATTAATAATTTAAAACGAAATTAATTTCAAAAATAATTTCAAAATTTTTTTTTTCTGTTTCTTCTTCTTCGTCACCGTTTTGTCGATGGATTCTGAAAACCACCAAATCTCATTCTCGTCGTCAAACCCTCGCCTCTCCTCCTCTTCTTCATCCTCTGTAATCACTTTATTGTTTTTATCTCTTCTCTCCACCACCATTGTTGAAGTTTCAAACCCATTTAGGTTTTTGTTTGGAAATTTGGGGATTTTACAATTTAGGGATTGAATTTGTCAAAATTGCTTGTTTGGTATGTAAATCGGGTTGGTAACCTAGTTTATGTGATGATTAGGTCTTTGCATAGATAATTTATCAAATATAGTTGTTGAATCGTAGTGACTCTTAGGTAGAAAATCCGAGTTCATCACCAAATCTGCAGAAGAGGACAACTGGTACGAATGGTACAACTAAGAGATAAGAGGACTACTAGTACAACTGGTACAACTATGAGATAGAGGACAACTGGTACAAATAGGTATAACTAAGACAACTTAAATAATTGTTGATTGAAAATTCTTTTATTATAATTGAAAATCGGGTTGGTAACCTAGTTTTATATGACGATTATGTATTTGCATGAATACTTTCTTAAATATAGTCGTTGAATCGTAGTGATTCTTAGGTAAAGTATAATTATATCTGAGTTCATCTCCAAATCTGCAGAGGAGGACAACTAGTACAATTAGGTACAACTATGTACAAAAATTGACGGCGCACATAAGTGCACATGTTATTTTGATGGATAGTGACACTTAGGTAAGTCAATCTAATCTAGAGAATTTCATTTTTGGCAGAGAATACTTTCTGGATGGAAATAAACAAGGTACAACTAGACACATATGTACAATTATATGCAATTCTTTCATTAGAAAATAATAGTGATAAACTATAAATATAGAAAGCAAATATTCACTTAAAAATGTAAAAAATTTGTAAACTATAAGAAATAAATTAAAAAGATGGATAACATGAAATTTATCATTTTTCTAATACATATTATTGGTTTCACATCGAACACCCCTTATGATACAAAGAAGACTTTGATAATGTTAACAATCTTATGATGGAAAAGAGATAAAATTGTGATTTTGGATAAATTGTTTATGAAAATGTTGTAAATGGATTACAATAGTCAAAAATCATGTGGACAACTACAAAATAATAATTTATATCAAGGGACAACTGGAAAAAATACTGAAATTGTCAAAGGACAACTATGAAGAATTTTGGACAACTGAACAACTGAGTACAACTATGTATAAAATTGACGGCGCACGTGGTACTTTGACTGCGCACATGTCCCTTTTTGTCGGCGCACGTGCGTCTACGACTGACAACATAGTTGTACCTAGTTGTCCAGTTGTCCAAAATTTGTAATAGTTGTCCTTTGATCGATTTTGTAGTTTTTTCAGTTGTCCTTCAACATAAATTATTATGTTCTAGTTGTCCACAAAAATTTCGAACATTATATAGCAGCCCCAAGGGTTTTGCGTCATTATTTTTCTATTTCCTATATTTTGGCATAGATGCTTGCATAAGATGGATAACATTGTCAAAAACTTCCTTATAACATAAAGGTTATTTCAAGTGAAACCAATAATATTTGGTTCTTTGAACAAAACAAAGTTTTATTTTATTATTTCTAGTATAGACGTGAAAAGATACAGTTATTAGGGTATGGGTTATATTGGCTTTTAAGTAAATAATATTATGAATTTATTTTTTAACACTACAATTAAAATATAGTTGTCCCAAGTTGCACCTAGTTGCCCTGGAGAAATTCAAAATACAAATAACTCCAAATAAATAGTAATGCAAGAAATCAAAGAAATCCAAAATATAAATAACTCCAAAATAAATAGTAATGCAAAAAATCAAAGAAATCCAAGAAATTTAAAATACAAATAACTCCAAATTACTCATGTACACACTAAAACTGAAATAAGTTGAATCTTTCATTCAGTTGTACCTTGTTTTTAGATTAAGGATTTATAGATAATTGTTTATATGTGTCTAACTGTACTTTGTTTATCCCTATTTGTGAAAGATTTTCTCTGCTAAAGAGTGGCTATCGAGAATGAAAATTCTTCGGCTAAAATGTAATTTCATTAGCTAATTTAATTTCCATGCTACTTTTGCTCTGAAACCACTTATCTAATTTATTATCCGTTTTGTCTTTTGGCAACGTTTTTTGGAGAATAAAAACCACTTTTTGATTTTTTTTTTGGTGTAATTCGGCAGTAAGACAAAAAATTCTTGTATATCATCAGAAATACTCCACTTAGTTTCATTTATATGTGCAATTCATTGTCCACATAAATTATCTACTCTAAAGTTGTTTAGTTTCATATATCGCAATCTTCTTACATACAATATCTTATCTAGTAATACCGAATAAGTTATCTGCCCCAAATATGAGGTATTAAATGATATAAAATCTATTGAATTGCTTGTGTGGCTGATACTCATTATTTCTTGAAAATATAGTAAACAATTCTTAATTAACAATTATTCAAGGTGTCTTAGTTGTAGACTTATATCTATTTGTACCAGTTTTCCTCTATCTCATAGTTGTACCAATTGTACTAGTTGTCCTCTTATCTCTTAGTTGTACCATTCGTACCAGTTGTCCTCCTCTGCAGATTTGGTGATGAACTCAGGTATAATTATAATTTACCTAAGAATCACTACAATTCAACGATTATATTTAACAAATTATCCATGCAAATACCTAATCGTCACATAAAACTGGGTTACCAACCCGATTTGCAATTATAATAAAAGAATTTTTAATCAGCAATTATTTAAGTTGTCTTAGTTATATCTATTTGTACCAGTTTTCCTCTATCTCATAGTTGTACCAATTGTACTAGTTGTCCTCTTATCTCTTAGTTGTACCATTCGTACCAGTTGTCCTCCTCTGCAAATTTGGTGATGAATTCAGGTATAATTATAATTTACCTAAGAATCACTACAATTCAACGATTATATTTAACAAATTATCCATGCAAATACCTAATCGTCACATAATACTGGGTTACCAACCCTATTTGCAATTATAATAAAAGAATTTTTAATCAGCAATTATTTAAGTTGTCTTAGTTATACCTATTTGTACCAGTTGTCCTCTATCTCATAGTTGTACCAATTGTACTAGTTGTCCTCTTATCTCTTAGTTGTACCATTCGTACCAGTTGTCCTCCTCTGCAGATTTGGTGATGAACTCGGATTTTAATTCTAATCTACCTAAGAATCACTACGATTCAACAACTATATTCGATAAATTATCTATGCAAAGACCTAATCATGGGTAACCAACCCGATTTGCATACCGAACAAGCAATTTTGGCAAATCTAATCCCTAAATTGTGAAATCCATAAATCTCTAAATAAAAACCTATTTGGGGTTTGAAGCTTCAACAATTGTGGTTGGAAGAGAAGATGAAGATAAGAAACTGATTACAGAGAATGAAGAGACAAAGTTTGGATGATGAAGATATGATTTTGGTGATTTTTAGAATCTATTGTCGATGATGAAGATGAATAGAGAAAAAAAAAATGATAATTAAAGAAAAAGAATTTAAAAAATTAAAAGAAATTAATTTTTTTAAAAAGGTGAATTTTTTATGGGTTATCGGGTGGGCTTAAAACGGGTGGGTTTTACCCTGGTATTTTCGTGATTATGAAGAAATATAAGAAGAATGATATAGTTTCCAGGGTTTAAGTTAATAAAAATAATTCAAAAAAAAATTAATTATTAGACAGATGGCTTTTTAGCTTACTTTTTTGCTTTTCAGCCGCGCACTCCAATGGCTCAGGCAAATTAAAAGTTTCTCCGCAAATGCTCTTGCGATTGTCACCATTAACATAGAATGTGTTCGACTGGAGTATTTGCTCTCTGTTTTCCGGCTAAATTTCATCATCGCCGGGAAAAAGCACAAACTTTTACTCCGACCCACTTCCGTAATCCAAATGGGCTTCCATTTCGGTGGAGAAATTCGCGAGCTTTCGCTCCCAATCTCTCCCAATCCGTCAATTTCGCTTCGCCCTTTTCACATCCCCCTCTTATACGCTCTTCGACGTCTCTTTCATCCAAGGATTTCGTCCAGATTTTGGCGAGAAAAGCCGCGTTTTTACTTGTTGGGTGGTTTGTCTTTCTAGGGCTCTCTTCTTCGAAACCTGCTTTAGCGCTACCCGCTGCAACTGTGAGCTCTCAATCGGAGTTAGAGGACGAAACAATGTTCGAGAAGCTTCTGGAAAGTGAGCCAGAGAACATGGAGGCAATGAAGGCTGTTTTGTATAAGAAGATGAGGAGAGGGAAAACTGAAGATGCTGTGAAGTATGTTGAGAAGTTAATGAAGTTAGAGCCTCGTGAAGTTGAGTGGAAGCTGCTAGAAGCGCTTTGTTATGAGACGATGGGACAGTTGAGCAAGGCTAAGAGATTGTATAAGGATATTCTCAAAGAAAACCCTCTTTTGATCAGAGCTTTGCACGTATGTGTTTTCTCACCCTTTTGATGATGCTTCTCTTGGATTAGAGTTTTGCATCGAAACTGTGAATTAAGTGGATGTTTAGGAGAAATGGTGCTTTATTTTGCTTGGTAGGTAATAGAATGGTGCTTTGATTCGATATTGCAATATCTTAAAAATCAGTTTTGGTATTGCCTTAATCCTTGCAGGGTCTTGCTATGGTCATGCACAAGACTCATGACTCCTCTGTCTTTGATATGCTCAAGGAAGCTATGGAAGTTGCTCGACTAGGCAACCGAGTAACCGAGGAGAGAAACATTCAAGTCTTGATCGGCCAAATGCATATTGTGAAGGTAAAACCGATCATTTGCCGAACTTGTCCTATATATCCTTCTTGTGTGTTTTGGTCCTTTGAAAGATCTTTAAGAATGCATGATATGGAGATTGGTTTGAAACCTCAGGGTCAATTTGAAGAAGGGCTAAAGGTATTTCAACAGATGGTAAATGATAACCCTCGAGATTTTCGACCTTACCTTTGCCAGGTAATTTTATATATGAAAATAATGAGCTTTGACTCACTAAAGTGATCTCTCAGTTATCAAGTGAAAGAAAGGGATTCAGCTTTATCTTTTGCTGTTGCACTTTGAAGAAATTGGTGGTCTATTTGTTTCAGGGCATAGTATATAGCTTAATGGATAGAAAAGAGGAAGCAGCTCAACAATTTGAGGTCTATTGGAGTCTTGTCCCTGAAGAATTCCCGCAAAAGGGATTTCTTGACGATGTTGCGTTGGCTGCTCAATCCAAAACCCGAGAGCGCCTCCAAAATGCATTCAAAGCTAAATTTACTCGTGGGAAATAGGTCACGGATAGATAGTTTTTCGAGATCTTCTCAATGCTTCATTCATCAGTTAAAATTTTGTTCGTGGGAGTAACATGGCATTTGCTTATAAGGAATATTCGGGTGTGAAATGTTAACATGTGTTGGTCTAAAGACAAAACCGCTCTTAAAGCAGGCAGAGTCCGTGGCTGCGTTTGGAATCTCAAAGAAGCCGTTTTTTTTTTGTTTTTTCTGCAATTGGATAGCGATTACTTGCAGCTTTAGAGTAGACATGAAAGGTAGTAACTTTCTTTGTTATCTGTAAAAAACTTTTGGTGCTGTTTCAGTTTAGGTATTTGTTCTCGTACATCTCTTCCAGCATTAGAAGTTTTCAAGTAATTGCAAACTCAAGATGACAAGATTATATGTCGGGCAGTGTTTTTCAAAGCGGTCCCCTCTAGAGTCCAGACGATTCATTAATATATTTCTGGTTCCTTTTTGATTGACGGGCCTTAACAGTCTACTGGCCCATTTTCTATTTTAAGGCCCAGTAATTCCTTTAAGGCCCAATTGGATTGGGACATAACTGTAAATAGAAATGCTTCTAATCCCTTCCTGAGAAACTTCGGAAGAGCCGAAAGAACGTGAACTCTCTCCCTCTCGCTACCTTCTCTTGCTCTCCTCTGGTACACTTCGCGCCTCTGTAGTTTCTTCCTGTATTCTGGTGTGTGCGTCTTTATTGGCACTGACTACATTTATGCGGTTTTTCTGTATGTATATGATTGTGTATGGTTTAGTTGTACTGTATATTTCTTCATTTGCTTGACTAGTTTTGTTGTGACTTTTGTGAATTTTTTGTTTCACTGTAACAAAAATGATGAAATTGATCTGGTGAGATTAGGTCAGAGACGCTTCTGATGGCTCCTCTTACGCTCTCTGTTGATGTGAAGAGCTCTTCAGTGAGTGCTCCTGGTAAACTCTCTGAATTTTTGTTGTTTTACTCTCGTGAGAGTTCTTTAGTTCGTTTCCGTATTGGTTTTGTGGATTTGTCAAAAAAAAAAAAAGGAGAGATAGAGAGAAATGTTTATTAATTTATTTGTTGGGTTTCTGCAGATGTTTCGAATAGAGTAATGCAGATTCCACAGCTCAGAACGAGCAAAGGCTTTGCTTCAGTCAATACGCAAGACGAAAAACCCTTTGATTTCTTCCGCACTCTATTTGGTAAAGAACAACTGTTTCGGGTTCAGGACTTTATATATTTATATATAGCTTCCACTTTCTCCTGTGGCTCATTTGCAATTGAGGAATAATATTTTTTCTTCTCAAAGTTTTAACCTTTTCTTGAATCGGCAGCTTCGGGTGTCTACGTTTTCTTTGATTTGTTTCCGTTTTGATGATGCAGAGGGATTTATAGCAGGAGGTACAGCTGGAGTTGTAGTTGAAACAGCTTTATACCCGATTGATACAATTAAGACTAGACTTCAGGCAGGTCAAGGAACTAATTTTTTTCACTTCTTTCTTAGAATTGATCTTAACTGTATGTGCAACTAGCTCCTGTAATCATTTGGTCTAGACAAAAATATAAAGGTTGAACTTTAGTTCCTAAAATATTTTAATCTTATGATGTAGGCAGCTCGTGGAGGTGGGAAAATTGTTTTGAAGGGTCTTTATTCAGGATTAGCTGGAAATATTGCTGGTGTCTTACCGTAAGTGACACTGAACTCATGGAGCTAGCTCCTTTTTATTGATTCAGAACCTGGCCTACTTAGCATTGGTGATGGCTGATGCAAATACCATAAATGATGATTGTCTGACTTTTTGTTCAAGAGTATCAATGGCCTGAACACAACAAAATAAATAGTATTGACAAAACCATATCCTTGTCCCGTTTCTGTTCCTCCTATTTTATACTTGTTTTGACGCTGGTTATTTTGACATCGTTTCTTTGTAGGGCTTCTGCTTTATTTGTTGGAGTTTACGAACCCACAAAGCAGAAATTGCTGAAAACCTTTCCTGATCATTTAAGCGCAGTTGCTCACCTGGTGAGGCATTTTCTTCATCCTGCACTGAAAAAAGTATATTATTAGTGTCTCTACTAAGTGATCAGGTCATGATTATCACTAAGTGAACGGTATACAATAAGCAACAGTTAGCTCTAGATCGTTCAACAGTTTCTTGCACACGCCTTGTATTCGAGAGTGAATAAGAACAATCTGTTGCTCTTTGTTTCAAATTCCAGACTGCAGGGGCCATCGGTGGGCTTGCTGCCTCTCTGATTCGAGTGCCTACGGAGGTAAAAACTCTCTCTTGGATATCGCAATCAAGATCCTGTTCTACATAGAAACCTTCAACCGACATTTCCATGTTTGTATTCTTTAGGTTATAAAGCAGAGAATGCAGACTGGACAGTTTACATCAGCTCCCAGCGCTGTTCGACTGATTGCTTCAAAAGAGGGATTTAGGGGTCTCTATGCAGTTAGTAACACCTTTTTAAGCTCTTCCTTTTTCTAGTCTCTGCTTTATGTTGAATTTTCGTGTGGTAACTTATTTCAATTTTTTTCTAGGGGTATCGGTCCTTCCTATTACGAGATTTGCCGTTTGATGCTATTCAGTTCTGCATATATGAGCAGCTATGCTTGGGCTATAAAAGAGCAGTAAGCTTCTTGGCAAAATTATTGACATATTTTTTTATATATTTACTTCATCCTTGGGTAGGGAACCGTAAATTCTGATGAACTGTTATTTTGCATGATATGAAATTTGCTTTATCTTTTGGCAGGCGCGTAGAGAGCTTAATGATCCTGAGAACGCACTAATTGGTGCATTTGCTGGTTGGTGACATACCTTGTATGCTTTAAATAAAAAATTCCCGGATTCATAAAATTTTAACGTTAACAAGTATAATAGAGTTATTACAAAGAAAACCAGTTAATTATAGTGTGGGAGTGTTATAACTTTTTGGTCGGTTCTCTGTACCGTCGTGGTATGTGCAGGTGCTCTGACCGGAGCAGTCACCACTCCGCTTGATGTTATTAAGACAAGATTAATGGTTCAGGTAATAAATGGTTAATCACACCTTAAAAGTCTCCCTTTGTCTCTCCAAATTCGAATCATCTTATTATTATATCTTGATTTTCTCAGGGATCAGCCAAACAATATCAAGGAATCGTTGACTGTGTTCAAACAATTGTAAGAGAGGAAGGAGCTTCTGCTCTCTTAAAGGTACACACACTACTTAAAAGTTTCAATTAGGATTTCTTCGAAACTCTAATCTAAGTTGAGCAGCTTCAAGACTACAAAACCGCTAATCCTTGCACGATGATTTTACTTGTAGGGTATTGGGCCAAGAGTGTTGTGGATAGGTATTGGAGGTTCAATATTCTTTGGTGTTCTCGAGAGCACAAAGAGAACACTTGCACAGAGGCGCCCCAAGACTATTAAAGAATCGAAAGAGGAATAAATGGCAGCAGATTCTTGTGGGCAAGATAATGATTGAATGGTGATAATGTTTGACATTCTACTCCTTGTGTTCAGAGTTTGTGAAGTACCAATCGTTTCAATATTCATTTAAAAGAAGAAAGAAGAAAAAAAAAAATATTTTATATAATTTCCTGAAATTATAAAATAAATCAGTACATTTAAAATTAGCTCTTCTTTGTTTTTCTTTTCTTTTTAAAAAAAAATCAAATTTGGTGACCTGCGTTGTTGGGTTATCAAATGTTGTAGCATATTGATTTTATTAAAATTAATTACATTTGTTGAAAAAACAAATTAGTCTATTTCAAGATTTTCTTATGTAAAGTTTGGTATCTCAAACTTAATAACTTTTGATATAATGTTAACAAAATAAGAAAAAACTACAAGTTGACAAATTTGTTGTTTTTCTTTTGTTTGTCAACTTGTAGATTTTCCAATTTCATTATATCCCTTTTTTCTAAAAACATGAAATATCCATTCGATGCAAATATACAAACAATAAACCTTTGGAACTGTTCAAACAATGCAATTCTATAAGAACTTATATCAAAGACAGTTATTATACTGTACACATTTCTATATCTCTCAAGACTGCCATATAATTGCCGGAGAAAAAATGAGGAAGGAAAAAAAAAACAAAATAGAAAGAATTGTGAGACTCATGAACAAACACACACAAAAACACTGAAACCTATAAAAAAAGAAGACTTCAGTTTGTGGCTCTTCCAAAACATCAAAACCCCTTTATCCAATTTCTCCGGCTAATTTACAGCTCCATCGAGCTCTCACAACGATGAAGCAGAGAGAGAGATACTTAACATTGAATCAATTGGGATGATCTCTTTAGTTCACTCACTCACATGAGTGGTAAGTATCCTCCTCCATGTCCTTTCTTCATTACAAGTGGTCCAGCATTTTCTGGGACCTTATCCAACGCATTCATACACGCATCGACCATGTCAGGGAATCCCGTCGCTGTTGTAGCTAGCTGTAACCGTAACCTCAAATCCCGTGTTCTCTTCAACAAACACCTGAATGATCTCCACATGTATTTGGCCCACTCAGCTGGTAACCCTCCTCCTGTGAGCCAGACTGAGAATTGAGACTGGTCGCCTCGAGCTGCCATTTCCGCTCGGTAGAATCTAGCCAGTTCCAGAAGCATTGAAGCCTGTAGGGGAAGCACCGCTACAAATTCAGCCACAAATTCTTCCGCTAGTTCGGGTTTGAGCATCAGATTCCAAAGCACAAGCGCCCATTCGCTTGGCTGATTAAGACCATAAGCTTCTGCTACAATCAGGGCTTCCTGGAAACGGGATTGATCAACAAGTGCTCTCCTGGCGTTTGTTTCCGATAGACAGAGCCACTTGGAATCTGGCATCCTTATTTGAAGGGAGACAAGGGAAGCCTGACCACACGCCTTCCGTGCTTTGTTTCCAGCATCAATTGAAGTGTGAACTTCAGCAGCTTCAATGTAATAGCGCATCGAATCAAGGAGATCTTCATTTTGATCCTTGTCATAACGGAGAAACCATTGCTGTGCAGCCTGATCTGCGCGTGCCTCTAGCAAAGCAGCCGTTTCATGCTTCATGTCAAAGTGTTTATATACCTGAGAACAACGTATGTCTCATTAAAAGAAAAACCATAAGTAGAAATAGTTTTTTTTTTGGAAAAAAAAAAACCATCCTAAAATGTTGATTCATGTGAACCAGTAACGTAAGTGGTAAAAGCCAATCTTAGATATACTCTATCATCCATCATGATAGTGGATTGTGGTAAGCAGACAAAACATGATGAAATAAGTTCTTTTACTTGGCTAATTTTAGCTTACTAAAAGACATACCATTGCGAATGCATCATGGTCATCTGGGTTAAAGAGATTCAACGAAGTCAGAACAGCCATC